CTGCCGAAGGGTAGTTGCAATGCCCCAAATGGCAAATAAGACATTTGAAAATCTCTTTTTTTTTGGCACAGCGGGTGGCGTCTGCCTGACCAGGGAGCCCAATAATAACGGTACTCATTGTTGTGCGACAATCCCACGCCTGGTACACTGTTTAGAAACAGGGCGTTACGTCGTATTGTTGCAAATGCACCAAGGCGACTTCTGCATAAGCAGAGAGGATTTAAACCGTTCTTGTGTGTGTGTGGACCAAAATGAAAAAAAAAATCTAAACATTCTCTCACATCATTTGAAAATACAGTTTGAAAATAATAATAATAATAAAATTAACTACGACGAAATTTTTGATTAAAATTAGATTAAAATTGATAAAAAAAATTTTTAATTATTTATATCTACTATAAAATATATTTTTGATTCAAATAATCACTTGACTATTATCAAACAAATATTTATTTGAATCGAATAAACTCTTTATTTAAACCAATAATTTCTGTATACACTAGAGTCTCCGAAGAGAGGACACGAAGAGTCTTGGACCTCTCTACGGAATTCGTCCTTGACGCCGAAAATTGTAAACACTCCAGGGCCGTATATCGTATCACAGAGATGTGTTTTTTTAACAGAATACATTCTATTACATACATAAAACACTGCGCGAGAAAGGTACACTAAAAACAAACGCTCCTGACTTCACGTTCCTCTTTCTGATCCCGCCCATCTCTTCCCCCCTCACTCCTTACCGCGCCGCGTCACTACTTAGTCCTCTCTTCAGAAGTCCTCTCTTGGGAGACTCTAGTGTAATTAAAACAAAAATTTAATTGACTCAAAATTTATTTTGTTTAAAAAGAAAATATATATTTGATAATAATTAAGTAACCAATTATTTAAATTAAATAAATTTCTTATGAGTCAATTAAATTTTATTCGTTTTTAATTGAGCTGCCGGATTAAAAATGGCCACATAACAAATGTATAATTCAAATATGGATTATGTATGCCCTTTTTTTGATTCGGCAGCTTAATTACAGGAATTATTATTGGTTTAAATATACAGTTTATTTGATTCAAATAAATATATTTGTTTGATAATAGTTAAGTAGCCGGATTATTTTTGAATCAAATAAATTTTTTTTTTTCAGTGTATCAACTATTTATAATAAGTTTTAAAAAAAAATTACAAAATTATATAAAATCATATATATCTATAAATGGCAATCATCGCTAAAAATTGACATTGATAAAACTTTTTTACTCATCAAATTTATTTATACAATTCTGAATCAAAAATGAAACTTAAAAATTGTGGGATATATGATTCATATATCTGCGGATTCTAGAAACCATTCATATATATTGTATATATATATATGGCAAATTGGTGGCAAGTTTTTCTCTTTTATCTTTTCAAGTCAAGTCAATTTTGTCGCTCATTGGTTGCAAAGTTGTTTGATAAAAAAAACTCGACAAACATTGGCGCACCTTACGCACACACGGATTTAATGACGTCATTGTTTCAAAGTTGCGCGATATACCTGTCTGTTACATGGCCTTTATAATAACAATAATAATAATAATAATAACAAAAGAAAAAAAAATAATAATAATAATAATATTTACTGTAATAGTAGTTATTTTTTTAGTTACAATCATTGATAATTATAAAAAGAGTTAAAGAACCATTTCTCCCTCTTTCATTTTTTTTTTTTTTAATTTTTTTTATACTTTTGAAAAATGTCTGTTTTGGAAATTTAGTAACAATATATGAAAATACGTGTTTTGACTTGGACTAGATTCACTTTTCTCGAGAGCGTAGGAAGCAAGCAACCTACACGTGGAGAAAATTTATCCCCTCTCTCTCTCTCTCTTTGAAGAAAAAAAAGAGAGAGAGAGAGAGAGAGAGAGAGAGAGAGAAGTTTCAATGAAATGAAGATAAAGAAAGAATGAGAAAAAAAAGAGAGGGGAGGGATGGCTTATATATGTATATATTCAGATTGCAAAAGCATAAAGCACAAACGAAAATAAATTTTGTCGCGTGTGCATCCTCAGTACATAACCTATACACTCCATAGAATGATAGCTATTTCCGTTTGAATGAAAAAAAAAAAAAAAAATGTCATGATGCTACTGTCTGCTGTGTTAGTTTCTAAAGATAAAGCGTCTGAGGCGTTTCAACTTGAAAATCACTTTGGACCATGAATTCCAATCGAATTGTGTCTCTGATACTCGCACATACGAAAAAAAAAAAAAAAAAAATCAGCGACAGACCAATGACATCCCTCTTAACGCCGGATAAAGGGCTCTTCGCGAGATAGAAAGAGAGATTCGATAAAATTAAAAGAGAGCGAACAAATTATTCTGTTATTATTATTATTAAATTAATTTTGTTATTGATAATCTAATATTGAAGAAAAAATTTTTTTTACAATTATTTAACAATAATTATTTATTAGAATAAAATTTTACTAATTGAAATTTAGAGAACACATTTTAGAAATAATAGAAATAAATTAGAAATAATAGAAATAAAATATAAATAATAGAAATAAATTATAAATAAATAGAATAAATTATAATAATTTATATTTTCAGAATAAAAATATATGATTAGCTGACTATTTATATACAATTCTAACCGCATCTTAGCTGCGAGAGAATTAGTGCCAGCTCCGCCTGTACGAAGTTAAGCGAACTAAATATCAACCTTAAAAGTTTTTTCGTAACGCGGGAAAATTGAATTAAATAATTTTTTTTCCAATAATATTTTTAAAAATTAATTATTCATTATTTAAACAAATATGTATAAAAAAATTTATATTTTATTATTTTTACCAATAAATTAAAAAAAAACCAACTGATAACAAAAATACAGAAATATTTTTTTTACGTTCCTCCTAAAAAATAAAACTATCCATATACATACAGTTTTTATATATACATACTAGAAAGTCAATTTGAATGAGAACAATAGAATAATTTCCAAAAAGATAATAATGATCTAATTCTATTTTTGTAAATTTTTTTTATTAGATTAGAAATTGAAACGATATCTCTCTATCTCTCTCTCGCGGGCGCGCTGCTCTATCTCAATCTTGAAAATATCTTTTGGAATATAATCCCCTATAGACTGCATCCGTGATTCATGAAAGTTCGTATATCACCGGAAATCGCACGGCACTTGCTTTTTAATTTTACCTCTTCTTCCTACGTCTATATACTCATGACGTCTTTCTCCTTTACATATATTATTATATATACCTATATATAAAGGCGCCCACCCACGAATTTTATAATATTGCACAATGGTAAACGCGACATATTTGTCTCGATTGTTTATTTTGCTATTAAATAGTTTTAATTCTAATGGTTATATTAACAGAAAAAAATCCCCCAACCGCCAGGAATTGAACCCAAGACCCTAACGTTCACAATCCGGTAACTTAACCACCTAACCACGGACGCTCGCTATACAATTTTTTTTTTTCAATATTAATATTTCAAAAACCCTGCGGGGGAAATTGCATTGATATGAATGAGTTTTTAAAAATAATATATTATTTTAATTATTAAAATTCAAGGTCAATTAAAAAAATGGGTATAATATATTCCAATATATAGAATATTCATAAAGTTTATAAAGTTAGAAATAATATCGATTAGGCCATATATAGTAAACGAACGTTCATTAAACGAGGTTAACAACCCTGGCTTGGGTGGCCCAATTCGAAGTGCAAGAAATTAATCGAGATTGTGTACTGTGGCTTTTATTTTACGAGCCTTAGATCTACTATACAGATCTTTATATTATATATATAAAAAAAAAAGTTATTTTCCTTATCACCGTACTGACAAAATGATTCCAAAGCAAAAAGAAATTAAAATAAAAAAAAAAAAATTTGATCTCAAGTACAATTATATTATTATATAAAATCTTGTAAATAAAAAACTATTATAGAAAAACAGTTATATCAAGGTAATTTCAATTTAATTGAAACTTTCATTGAGAGAATGTAAAAACTTTTTTTTTATAATTAGTTTTTTTAAATTATTTTTTTTTTATTATTATTTTAATTAAATTATTAATTAATTTTTAAAAAAATATTAATATTAATATTTTAATTAATAAAAAAAATAATTTCGAAATTCATAAAATTACATCAGGAATAAAAAAAAAATATAATATCAAAAATACTTTTACAATCCGTTAAAAAAAAAAAAAAAAAAAAAACTTGTCATTTCAAAAATATTCTTCCCCTATTTTAGAATTTAATCTCCAATTTTTAAATCACAATTTTCCAAATATATATTTAAAATGTAATTTTCCATCCCTGAAAGTCCAATTATCTTTTTTTTTCTCTCTCTCTCAATTTATAACCAACACACCTGTCGTTGTATACCTAACCTCAACAACGAATACCGCATGAGAAAAAAATCACATTTTCAAAATCTATTATTAATTAAATTAAAACAACAATTGAAAAAAGAGAGAGACAATAAAAAGAAATTTACAAAGAAATTTCAAATAACGAGACTTGTGAAAAGGGAGAGAGAGAGAGAGAGAGAGAGAGAGAGAGAGAGAGAGGGAGTTAAAAAAAAACAAAAGCCTCAGTGTTAAAGGCGAGCACCATCAGACTGACAAAAATAAAAACACCAGACACATCAAGAGAAACTAAAAGTCTCAAAAAAAAGAAGAAAATTCGTCTGCTGGAAGCAGGCAAACAAAAATGGAGCTTATCAGACATTTTCGTTGAAGAAAAAAAGAGAGAGAGAGAAAGAAAAATTGACAGTCCAATGAGTCATTGACAAAACGCAAATGTTAAACACGAGGTTAGGATTTTCCGATCAAAGAACCGTTTTTTAAATTAATTTTTTTTTTTATACATATAAAACAAATAGAAATAACTATAAAATAGTAATTTAAATTCACATATAAAAAAAAATATTCACAAATTTTTGATAATCTAATATTTTTTGAGACTTATATTGGAAAATTATCGACTAACCTGTAAGTTTAGCGAGGAAGCGAAACATGCCAGCGGCGGAGGACAGGCAATGAGCCGCAGTTCCAGTGGCAAGAATTCCAGCGGCGATCGGCATTCGCCTTGGTGTGTATTCGTTCGCGTGCTTCTTTCCCGTATCTCGGTTTTTTTTTTTTTAAATTTTATTTTCTTTTTTTTCACCTGTATATAAAACCCTCTTCTCGTTCACTCTTTTATATAGAAGAAACCCGGTTCGTCTCGACGGTTGAGAAATCCCCTCGCGGTCGCCTCCTCTCTTGAGAAATCCGCGAGGAGCCGGGCGGTGACGCCTGTGTGTGTATATATATATATGTGTGTGCGCGCGAGCGTTTTTATGTGTACATATATATATATAATAAATATGTATGCGCCTTTTGCGGCCAAACCTAACCTAACACTGACTGTGGCCCTCAGTAGTCGAGGCAACAGCAGACACTACGCGAATAATTTGACACACACAGACAAAACATTTTTCGTGTGAAAAAAAAACAAACACTTGAAATATCCAAATCACTTAAAATCCTTTTTTTTTTATTTCACTTTTAAAATTTATTATTTGTCCTGGAGGACGATTGGTGCATCGTTCTCAAGGAAAGGAGGGGGGGAGGGCACACACACTTGGGCTTCCGCTAACCTGGTGGTCTCACATTGAGAGCTCTCTTGTTTTTTTTTTTTTTTTTCTCTTTTTTTTCAAAGCACTGTTCTCTTAATCCCAATGTGGCACTTGTCAAGGGAAAAGTAATAAATAAAGGCACTATAAATGGGAAAATTTAGTTAGAAATGGTAACGATGAACAGTCAAGTCGAGTGGTATTAGTAGTAGTAGAAGCAACGACGACGACGACTCCATCGCTTGAGCGCCATTGCCACATCATTCGTGGAGTCCAACGACAAACGCGTAACGATAATAACGCGATGGGAACTACTGCGTGCGAGCGCATAATATTACAGGTGGAAAGTCACTGTCCCTGGTTGAAGGCCAGTCAAAGTCGATGTCTCCGGTATAATAATAATTATTATTATTACCGAGATTTTTTTTTTCACGAATGCTTATTGTTTAATTGGATGATAATGCCCGTTTGTATATATATGTGAAAAAATCGTCTGCTATACAATTTTTACGAAAATTTAAACTGTTGTCTTATCCTTTTTTTTTATTTGCAAAAAAAAACGTCCTTGTTTCCATTCGTTTCTGTTTTTTTTTTTTTTTTTTTAATCTTCTTTTTTATTATAACACATATGAGAGAGAAAAACGAGACTTTATTAGTGTGGGACGTTCGCGAAATTTTTCGAGACGTGAAAGAAATATGAAGAAGGGGGGACAAAAATTGAGAATAAAAACACCCGCACGAGTCAACGCTGTCGAGACAACTGACTGAACTATACGAAATGGACTGCATCTGCTCGACGAGAGACTAGGAGAGGACAGAGAGAGAGAGAGAGAGAGAAAAAGAGAGGCCCTGAATGCCTGGAATACGAGAATCGGTTGTGGTTGTGCGCTCTTTGTTACACTTATGGACTCAGAGAGACCGTTCACTGTGTTTATCTCTCTCACTCTCGTACTATTTGTCTCACTTTACATTCGTTCTCTCTTTTTCTTTCACCCTTCTCGTTCCTTTTCTCATTCTTTCCTTCTCACACTCATGTTCCTTTCCTTTTTCCACTCACTTGTGGGAGTGAGTGAGACACATATATTTTTTTTTCTTTCTTTCTCGCTCTCACGACGAGAGAAAGAGAGAGAAAAACACTCATTCCCCCTCTCTAACACCATGACAAGAGTACAATAGCCACGAGATGGGGGTTCCATTGGCTCCCCAACGAAATCAAAAATCGAGACACGTGTTTTTTTTTGCAACTTTTTTTTTAATTCCCCTTTCTCCTTAACGGCATTGTTTTTCACAATTAACGAAATTTTTTTGATATTACATACGAAAATAAACATACATGCGGTAATGTGAACGTAACGATTTCATTGGGGGGTGAAAATGCGAATCACTCTGTTTTTTACGGGAGAAAAAAGGGGTACAAGAGGGCAAATTAGAATTTTTTTTGAGGTTATGTTTCATTGGGATTAAATTTATCAATACCTTATGATTAGAGTAACGATAATTTAATAATATAATAAACGGTAAAAAATGATAATTAGAAATTAGAAACTAAAAAACACTCACCCAAAAATTAATTTTCTTTACACCGCATGTCGTGTTTTTTTGTTGTCAATAACAGTGTGAAATTGACAAATTGCGATCACACGAAAATTTGTTTTTTTTTTTCTAAAGAATGAAGAAAAATAGTTTTCACCGAGTTGTTAAACACTTTTTACTAGAAAAACGTTAATTTACAAAACTTTTTTAAACCTGCTTTCACTGTATAAAAAAAAACTGAATGAGAAAATTTAACTCACCGGCGATTCTTGATGAACGCCTGGCGGATATTTCAGGAACTACGTCGAGAAAATTCAAACCTGAATCGGAATCTCATTGGCTGCTTCCACCGCCAGAATTCAAAATGCTGAAAAATTTAATTTTGTTTTTTGTTAATATTTTACTTCTTTTTCTTCTAATTAAATTAAAAGCAAATATTCCAAAACGATTATAAATTAAAGTTAAATTACAATTCAGATTTTAAAAAAATTATTATTTTTAAATAATAATGAATTTAAATTAGAAACTTTTATTTAATAAAAAAAAGTTTTATAATCCAAATAAGAAATTTTAATATGACATTCAGGTAAGACGGGTTGCATATATTCAATGAATAATGGTATTTTTAATATTTGTTGATATAAACGAATGAAATAATTAGCTTAGATTAATAAAAGGAATAATATTAATTATATTATAATTAATAATTATATTAAAATACATTATTATTATTATTTTATTATTTATTATTATTTTTATTAATTATTAAAATTAATTATTATAGTATAATTAATCATTATATTACAATTAATGGTAATAATTAAAAGTAAAAATTATAATTATAATTAAAACAAATAATATTTAAAATTTTAATAATAAATTTAAAACAATTAAAAAATTAATTAAATAAGTAAAAAAAATTTTTTTAATATTTTTTTTAAATTGAAATTTATATTCAATTATGAGAAAAAAATTAAATTATTAATTTTTTTTTTATGGCAATAATTCTTACGGCCCTGTGACTAATCGATTATCTCTCTTGCACTAGTGACTGTGTAAATTTCTCTCTCCCACGAATGAATTGTTTCACTCGAGAGAGCGAGTAAGTCGAAAATAACCGATTCAAGTCTGCCGAGAATGTACGAATACAATTTCCCGCATTACACTCAAGAATGAGGTGAAATTAGTTGTTATACATACATTTATGTATATATGTACTAATCCAACATTTTGGCTCTTTACTGAAGCGCGAAAAAAATTTCTAAACAAAAATTTAAAAAAAGCAATTAAAAAAGAAAATTTTTTATTATTATTTTCGTAATTAATTTTTTTTTTTCATTTAAATTAAAAAGTTTTTATATTTAATAAATTTTTATTTTTTATTTAATATTTTTTTTATTATTTAAAAAGACTTTCTTATTATTATAAAATATAAATAAAATACCTAATTAATTATTTTTCTAATTTTCTAATAGTATAAAAATTTATTATTAATATAAGATTGAAATAAATAATTAATAATTATTAATTATTTATAAATATTTTTTTTATTCATATTTTATCATATAATTATTTGTTATAAATTTTTGTTTTTCATATTTTATCATACATTTTTAATCAACTAATTAATTATAACTAATTTATTCGATTAAAATATTAAAAATTGATATTTTTTAAAAATATTTGAATAAAGAATCTTTTTATGTAGCAATTTCTACATTTTTTCAAAAAATGTAATTTTTAATATTTATCAATAATAATTTAATTGTTCAATTTTTTTTATTTAGTATTTTTTTATGCTTTAATTATGCCAGAATTTTGCAAAATTTTTTCACATTTGAAAAAAAAATTCCAAAAATATTTTTAAATTAATAGTTTTTTTTTGCAACTAAATTATTCAGCTGCTCTTTGCCATAATAATATGATATATTTATAATATCGACCGTTGCCTGACAATAGGCAACCAAATTTACATGAACGACTTTCTCAAGAGAAATTTGTAAAAATTTTGAAAATTTTTCAAATAATTTTAATTTTCTTTTTTTATAAACACAATAAAATAAAAAAAGAACAATTTTTTATATAAAAAATTTACTTATTTACCCATAAATAAATAATTCTAAACTAATTTATGCAAGAAAAAAACAATTATTATAATTAATAAATTCGTTATACCTAATGAATAATTTAATAGTCATTGATTATATATGAATCTCTAATTAGGTTTTAAAAAATTCAAAATGGCGAATTAAACATGGCGAAAAATTAAAAAAATTAAAATTTATGAAAGAAAACAAAATTTATTAAATTATAATTTAATTAATTATTTAATTACTTAAAATAAGGTTTGAAATAAAAAAATAATAAAAGTTGATATTAGAAAAAAATTATTATTATTATTATTATTATTATTATTATTATTATTATTTTATATATATATATATATATATATATATATATATATATATATATATTATGATGTTTGAAATTGTGAATAATAATAGAACAGGTGTGTTTATAATATTATGATGAAAGGTATGATTTTGCCATTCACTATTTCTCGTTGACACTATTTTATTTATATATATATGTAAACAATATATGACACCTACAAACGAATAAAATTGCCTGAGGTTTTTTTTCAACATTTTTGTAAAAAAATAATATTTAATAAATAACAATTTTGTTATTTAAATTAAATAAAATATTTATTTTTAAGTGGAAAATTAAAATTTAGAACAAAACCCTATGAGATATTAATAATTTTTTTTCCACATTTAAATTACTTTTTAAAAATTCTTTTTGGTAATAATAATATTATGTAAATAAATTTTATTTTATAAAAATATTTTTAAAAAAAGACAAAATTAGTTATTCAAAAATATTAAAATATATTTTTAATTTTAAAATTCATTTTTTTTTTATTTTCCAATAAAATTTTTCATGACAATAATATTGTTATAAATAAATTTTTAATTTTTGTCAAATAAAATTTATTACAATTTAATAATAAATAAATTCAAAATATTATGATAATAATTTTTATAAATAGATTTTAATTTTTATAAAATAAAATTTATTATACAAAATGAATATTAATTATTGTAAAATTTTGTATATTTATATCTATCAAAAAAAGGAGTTATATTATAATTATTAAAATTCATATTATAATTTATAACATAATTACTATAATTTAATTAAAAATAATTATTTAATTTTTCAAATACATATTTTAAATTTTTGTAAATTTCGCGCCTTTTTTTTTATTTTTGGTTGGTACTTGTACTTTCCGTAAATTCACATTCCTAACCTATTTCTATTTTTAATTTGGATAAATGTATTCTTATATAAAAAAGAAAACAAAATATAAATGTTGATGAGATATTTAAAGTCTTATTAAATTAACATGTGAATAAAAGAACGTTTTTCAATAAGTGGGTCACATACTGTCTATATATATATATATATATATATGTTTATGGTACTCTTGTAAAAATGTCCTTTTTTCACTTGACACTAGCTGACATCTACGTATATAGTATATATATATGAATGTCGTGAGAACTAACTCCAATGTTTTGCACTTATTTTTGCGTAATTTTGCAAGTATGTAAATTTTTATAAACACTTGAAATGTGAAAATCATTACTATTACATATATATATATATATATATATATATATATATATATATATATATATATATATACTTACAACCGGAAGAAATTAAATAAAAAAAAAGAAAACATTTTTTTAATCTCCACATAAATCTTTCCCAATTACTTCAACCCTTATAATGATTCCACTTTCTGAAATTATATACTAAAAAAAACTGTAGCAAAAAGTACTTTTTTTTCTCCTAAAAATCATAATTTTTTTTTTAAATCACCCCAGAGTCGATAAAAATTTGAATATATATATTTTTTTAAATTTTTAACGATTTATTAGCATATTTTTTATACTTTTATTAAAAAATATTTCATTAATAATTAATAAAATTTGACAAATTTTTTTTTTTTTTTTTTTGTTCTCAAATGTATTGGAAAGAAATAAAATAGGAGAATTTTTGAGGTTAGGAACCTTGTGTTTTGATAGAAACATAAGTGCCAACCATGTAACACAAAACTATATAGATAATGGCGCGAAATTTAAAAATTGTTGAAATAAATAAGTTACCATAGTTAATAAAAATGTAAATAAATAAATAAAAAGCGAAAACAAAAAAAAACGTAATTTATACGCTAAAATTTACTCTAGTCTTTTAAATTTCTGCAGTGCTACCAATATAAGAATAAATAAAAATTTTGAACAGTAAATAACAAAAATGAGTTTTTTCTTATACTGAGGGGCGAGAGGGGGTGAGGGTATAGGTTAAAATTTAAAAATCTAAAAATAGCATTGAATTATTGAAGCATCTCATCTCACCTGCTGCCAGACAAGAAACATCTGCACTGCAATATTGAATCTCTATGGAATCATTGTTAATGGTGACCACGCATCGCCGCTTCACTGTTTCCTCAACCATGGAAATTAATCAACCTCAATGAGACCACAGTCACAAATATCTTTTGGTAACAATGATTTTTTTTTTCGAATCCTCGAAAATGCGTTCCTAATGAATAAAAAATATATGTATATTATATCAAAAATCGTTCAATTTTTATTTGTATACAATAAAATATATTACTTATTATAAATTATTAAACTATATAATAATATTATTATTACTTATTAAAATTCATATTATAATTTATAACATAATTACTGTAATTTAATTTAAAATAATTATTTAATTTTTCAAATACATATTTTAAATTTTTGTAAATTTCGCGCCTTTTTTTTATTTTTGGTTGGTACTTGTACTTTCCGTCAATTCACATTCCTAACCTATTTCTATTCTTAATTTGGATAAATCGCAGTGAAATACATTATTTTTTCACTTTATAAAAAAATAATTATTCGAAAAATATATGAAATTATAGGTTATGTTTTTTTTACTTTAATCTTTGTAAAATTTTCAATAAACGAAATTACAGTTAACCTAATGTCATATTAATTTTGAAACTTTTTCAATAAAACGTTATTATAGCATATATTAGGGGGATTTTTTTTTCTTTATATACTATATATTAATTGCGAAATCTAAATAACCGTAAATATTTCTGCATTGATTTTTATACAATCGATGTGTCCTTATTTCTGATTATGTCTGAGATAATTATATGATGATTGACTTAATGCGAGGCATATAGTATCGATTTTATATTAAAAAAAAAAAAAAAAAAGTTTGCTTGAATGCACATTAGTGCGTCATTTTATATGCAGAGAGTGCATTATTATAATATACTATATAGAAACTTACTTGCTTTTAACCCATAACCAATTTATGCAGTTAATATCTATTTATATTAAAACGCTCTTTATGCAAAAAAAAGCAAACTTTATGAATTTATGATAATTTTACTGTATTTAAAATTAATTTTCAGATTTCTTTTCATAATCAATATTTTTTTTATAACTAATTCTTTTTATAAATACAAATTAATAATTAACAAAATTTAGTTTCGAATTAATTAATTTACTTTTTCGAAGTGTTTAGAAAATTGCAAAATTTTTAGGTTAGGTGTATTGTCAATTGACTGGAGTTCAAGTGCCAACTATGTAACACAAAAATTACTAAGTAATGGCGCGAAATTTAAAATTTGACTGAAAAAAAACTAATATATATAGAACATAACCTATAAATAGTTACGTGAAAAATACCAAAATCATTTCCTCATTGTCAATAGAATATTGTATAAATATAAATAGAAAACTGATAATTATTTGAAAACTAATACGAAACTTTTCCCTTGTTTGCTATTTTTCGGTTTGATTATAGAGGGAATTGAGCTAATTTTGAACAATCTATATACACACTTTTAGTCAACTATTTTTGTACCATGAATGGCAAATACAATATACGTATAGAATTTGATCTTTCATTATAGATATATTTCCCTTAAAAAAAAAAAAAAGAAAAAATAGACCCTTGCTGTATTGTATTGTCTTGACGGTTACTTGAGAACTGTGCGTCTTAGGTCATTCATACAATTTTTTTTTGTTCCTAAAATAACCACTACATTAAGAATTTCGATTCAATTTTTAGATTATATAAATATAGATAAAATTCACTTTTTACAATATTTCAAAAAATATTTTTTTATTTTAATATTTATAAATTAATAAAATAAATAAATTTTATATTTATAAATATTTAAATTTTTTATAATTAAAATTTTAATTATTACTTTTGCAAAATTTTTATTAAACTGATTTTCTACATTGCAGCGAATTTTTAAATTAACCGAAAATTCACTTCATACAGAATTTTTAAATTATACGAATTTTCATTTGTCCAAAATTGCAAATGACCGAACAAACAATCGATTTTGGCGCGATTTTTAAAATCAACCAATCACAATTTTATGGATAATTTTTGATTGGTTGATATTAAAAATCGCGCTAAAATCGATTGTTTATTCGGCCATTTTCAATTTCGGACAAATGAAAATTCGTATAATTTAAAAATTCTGTAAAAAGTGAATTTTCGGTTAATTTAAAAATTCGCTGCAATGTGGGAAAATCGTTTTGATGAAAATTCTGCGCAAAATACTAATTTGAACAAAATGAAAATTCGGTTCAAAAATAATTAATGACAAATAAAAATCCATGAAATGAAAATTGTAACTAATGATTTTTATATAGAACATATATTCAACCGTCCCGATAAATTTCAAAAAAATTGCGCTAAAATCTTTCTGTCTATTGTTTGTTCGGTCATTTTTGTAATTTCAGATAAATAAAAAATTCGACGTCTTTAAAATTTGTGTAAAATAAAAATTCGGACAAATCAAAATTCGAGGTCTTAAAAATTCGTATAAATTAAGAATTCGTATAAATTAAGAATTCGGACAAATAAATATGACTGTAAAATGAAAATTCTATCAAAAATTCGATAGCTAAAAATTTTATTAATTAAAAATGTAGTAGTATATAAAGAAATTCTGTTAAATTTTTATATCAAAAATTTAAAAATTCGTCGAAATAATTAAATATTTCTAATAAAATACTTTAAAATAAAAATTCTAATTAATGATTTTTATGGAAAATTCATATGCGTTCGTTAAAATGGGGTAAATTATGTTCATATGTACTAGGACAAGTATAGTAATATGCATACGTGACAATGTATAGAAAACACATATACACATACATACACATATATATATATACTTTTTAGAAACATATGTGTACGTATGTATACTATTGTCCTTTGTAGGTACAGGGTTATGATTTAATGGTTAGCAATATAAAATTTATAAGCAGACTTCCTGACGGTAGCGCAGGCGTCGTTATTATAAAGAACACCATATTATCCATCGAACAGGTATGTACAAGGAAGACTCCTGTTATTCTATTTAGTTATCAAAAAATTTCTGTCAAACGCCACTGTGTCTAATATAGACAAAAAAAAAAAAAAATTCAACAATGTTGTCAAATACAAAATCATTATTTCCAGTTTTTATATTATTTCTACCCGGTATTTGTTCACAAAAATCTGTTACATTACGTGAGTAAAAAAAAAAAATAATAATTACAAATTTTTAATTCTTCATTTTTTAAAAACATTTTTTTCTCTTTTTTTATGCCATTTTTTTTTATTGATAATTGTTTATATTAGAAGTAAAAATAATCACAATAATAGTGCCATAAAAAAACTAATTAAAATAATTTAACAATAATAATGAAATAATTTATTTAATAAAAAAAAATTAACAACAGTAAATACACTCAGAGAAATGGTATATTTGTCTCCGAGCCTACTAACTCATTTATTTGTTGCAAATATATTTTATTTCATTTAAATAAGAAATTTATTTGAGCCAAAGAAAAATTTATTTCTGACAAATAAAATTTTTATTTACGCCAAATAAATAAGTTAGTAGGCTTTTGAGACAAATATATACGTTTATTTAACTCAAATATATTTTATTTGGTTCAAATAAATGATTTCTCTGGGTGTAGAAAAAAAATTTTTATTATTTTTATTAGTCTAATTATTATTTATTAATTAATAAATTATCAAATAATATAATAATAATTATTATTATTAAATTATTTTTATTATTATTATTATTATTATTATATTTTATTTATTTTCTTTTAAAAATAAAAATTCAATTTACATATTTTTGTAGAAATTTTTTCAAACAGTAAATAATATTAAAGAAAAACGTGAATCGATAAATTTTATTTTAAATATATAATATAATTTTATTATTGTTTCACATCAATATCAATTTAGGAGGGGTAAATGTATTTTTTTCTTTTATACATATATACGAGTCGCTACACCGACATAATTTATCGACAATTGTTATAAATTTGTCTTCTCATTCTCAAATATACACTTAATTTTTGTATAATTTCTCTATATACATTAGCCTAATCAAAAAAATATGTATATGTACGTTTAATAGTCCATCTTTCACTTAATATATATATATTTCACACCAAATCGAAATTGATCAAAGTCATAAAAATGAATTGTCATACCCACGTGGAAAAAAAGATATAATTTTCCGTTAAAAACTGTTTACTTTTATAAAAAGAAAAAAAAATTGTATTCTTTTTTCGAAAGTCATACAGAAAAATTTTTGTCTTTTTTTTTGATAAAATAATATACAATTTTAATAAATAATAACTTAATATTTTTTGATAATAAGAAATTAGAAATTTTTTTAAAAGTAAAAAAAATTTTTTTTGTGGTGGGAAGCGAACGCGAGACCCGAAGGTAGTTTTTAATTTTTCACGTGTATACCCTATGCCTTACGCATGTCAGCCGTGTGAAATTTTATATAGCAAAATATTGCTAAATAAATAAATTCTTTATTTGAGAAATATTTTAATGGACTAAAAGATTTAAAAAATAGAAGTTACTGTAAAATTTTATAACTGATGACAAAAATAATAAAAGTAATAAAATAATAATAATAAAAATATTTTGTTTGCTTTTTTTCTAAAAAAATCGTTATTCGTACAAATCTCTTTTTAACGTTTTGCAATAACTAAAAAAAAATTATTTTATTATTTTCCAGTTGTTGTAATTGAAAAACCAGATGCAACACATTTACGTGCATTAAACGAAATTCTCCCAAGGTTGGAAAAAGAAACAGGAAACAATAATCAATTGAAAATTGATGCAAAAAAAATTGAAGTTGATAGAGAAAATGTAGACACAAGTTTTCAAGAAGGTTGGTATTCCACAAAAAAAATTCTATTTTTCTTTGTGTTTGCTAAATCAAAATTTAAAAAAAAAAAAAAACGAATCTAATAATTTTAATAGAGCGTTTTATCGAAAATTTATAAATGTATTTAAAAAATAAATTATTTTTTTTTTTTCGCTTTTTTAGTATGCCAATATTTATCTGGTGGTATTACATTAATATTGGATTTTACCTGGACCGGTTGGGATAGATTAAAAAAAATGGCATTTTCCCAAGGAATTGTTTATATAAGAGGTGACGTAAGCATAAGTCCCTTTGTACAAGCAATGGACGATTTACTTTTTATGAAAAACACCACAGATTCAGCATTAATATTTGAAAATGAAAAAGGTAAATTAATTTTTTTTTTTTTCATTCTCTCTCTATATTTATTTTGGTCAAATTGAATTTTTAACATGGAAAAAAAATATTTACCTGAAACAACGAAAAGTTTCTCTAAAATAGATAAAGTTTTAATTGTTTCAATTAAATCTTTCACTAATCTAGTAAAATCTTTCGCTGTTTCAGATAAAAATTTTTTTTTCCCGTGAATAATATTAAAATAATTATTATATACACCCAGAGAAATGTTTTATTTGAACCAAATATAATATATTTGAGTTAAATAAACGTATATATTTGTCTTACATCTAGCCTATTTAATTGGCGTAAATAAATTTTTTTTATTTAAATCAAATAAAAATGTATTTAAATCAAATAAAAATTTATTTGAGTCAAACAAATATTTATTTAAATTCAATAAAAATTTATTTGAGTCAAACAAATATTTATTTAAATTCAATAAAAATTTATTTAAGTCAAATAAATATTTATTAGGCTGTGAGACAAATATATAATTTCTCTAGGTGTAGAGAATTATTATTATTATTATTATTTAATAATTATATATTAATAATTTTTTAAATTAATATATCTATTATTATCAATATTTATTAATATTAATTTATATATATTTTTTTTTAATTTAGAACTAAATGAGACTTTATATTATTTAATTGGAAATTCAATCATCAGACTGGTTGTTATTGATGATTTTTCTCAAAAGCAAGTTGAGAAAATAATTAAAATGAGACCTCTACCTTCATATTATGTGATTTATGCAAGCACAGAAAATATGGCAACTTTATTTAAAACGGTTTAAAAAATTTTAATTAATAAACAAAATTGAAATCAAAATTTTTCAGGCTTAATTTCTAAATTGCCTGAGAAGAAAAAATTTTTTTTTTTTTAAACTTTTTCTTTGGGACAATTTAGAAAAAATGCCCCTTTTTTTGAAAATAAAAATTTTTTTTGTAAATTTTTACTATTTTTTATTTTTTTTCTATAATAGGCAATTGACGGTGCATTAGTGACAAGAAATGGAACTTGGAATCTTGTTTTTACTGATTTTCGATATCAAAATTTTCAATATTATAAACCACAAAATGATATGGAAAGAATTGATTTTACAGTGACAACAATGAATATGAAAAATGAGGTTTGCTGTCGGCTATTGTCACAAACGGATTCAAATTCAACATCACTCCAGTGTGATTGTTCAAAGGATAAAAAAGTAAAAAAAAGAAAATAATTTTTTTTCTATTTAATTACAAACAAAATTAAAAAAAAAAATTTTTTTTTGCAAAAAATGAAATTATTTAATTTTTAATTTTACATTTCAGATATCGGAAATGTATTTTCAACGTCTCATTGAATTTATAGTAAAAGTTTTAAAAAATATCGAAACAGGTTCACCAATAAAAGGAGATTGTAAAAATAATAATTCAAAACCGCCTAAAAATATTGTGTCCACATTTTTGGATCAACTCAATGCTGTAAGTTAATTAGAAAACAAAACATTAATTATTATTAATTATTTCTGATTATGAATTATTTTTAAATTAATTAATTGTTATACGTTAAATTTATACAAAATTTTATTTACCATCTGTTGATAAAAACTGCTTTACCGATCGCTGATATTAACAAATAAATTAAAAAAATAGTAACAGTTATCGGTAAAACAGATATTGTTGACAATCGGTAAAGTAGATGTTATCGACATAAAGCAAATATTATGAATCGTTAGTGGAATTTTTTTTTTAAATTAAATAATCTAGAGTAAAATATGTGATTTTTTTCCAGGAATTAAAACAAATGGATAAATTTTATTTTGATAGTGAAAAATTGTTAATAGCATATAATGCAGAAATTGAAATAAATATTTTACAACAAGGTCGAGTATCTAATATTGCAACATGGACAAAAACTGAAAAAGTCAAAGCCCTACCGGATCAACAAATTATTGCTGCTAAACGTTATTTTCGAGTTGGAACGACTCCGGTATTTTTTATAATATTTAATTTCAATTCTAAAATTTTTTTTAATAATATTTATATATTAATTAAAATTACAAAGTTTTTATTATTAATAATAAATTAATTATATAGAAAATAAATTAATTAAATAAAAAATAACTAATAGTAATAATAATAATAATAATAATAAATAATGATAAAAAAATAAAATTAATAAACAATTTACTGTAAAAAATTATAAAAAAAATATTTAAAAAATTGATTAATTAATTTTTTATTCAAATCATATTATTTTTAAGGCAATTCCATGGACAGTCGAGGATGGAGTCGATGAAAATGGAAATATCAAATGGAAGGGTTATTGCATTGATTTAATAGCAAAATTAGCAGAAGTCATGGATTTTGAATATGATTTGGTAATTCCCAATGATAGAGAATTTGGTGCAAAAACGCCAAATGGCGAATGGACTGGCCTAGTTGGTGATTTAGCGAAAGGGGTAAGGGCAAAAAACAGAAATTTTTTTTTTCTAAAAAATAGAAAAAAAATTTAGTAAAAATTGAAGTAAACAAATTTTCATTAATTGTGCTTCAAAAAAAAACGCCTAAAATAGATCAACCAGTTTTACACAACTGTATATATACACAGCCTATATAAGTTCGGTTCAAACTAAGATGGAAAAAATTTTTTTATATGTTTAATAGTTAAAAAAAAATAAAATTTTTTTTATTATTCATCAGGAAACCGATATTGCTGTCGCAGCATTGACAATGACATCGGAAAGAGAGGAAGTTATTGATTTTGTTGCTCCTTATTTCGAGCAATCTGGAATTCTTATTGGTAAAAAAAAAAAAAAAAAAATAGAAAAAAATATGTGACAGAAATTTTTTTTTCATTTAAATATCAATACCAATTTTTTAAATTAAATATTAATAAACAGTTTTAATTTTAAAAATAATTATTTTATTTTAGAAATAATTTTTTTTTTTAATTAAATTTTTTTTATTTTAAACATTACTTTTTTATTTATTGAGGCATTAGTTTTAATAATTAATTTGTTATTTAAAAAAAAAATTTTTTTTCTTAGTTATGCGGAAACCAGAAAGAGAAACGTCACTTTTCAAATTTATGACTGTGTTAAGGGTGGAAGTTTGGCTTAGTATTGTTGGCGCATTGACACTAACGGCCATAATGATATGGTTTTTAGATAAATATTCACCCTACAGTGCAAGAAACAATAAAAAACTCTATCCATATCCCTGCAGGTTTGTTAAATAGAGAAAATAATTATATTTATTACAATTTTGATTCGAAGAAAAAATTTATTTTAACGTTCATTTTTTATTTTTTTAATTTATTTAAATTTATTTTTTTTTATTTTTTAATTTTAAGTAAATAGGCCATAAAAAGTTCGTAAGGTCTCAGAGACCTAGTGTGTGCTTCGTGTACCAAAAAAATTCTCCGAGGATTAATAGTTTCATCAATAACAGTAACAGTAACAGTAACTGCAGCAATAACAAAATTATTAATTAATTATTTAATTTATTTTGTTGCAGGCAATTCACACTAAAGGAAAGCTTTTGGTTTGCTCTAACCTCATTTACACCACAAGGAGGAGGAGAAGCACCAAAAGCTCTCTCTAGTCGAACACTAGTTGCCGCCTATTGGTTATTTGTTGTTTTAATGTTGGCAACATTCACCGCTAATTTGGCTGCATTTCTAACCGTCGAACGAATGCAGGTTAAAAACTTATTATAAATAAATTTAATAGCAAATTTCTACTATTTTGACTGTCGGTAAAGTCAATTTCTACTATTTCGACAGTCGATAAAGTCAATTTCTACTATTTCTACGGTCGGTAAAATCAATTTCTACTATTTCAATAGTCGGTACAGTCAATTTCTACTATTCCAACAGTCGGTAAAATCAATTTCTACTATTTTGACAATCGGTAAAGTCAATTTCTACTATTTTGACAATCGGTAAAGTCAATTTCTACTATTTCGACAGTCGATAAAGTCAATTTCTACTATTTCTACGGTCGGCTTAATCAATTTCTACTATTTCAATAGTCGGTACAGTCAATTTCTACTATTCCAACAGTCGGTAAAATCAATTTCTACCATTTTGACAATCGGTAAAGTCAATTTCTAATATTTCGACATTCGGTAAAATAAATTTCTACTATTTTGACAATCGGTACAGTCAATTTCTAATATTTCGACTGTCGGCACAGTAAATTTCTAATATTTTGACAGTCGGTAAAGTCAATTTCTAATATTTCGACAGTCGGTAAAATCAATTTCTACTATTCCAACAGTCGGTAAAATCAATTTCTACTATTTTGACAGTCGGTAAAGTCAATTTCTAATATTTCGACAGTCGGTACATTCAATTTCTACTATTCCAACAGTCGGTAAAGTCAATTTCTACCAAAGAAAATTAATTTTTTTTGTGAAATTCAAAAAAAAATTAGTTGTGGCATTTACCTTAGATCATAATAAGGCGAATACCATCGCCAAATATAAAAAATAAAACTTATAATTTTTGAAAAATAGTTGGAAAACATTTCAAAACTTTTTTTTCCAAAATAAATACTAATTAAAAAATTTTTTTCAGTCACCAGTACAATCTTTGGAACAATTGGCACGACAGTCGCGTATAAATTATTCAGTTCTAACAAATTCAACAATTTATCAATATTTCAAAAATATGAAAAATGCTGAAGAAAAACTTTACAAGTGAGTTTTGAATATATGAGAGATTCTTTTTCAATCGCCCCAGCCCAAAAAGTCAATGTTCTGGGATTGGCTTCATACTTTGGTAAATTGTTGTCCTATATGATAGTAATAAATCCCTAAAATATAAATTAATTAAAAAAATATTTGTAGAAAGTAGAGGGGGTTGAAGTTTTGACGTTAAGGGTAACATTGTCATTTTCAAATCCGTTTAACTATGACAAAAGTTAATGGATTTTAATTTATCTATAATGAATTTTATTGCATTTTTCACGTACTTTTCAAAAATGTATATGAAATTTAAAAAAAAAAAATTTTAACCCCTTTTTTGTCAAAATCAACCCTTATTTTTCGATTTTCACCCCTTCGGGTATTTTTTTTTTTTTTTTTTTATTTTCATTGGAAAGCTGAGGTTTTTTCCGATGAGCTATGTAAATATGAAAATGGGACAACAATAATTTTGTGAGTAACAGAATATTAAAGTAGGCGGTGCCGATAAGGGGTGTACCTGGAGATCATCTTTGAGGATTTAGTTAGGCACCGCCTAATTTAATATTATGTTTCTCACAAAATTATTGTTGTCCCATTTTCATATTTACATAACTCATGGGAAAAAACCTCAGCTTTCCAATGAAAATAAAAAAAAAACAAAAAAAAATTCCCGAAGGGGTGAAAATCGAAAAATAAGGGTTGATTTTGAAAAAAAGGGGTCAAAAATTTTTTTTTTTAAATTTTGTATACATTTTTGAAAAGTACGTGAAAAATGCAATAAAATTCATTATAGATAAATTAAAATCCATTAACTTTTGTCATAGTTATACAGATTTGAAAATGACAATGTTACCCTTAACGGCACCCTTATCGGCACCGCCTACTTTAATAGTCTGTTACTCACAAAATTATTGTTGTCCCATTTTCATATTTACATAGCTCATCGGAAAAAACCTCAGCTTTCCAATGAAAATAAAAAAAAAAAAAAAAAAAATACCCGAAGGGGTGAAAATCGAAAAATAAGGGTTGATTTTGACAAAAAAGGGGTTAAAAATTTTTTTTTTTAAATTTCATATACATTTTTGAAAAGTACGTGAAAAATGCAATAAAATTCATTATAGATAAATTAAAATCCATTAACTTTTGTCATAGTTAAACGGATTTGAAAATGACAATGTTACCCTTAACGGCACCCTTATCGGCACCGCCTACTTTAATAGTCTGTTACTCACAAAATTATTGTTGTCCCATTTTCATATTTACATAGCTCATCGGAAAAAACCTCAGCTTTCCAATGAAAATAAAAAAAAAAAAAAAAAAAATACCCGAAGGGGTGAAAATCGAAAAATAAGGGTTGATTTTGACAAAAAAGGGGTTAAAAATTTTTTTTTTTAAATTTCATATACATTTTTGAAAAGTACGTGAAAAATGCAATAAAATTCATTATAGATAAATTAAAATCCATTAACTTTTGTCATAGTTAAACGGATTTGAAAATGACAATGTTACCCTTAACGTCAAAACTTCAACCCCCTCTACTTTCTACAAATATTTTTTTAATTAATTTATATTTTAGGGATTTATTACTATCATATAGGACAACAATTTACCAAAGTATGAAGCCAATCCCAGAACATTGACTTTTTGGGCTGGGGCGATTGAAAAAGAATCTCTCATATGTATATAATTCTAATGGAAATAGTTACTAAAAAAATTATTTTATTTATAAATAATAAAAATTAGATATGTAAATAATTTTTTTTTTTATTTTGCAGTGTTTGGAAAGAAATAACATTAAATAGTACAACAGATCAAGTTGAGTATAGAGTATGGGACTATCCAATTAAAGAACAATATGGCCATATACTACAGTCGATACATCAGGCGGGATTATTAAATTCCACTGAGGAAGGTTTTAAAAAGGTTGTATACAATAAATTTAAATAGATATTCAATTTTAAAAAATTAAAACTGAAATTTTTTTTTTATTTAAAAATACAACTAACTTTTGTTCTGACTGTCGGTCAAAGTTTTAATTATTATTAAAAAATCTAACGATTTCTATGCCAAATTCCAGGTTCTAGAGAGTAAAGACTCGTTATTTGCTTTTATTCACGACTCACAGGAAATAAAGTATAGAGTTACACTAAATTGTTCTTTGACCGAAGTTGGAGAAGTTTTTGCCGAACAACCTTACGCAATAGCCGTACAACAAGGTAGTCATTTACAAGAAGAAATAAGCAGAAAGTAAGCATTTCTTTTTCGTTATGAATTTTTCAAAATTTTATTATTATTATTATTATTATTATTATTTTTCATCTATATTATTTTCTTTGATACTAAGAAGCCTTTTTTGTTTCAAAGAAAATTTTATTTTGAATGAAAGAAAACAAGTCAAGGAAATTGGTTTCTTTAAATCAAAGAAATCTTTTCTCTGGATGTATATAATTTAAATTAATTTGTATTTTTAAATTATGTACAACAAATAAATTTTAAAAATAATAATAATAATAATAAATAATAATAAAATAGTTTTAAAAAAACGTAAAAATTTAATATTCACAATAATTAAACAAATTATTTTCTAGAATATTGGATTTGCAAAAAGATAGATTTTTCGAGGGTCTCAATTTTAAATATTGGAATTCAACTCTCAAAAGGCAATGTACCGATGCTGATGATAATGAAGGAATCACCTTAGAAAGTTTAGGTAAATGACAGTGCAAAATTTTGTTAAATATTAAAAAAAATTAAAGGAGATTCGTTCAGGTCTACTGTATTTTTTCGGGTACATGAATTTCCCATAAAAATCATAAATTACAATTTTTATTTTCAAAAGTATTTTATTAGAAGTAATTATTTTTTAACCGAATTTTCAATTTTCAAATTAAAATTTAACTAAATTTCTTTTTATAAGAATTTTTTTTATTCATACGAATTTCTACAGAAGCTGAATTTTCATTTTGTCCGAAATTACAAATTGTCCGAACAAAAAACAATCGACTGACAATTTTTGTTCGGACAATTTATAATTTCGGACAAAATTAAAATTCGGCGTCTGTAAAAATTCTATCAATTAAAAATTCGGATAAATTTAAAATTCGGTGAATTGGAATCTAAAAATTCGTATAAAAAGAAAATACAAATTTTAATTCAAAATTTGAAAATTCATCTAAAAAATAATTCTTTCTATATATAATATTTTGAAAATAAAAATTCTAACTTATAATTTTTTTTTTTTGGGAAATTTATTTTTTAAGATGTTGTTGACTGTATCTCCTACTTATTTAAGATTACGTTTAAAAAAAAAAAAATACAAAAAATTTTGTAATTAATTTCTATTTTTCAAAAAAGGTGGAGTTTTCATAGCAACATTAATTGGATTGGCACTGGCAATGCTCACATTGGCCGTGGAAGTATTGTACAATAAAAAGAAAAACAAAACACAAGATTTAATGCAAAAAGAAAGTAAAGAATTTCAATTGACAGAGAAAGCAATGAGGCAATTTATGAAAAAATTACCCTTCAAAGCAGCGCCAACAGTTGCATTTGTTGAAAAACCACCACCACCAAAACCACGAATTTCACATATTTCAGTTTATCCACGACCATTTCCTTTTAAAGAATAATTTCTCATATACAAAAAAAAAAAAAAAAAATCTTTATAAATATAAATTTACATTATAGATATGAAAAAATTTTCTACTCTATTTTCTAAAAAATAAATCTTCGAAAATAAATTAAATAGTAAATTTTTGCAAATAAAAAGAAAAAAAATATAATAATATTAAATTATAGTCAAATTGTAGCATAAAATTTCTACATTGTAGTGTTCAAAGAATGTGTGTTATTATTAAGTTAAAAATTATTGTTGCCTCTTTTTTTTTAGTATCATTTTTTAATGGGAGAAAATATCTTAGTTTCTTTAATTATATTTATTTATTATATTATAAATTTATTATTATTATATTCTTGTTGTTACTAATTATTAATTAATTATGTTCTTCATATAATATAAAAATATTTTAATTTTATTTTGACAGTTATTTTAAAAAACACATATGTAAATAATTGATGTGATAAAAACGAAAAATAAATTGACTATTTTAAAAAAAAGTAAATGTTCAAAATTTAATTTTTAATTTAATTTTAATTTTGATTTTTTTCAATATTTCAAAATAATCATATAATAATAATAAAAAAAAAATGTTCTCATGTGATAAGAATCGAACGCAAGTTTCGCCGACTGGAATGTTTCACATGTACCCTACGCCTTAAGCACCTCAGCCGTTTGATATATATATATATTTTTTTTTCGTTTTTATGTTTCATTAAAATTCAAATTACTTCTGAATTCGACAATTTTGTAAATAAAATAATAAAAATTTTCTACTTACAAAAAAACCGATACGTATAACAGCATGGCTGATCTTAAACTGCACCGAAGACAATTTATAACTGAAAAAAAAAATTAGACTTTATTTTCTACAGGACGACAATTCATATGGGAAAAAAAATAAATTACTATCCATAAATTGATAGTTCTTTCTTTAAGAAAAAGAAAAAATTAATTAATATTGAATTATAAAAGTTTCGTTGTAAAATTAAATACGAAAATTAAATAATAGCATTGCAGAAAAATTTTATATGATTTAAAAAAAAGGAATTATTTTTTTTTATTTAAAACTGAATTAAAAATTTAGAAAACGTAATTTTTTTTTGAAATTCAAAACCGTGAATAATGACATGTTACATTTAAATAATGTAATAAATTATAAATACGTCAAATGAGGAAAAAAAAACATTGTATAACTAATTTATCGAAAGTAAAAGCTACGTCATGAGCATATTGAAAAAAAACAATTTTAAAAAAAAAAAGTATTTCAAATAATTTTTTTTGCTGACGCATTTTTTTTTCACATATTACTCTAAAAAATAATTTTTTAAATTGTAAATTTTTTATGGTAAAAGTAATCATTTTTTTATTTGTTTCGAGTATAATTAAACTAAATTTCTAAATTAGAATTAATATTGGAAAAATGAAAATATTTTTTATTAAAAATTTATTATTTTACAAAATAATGGTTTTTTTCGCACGTGATATTGATTATCGCTTCCGTGTACGTTACACGACAATCAATGAGTGTAAAGCAATGAAGTAATATCTGCAGTGCAAGATATAGTCAAGGCATATAATGTTTTTCTTTCTTGCGGTAAAATGAAATCCATTTTACGTTTCTTTTGGTTCATTATCGATCTCTCAAGGGGAGAGTTTTACTCAAAAAAAAGAAGAAAAATTTTTCTATAGTTTTACACTTTCTTTTTATAATATAGTTTTTAGCAAAACATTTCACTTCGTTTTTCAATAAATAATACAGAAAATTAAAATTTTCTTTTATTCAAAATATGAGAGATTCTTTTTCAATCGCCCCAGCCCAAAAAGTCAATGTTCTGGGATTGGCTTCATACTTTGGTAAATTGTTGTCCTATATGATAGTAATAAATCCCTAAAATATAAATTAATTAAAAAAATATTTGTAGAAAGTAGAGGGGGTTGAAGTTTTGACGTTAAGGGTAACATTGTCATTTTCAAATCCGTTTAACTATGACAAAAGTTAATGGATTTTAATTTATCTATAATGAATTTTATTGCATTTTTCACGTACTTTTCAAAAATGTATATGAAATTTAAAAAAAAAAAATTTTAACCCCTTTTTTGTCAAAATCAACCCTTATTTTTCGATTTTCACCCCTTCGGGTATTTTTTTTTTTTTTTTTTTTATTTTCATTGGAAAGCTGAGGTTTTTTCCGATGAGCTATGTAAATATGAAAATGGGACAACAATAATTTTGTGAGTAACAGAATATTAAAGTAGGCGGTGCCGATAAGGGGTGTACCTGGAGATCATCTTTGAGGATTTAGTTAGGCACCGCCTAATTTAATATTATGTTTCTCACAAAATTATTGTTGTCCCATTTTCATATTTACATAACTCATGGGAAAAAACCTCAGCTTTCCAATGAAAATAAAAAAAAAAACAAAAAAAAATTCCCGAAGGGGTGAAAATCGAAAAATAAGGGTTGATTTTGAAAAAAAGGGGTCAAAAATTTTTTTTTTTAAATTTTGTATACATTTTTGAAAAGTACGTGAAAAATGCAATAAAATTCATTATAGATAAATTAAAATCCATTAACTTTTGTCATAGTTATACAGATTTGAAAATGACAATGTTACCCTTAACGGCACCCTTATCGGCACCGCCTACTTTAATAGTCTGTTACTCACAAAATTATTGTTGTCCCATTTTCATATTTACATAGCTCATCGGAAAAAACCTCAGCTTTCCAATGAAAATAAAAAAAAAAAAAAAAAAAATACCCGAAGGGGTGAAAATCGAAAAATAAGGGTTGATTTTGACAAAAAAGGGGTTAAAAATTTTTTTTTTTAAATTTCATATACATTTTTGAAAAGTACGTGAAAAATGCAATAAAATTCATTATAGATAAATTAAAATCCATTAACTTTTGTCATAGTTAAACGGATTTGAAAATGACAATGTTACCCTTAACGTCAAAACTTCAACCCCCTCTACTTTCTACAAATATTTTTTTAATTAATTTATATTTTAGGGATTTATTACTATCATATAGGACAACAATTTACCAAAGTATGAAGCCAATCCCAGAACATTGACTTTTTGGGCTGGGGCGATTGAAAAAGAATCTCTCATATGTATATAATTCTAATGGAAATAGTTACTAAAAAAATTATTTTATTTATAAATAATAAAAATTAGATATGTAAATAATTTTTTTTTTTATTTTGCAGTGTTTGGAAAGAAATAACATTAAATAGTACAACAGATCAAGTTGAGTATAGAGTATGGGACTATCCAATTAAAGAACAATATGGCCATATACTACAGTCGATACATCAGGCGGGATTATTAAATTCCACTGAGGAAGGTTTTAAAAAGGTTGTATACAATAAATTTAAATAGATATTCAATTTTAAAAAATTAAAACTGAAATTTTTTTTTTATTTAAAAATACAACTAACTTTTGTTCTGACTGTCGGTCAAAGTTTTAATTATTATTAAAAAATCTAACGATTTCTATGCCAAATTCCAGGTTCTAGAGAGTAAAGACTCGTTATTTGCTTTTATTCACGACTCACAGGAAATAAAGTATAGAGTTACACTAAATTGTTCTTTGACCGAAGTTGGAGAAGTTTTTGCCGAACAACCTTACGCAATAGCCGTACAACAAGGTAGTCATTTACAAGAAGAAATAAGCAGAAAGTAAGCATTTCTTTTTCGTTATGAATTTTTCAAAATTTTATTATTATTATTATTATTATTATTATTTTTCATCTATATTATTTTCTTTGATACTAAGAAGCCTTTTTTGTTTCAAAGAAAATTTTATTTTGAATGAAAGAAAACAAGTCAAGGAAATTGGTTTCTTTAAATCAAAGAAATCTTTTCTCTGGATGTATATAATTTAAATTAATTTGTATTTTTAAATTATGTACAACAAATAAATTTTAAAAATAATAATAATAATAATAAATAATAATAAAATAGTTTTAAAAAAACGTAAAAATTTAATATTCACAATAATTAAACAAATTATTTTCTAGAATATTGGATTTGCAAAAAGATAGATTTTTCGAGGGTCTCAATTTTAAATATTGGAATTCAACTCTCAAAAGGCAATGTACCGATGCTGATGATAATGAAGGAATCACCTTAGAAAGTTTAGGTAAATGACAGTGCAAAATTTTGTTAAATATTAAAAAAAATTAAAGGAGATTCGTTCAGGTCTACTGTATTTTTTCGGGTACATGAATTTCCCATAAAAATCATAAATTACAATTTTTATTTTCAAAAGTATTTTATTAGAAGTAATTATTTTTTAACCGAATTTTCAATTTTCAAATTAAAATTTAACTAAATTTCTTTTTATAAGAATTTTTTTTATTCATACGAATTTCTACAGAAGCTGAATTTTCATTTTGTCCGAAATTACAAATTGTCCGAACAAAAAACAATCGACTGACAATTTTTGTTCGGACAATTTATAATTTCGGACAAAATTAAAATTCGGCGTCTGTAAAAATTCTATCAATTAAAAATTCGGATAAATTTAAAATTCGGTGAATTGGAATCTAAAAATTCGTATAAAAAGAAAATACAAATTTTAATTCAAAATTTGAAAATTCATCTAAAAAATAATTCTTTCTATATATAATATTTTGAAAATAAAAATTCTAACTTATAATTTTTTTTTTTTGGGAAATTTATTTTTTAAGATGTTGTTGACTGTATCTCCTACTTATTTAAGATTACGTTTAAAAAAAAAAAAATACAAAAAATTTTGTAATTAATTTCTATTTTTCAAAAAAGGTGGAGTTTTCATAGCAACATTAATTGGATTGGCACTGGCAATGCTCACATTGGCCGTGGAAGTATTGTACAATAAAAAGAAAAACAAAACACAAGATTTAATGCAAAAAGAAAGTAAAGAATTTCAATTGACAGAGAAAGCAATGAGGCAATTTATGAAAAAATTACCCTTCAAAGCAGCGCCAACAGTTGCATTTGTTGAAAAACCACCACCACCAAAACCACGAATTTCACATATTTCAGTTTATCCACGACCATTTCCTTTTAAAGAATAATTTCTCATATACAAAAAAAAAAAAAAAAAATCTTTATAAATATAAATTTACATTATAGATATGAAAAAATTTTCTACTCTATTTTCTAAAAAATAAATCTTCGAAAATAAATTAAATAGTAAATTTTTGCAAATAAAAAGAAAAAAAATATAATAATATTAAATTATAGTCAAATTGTAGCATAAAATTTCTACATTGTAGTGTTCAAAGAATGTGTGTTATTATTAAGTTAAAAATTATTGTTGCCTCTTTTTTTTTAGTATCATTTTTTAATGGGAGAAAATATCTTAGTTTCTTTAATTATATTTATTTATTATATTATAAATTTATTATTATTATATTCTTGTTGTTACTAATTATTAATTAATTATGTTCTTCATATAATATAAAAATATTTTAATTTTATTTTGACAGTTATTTTAAAAAACACATATGTAAATAATTGATGTGATAAAAACGAAAAATAAATTGACTATTTTAAAAAAAAGTAAATGTTCAAAATTTAATTTTTAATTTAATTTTAATTTTGATTTTTTTCAATATTTCAAAATAATCATATAATAATAATAAAAAAAAAATGTTCTCATGTGATAAGAATCGAACGCAAGTTTCGCCGACTGGAATGTTTCACATGTACCCTACGCCTTAAGCACCTCAGCCGTTTGATATATATATATATTTTTTTTTCGTTTTTATGTTTCATTAAAATTCAAATTACTTCTGAATTCGACAATTTTGTAAATAAAATAATAAAAATTTTCTACTTACAAAAAAACCGATACGTATAACAGCATGGCTGATCTTAAACTGCACCGAAGACAATTTATAACTGAAAAAAAAAATTAGACTTTATTTTCTACAGGACGACAATTCATATGGGAAAAAAAATAAATTACTATCCATAAATTGATAGTTCTTTCTTTAAGAAAAAGAAAAAATTAATTAATATTGAATTATAAAAGTTTCGTTGTAAAATTAAATACGAAAATTAAATAATAGCATTGCAGAAAAATTTTATATGATTTAAAAAAAAGGAATTATTTTTTTTTATTTAAAACTGAATTAAAAATTTAGAAAACGTAATTTTTTTTTGAAATTCAAAACCGTGAATAATGACATGTTACATTTAAATAATGTAATAAATTATAAATACGTCAAATGAGGAAAAAAAAACATTGTATAACTAATTTATCGAAAGTAAAAGCTACGTCATGAGCATATTGAAAAAAAACAATTTTAAAAAAAAAAAGTATTTCAAATAATTTTTTTTGCTGACGCATTTTTTTTTCACATATTACTCTAAAAAATAATTTTTTAAATTGTAAATTTTTTATGGTAAAAGTAATCATTTTTTTATTTGTTTCGAGTATAATTAAACTAAATTTCTAAATTAGAATTAATATTGGAAAAATGAAAATATTTTTTATTAAAAATTTATTATTTTACAAAATAATGGTTTTTTTCGCACGTGATATTGATTATCGCTTCCGTGTACGTTACACGACAATCAATGAGTGTAAAGCAATGAAGTAATATCTGCAGTGCAAGATATAGTCAAGGCATATAATGTTTTTCTTTCTTGCGGTAAAATGAAATCCATTTTACGTTTCTTTTGGTTCATTATCGATCTCTCAAGGGGAGAGTTTTACTCAAAAAAAAGAAGAAAAATTTTTCTATAGTTTTACACTTTCTTTTTATAATATAGTTTTTAGCAAAACATTTCACTTCGTTTTTCAATAAATAATACAGAAAATTAAAATTTTCTTTTATTCAAAATATGAGAGATTCTTTTTCAATCGCCCCAGCCCAAAAAGTCAATGTTCTGGGATTGGCTTCATACTTTGGTAAATTGTTGTCCTATATGATAGTAATAAATCCCTAAAATATAAATTAATTAAAAAAATATTTGTAGAAAGTAGAGGGGGTTGAAGTTTTGACGTTAAGGGTAACATTGTCATTTTCAAATCCGTTTAACTATGACAAAAGTTAATGGATTTTAATTTATCTATAATGAATTTTATTGCATTTTTCACGTACTTTTCAAAAATGTATATGAAATTTAAAAAAAAAAAATTTTAACCCCTTTTTTGTCAAAATCAACCCTTATTTTTCGATTTTCACCCCTTCGGGTATTTTTTTTTTTTTTTTTTTTATTTTCATTGGAAAGCTGAGGTTTTTTCCGATGAGCTATGTAAATATGAAAATGGGACAACAATAATTTTGTGAGTAACAGAATATTAAAGTAGGCGGTGCCGATAAGGGGTGTACCTGGAGATCATCTTTGAGGATTTAGTTAGGCACCGCCTAATTTAATATTATGTTTCTCACAAAATTATTGTTGTCCCATTTTCATATTTACATAACTCATGGGAAAAAACCTCAGCTTTCCAATGAAAATAAAAAAAAAACAAAAAAAAATTCCCGAAGGGGTGAAAATCGAAAAATAAGGGTTGATTTTGAAAAAAAGGGGTCAAAAATTTTTTTTTTTAAATTTTGTATACATTTTTGAAAAGTACGTGAAAAATGCAATAAAATTCATTATAGATAAATTAAAATCCATTAACTTTTGTCATAGTTAAACGGATTTGAAAATGACAATGTTACCCTTAACGTCAAAACTTCAACCCCCTCTACTTTCTACAAATATTTTTTTAATTAATTTATATTTTAGGGATTTATTACTATCATATAGGACAACAATTTACCAAAGTATGAAGCCAATCCCAGAACATTGACTTTTTGGGCTGGGGCGATTGAAAAAGAATCTCTCATATGTATATAATTCTAATGGAAATAGTTACTAAAAAAATTATTTTATTTATAAATAATAAAAATTAGATATGTAAATAATTTTTTTTTTTATTTTGCAGTGTTTGGAAAGAAATAACATTAAATAGTACAACAGATCAAGTTGAGTATAGAGTATGGGACTATCCAATTAAAGAACAATATGGCCATATACTACAGTCGATACATCAGGCGGGATTATTAAATTCCACTGAGGAAGGTTTTAAAAAGGTTGTATACAATAAATTTAAATAGATATTCAATTTTAAAAAATTAAAACTGAAATTTTTTTTTTATTTAAAAATACAACTAACTTTTGTTCTGACTGTCGGTCAAAGTTTTAATTATTATTAAAAAATCTAACGATTTCTATGCCAAATTCCAGGTTCTAGAGAGTAAAGACTCGTTATTTGCTTTTATTCACGACTCACAGGAAATAAAGTATAGAGTTACACTAAATTGTTCTTTGACCGAAGTTGGAGAAGTTTTTGCCGAACAACCTTACGCAATAGCCGTACAACAAGGTAGTCATTTACAAGAAGAAATAAGCAGAAAGTAAGCATTTCTTTTTCGTTATGAATTTTTCAAAATTTTATTATTATTATTATTATTATTATTATTTTTCATCTATATTATTTTCTTTGATACTAAGAAGCCTTTTTTGTTTCAAAGAAAATTTTATTTTGAATGAAAGAAAACAAGTCAAGGAAATTGGTTTCTTTAAATCAAAGAAATCTTTTCTCTGGATGTATATAATTTAAATTAATTTGTATTTTTAAATTATGTACAACAAATAAATTTTAAAAATAATAATAATAATAATAAATAATAATAAAATAGTTTTAAAAAAACGTAAAAATTTAATATTCACAATAATTAAACAAATTATTTTCTAGAATATTGGATTTGCAAAAAGATAGATTTTTCGAGGGTCTCAATTTTAAATATTGGAATTCAACTCTCAAAAGGCAATGTACCGATGCTGATGATAATGAAGGAATCACCTTAGAAAGTTTAGGTAAATGACAGTGCAAAATTTTGTTAAATATTAAAAAAAATTAAAGGAGATTCGTTCAGGTCTACTGTATTTTTTCGGGTACATGAATTTCCCATAAAAATCATAAATTACAATTTTTATTTTCAAAAGTATTTTATTAGAAGTAATTATTTTTTAACCGAATTTTCAATTTTCAAATTAAAATTTAACTAAATTTCTTTTTATAAGAATTTTTTTTATTCATACGAATTTCTACAGAAGCTGAATTTTCATTTTGTCCGAAATTACAAATTGTCCGAACAAAAAACAATCGACTGACAATTTTTGTTCGGACAATTTATAATTTCGGACAAAATTAAAATTCGGCGTCTGTAAAAATTCTATCAATTAAAAATTCGGATAAATTTAAAATTCGGTGAATTGGAATCTAAAAATTCGTATAAAAAGAAAATACAAATTTTAATTCAAAATTTGAAAATTCATCTAAAAAATAATTCTTTCTATATATAATATTTTGAAAATAAAAATTCTAACTTATAATTTTTTTTTTTTGGGAAATTTATTTTTTAAGATGTTGTTGACTGTATCTCCTACTTATTTAAGATTACGTTTAAAAAAAAAAAAATACAAAAAATTTTGTAATTAATTTCTATTTTTCAAAAAAGGTGGAGTTTTCATAGCAACATTAATTGGATTGGCACTGGCAATGCTCACATTGGCCGTGGAAGTATTGTACAATAAAAAGAAAAACAAAACACAAGATTTAATGCAAAAAGAAAGTAAAGAATTTCAATTGACAGAGAAAGCAATGAGGCAATTTATGAAAAAATTACCCTTCAAAGCAGCGCCAACAGTTGCATTTGTTGAAAAACCACCACCACCAAAACCACGAATTTCACATATTTCAGTTTATCCACGACCATTTCCTTTTAAAGAATAATTTCTCATATACAAAAAAAAAAAAAAAAATCTTTATAAATATAAATTTACATTATAGATACGAAAAAATTTTCTACTCTATTTTCTAAAAAATAAATCTTAGAAAATAAATTAAATAATAAATTTTTGCAAATAAAAAGAAAAAATAATAATAATATTAAATTATAGTCAAATTGTAGCATAAAATTTCTACATTGTAGTGTTCAAAAAATGTGTGTTATTAAGTTAAAAATTATTGTTGCCTCTTTTTTTAAGTATCATTTTTTAATGGGAGAAAATATCTTAGTTTCTTTAATTATATTTATTTATTATATTATAAATTTATTATTATTATATTCTTGTTGTTACTAATTATTAATTAATTATGTTCTTCATATAATATAAAAATATTTTAATTTTATTTTGACAGTTATTTTAAAAAACACATATGTAAATAATTGATGTGATAAAAACGAAAAATAAATTGACTATTTTAAAAAAAAGTAAATGTTCAAAATTTAATTTTTAATTTAATTTTAATTTTGATTTTTTTCAATATTTCAAAATAATCATATAATAATAATAATAAAAAAAAAATGTTCTCATGTGATAAGAATCGAACGCAAGTTTCGCCGACTGGAATGTTTCACATGTACCCTACGCCTTAAGCACCTCAGCCGTTTGATAAATATATTTTTTTTTTTCGTTTTTATGTTTCATTAAAATTCAAATTACTTCTGAATTCGACAATTTTGTAAATAAAATAATAAAAATTTTCTACTTACAAAAAAACCGATACATATAACAGCATGGCTGATTTTAAACTGCACCGAAGATGATTTATAACTGAAAAAAAAAATTAGACTTTATTTTCTACAGGACGACAATTCATATGGGAAAAAAAATAAATTACTATCCATAAATTGATAGTTCTTTCTTTAAGAAAAAGAAAAAATTAATTAATATTGAATTATAAAAGTTTCGTTGTAAAATTAAAGTAACAAACGAAAATTAAATAATAGCATTGCAGAAAAATTCAATATGATTTAAAAAAAAAGGAATTATTTTTTTTTTTTTTATTTAGAACTGAATTAAAAATTTAGAAAACGTAATTTTTTTTTGAAATTCAAAACCGTGAATAATGACATGTTACATTTAAATAATGTAATAAATTATAAATACGTCAAATGAGGAAAAAAAAACATTGTATAATTAATTTATCGAAAGTAAAAGCTACGTCATGAGCATATTGAAAAAAAAACAATTTTTTAAAAAAAAGTATTTCAAATAATTTTTTTTGCTGCCGCATTTTTTTTTTGACATTTTACTCTAAAAAATAATTTTTTAAATTGTAAATTTTCTGTGGTAAAAGTATTAATTTTTTTATTTGTTTCGAGTATAATTAAACTAAATTTCTAAATTAGAATTAATATTAGAAAAATGAAAATATTTTTTATTAAAAATTTATTATTTTACAAAATAATGGTTTTTTTCGCACGTGATATTGATTATCGCTTCCGTGTACGTTACACGACAATCAATGAGTGTAAAGCAATGAAGTAATATCTGCAGTGCAAGATATAGTCAAGGCATATAATGTTTTTCTTTCTTTCTTGCGGTAAAATGAAATCCATTTTACGTTTCTTTTGGTTCATTATCGATCTCTCAAGGGGAGAGTTTTACTCAAAAAAAAAAAAAAAGAAAAACTTTTCTATAGTTTTACACTTTCTTTTTATAATAGTTTTTAGCGAAACATTTCACTTCGTTTTTCAATAAATAATACAGAAAATTAAAATTTTCTTTTATTCAAAATATAAAAAAAAAAATTTCAAAATTTTACACAAAAAACACTGAAATGTAACCTAATTTTAGAAAAATATTTCAGAGCAAAAAAAATGTAATTACAATTAACAAAAACATTTTAATTTTTTTTTAATTAAATTTTATTTGTAATAAATTCATAGAATAAAAAAAAACCCGAGTTTGAGTGGGAAACAAATTTGTTAACTTATAAATTATTTTCACTTATTTTCAAATTTGGAAAATCCTTTTTTTCTATAAAAAAAATAGTTTGAGTAAAAAAAACTATAAATTTTATTTAGATAATAATTTTTAACCATGAAAATGAACAAAAATGATTCCGTATCATTACATAATTTTTGTTTCCCTCGACTTATAACAAATGGAGAGTTTTACATTGTAAAAAAAAAAGTATAAAGTGTGAAAATAATTGTATTGGGAGTTCCAGTGTCACGCCTTTTTAATACAAAATCCAGTGACGCGAGGGGCCATTGATCTCCATAGCTTTCACTGTATTGTTTCCCCCTCCCCCCATTTTTTAGTAGAAAAAAATTCAGATAACAAATTTTTTCTATAATAATTCTATAATAATTAAAATATTACGTAAAATTAAATTTTACAATATCAATATTAAAAATATAGACGAATAAATATTTTATAAATTATAAAAAATATATTTTTTTTATAAGTTAACATAAAATATTAATAATTTAATTAATGAATATATTATACAAAAAATTATTTCACATAATTATTTTAAAATAGACTTACAAAATTTACACAAAAATATAATCGATTACTATATATATTACAACCGCAAAAGGAAGTTGATATGTTATAATAATATTTATTGAAACTTTTGATAGTTTTTTTTAGTGAACGCTAATTTTATTCGACATCCACGTGCCTTAATTATTATATAAAATTAAAAAAAAAAAATTGATTCAACTAATTGTTTCGGTAATCGATTGTCGATTGCAAATTATTGTCTTCACGGCTGAAAAATTTGTCACATTTCTCGATTGAAATTGTACTTTTACAATTTGTTTTAAAATCTCGAGGTGGGATATTAAAGGAGATTTTGTTCCACTCTTATGAACAAGCAAGTCAATATAAAAGCAATTCTTTAACGGGCGCGTGGTCATTTTATGAGAAAGTAATGTGTGTATCGATTATTCATTTTATTTAAACGTGAAATTGTTATTTTTTTTTATATCAAACATCTGCCAATGATTGGCTATCATTTATTATGGATTTCTGCAAGGTTTGTTCATTTTTTGCATTGTGTGTTAAAAATATTTTAAAAAATTACTTTCATATAATAATAATAATAATAAGTAATAAAAAATAAATAAAATAGTAATAGAATAATAATTTGCTTTATATTAATTTTTATTTTAGCTTTTTAAGTATTTTAATAATTTATTCTGTTTTTTTACTTTATTTTTTATGATTATTTATATTTTATTTTGTTTTTTTTTAATTACTAATAAGTAATATTGCTAATACGCATGTTAAAATTGCAAAAAAACACTACTGCGCATGATAGAATTGCTTATGACACTACTGCGCATGTCATAATTGCGTACGACACTACTGCGCATGTCATAATTGGGTACGACACTACTGCGCATGACATAATTGCGTATAATACTACTGCGCATGTCAGAATTGCGTACAACTCTACTGCGCATGTCAGTTTTGCGTACAACTCTACTGCGCATATCAGATTTGCATACAACTCTACTGCGCATGATAGAATTAAAACAGAATTTAATTAGTCCTCGATATTAATAATATTTTGTTTTTCTTTATTTAATTAATATCTTGTTTCATTAAACTGTATTCGAAATTATTTTTTTTTCAGAAATATTTGATAATAGTAGCGGGAATTTCGACTGTAATGGCCGATATCGATCACGAATTACACAAGATTATAAATCTGAATGATGCCAAACATCCTCCACTAAAACCCTGGTTCCTCGATGATTTTCCCTCATATTTACCCGAAGCATCAGAAACAATAGCACACTATGCCTACACCTATCCCTATGACAATTTGGAACACGGTTCCAGTTACATCCCAACCTACAGCGACTATTTACCATCATCATCATCATCATCAGATTCCTTTTTCTCAAACACAAAAAAAATCCCCACGGAGGATAAAAATTACAAAAAAACCATTTCCTCCCACTTAACTGACAAGGATACAAAATTCCTTAAATCCGAACCCAATTGTCAGGAAATTAAGACCAAGGAAACAAAAATTGATGGACAATTAAAACCAACGTCAATGACATGCTACAATTGTAAGGATCCCAAGAGAGGATCAACCTACGAGTACTGTTCCTATTCTTCTCAACCCGATAAGTCGTCATCGGATAAAATTTTCGAATCTATTCCCCCAAGATTTCGGAGATCAGACAATTATCAAGCTGGTAGTGTGTCAATGGCTTATGTTCCTACGCAGCAGAGGGATGAGAAATCAAAAACACCGTACAAATTCAGTGAGGAATACTATTTGCCTGATGCATCAAGAAAATTTTCCATCGATCACAAAGCAGGCGAATCGTGTCAGAAGGTCTACAAGAATTCAATGGTATGCTCGGTGTGTAGGAATCCAAAAACAGGCGGCAAGTCTGAGCAATGTTCACAAATTGCGGATCCTAATGAGAAAAGTTATTCCTTTTCAACTTCCCATTCAATTGGTAAACCGAAGAATAGTAAGAAATCTCATAGCAAAAAGCCAGCGCCAATTCACGAGAATACTGAATCCGGTGAGCAAGAAGCTGATGTTTTGGATGAGCAGCCCACACAAAATGTGAAAAATGCCGCTGGATCTTCAGATTGTAGACAGGTAATCTATTTTTATTTACAGATATTATTCGCTAACTACTTCTAAAGCTAGAAACATCCGAAATTACTTCTGTTCGCATCATTAGTAACTCCAGAATTAGAATTGTTGAAAGTATCCTATTTCCGAAATTAGTCCCATCAGTTAGAATTAGATAAACCTTCCGATTACTTTTCCAAGTAGTAAATCCAGAATTATTCAGATATTCCCAGGCATTAAAATCAAAAACACTTTCTTGTTCCACAAAAAGGTACGAAAGGACTCGGAAATCTGTACAGTCTGCAAAGATCCGAAAACAGGTGGCAATTCCCAAAGATGCACCTACAATTATGAACCTGATGAGAAAATCTACAAATTCACCAGGTCCAAGTCATTTGGTTATCCAGAATCATCAAAACAGCAGAAAGTTAATGACAAAGATGACAAAGAAGTATCAGGTTCAGATCCAGAAGAATTTACCACCTATTCAGACGATAATTCCCAAGATGAAGAGGACTACAGTGGTTACGAAAATCCAGACGCCTATTCGGGTTACGAAAGTCTCGAATCTCCATCGTCTGACGAGAGTAGCAGCAGTAGCAGCAAGGAAAATCAAAATTACGACTACAATCCCGATCACGTTGACTATATACGTTCTGAATCGGAGAAAATTTTGAAAAACGCAGATTCGGAGAATTGTCGAAAAGTCGAAAAAGACTCAATGGTGTGCTCAATCTGCAAAGATCCAAAAACAGGCGAAGACTCCGAATCGTGTTCCTATTCTTATGAACCAGACGACAAGAAATTTGCCTATTCAAAATCGAAATCTTTTGGAAGCCCCACGGAAAATTCGGATGAATACAGTGGAGAAGATGCCTATTCCGATGAAAATTCCCGAGAAGCTTATGCTACTGAGATAAAACCAACCGTCTCCTATCCGAATCGAAAAATCCAACTCACTGCCGATTCAAATACACGCGGAACAGTTTTTCTAGGCGAAGCTGATCAGGTAATTATTTTAACTTTTCCTTCCTTCGGCAGTTTCTTTTTTTTAACTATTTTCCAAATTTCAGCCCGAACACGCCAAAGTTGATCTTGGACTTTTAGGAGCTTCACAAAAACAAGCAAAATTGGAGCAATTGTTAAAGGACGATCGAACCGCAAATAGAACGAGATGCAAGAAAACTATGAAAAACGAAATGACATGCTATCAATGTATCACTGACAATGGACTCCGTCAGGAGGAGTGTATGTATATAAAAAATCCCGAGACAAAAATTCTTGACAATCCTCTCACAAGCAAGGACTTAAAATTGGACAAACAACCTATTGCTGCACCTTCTGATGATATTTCGAAAATAAAAAAGAAAAGGAGACTAGTGGTTAAAAATGAAAATACAACCAATATTCCATTAGAACCAGCAGCACAACCAAGTAGACGTTCCTATCGATTAAAAAGACAATCAAGAAGAAAATCTAATGATAATCAAAGTTACGAAAAGAATGAAAACAGCGAAGAAGAGAATTATCATGATGGTTACAATAAACAAAAAAAGAATGAACACAATTATGAAACTGATCCTTACGAGTATGTTGCCGAGACTCAGTATAAATATGATACTGATCTTGGACTTAAAATTCCATCACATACTTTAGAAGTCTCCGATTATGAGAAGGAATTCGATGAAATTTTCTATGGAAATCGGGATAATTGATAAAAAAAAAAAATTAAATCCGAACAAAAAAAGCATTTACATCTTTGTTGAAAGAAAACAAATTTACCAATCAAAACAATTTGATTGTCCACAATAATCTGAATAGGACTAGAACCAAATTGTTTTGGTCGATGAATTTTTTTTCTGCCAACACAAGTCTAAATACTCCCAAAGAAAAGAAAACTTTTTCCAACTGAGTTTCTTGTCTAGTATCACGTTAGTCATAGGTCGGTAAAACAGAGTGGATTTTAGGCGCGAAATTTAAATTTCGTTTCTATGATCAAAACCTAATAAACTAATAAATTTTATAGACAACAAATTTCTTTTACCCCTTAAAATAAGATTTAAAAATTCGCTATATTAAATATACGGAAATTCAAATTTAATATTATTTAATTCAATTTCGACTGATTTTTCTTTTCCGGAATATTGGAAAGAATTCCCTGTTGTTATTTAGTGTGTAATAAAAACTTATATTTATTGTTAAATAAATAGAATTTCCCACGGAATTCCAAATTATTTTTCTAATCCATTTGCATTTTATTCCTCCTCTTAATTTTTTGTTATTTCAATTTAGAAAAATTTTTTTTAAAGTTACAAAATGGTCAAAAATCAATTGTTTATATTGTTTACAAAAAAATAAAAATTTATAAAACAATGTTTACATAAGTTAGTAATTAGAGATAACGATTGACAATAAAAACCGAAACACAAATACAAAGTGATAAAAAAAGAGAGAAACGAAATAACAAATGAGGAAATGTATAAATTAAGTGTCGTATTTTAATAAAAAAAAAAATTTTAATGAAAATTAATTATTATTTCTTAGCATTTCAAATTTTCACTTACAATTCGATGATAAAAAAATGAAATTTATTACATTTATCAATCGAGTGTAATTTTTTTAATTTAATAATAACATAATGATCACGGTCCTTTAATGAGAAATAAAAAAAAAAAATTAAAGATATAAAATTCCCAGTACAATAAATTTTCCTATTGACAATTTTTAATGATAACGTTTAACGAACCTTTAAAATAATTCAGTTTTGAGAAAAAAATTCCACATTTCTCAATTAGTTCTTGTCGATATCGTGTCGTTTAAAGTTTTATTCATTTAAAATTTTTTTATTAGGAATTATTAAAATAATTTTTTTTTTTTTTTTTTTTGAGGGGGTAATTTTAAATCAAATCCAGTTTATTTTCTTACAGATACAAGAAAAAAATACAAAAAAAATGATAAAGACATTTAAAATTGTAATTTTATTTTCTCCTCATTTCACAAATGGTGAGTATAAAATTGAATATGAATTTAAAAAATTAAGAAAAAATTAATATATAATAATTAATATTAATAATTAATTAAATTTATTTTTTAATTTAAAAGTTTTAAAATACTTAATAAAAGCTGCAATGATAAGTTGCGCGCGCATCAAGAAAGTAGAGGGGACAGCACTAAGTAACCAATCAAAAACGTTACCCCCACTACTCCGGATTAGTCCGCGCACTTTTCGGCACAAAAAATTTAATTTTAATTGAATTTCGCTTTTTCTTTTATAAATTAAAAAAAAAATGTTTTCTAATTTCTAGCTGTACTTCATCTATTATTGGGACAAACTTTTACAACAAAAATGAACAATATAAAAGACAATATAACCGACTGTATAGAAAATACTTTTCCTCGTGCATCATTTTCCATTGACAATGACAAAAACAATAAAATACAACAAAAAAGTTTTTCACTTCCCGCAGGAGGCGTACAAAAAAATAGAAAAGACATACAAGAAAATGTTCAATTTCTCCTCTACACACCGGAATTAAATGGCACATTTGAATTATTACAATTTAATAACAGTACATCAGTAACGACAAGTCATTTTGATAAAAATCGTTCAACTCGTTTTATAACACATGGTTACATGTCTTCTGGAATTGGATCCTCATGTAAACTTGTTCGAGAAGGTTTAATATTCAGTGTAAAAGAAAAAAAAAATTTTTTACTGCTTCCAAAACTACAATATTTACCAATATTAAAATAATTTTAATAAATTTTTATTTTTAAATCAATAACTTTAAGATTCATTTAATCGATAAATTGAAAATAAATTTTTTTTTCCTAAACAGCATATTTAAATTTTACTAACTGTAATGTCATTGTGGTTGATTGGAGTCAACTAGCAGACGATTTCTATCCAATAGCGGCATTTTATGTGAAATTAGTTGGCGAATATGTGGGAGCAATGATAACATTTTTAGAAAATATGGGAATGAATCCAAATACAACAACACTTGTTGGTCATTCATTGGGTGCGCATGTAATGGGCATTGCCAGCAGTTCTGCCGCTCATAAAGTTAAATACATTTACGGTACGTAAAAATCAAAACCTAATTATCCCAAAAAAATTTTACTTATTTTAAAATCTCTTTGATCAATGAATTTTTATTTGCCAAAATTTTTACATTATAGAATTTATTATCTTACTTTATCCAATATTTTTACAAAGATAACCTACAAAAAGATTTCGGTGGATTTTTAAAATTCCACCAATTTTTTCAACTTCTGATTGGTTACTTTTAAAAATCCTGCCGAAATGTTTTTGTAGGTTATGTTTGTTCGGACATTTTAAATTTCGGTCAAATAAAAATTCACACGTTTTAAGAAATGAAATAACAATTTATGCAAATAAGAAACCAAATTGGAAATCTAGTAATCAAAAATTCAAAAATTTTACTTTTTTTCAAAAAGGATTGGATCCCGCAATGCCGTGTTTTCTCAATGCACACACTAGAGAACGTATATCGCCAGACGATGCTGAATTTGTCGAAGTAATTCACACAAGTATATTTGGTGACAATCAAACAATTGGTGATTATGATTTTTATCCAAATGGTGGACGCAATCAACCAAAATGTGCATGCAATCTCATCACTGAAAGTGCATGTTCACATTCGACAGCATTCAAATATTTTGCCGCTTCACTTAATAAAACAAATCCACCATTCTATTCAATATTATGCAAAAATTTAGATGCATTTAAAGCAAATAAATGTGAAAATTATGAAACAATAATGGGTGGCATTGATCATATACCAAAACGAAAGGGACATTATTATCTTTATACAAAAGCAACATTTCCCTACTCATTTGGTAAATTTTATCGAAAAAAATCATGTTCAATGACACAATTGTCAATGTGCTTTTTTAATATTATTAATTTTTTATTTGGCACACATTTATGTTACAACTAATTATTAATTATAAAAAGAAAATTTGGGATAATTTTTGATTTTTTGAAAAGTTATTTTCTTTAAACAATAATTTGAAATAAACAAAAATTATGAAAATATTATACTTTGTAATTAATATTTTTGTATAAAAAAAATAATAAAAAAAACATTTTAGTTTATTTGAGCGTACCGAAAGTTCGCGTTCAAAGGCAAACGGAATGAACGCAATGAATAAAGGTTTTAAAAAATCGATCGAATAAATTGTCTTTTGAGGTTTTCAATAAAATCTTTGTATTTTATTTTTCGTCTATTCCTTATATTAATTATATTATTATATTCATATTTTCTAAAGCTTATAAAAAATTTTCATAGGTTATGTTCTCAAGTGACAGTAGAATTTCTATAGACATAACGGAAGCTATCTTAATTTAATATTTGTTATTAGTAGCATTTCAGATTAAATACTGTCTAATTGAAATAATTTTCTATTAAATATTAATATTTAATGTTATTATTAAATTTAATTTTTACGACTTACCATATTCAGCAGACGTTTTCCTCTTCTAGAACGTCAGAGGAATTTTGTCATTAACAGCAATAGTTCTAAAATGCGACCGAAGCGCCATTGATGTCCGGTGAGTAAAAAAGGTGTTCAAATGGCTCTGCAACGGTTGGTAACCATTTTTTGATCGTCTATAATTTACTTGATTCTCACTAGAGGCGCTGACAGTTTGCCATAACCAAAAATACTGAGCAAAGAAAATCTGCAACAAACATTTAATTATTTTTTTAATATAAAAAAAAGAAAACTTTTTTAAACTTATTTTCTTGTATCACATTACTCATGGATCGATAAAACAGAGTAGATTTTAGGCGCGAAATTTAAATTTCCTTTCTACAATCAATGATTTTGCAGAAGAATTATTTTTAATGTTATTGTCTTTTGAGGTTTTCAATAAAATCTTTGTATTTTCTTTTTCGTCTATTCCTTATATTAATTATATTCCTAATGACTTAAAATTGAAATAAAATTTAATAAAAAAATTTTCCCTAAAGTTTTATAAATTTATATTATGCAAAAAAAAAAAAAAATTGTCTACCAATAACAATGTATAAATTACGATGTATTAGAATATCACCTAGTCCCTCACCTTAATACAATGACATTGGCAGATATAGAAAAAAAGAATTTTAATATTCAAGTTTGTATACAAATATATTTAAATACCGATAACAATTCACAATTAAAAAATAAAAAAACATATTGATAACGTGTAACGAACCATTAAAATAATCCACTTTTGAAAAATTATTCAACATTTTTCAATTAGTTCTTGTCGACATTGTATATATCGTGTCCTTTTATTAGAAAATTTGTTATAGAAATTATTATACATTTTATTTTCGGCAATTCAAAAACCAGTTGGATAATAAAAAAAAAATTTCTATTAAAAAAAAAATTAAAAAATGATAAATAAATTTCAAATTGTAATTCTATTTTATATTCATTTTACAAACGGTGAGTATAAAAATAGGGAAATTTTTTTTGTTAATTTTCAAAATTTAATTCAACTAATAATGCACTGGCAATATAATTAAAAAAAATAAGAATTATACTGTAAAAAAAGTTATTTGATTGAATAGGTTAATTGACTATTATCAAATAAATATTTATTTGTATTAAATAAATTATTGAGTCAATTAAATGGTATTTTTATTTCAAATACAGAAATTCTTGGTTCAAGTACAATTTATTTAATTCAAATAAAAATTATTCAAATATAATTTATATTTAATTTAAATAAAAATTAAAAGTGATCGATATCTTCTCTTTTATTATTTAATTAAATAAAAATTATTTGGTTCAAGGAAATATTTATTTGATAGTAGTCAATTGCCGATTATTTGAATCAAATAAATTTTTCTTTTAGAATTTTTTTTTTAATAATTTAATAATAATATAATAATTAATATTAAATTAAAATAATAAAAATATAATAAATATTAAATTAATAATAATCATTTTTTATTGAATTAGCGTCATTTCAGTGTTTTGTCCCCCACCACCGATAAATTAAACAAGTTGCGCGCGCACCAAGTCAGTAGAGGGGACTAACCAATCTGAATCGTTTCCCCCACTCTTTCAGCTCTGCGCGCGCACTATCCTTAAATAAATAGAAAAGCAGACGCTAATTCGAAATTTCCTTTAATCTAAATTAAATAATTAAAAAAAAAATTTCCACTCTTTTTTTTTAATTTAAAAAATTGTTTTTTTTTTAATTTATATCTAGCTGAACTATGTTTAATTTTGGGAGACAATGTTTCATTGAACATGCTTGAGATTAGGGACAATATAACCGATTGTATTGAGGATACATTTCCACATAAATCATTGTACATTGAAAATGGTGCAAACAAACCATATTTGAGAAGTTTTTCACTTCCCGAAGCAGGTGTAACAAGAAATAGAGAGGATTTAAATGAAAATGTCAAATTTTATCTCTACACACCCGAATTAAATCCCAATTATGAATTATTAAATTTTAATGACAGCACATCATTGGCGGCGAGTCATTTTGATAAAAATCGTCCAACTCGTTTTGTAACACATGGTTTCACCTCATCTAGCACTGCACAGTCATGTGAACTTGTCAAAGAAGGTTTCAATTTTTAATCACTCCTTAACATAATTTTCAGGTTAAATTTATATTTAACTGAATTTTCATTTCGCATCTAATTTTTTAATTTTTTCAAATTTTTATTTAACCAAATTTGCCGAATTAAATGACTGAACGAACATAACCTAAAAAGAAAAAAAAATTTCGGTCGTATTTTCAAAATTTGAACCAATTTTATTAAGTTCTGTTTGGTTAATTTTCAAAATCCCGCCTAAATTGTTTTTCTAGGTTATGTTTGTTCGGTCATTTGCAATTTCGATCAAGAATTTTACCATAAATTATTCGTGCGAATAAAAATTAGAAAAAAAAAAACGAAGAAATTCGCCTAAATAATAAAATTTGAATTTCTTTTTCGAACAGCCTATTTAAATTTTTCTAACTGCAATGTCATTATAATTGATTGGAGTCATCTTGCCTGTGATTTTTATCCAATAGCGGCATTTTATGTGAAATTAGTTGGCGAATATGTTGGAGCAATGATAACATTTTTAGAAAATATGGGAATGAATCCAAATACAACAACACTTGTTGGTCATTCATTGGGTGCGCATGTAATGGGCATTGCCAGCAGTTCTGCTGCTCATAAAGTCAAATACATTTACGGTACATAAAAATCAAAACCTAATTATCCCAAAAAATTTTTACTCAACTTAAAAACTCTTTGATCAATGAATTTTTTTTGACAAAATTTTTACATTACAGAATTATTTTACTTTATCCAATATTTTTATATAGATAACCTACAAAAAAGATTTCAGCGGGATTTTTAAAATTCGACCAATTTTCTCAACTTCTGATTGGTTACTTTTAAAAATCCCGCCGAAATGTTTTTGTAGGTTATGTTTGTTCGGACATTTTAAATTTCGGTCGAATAAAAATTCACACGTTTTAAGCATTGAAATAACAATTTATGCAAATAAAAATCCGAATTGGAATTTTAGTATCTAAAAATTCCAAAAAAAATTTTACTATTTTTAAATTTTTAAAATTTTTTTCAAAAAGGATTGGATCCCGCAATGCCATGTTTTATCAATACAAAAGCCAGTGAACGTATTTCATCAGATGATGCTGAATTTGTTCAAATTATTCACACAAGTGTACTGGGCGATATTAAAAAAATTGGTGATTATGATTTTTATCCAAATGGTGGTGTTCATCAACCAAAATGTGCCTGTAAATTCATCACTGAAAGTGCATGTTCACATTCAACATCGTATGAATATTTTGCCGCGTCACTTAATAAAACAAATTCATTCTATTCAATTTTATGCAAAAATTTTGATGCATTTAAAGCAAATAAATGTGAAAATTATGAAACAATAATGGGTGGCATTGATCATATACCAAAACAAAAGGGAAAGTATTATCTTTATACAAAAGCAACATTTCCCTATGCAATTGGTAAATTTTCTCAAAAAAAATTATGTTCAACGTCACAATTATCAATGTGCATTTATAATGTTATTAATTATTTATTTGGCACACATTTATGTTACAACTAATTATTATTATAATTATGAAACAATAAGTTATACAAAAATAGTAAAATATATATTATGTATATAATAATTATTTTTGTAAACCAGAAAATAAAAGTATAATATATATTATAAGAAAATTCTGATTGTTTTTTGAGGTTTTCAAAAATTATTTGTTTTTTCTTCTTTGTCTCTTTCTTATATTGATTTATAATATTCTATTGATATTCAAATTAATATTCAAAATATTAAAAAAAATTTTTTATTATTAACAATTTAATATTTAGGCAACTTTTTTTAAAAATTAAAAATTCAAATGAATTTGGGATTTAGGAAAAAATTTTCCTTTATAATTATTGTTAAAAATCAATTAAATTTTGTGAAAAAAATTTTTTTAATTAAAAATTTATAAAAATTAAGTTATTTGTTCAATAAATGATTTTTTTAAATTAACTATAATTGTTTCTTTATCTAATAATACATATATATATATTTTTTTTTAATTGAATAAAATTTATTTGCAACTTTCTAATCTTGCAAGATAATTTTTTTTAAGATTTCCCAAATAACAAAATGTATGACAAAAGAATTTCGCCATTTGAGAAATTGAGGATTGTCTTCAGCGCTCGTGTAATCAGAATTAACATTTGTCAGGGGCAATGTGATACCAAAAATTATTTGCAATACTTTTTCCTTTCACACAATAATTTTTTTAATTTTCTGAAATTTTTTAGGGTTCCGTACTCGGTTCGGAACCCTATTAATATCGGTTTTTTTGAAATCGTGTACCCCCCCCCTAGCGGCCACATAAATTTATCTGGAGGGCTGAAAATTAGTACACATATGTATTTTCGCGTGTAGATTACAGGAAAATTATAGCGAACTTGATTGGAATTGATTAACATAGCGTTGTCAAGGAAAAACCATGAATTTTTACGAAAAATGCCTAAAAATGACTATGTACCCCCCCCCTAGCGGCCACATCTTTTGACATAAAGAGCTCAAATTTGACACACTTACGTATTTTTACATGAAAATTACAGGAAAATTATAGCGAACTTGATTCGAATCAATTTACATAGCGTTGTCAAGGAAAAATCAAAAATTTCGAAAAAAATAATTTATTCTCCCTAGCGCACACAATATTCAACCCAGACAGATCATATTTAGTATACAAATGTATTTTTACGGGAAAAATACAGGGGAAAAAAAGCGGTCACGATTAGAGTTGATGATTAACTTTTTATCAAGTTTTTCAAGAAAAAATGACAATTTTAGGGAAAAAATGTATTTTTCCACCAAAAACGAACAAAATTTTATTTAAAGGAAATTAAATTTATATATTTTAACGTATTTTTACGTGTAGATTACAAAAAAAATATAGCGAGCATGATTGGAGTTGATTATCATAGCGTTGTCAAGAAAAAACCATGAATTTTTACGAAAAATACCTAAAAATGAGTATGTACCCCCCCCCTAGCGGCCACATCTTTTGACATAAAGAGCTCAAATTTGACACACTTACGTATTTTTACGTGAAAATTACAGGAAAATTATAGCGAACTTGATTCGGATTAATTTACATAGCGTTGTCAAGGAAAAATCAAAAATTTCGAAAAAAATGATTTATTTTCCCTAGCGCACACAATATTCAATCCAGACTGTTCATACTTGCTGTAAAACTCAATTTTTGCGTGAAAAATACAGGGAAAAAATGTAAGCGCGATTGGAGTTGATGATCAATTTTTATCAAATTTTTGAAGAAAAATGATAAATTTCAGAAAAAAATGTATTTTTCCGCAAAAAACGAAAAAAGTTTTTCTACAGTGATTCAAATTTATATATTTTGACGTATTTTTACGTGTAGATTACAAAAAAAATATAGCGAGGATGATTGGAGTTGATTTTTCTGGAATTAATAAACAAATTTTATTTTTTAGATAACTTTCGATTTTTCCTTGACAAGCAGCTACTAGCCTTATATCAATATCTTAAGTTTTATCTCTTTTTGACTTAGAAAGATAAAATTTAATATTCAATATATTTTTAAAATGTAAATACAATAAAAATATTGCGAGTTGAAATAAAATTATGTTTCTTATATTTTTTTAGTAAAATATTTTTTAAAAAATAAAATCGGACAAGTGCGAGTTACACTCGCACTGAAATCGAGGGTTCCGTACTCGAAGCGAACTTATTTGGTATAAAAACAAATGTTTAAAAAATATGTGTTGTATGACAACTAATATAAGTGATACGAAGAGGAACAATTTTCTTTAATTTTACAAAATTGTTCCTTTTTTGTATCACTTATATTAGTTGTCATACAACACATATTTTTTAAACATTTGTTTTTATACCAAATAAGTTCGCTTCGAGTACGGAACCCTCGATTTCAGTGCGAGTGTAACTCGCACTTGTCCGATTTTTTTATTTAATAAAACAATAATAGGTAATAATCCCGTGCGGGGTTGCTGGTCCCCCATCGTGGCGCGTCCCCGGGTGGCGGATAGGGGAATGCCTCCTAGAAATAGGTGGTACCGGGGAAATGAAATACCCGGCGTGGACCAAAACCAGAAACAAATATGAAATGAGTACAGTAGAAAATGAACTACCCCAAGGAGGAACCCCGAAAGGGGACAATACTCCCGGCAGTCTCCTCGTGAGTACTGCTGCAGGCCCCACGGATTTTGGGAGGGGCCAACGCAAAGTTAATGTGGAAATAACGGGCAGCTTTGAAGATAATATTGCTGCTCAATTTCAGGTCATCCCGCAGGTCCTGGAAAGCATGCGCCAGGCCTGCAAAAAGCAAAAAAATATCAGCCGAGGCGTTCAGGATGGCATGATGGCTCTGGAGGAGGCGTTCGAGATAATTCGCAGTAATCTGCGTTTTATTTCGGAGCCCTTCGGAAAACCGAAGCCGTCTACCCCAGTTCTCAGGGCGCCGGTGCTGATGAGAAATGTAGCAACTACAATGAGTAGTGAAAAAGATGGAAGAAAACGCGGCAGAGAGGGACCGGATGCTGGCACTCAGCCGGAGACTCCCAAGCGCATTAGGAGCGGAGATGTTCCTCCTTTTGTGAGGGATGTCCAGTCGAAGGCTGGGAATTATGCTGCAACGGAGGCCTTGAAAGCCACCTGCGCTGCGGTTGCTTCCGGAAGTGCTACAACGGAAGGTGATAACTTTGAAGTTGTCAGAAATAAAAAACGGGAGGCCCGAAAGGAGAAAGCCTCCAAGAAAAAGAAGAAAGAAGAGGCTCAGAAGCGTCCTTCAAGAATAAGAGCTACAGAGGCAATTAAGATTTCGGCAAAAGATTCAGAGTCTTACGTCGAAATCTTAAAATTGATGAAAAGCTCGGTCAAACCAGAGGATACTGGCACCGAGATTCTAAAAATTAGGAGAACTCTAAATAAAGAAGTTCTCCTGGTTGTAAAAAAAGGAGGTGAAACCTCTAAATTCGCAAGAGCAATTACATCTGCACTGTGTGACAAGGCAGATGTTACAGCTCTCGTGAATAAGAGGACCCTCGAGATTGGAGATCTCGATGAAACTACTTCTGAGGAGGAGGTTGTTTCATCATTGAGGGATAAGCTGGGAAAGCCAGACCTGGATGTAACGTGTCGGCTTCTACCACGTTTTGGCGGGACGATGGTTGCACTTGTGAGTTTGACGGAAGCAGAGAGTGACTCTCTTCTTAGTCTTGGCAAGATTCGGATTGGCTGGATTAATGCTCCCATCCGAAATCATCTAGAAGTTCAAAGATGCAAAAAGTGTCTTATTTTTGGACACACGACCATAGCATGCAAAGGCCCCGACAGAACTAAAAACTGTCGGAGATGCGGCAGCGAAGGTCACTTTGCTAAGACTTGCTCGGTCAAGAAACCAAAGTGCCTTACATGCATGGACTTGAAAAAAACAGAAACGGACCACGCCGCCGGATGCAGTTCTTGCCCGGTTTACAGAGAGGAACTGTCGAAGCTGAAAAGGGCAAACCCTTGAAGCTTTTACAGGTTAACCTGCATACAAGTAAGGTTGCACAGGTCCTCCTGATGCAAACAGCCAGGGAAAATGAGATCGATATCCTGTTCTGCAGTGAGCAGTATCGAGGAAGCGATCTCGCTCCCTGGTATCAGGACAAGGCGAAGAGAGCCGCCATCAAGGTGTGCAACCCAGAATTGCGGGTTGACAAGTTCCTGGAGACGAGCAGTGGATTTGTTTGGGTGGAGGTGGCTAACATACGTATGTATAGCTGCTACTTCTCGCCAAATGATCCACTGACAGACTTCGAATCCGAATTACAGGACCTCGAATCGAGCCTTCGACAATCCAAGTTGGATGTTCTCGTCACTGGCGACTTTAATGCAAAGTCTCCAGAATGGGGCGAGACAAGGCTCGATAAAAGAGGAATTCTGACCGGCGAAATGATCTCCAGGAACGACTTAGTAGTTGTGAACCGGGGGAGAACATGGACGTTTCGGAGGGATGCGATCGGATCCATTATAGATCTAACGATCGCATCCTCCAAAATATTTAGCCGCATATGCGACTGGCGGGTCTCTGAGGATTATACCGCAAGTGACCACCAGTACATCGAGTTCTCAGTCTCAGTGGGAGACACACGAGGAGGCAGAAGACAGGAAGCTCCTAGTCGAAAAAGCCCCTCGTGGAACACTAAGAGACTCGACAAGGAGAAGTTCGGCCAGTCCCTTCTAGAAGCCCGCTTAATTCAAGAGTTGGGCTGGGTAAGGAGGCCGAACAGTCTTGATGGGGAAGTGCGGGCGGTGAGAAATATAATTGTCACCGCCTGCGATGCGTCAATGCCGCGTCGCAATGGCACATTCCCCAGGAAGAGATCCTTGCACTGGTGGTCAGAAAGGTTGGCCTCCTTGCGAAAGGCATGTTTCAGAGCAAGAAGGACATATACCCGATCTAAGGGAGATCCTTTGCTCAAGGAAGCATTCAAGGAGGCCAAAAGAAACCTCAAGAAAGAGATCCGCGCGTCGCGACGCCGTAGCTGGAAGGACCTAATCGAGGACGTCGAGAAGGACCCATGGGGTCTGGCTTTTAAAATCGTTACTAAGAAATTAGTAACGAGGCAAAAGACCCCCGGCCTGGACAATCCCGATTGGGTCAGAAAGGTAATAAAAGCCCTGTTTCCTCCTGCAGAGCCGTGGCTTAGGAAGGACTGGAGTTCTTGCGTAGTCACAGGGGAAGAACTCTTTACTCTTGAAGAATTGGAATCAGCAGGTAGAAGATTGAAGACAGGCAAGGCGCCTGGAATCGATGGGATAAGCAACAAGATCCTAAAAGAGGTGATTGTTGCTTCCCCCCAGATTTTGCTGGACATCTTCAATCGCTGCCTAGAGAGAGGAGAGTTCTTTCCAGACTGGAAGAGGCAAAGGCTAGTCCTCCTAAGAAAGGGTGACAAACCTCTAGATAAGGTCTCATCCTACAGGCCTATATGCCTGTTGGATACGATGGGCAAACTTCTAGAGGACATGGTTCTGCAGAGAATGCAATCTCACTTGACCGGAGAGAATAGTCTATCCGATAACCAATTTGGATTCCGCAAAGGTCGGTCCACAGTTGATGCCATAAAGGCAGTTGTGGACCTCGCCAGAGAAGGGAAAAACAAATTGGGTCCAGATAAGAAGAAGAGCTTCTGCGCGTTGGTAGCAATCGACATACGAAATGCGTTCAATTCCGCGAGATGGGCAGATCTCATCGAGTCGATGATACAGAAGGGTATACCGCCCTACCTGTTGCGGATAATGGATAATTATCTAAGCGACAGGTGGGTTATTTATGAGGGAGACACCTGCATTCTCAAGGAAGAGATGCAGCGTGGGGCCCCTCAAGGCTCGAGGGTAGGTCCGTTTTTATGGAATGTATCTTACGATGACTTCCTGAGAATGGACCTGCCCGAAGGTGCGGTGATCATCGGCTTTGCGGACGACGCGTTGATCGTGTGCACTGCCGACTCTGCGGAAGCTCTGGGGACATTGGTGAACGAATGTCTGCGGCTAGCAAAATGCTGGCTGGAAACCAGAGGTCTTCAAATGGCCCTGGAAAAGACCGAAGCATTGCTGGTCACAGACAGACGTGGTTATAAATCCCCACGAATCGTGATAGACGAATTCGAGGTCAAGTGGAGGAGACAGATAAAGTACCTTGGTGTGGAACTGGATGGAAGGTTAAACTTCCATCACCACATGGCTACGGCGTCGAACAAGGCGATCGAATGTGCGGCTAATTTAGCACGGGTGATGCCAAATGTTGGAGGCCCCCGTGAAAAGAAAAGGAGACTGGTGGCGAGTGTCGCCCACGCTAAGCTGCTTTACGCAGCGCCAGCGTGGGCCCCCTCCCTGAGAACAAACAGATGTTCAACCATCTGTAAAAAGATGCTGTCCGCGCAGAGGTGCATTACTTCACGTATCGCCTCTGCTTATCGGACAGTATCTACGAGCGCTGTGCAGGTCCTTGCAAGTGTCCCGCCAGCAGATCTTTTGGCGCTTGAGAGGGAGGAAATCATCCTCCTTCTCAAAGAGGCGAATTCCTCTGAAGAGGAAGATCGACCCAGCAAGGACCGCATCCGCTTCGAAGCGAGGCGCAGGCTCGTAGAAAAATGGCAGGAGAGATGGGATGGGGAGGTAAAAGGTCGATGGACTTATCGCCTTATACCGACACTCGCCACTTGGTTAAGTAGGAGCCATGGAGAGGTCTCCTACTATTTGACACAAGCGCTGACAGGTCACGGATGTTTCAATTCGTACCTGCAGCGCTTTAAGAAGAAAGAGAGTGAGGTGTGTGCTTACTGCCAGTTCCCTGTGGACAACGCAGAGCACACCCTCTTTGCCTGCAGTCATTGGGACTTGGAGAGGCAGGCCATGTTCACCGGTGTAAACACTACAGTTATACCGGAGAACATGGTAGCGCTGATGATCCAGTCCCAGGAAAACTGGCGGCTCATCGAGACCTTTATCATCTCTGTTATGATGAGAAAGGATCTCGATGGCCGCAGATAGGCGAAATTGACAGTGTACAGTTTTTATTTATTTATTTATTTGTTTATTTTATTATTTATTTTGTCCTTTTATAGTCTTTTTACAATTTTCTGTTTATTTATTTATTTATTTTAGTCTTTTTACACTTTTATGTTATATTTTGTTTGTTCATCAGTCTTTTTACAATTTTATTTTTGACTTTTGTTTATTTTACTTTTATTTTATTTACTGACTTTTTATTGTTTTCTTTTCTGGTGTGCTGTTGATTCCGCTTGACATTCATTTTAGAATTATTTTAAATTCATAACGCAGGATGTCCGCAGGAATGGACGAAGTCGCTTTTGCGACAGAGTTGGAGCGCCACCCTCGAAGGCAAAAGTCTTCACGACAGTACCGAGGGTGGATCAAAGGGCTCCCAAGAAGGGTTGACGGGTTTTAGTGGGTCGGGGCTGGTAGTAGTTCGCCAGCTTATTTTTGTTTATTGTTCTCCTTTTTTTTTACCAACCCCACATAACCTTGGCATGCGGAAGCCAAGGTATCTGTATACAGATTTTCCCAATAGTCCCTAAGCAAAAAAAAAAAAAAAAAAAAAAAAATAATAGGTAATAATAATAATAATATTAATAATAATAATAATAATAATAATAATAATAATAATAATAATAATAATAATAGTAATAATAATAATAATAATAATAATAAAATAATAAAAACAATAACAGAGATGATAAAAAAAGTAATGATAATAATAATAATAATAATAATAATAAAAATAACAATAATTTTAAAAATAAATAAATATTATAATTTGTAAATTATTAAATAAAAAAAAATTTTTGTAAATTTTTTAAAAACAAAAAAGCTGATTTCTTTGAAAATAATTCCTTTGTGATTTATTATAAATAATATCTAATTTTTTGTTTACTGAAATATAATTTTTTTTTTTTTTGGTTAAAATAATACAAATAATAAAAGGTAAATATAAAATAAATAGAAACCTAATATTATAGTATTACTTTGTTATTTCCAGTTATAGATAAAAATTGTAGTTTATTATAAACATCGTTTTTAGTAAAGGAATATAGTATATTTCATTTTCTCGTTTTGACGTGAGTCTTTTTTAAATTTAATACATTTTATTTATTTTATAAAAAAGAAATTATTTTAAAAAAAAAACAAAAAACAGAAAATTTAATGAAATCACAATGTCAAATAAATCTACAATAATATTAACAATAATAAAAAAATAATGATAATAATAATTTTTTATAATTTTCGTGATTTTAATAGCAGTAAAAATTTATATATTGTTGTTTCTAATTAATCATTTATTTTAAACTATAAATATATATTGTCAAAATAAAATTATATATTTAAATAAATAATATTAAATTTTGAATATCATATTAAAGGTAAAATGAAAAAAAAAAAATTTCAAAAATAAAATATTTTATAAGTGACAATAAAATGAAATAATATTGTTTTAATTTTAAAATGATGTCACATTTATTAATATAAAATAATTACATTTTAAATAATACCCCTAAATATTTTTAGTGATGCATATTCAAAAAGTCCGTTAATTAATTTAACAAATTTTAAACAACCAAAAAAATAATACGAAATTTTTAAATTATCAAAAAGTATACAACAAAAATATAAATGAAAGAATTAATTGTCATAATTTTACTAATTCCTTTTCTACAAGCCTGTAAGTATTTCCATGTTTTTCCTCATTGAATAATTTAAATAATTCTGTCATATATAATTTTAAACCAATTAGCAATATATATCATTAACATTACATTTTCAAATTTTTTTTTTTTTTGACTTCCCTATAAATTATTTATTATTTAATAAATATTTAATTTAAAAAAAAATTTAAGGACACTAAATTTATTAAATTATTTTAAATTAATAATAAATTTAATTTAAAAAAAAATTTAAGGACACTAAATTTATTAAATTATTTTAAATTAATAATAAATTTAATTAACTAATAAAATGTGGAACGTAAAATAAATTAAATATTAATAAAAAAAAAATTAATTATTCTGATTTTAAGTGACAATTGATTGGCTAAATCAAATTAATGAAAATTTATATAATCACACTCAAATTGTGACGAATTATATAAAACATGAAATTGAGAAACTCGCAAGAACATTTGTCTATTTTGATAATGACAAAAATGAAAAAATTCGAACGAAACTCTCATTTCCAAATGAGAGTCTACAAATACCAAAAGAAAGTATTTTAAATAATAAAACAAAAATTGATTTAACAACAATAGTGTCATTTCGTTTATACACATTGGAAATATGGAAAAATTATGAAATTTTACAATTTAATAATAGCGATAGCTTAAAAAAAAGTCATTTTAATACAAAACGACCAACACGATTTATTACACATGGATATTTAACATCGGGCAATGGACCATCTTGCACTGTAATTAGAGATGGTAATATCAAAATTTTTATTATTTTCTATTTTTTAACAACTTTTTATAATTTTTTTTTATTTATACACACGGAAAAAAATATTCACTTGAAACAGCGATATGTTTCACTAAAACAACGAAAGTTTTTGCTATTTTAGAGAAATATATAGCTATTCCAGATAAAGATTTTTTTCCATGCAATAATAATTAAATAAAATTTAAATAAATAATTACTTCCTAAAATAAATATATCTTTGTTTAATTCGCAAATAATTTAATTAGAATAGAAAAAAAAATTATTGAGAAAATTTTTTTCTAATTAGTTGTAAAATTAATTAATTTTTTTTTTAATTTATAGCTTTTATGAAAAGAACAAATTCAAATGTTATCGTAGTCGATTGGAGTCCAGCATCGCAAGAATCATATTTATTAGCAAGATTATTAGTGCCACCAATTGGAATGCACGTTGGTGAAATGATATCATTTTTGGAAGACAATGGAATGAATGCAAGTACAACTGCACTTATTGGACATTCACTTGGTGCACATGTTATGGGAATTGCTGGGAAAACTGCCAAAAAAAGAGTCAAATATCTTGTCGGTATGAGAAAAAAAAATAAAATTAATCCTCAAAAAAATTTTTTTTTCAATTTTTCTGAATGTTCAAAATTATAATTAATTACTAATTTTAAATTATTAATTTAATTTTCCACAGAAATGATTAAATCAATAGAATTTTTATTTGACAAAAATTTTCATATTCTTTCTTTTCTATAAAATTATTAATTGAATTTAAATTTACCGCTTAAAATTCACTCTGTTTTACCGACCCATGACTAAGGACACATATACATACACTGTAAAAAGAAAGGTATTAATTTAATACCGACTTCAGGTACTAAATTGTCACTTGGTACCTAAAATCGGTACTGTTTTAGTACTTTTCGGTACTGTTTTAGTACTTTCTTTTTACAGTGTAGATAAAAAATTCGTTAAATAAAACTTTTACTTGTATTAAAATTTCGAAAGATAATGATTCTTATTATTATTATTATTATTATTATTTCGAATTTTTGTTTTAATTACCTAATCAGACAATAATTTTTTATAGTGAGTTTTCTATCTATCATTTCTGTAGTCTACAGTCGGTAAAACAGAATAAATGTCGCGGGAATTTTAAATGTAACAATTAATTAATTTGAATTTCTCTCGTGAAATTTACTCTGTTTTACCGACCCATAACTAAAAAAAACAAATAGATAGAAAAATCACTGTATAAATTTTTTTACTTCTACTAAAATTTCGAAAATTATTAAATTTATTATTATTATTATTTTAAATTAAATTTGTTTTAATTTTCTGATGACAATAATTTTCATTTGTGAGTTTCCTATCTGTCAATTCTATAGTCTAGAGTCGGTAAAACAGAATAAATGTCCCATCATAACGAAGGCGGCAAAATTTTATGTTTAACAATAAATTAATTTGAATTTTGCTCGTCTCGTGAAAACTCTGTTTTACCGACCTGAGTTTCCTATCTATCTTTTATACAGTCTAGTGTCGGTAAAACAGAATAAATCTGGCATCGTAACAAAGGTGTGAAATTTAAAATTAACAATAAATTAATTTGAATTTCACTCGTAAAATTTAATCTATTTTACCGACCCATGACTAAAGGTACATATAGAAAGAAAACTCGTTCTGTAAATATTTTTTACCATCTGTAATTTTTATAGCCCAAAGTCGGTAAAACAGTGTAAATGTAGCGAAGGCGGAAAATTTTAAATTCAACAATAAATCAATTTGAATTTCGCTCGTGAAATTTAATTCAGTTTTACCGACCCATAACTAAAAAGACAAATAGATAGAAAAATCACTGTATAAATTTTTTTACTTCTACTAAAATTTCAAAAATTATTAAATTTATTATTATTATTTTAAATTAAATTTGTTTTAATTTTCTGATGACAATAATTTTCATTTGTGAGTTTCCTATCTGTCAATTCTATAGCCTAGAGTCGGTAAAACAGAATAAAAGTCCCATCATAACGAAGGCGGGAAATTTTATGTTTAACAATAAATTAATTTGAATTTTGCTCGTCTCGTGAAAACTCTGTTTTACCAACCTGAGTTTCCTATCTATCTTTTATACAGTCTAGTGTCGGTAAAACAGAATAAATCTGGCATCGTAACAAAGGTGTGGAATTTAAAGTTAACAATAAATATTATTTGAATTTCACTCGTGAAATTTAATCTATTTTACCGACCCATGACTAAAGGTACACATAGATAGAAAACTCGTTTTGTAAATATTTTTTACTATCTGTAATTTTTATAGCCCAAAGTCGGTAAAACAGTGTAAATGTAGCGAAGGCGGGAAATTTTTAATTCAACAATAAATCAATTTGAATTTCGCTCGTGAAATTTAATTTAGTTTTACCGACCCATGATTAATGAGATTATATTATATAGATGGAAAACTCAAATTAAAAAAATAAAATTTTTTCTCTACTAATTAAAAATATTTTTATCATTATTAAAAATTTAATAATTTTTTTGAACAGGACTAGATCCGGCAATGCCATTATTTCGTTTTGTTGAACCAGAAGAGAGAATTGCAATAGGTGATGCCGATTTTGTTGAAATAATTCACACGGACGCTGGAATTTTAGGTTTTCCCGAAAATATTGGCGATTTTGATTTTTATCCAAATGGAGGAATGTTTCAACCTGGCTGTGAAAATGATGATTTACTTTATACAGCCGCTTGTTCACATTCACGTGCCTATATGTATTTTGCTGAATCAATTGAAAATCCATTACATCCATTTTTTTCACTCAACTGTGAGAATTACAGTGCATTCAAATATAATGTTTGTAGTCCACATGTTGATATAATGGGTGCCATGAAACAATCATCGAATCACAGTGGTAGTTATTATTTAAATACAAATTCAGAACCACCATTTTCACAAGGAAAAAATTATGGTAAACCAAAATGTTCAAAATGGAGAATTGTTAATTTTTTTCTTAATATTATCAGAAGAATAAGGGGCGGTTATATTTGTTAAATAAAGAATTGTTTTTTTAAATCTCCTAAAAAACTAGAGGGGAAATTGGTTAAATTAAATTAATTAATAGTTCATTAATTAATTATAATTAATTTGATTAAAATAAATGATTTTTATTTTAACCCAAGATAGAGCCCAGTTTCAGCCAGGATTCAATAAAAATACAGCCAAGATTGCGCTAATATTTATTAAAAATAAAGTCGAAAAAAATGTGTAGTTTTAATTATTATTAATCCCTGTTTAGCCAATGTTAAGCCACGATTAAGCCAGAATTGAGACAGGAATAAATCAAGATTTAATGCAAAAATAGTTTATAAATTTTCATAAAAAATATTTTCAAACCCTACTGTGCCAAATTTGAGCCAAGTTTGACCCTAGTTTCTGCCAGGATTAAATCAACTTTTCATCAAAGTAGAGACAAAAGAATAAAGGCTAATTTATTCTGGAAATAAAAAAATTAGATCTATACTGATCCAAAACTGTCTGTAAATATTGTGAAACTAGATATATTTAAACTTCCCTCAAACAAGATAGTTTTATGAAAATACTTCATTTTTCTTACAACCCAAGATAGAGCCAAGTTTCAGCCAGGATTCAATAAAAATACAGCCAAGATTGGGCCAATATTGATTAAAATAAAGTCGAAAAGAATTTTGTAGTTTTAATTATTATGAACCCCCGTTCAGCCAATGTTAAGCCAAGATTAAGCCAGAATTGAGACAGGAATAAATCAAGATTCAATACAAAAATAGTTTATAAATTTTCATAAAAAATATATTCAAACGCTAGTGCTTCGAATTTGAGCCAAGTTTGACCCAAGTTTAAGCCAGGATTTAACCAATTTTTCACTAGGGTAGAGGAAGAAGAAGAAGAAGAAATGTTAATTTATTCTAGAATTAAAAAATTAGGATCTAGATTGGCTCAAAATTGTCTGTAAATATTATGAAACTAAACACATCTTACACCCAAGATAGAGCCAAGTTTCAGCCAGGATCAATAAAAATACAGCCAAGATTGGGCCAATATTGATTAAAATAAAGTCGAAAAGAATTTGTAGTTTTAATTATTATGAACCCCTGTTCAGCCAATGTTAAGCCACGATTAAGCCAGAATTGAGACAGGAATAAATCAAGATTCAATGCAAAAATAGTTTATAAATTTTCATAAAAAATATATTCAAACGCTACTGCTTCGAATTTGAGCCTAGTTTCACCCAAGTTTCTGCCAGGACTTAGCCAATTTTTCGCCACGTTAGACCAAAGAATTAATTAATTTAATTATCTACTTTAATTAATTACTTATATAAGAGCTAAAAAAAATTGAACCAATAATACACCCACGACTGAGCCAAGATTCGTCCAATATTGCCCCAATGTTGGCCTTTCTAAAAAAAAAAAATAATTCAAAAATTTTCTATTTTCTTTGATTAAATTCAGCGTAAAAAAAATATAAGACAATTAAATTTTGAAAATATCATAAAAAAAATTGTTTAATATAAATTTTTTATTGCCCTTTTGTTAAATAAAAAACAACATTTATCCCTTCACTATAATTAATTGCCAAAAGTTTTTTATATTATTTTTTTTAAAAGAAACTATAAATAAAAAATGGTATTAAAAAAATCGTGATTATTATTTCCGTCTTTTCATTTTCATCATTCTAAAAAGATTAATTTCAAGGGTTATTTGTTTTTTCTAAATATAAATTCTTCTTTTTTTACAAAAAAAAAAACCTATACAAATAGGCTATACAAAGAAAATTGAAAAATATACTATATAAATTAATTGTTTAATTAATTAAATTGAACAAAAATTATTTTTTTTTACTTCTGAATTTAATTTATTTAAACAAATTAATTCATTAATAAAAATTAATTGATTAGTTTAAAAAATTGGAAAATATTTTTTTTTACTCCCGAATTTAATTTTATTTAAATAAATTAGTTTAAAAAAAATTAATTAATTAATAAATTTTAAAAAAATAGAAAAAAAAAAATTTTTTTCTAAATTAAATTTAATTAAATAAATAAAAAAAATTATAATACGGGTCAATCCATTATATTTCGAATGAAGTCGTCGCTGACTAATTTTTAAAAATTATAATACTTTGCAGGAATGATTTTGAAGTTATCAAGATCACGAAATGAAAAGAATTTTAATAAAATTTTAATTATTTATTGCAAAATATGAATTTAAAGTATATGAGGTGCTGAAAACTGTCAATTTTTTAGCCATTAGAAAATATGCAAAAATACGTATAGAATTTACTATAAAAATAAAAAATTTTTTTTGTAATTTACTAAGAATGAATAAATTTGTCATTATTAATTGATGTAATTATTTAAATATGTGAAATAATATATAAAATATGATTTTCAAGTTCGCCTGTCAAATAACCTAAATTTGCAAATTTCATCTATTAAATGTGAGAAAGAGAAGTCATTAAATTGAAAAAAACCTTACCAAATATAAAGTACCTGTGACTAACTTTTAGTTTTTCTTAGCACTTTTTTCCTTTTTTCTTCATAAATGTGAAATAAAAAGCAATAAAAATTGGCACTTTGCTTATTTTCACTAGTTTCAAATGTAAATAACTTTCTTGGAGAAAACTGAAAAATTACAAAACTTGGGCAATATCTAATTGATCACTAACTACACACACTGGAAAAAAATTCGCTTTGGTCCCGAAGATACTTTTTGAGATAATTATGTTTAAATTTTTCACAATTTTCATCAGGTTAATGCATGTGATTTTTATAAAATTGAAGTTAGTTCAAAATGTTTAACCAATAAAACCTAACTTCGTCCTTAAAAAACTACATGTATTAACCTGATAAAAATTGTGAAAAATTTAAACATAATTATCTCAAAAAGTATCTTCGGGACCAAAGCGAATTTTTTTCCAGTGTGTGTAGTTAGTGATCAATTAGATATTGCCCAAGTTTTGTAATTTTTCAGTTTTCTCCAAGAAAGTTATTTACATTTGAAACTAGTGAAAATAAGCAAAGTGCCAATTTTTATTGCTTTTTATTTCACATTTATGAAGAAAAAAGGAAAAAAGTGCTAAGAAAAACTAAAAGTTAGTCACAGGTACTTTATATTTGGTAAGGTTTTTTTCAATTTAATGACTTCTCTTTCTCACATTTAATAGATGAAATTTGCAAATTTAGGTTATTTGACAGGCGAACTTGAAAATCATATTTTATATATTATTTCACATATTTAAATAATTACATCAATTAATAATGACAAATTTATTCATTCTTAGTAAATTACAAAAAAATTTTTTTATTTTTATAGTAAATTCTACGTATTTTTGCATATTTTCTAATGGCTAAAAAATAGACAGTTTTCAGCACCTCATATACTTTAAATTCATATTTTGCAATAAATAATTAAAATTTTATTAAAATTCTTTTTATTTCGTGATCTTGATAACTTCAAAATCATTCCTGCAAAGTATTATAATTTTTAAAAATTAGTCAGCGACGACTTCAGTCGAAATATAATGGATTGACCCATACATTTTTTTTCGAATACAAAAATGTAATTATTTTTTAATATAAATTAAAAAAAAAAGGCGCGAAAAAATTGAAAACTAAAATTAAACGTACAAATCATGAGTTTGAAAATTATTATTTCGTCGCTTTACCGTTTCATTTGGGTGTGAGGAGAGTAAATAGAATGAATCTTATAACTAAACGCAATTCACACAAAACGATCTCAGGAGATTCAACAGCCGCGGATTTAGCACCGTACCGCAGTAGCGGTAAGTGTGCGCTAGTGTCGGCATCGCGATTTGTTGGACAAATTTTTTTTTTTTTTTATTTTTTTTTTTAAATTAAATAATTTCTCGTCTGGACGGTTACAGACGTTTTTTTTTTTAAATAAAAAGAACTTTATAAAGAAAAAAAAATTCCAACTCGTAAATCGAACGTTCTCGTGACGTGTGATTTTTTTCCACAAATTCTGTATATATAGGACAGGGGACCCCTTTCAACAAAATCGGATCAAAATTATGAATTCCTCCACTTTTCCTGGGTAAGATTATGAAAAAAGGAAAATAATTTTCTACTTATTGTAATAATTATAATTATTATAAAATTTAACTACTAGGAAATATTTGTATGAAATTTTTTTATTTTTCGAAAAAATACTAGAAACTGATTGATTTTTTTTTTATTGAATTAATTAATAAAAATTGCGACCTTGGAAAAATATAATTTTGGGAAAAAAAAGCAAACGAGCGCTTTTTAAAACGGTACGAAGGCAAAAGTTATATAAGAAAAGGAAAAAAAAAATTTTTTTTAATGCAAAAAAGCCTATTAATTTTACAATCGTATAAAAAATTATATTATAATTACTAATTTAAAAATTAATTATATAGGTTATAAAAATTTAATAAATTAGTTTATTTTTTTAGTTATTATTAATTAGTATTATATTATTATTACTTAGTTTTTTTTTATTATAATACTTATTAACAAATTAATTATATAAATAATCAATTAATTTATCAAATCTTGAATAAAAAAAATTTATTACTATTAAAATATTTTCCCCAATATTTTTTTTAGTAAAAAATTTATTTTTCAATGTAAAATTATTTTTTTTTATAATTTTTTTACACAGCCTTAAACGATAATTTTTTTTATTATTATTATTAATCATCGTTTAAGGCCATGTAAAAAATTTTTTTGAAAATAAAAACCGAAAACAATTGTAATAAAATTATTAATCATCAAAATTTTTAGTATTTATTTTTTTTTTACAATTTCAATTTTCAATTCAAAATTGAATTTTAATTATTAATATATCAATAATTTTAATTCTAAATCTACTATTAATTATTCAAAAGTGTCTCTCGCGTCTACTATGTGGCGCGCGTATATTATAGAAAAGACGGGAGGAGTTATTTGAATCTTTCAAAAATAGGTCAATGGGTCGTGTCATTTTGGGTGGAAAATAATATGAGTATATAAAAAAAACGAAGTCATAAAGTAAAAAAAAAAATATCTAAAAAAAACCAAAATGGAAATAGGGATAAAAAACAATTTTGTTTTTTTTTTGGGTAAATAGTGAAACAATATTGTATGCGCATTTAAAATCATTTTATAGTGAAAGATTAAAAATCAAAAAAAAAAAATCACAAATGAAAATAATCAAAAATTTTAATTAAAATTAAAATTTAATAAAAATAAAGAAAAAAAAATCAACTTCCGATTCAGCAATAAGTGAATGACCTTTTGATCGAAAGTATCGGGAAAATTGTTCATTGCCACGTGCTGACTCAACTGGCAATAGGGTATTTTTAACACTTTCAATAGAGCACCGATGAGTCTTGAGGCACAATTTTAAATTTCGCTCCGGATATCGACGGCAATCGTGTATATATATGATAATAACACATTATAATAATTTAACTTTAATTAAAAAATTTAAAAAAAAAAATTTTTTTTTCAAAATTTAATTAATTTTTTTAAATTAAATTAATTTTTATTAAATTCGTTAAAATTCAATAATTAATAATAATAATAATAATAATAATAATAATAATAATAATAATAATAATAATAATAAATATAATCATAGACAATTAAACTTGAATTAAAAATTTTTTTTTTAATTTTTTCTCTGCTTTCTATTTGCCAATTTCTTTTCTCTTTTTTTTCTCCCACATGTCCCTTTCTTTTTTCTCTCTCTTTCACATATCCTTTCTCTTTCGCTATTTACCTATTTTTTCTATGTATTTTTATTATTTTTTTTAAATACTTTTAATTTTCTTTCTTTTCTATTTTTTATTTTCTTTTTTACATTTTATATTTCATTTTTTCAATTGGAAAAAAAAACAATTTCTTTAAAATTAGCTTAATACAAAAAAAAATTATTTCAACAATTGCTAAAGGAATTTAAAAATTAATAATAAATAATAAATAAATAATTAATAAAAAAAATTAATGATTTTTATAAGAAATTCATAAGACCAAAAAATTTGTTTACCTATCAATTTGACCAAAAAAAATAATTATTATAAACAATATTAAATATTTTATATTATAAATATAATAAAATATATAATAAATAATAATTGTTTAGTTCCTTTGTATGTTTCTAAGAGATTAGAAGAGATTAGAAAAAAAACCTTGAAATTTACATAAAATAAAATTTTTATTATCTCATCTTTAAAAAGAGACCAAGGAATTTAAAAACAATTTTTTATTTTCCCACAAGATATGATAAAATTAATAACATCTTGCAAATTTGATTTTCACACACGAAATATATGAAAGAATCATTTTTAGATTTTCATTACTTGTAAAGGAAATATAATAATATTTATAATAATAATAATAATACCTACTAATAATAAACATAAAAGAATAATAATAATAATAAGATAAAATTATTATTATTATTATTATTATTATTATTATTATTGTAAATAAAATTTGTGATACTCTCTAAAGAAAGGTGCCTAAAAAACAAAAAAATTATAGGTTATGTTTATGATAGTTTTACCTTTTTTAAAAAAAAAACAACAAATTTTACGTAAAATAAAAATCAGTTTTTATTGAATATTATATATAAAAACAATATGATTAAGAGTTAAAAAATGAATGGTTTGCATATTGAGATTTGATCTTCTTTTTTTTATTTTTACTCCAAACAATCATAAACATAACCTATAATTTTTTACTTCTTAGATCATCCCTTTCTTTAAAGCGCGTCACATTAACAGTTGTTTCATTGCAATTGCAATAATTTTACATTTAATTCAAGCCAATTCTAATTTTTAGAATTATTATTATTATTATTATTTTTATTATCATTATTTATTATTATTTACTATTATTATTATTATTATTATTTAATTTAGTAGGTAAATGATGTTAAATAAATCGGTTTAAGGCCAGTGTATATTAATTTAGTAATTTTGAAAAGCCATATAATTTAATATTATTAATTTAATTTATTATTATTATTATTATTATTATTATCATTATTTATTATTATTTACTATTATTATTATTTTTTTTATTATTATGATAATTTTTTTTAATTATTTTTAATATTACATTTTTTAGTCAGTTTTTTTATTTTTTCAAATATTAAAAAGAATTTTTTATTATAATATATTTTTTGAACATTCCGTTTTAATGATTGTTTTTTTTATTAATTTTCGTTAAGCTACAGAGAGCTTGGTTTAAGAAAAACGACAGTGGCGTATCTATATGTATATAAATAATTTTTTTTTTTTCATTTACGAGTTTTGAAATGTTGATTTTGTAATTAAGTGAGGGCGATTTTTTTTTTTTTTTTTTTTTTAAGGGGTGGAAAAAAATGAAAACCGGCAAAAATACTAAAAATAAAATAATCGAAGGCATTTTATACAACTGGTAAAGCGCAGGTCAGCCTACTCTAAAATTAAACGCGCTTTATACGTATCCACCTAAATACATTTCTAAGCTTGTAAAAGCCCCTTGGCTGGGTTCCCGCGAAAGAGGAGAGAGAGACGAGCGTCGAGATGGTCGAGCGTCTACGATTCGTTTTGCGAGAGATAACTAATTTTTTTTTTTTTTTTTTTAATATAAAATAAAAATTCACTTAATTTATTTTATTTAATATTTAAAATTTTTAATAAATAGGAAAAAATTTTAAAAACATAAAAAAAAAATATTTAGATTTTTTATTAAAAAAAATAATTAACTTAAGGGGGGAACACCAGTTGTAACTCAAAAAATAATGCTTTATACAAGAATATTTTCCAAAAGAACAATGAATCTTTTTAAAGAATACTATTTATTAGTTAAAAGTACATGTAAAAAGCTGTAATTTAAAAGAAAAAAAAAATTTTTTTAACAAAAACTTTTGGAGATATGAGCCATTGAAGTGGCGCCTTAAGAAAAAAGGCGAATTGCGGTGACCAGCATTCTGCAAGTATACTTCGTCTGAAATACAAAAATGAAATTGATTTACATTTATTATAAGATTATCTAGTTCGTGATCGAAGGATTTAAAAAAAAAAAAAAATTTGACAAATTGGCGACCTGTCAAAGTCAAAAGTATGATTTTCGTTAAAAAAATACGGTCGATTTTCAGCTATATAAAAAAAAGTTTTGCATAAAAAAAAAAATCCTTCGATCACGAACTAGACTTATATGTGTAAATGAAGCACACTAAATTTTAAATAAATCGGTTTAATGGTATTCGAGTAATCGTGGTCACCGACTTGGAAAATGTCATTTTGAGAAAAACGCATTCAAAGTTTCAACTTACTTTTTTTTGTTCAGGAGAAATTTTGTTTCCAAGTTACAAAGAGTCATCGATTCCTGGACCATATAATAACTCTTCCGCAGTGGTTGCCGTTTCTAAATCATAGGAAAAGGCCATGTGTCGTTAGGGTCAGGTATGGCTGGCCACCTTGTATAAAGCCACGGGACGCGCCGCTGCAGTGTTCTGTATATCTCATTTATTTTTCACCGGATCAACTTTGAAATTTACAGACACATTTCTAAATATGTATACTTTAAGAAAATGCACAAAAAAAAAATTCGATTTTTCGAAAGTTACAACTGGTGTTCCCCCCTTAAAGACACTGAAAAAAAAATTTATTTAATTCAAATACTTGGATTAACTTGACTATTGTCAAATAAATATTTACTTGAACCAAATAATTTTTTTTTGAATTAAATAAATTTTATTTGAACCGGAATAATTTTTGTATTTGAAAAACAAATACCATTTCATATAATAATTATTTGATACAAATATAAATATTTATTTGAAGATAATCAAGTAGGTAATCGATTATTTGAATCAAATAAATTTTTTTTCAGTGCATAAAATTAGAATAAACTGACAATAATTTCCAAAACACAATTAAATTAAAAAATTTTTTTAAAACGAAATGCCACAGTATTACCAATTACTGAAATTTTTTATTTTCCAATAAATTAAAATATTTACCTTAATAATGAATTTTTGAGCTTCAAGGAGATATTCTTTCAAACTAAATAGCCCTCGGAGATCCCTATACTTTCAAGTTAAATTTCCATTCAGAAAATGTGAAAAATAACCGTAAAAATAGACCGAGTTCTAAAAAGTCTGTGAATTTTGTATCCTTCAAAGATAAGATTGCAGGATTGAATCTGCAAAAAGAAAAATTAAAATACTGTTAGAAAATTTTAAAAATATTTTCTTAATAAAAAAATAAAATCGAAATTTATATGGAATCGAAATTGTAAATATGATTTTAAATATTATGATTTTTATTATACAAAAAAAAAATTAAAATAAAATATTCTCAAAAAAAGAAAAGTGAAATTTTCATTAAAATTCTAAAACACAAAACTTGGTAAACATTACATTACGAAATTGATCCAAGAATAAAATTGCATATTCAATTTAGCTGCGAAATTTTCACTATACAACTGCGTCATAAATATGATTTGTCATATATTTTCAAAAATAATAATAATAATAATTGTTATTATTATTATTGTTATTATTTATTATTATTATTACACTACATAATATCATATTATCACAAATAAAAAACAGTTTTAAAAAAATTAATTAATTAATATATATATTTCAGATAAAAAAAAAAATAAACAGTTATTAAAAACAAATAATTCACTAAAAAAAGAAAAATTAAAGTTACAATCAGGACATTAAAAAATTCCTTTGTCTTAAAATTTGACACATTTTGCAAAGAAGAAGTAAATCGGGTCGATGATGCTTTAGAATTCTAAAATATTTCTCGACAATCGTGGGCGGGTTAAAAACGGTTGAAAATTTTCTCATATGCATTTTAAATACAGATGTGTAATATGCGCGAGAGTATGCGTAAATTCTGTCCGACTCATCGGTTCCGCGAACAATATAACGCAAAATTTTTATATACAAATAATTTAATATGACGTGCATATTAGACGCATCATCGCATGCGGTAAAAATGGATTAACCAATTTTTAAAAAACATTTATATATTCTAACCATATATATATAAAAAATATTTTATTTTATTATTTATTATTTATTATTTTATTATTTTTTAAATTAAAATTTGACAAATTTTCTTTTTTTACAAATTTTTACAGAATAAAATATTTTAACTAGCAAATTTTTATTTGTACGAATTTTTACAGACGCCGAATTTTTATTTGTCCGAAATTACAAATGACCGAACAAACAATCGACAGAAAGATTTCGGCGTAACTTTTGAAAATTGACCATTGATAATTTCTAATTGGTCAAATTTTTAAAAATTGCGCCAAAATCTATCTCTCGATTGTTTGTTCGGTTATTTGAAATTTCGGACAAATGAAATTTCGGCGTCTTAAGAATTCGTACAAATAAAAATTCGGACAAAAATTAAAATTCGGCGTCTTAAAAATTCTGTCAATTAAAAATTCGGTGAATTGGAATTTTTAGAGAGTAATATTTTTTAAAGTTAATTAATTAATTAAGAAGTTCATTAATTCGTAATTAATTATGAAAAAGAAAACAAATAATAATAAATATAGTACTATATAAAATTGGTGCTAGTCCATAATATTGGATATACAAAATAATTATTATGAGTAGCATTATTGTGAAAAACGTGTGATAAATCGCGGCCACGTGTCGTCGTGAGTGTGCCAAAATAAAATCATTTCTGTTTTCGCCGCTTCTTCGATATTCTATTCTTAAAGAGCCTCCTCCGGCTTCCTCAAGTGAGTTAACCATATCCAATTTTACAACTTTTATAAAAAAAAAAAAAAAAAAAATTTCAATTTTTTAAACCTATTTAGTATAAGTAAAAAAATCAGAGTTTCAAGAGGCGCCGACAATATTTTATTATTATTATATATTCCCTACCAAAAATTGCCAGTACTACGCCAGTAGTCAATTTTTGATAGAGTTATTATTATTATTTATTTATTTTTATTTTTATTTATTTAAAACTAAGTTTTTGGATATTAGAAGAAAAATTTTTTTTTCTTTTGTTTAAAAATTACAGTAATATTTGTTTATCGACTATATAAATATATTATATTAGATAAGTAGAAGTAATCGGTTGTATAGTCAGACTATTATATATCAAAACGAATACGGAATGACCTTGTAATGCCTAGCCATGAAGCAAGAAGTTTAAAACTTCCTTCCTTAAAAGGTTCACTTAACAGGTACCACTTGTCAGGATTTTACTTACCGATCAGAACGATGTAGGTTACACCAGTCACCATGGATTCTTCCATCCGAACGATTCTCACTCACGTATTGTGTGGGTTGTTGCATCTTTTTTTTATTTCACTCTAAACAAAAACAAAAAAAAACGAAACCTCAATTATTAAACGTTACTTTATAAATTCTGTGTAATGTGTTTTTGTGATCAATAATTTAATTTTGTTTTTGAAAAAAGGAAGAAATTAATTTTATAGAAAATTTTTATAATACGTTGTTAGTAATTATTATATTAATTAATTATTATTATTATTATATTAATTATTTTTTATTATTATAATTATTATATTAATTTATTATTATTATTATAAATATTATTATACGTATATAAAAGTATTTTTGATAGTTTTTAAAAATGTGTGAACTAGAATGTGTGAATCATGAATCATCGTTTGATCTCAGGAAAGCCAGGAGATAAAACAAGAATCATTTGACGAAAGAACAGAGGAGAAGGTATATCTACTATATAGAGAGAAATAAAATTCGTATCTTTTATATATTGTATACATCTCTTTTCTCATAGAACCCTCAAAAGTTTCATGGTTTTTTTTAAATCGATATTTTATTTAGAATTTCAAAATTTTTTCTTTAAAAAACACTATTGAGTTTGTCAATTTGTAAACCAACAAAAATTTGCCATAAAATTAATAGAAAAAGGCAATAATAAAGTAATAATAATAATAATAATAATAATAAAATATTAACAAAATAATAGTAAAAATAATCATTATTATCATAAATCAAAAAAACCGTAGTAATAATAAATAATTTTTTCTGTTGCAGAAACTCCGGCTCAGCCGCGCCAGGTAATGCAATATGCCTCCAAAGTAAATAATTTCTCATATGGAGTAAGGTCAATGCTCGTTTTATGAAATATAAATATCGTCTGCTTAAATAATTTATTACTATATATATATACCCAAATATTATCTTCTCTTCATCGTATATGCAACATCAACAAATACTAAATACTCCACACTTTTCTTAAAGTGTTTAAAAAAATTTATATCAATTTTAATTGTAGAGAAATAATAAATTTTTTTTTTAAATTATATACCAAAAACCATATCTAAACCCTGAACATTGGCAACAACTTGACCCAATTATCTTTATGGAAGCGCAAAAATGTCATGCCTCCCATTAAGGATTGTTGATGACATAGAAATACTGCCCTTGAAATTATCTTCATCTAAATTAGTCTCAAAAATCATCTAACCAAAAACTTTTTCTATCACTAAATTGACTAGAAATTTTTTTTTAAATTTGTTAAAATTATTAAATTACCCCAGCGGAAATCGATATTAATTTATACAATAACTACTGTTCGATATAATCCGTAGTACCGAAAAAAATTAGTAAAACAAAATTAAAAATTTCTGTGATTGTTGTAAAATTTTAGGATTAGGTCCTGTGCCACCACCACCGCCTCCACCTCCAATAGGCGGACCAATACCATCCTTGAGAATCAACACTGCTGAGGTAAGAATATCCAAAAAAAGTTCAAAAATTATTTCTAAGAGCCATTTGTTTTAGCAACGTAATCTAAAATTGCATTTCAAGATGCAGAATTAATAATTAGTAATTATAGTAATGGAAAAATTATTACAGACTATAGTAGAATTTGTATAGTGAAACGAGGATTTTATTTCAGACATGCGGATCAAGAAGACCGCAAGCACCATCCGATTCATATGAACCGCCAGCCGCTATCCAAAACGCAATGATGACTAAAGACAAAAAACCCTTCACCTATACTCCCGGTATGGGTGGAAAATTGGATCTTTCACAAATAAGAAGTCCAAGAATGGCACGTAGAGTAGCTAAAAATGCCAATGATGAAGGTATCGAAGGTCCGCCAAAATCTGCCCTAGAACCCAAAGTTCCTGTACCACCAGGAAGCGCAAATCTCTTCGTACAGCCACAAGTTGCTGTTCCAGTCTTCCCATCAACTATCCCATCACCACCAACAGCCAACAGAACACCGAATGTGCAAATTAATCGAGTACCACCAGCTGGTAATTTCTATTTTTACTGTATTAGCACCATATAATTTTGGTAAAACCAAAACTGATATGATGCAAGTTTGTAACTATAAATATTTGTAGTATACCAATACTAAAAAAAAAACCGTTTTTCTATTCCCAGTACCAGAAAGACATTCATCAGTCCCAGAGCAACCACGAATGAAAGTCGAAACAAAAATAATACCCATTACAAATAGTTCGCAGCCAAATTCTCCCGAAACGCCAACGTCACCTACATCACCTACTCAGGTGACTTTAGCAAAAGCTCCAACACCATGGCTTCAAAATAAAAATAAATCTCCAGATGAACTACCAGAATGGGCTCGACGATCAAATGTCACCAAATCTCAGGAAACTTCGCCTGAAAGTCCTACATCGCCTCCAATTTATATTCAAGTTCAACAGGCACAACCTTTACAACAAAAACAGCAACCGCAACAATTTCAAAATCGACAATCTCAACAACAGCTTCAGCCAAAATCACTACCTCAACAACAACCTAGTCGTCCACAAAGTAGTCCTCAAGAAAGGACCATACCCCTCCGAGTAAGTTTAATGAGTATTTTCCTTAAAACAATCCTAAATCTCTTCTTCTTCCCTTTTGATAACTTCCTTACTGATCAAGGAATAATTTCGCACGAACTAATTTCGGATGATCAAAAGTGGGATCGAACCATTTTCGAATTACTCTGTTTTAACCAGGAAATATTTTCAAAGGAATAAAAAAACGTTTTGCTAACAGATTTTTGGTATATCTACAGATTGAAGACAGACCTTCGGTATTTTCCGTGAAACAAGAGCCAGGACATCATCAACTTCAAAATACACAGCCTCATCATCAATCACGTTGGTATCAACAACCACAAAATCAGCCACAACCCGTTAGTCAAAATCCACAACCAGTTCGACAAGATCCTCAACAATCCGGAGGTTACATCATACCAATAATGGTCGAAGGTGGTGGTAATAGTAACAGAACTAACGGTCAATCAATTCCACAATCTACAAATTACTCACAACCTCAAATTAGAATTGTTCCAATCGACAATCAGAATTCAAAAATGTAAGCTAAAACACCCCTTATTTCTGTTAATTAGAAAATAAGGAAACATTTTCTAATTTTTTTTTAGGAATACACAACGTGGACCATCGGCAGCAGTTGCTCAAGAACCCGGACCAATACAATCAAAATCATTTCGTGTTCTTCAGAAAATAACAAGTACGGATGCTGACGATGTTGATGGTGATCAGTTGCGTAGAATGCAACTCACTGAGGATGAGAAAGTTCTCATGAATAAATTCAAAGAACAGGGTAATTGTAAAGTTATTTAAAAATCCTATTCGTGGACTTTTAATATCAATGTTAACTATTGATATATATATATATATTTTCAGTTGACGCTGACACTTATCTACATCAGGAGGCTGATCCTCGATATCGTGGTTCGGCAATACCGTCACGCGCTTTTCGTTATTTACAAAATATGACTGATTCTGGAGAGGTTACAACTGCCGGAGGTATGATTCTCAAATGCTAATTCTTCATGATGATTTTACAGGTGAAGGATTCAAAATTAACCATCCATTGACATGGATTCATTTTCAGTAACTTGTCTCAAACACACATATTCGAGTAATTCTCTCTACTTTACTCTCTACTCTAAACTTTTGTTTTGGAACTATTATAAAGTCTATTTGATAACACGTCTTTTTGAAAAAAGACCCTAAACAACTGTGTCAACGGAAGATTAATTATTTTTCAGAAATTTAGCAACAAAAAACTTTCATGCAAAAACCTTTTCTTTTGCAAAGAAAGACTTCTTCAAAATTGATCCAATTTTCTTTTCCAGCCCCAAGAGCAGTTAACTCAGCCATTAAGAAACAAAATAGAAACTCAAAATCGTTCGGTAAATTTCACAAATTACAAAAATCATTCTTTCATTTTATTGTCACTTTTTTGTCTACTAAATTAATTGTAATTTTATTTTTCTAATTTCGTAATTGCAGAAGAAATGCAAGCTAATTTACCAGCAAGCGAGCAAACTGTACCGGAACCGAAAAAATACACCGGAAGTGCTATTCCATCGAGGTCGTTTAGGATACTACAAGCAATGACTACCCCAGAGGCTATTGGTAAGTCCTGTTCTTTCAAGTCTTGAATAATAATATAATAATAAAAATAATATTAATAATAATATTATTAATAAAATTATAACAAAACTGTGCTAGATGAAATTTTGAACAAGGGTTAAACAGATAAACCTAAATGAAAAATACTGAATTTAAGCACAGATAATCACTAAAAGTAAATAAATATTTTAATAACGATGAGATTCACTAGTACAAGAGTTGCAATATTTACGTTTATAATATTAATCATCAAAAGCTTTTTTCTTGCCTCTGTACATTAATAATGTTCAAAATGACGCTCTAATGAACATTTTGAATTAAATTTTTAAAAAAATAAAATTAAATAACACGAATCGCCAGAACGTTTCACCCGAATCCTGTGTTCACAGGAATAACGAAAATTCCTTCGAGAATTACCGCACGAGTGTAATTTATACGTTTCTGTGATGATTCCAAAATTGCGAGGTTTCTTTTTCTAAAGTAGAGCAAAAAATTATATACCATTTGAAAAAAAAAAAAAATTTTAGAACAAAATTCATCGTTTCAAAAAATGATTTTGATGATACAAAATATAAGTAAAAAGGTGTATATGAAAAATTCCAAATGAAAAAAAAATATTAGAAATATAAGATGTCTTTTCACTATATTTAATCAAGGCAAACTTGATATAAAAAGAAAATGTAAAAATAACTTTGAAATCAAAATAACAATATTTGAAATTAATGTTAACTTGATCCAAAAATGCACAAGGAGCCAGGAATGCAAAAATTTTGATATGGGAATGTGCATGTTACGATATAATATTCACACGTGTTTAATGTACGTATATAAATTTTTGAAAACATTAATATTGCGACACTTATGCATGTACAATTTTTACATATATATATATATATATATGTAGAGAGAGAGAGAGAGAGATAATTTTCGTTTATGTAATATAGCGACCGATTTTTTAAGACATTATCTATAAGATTGCAAATATTAATTTGTAGATACAATTCCATCACTATTTTTCCGCATGTTTTATATCCATTTCAGAGTATTATCAGTAGAATTTTAAATTTACATATAATTTTAAATATCGATAAATCGTGACGCTTCATCGTGGCCCGAAATTTTTTCGAAATTCGATTTCCTTTGAACACAGGATCAAGCGTTTCGTTCTTTCTAATCGTTCCCCGCTCTCATTTTCATATTCTCTTATCGCGAAATAAAGGATTTTTTTTTCTATTGTCTTCTGCCATTTTAATTTTGTTCAAAGAAATTATTGTTTTAAATTTTTAAAAAATTAAAATGACAGAATCGCTAGAGTCGAGGGAACAGAAAACGCGAAACGATGAATTGATTTCTTTTTTTTTTGAATATGGTGTTTTGTTATAGCCACGCAAGAAAATTGGCAAGCAGCTGATTTCGTCAATCATACAGAGAATAACATAACGGGCAATCAGCAGGCTATTTTTTATCCCCCATATCCTAATAATAGTTTTTGGTGTCCCGACGGTGGTTGGTGGACTTATCATCCAACGCCATGCATTCCAAACTCAAATCCAAATAATCAACCCTATACATTCTACAATGACGAGGATGGTAACACCTACATTTGTTATCCAATTTTCAAACCAAATTGTCCTCCTCAGTTTCTTCAAAATGAAAAACAACAATCTTCAATCCCAGAAACTTTCGTTACTGACGAACCACTTTTTCTTCAAAACGATCACGAAGTCTTAAATTCTCCAAAGTTTGGGACCAAATCTGAGAATTACGAACCTAAATCTCCAAATCCAAATCCTGAACCATCGAATGATGACATCGAATTTTGGAATCACAATCTCAAATCATCGAATAATCTCCAGGCAACATCATCTCAAGAGGAGACGAGAATAATCGTCACTCCATGTACTGACGATGACACCGATTCAGAATCAGAGTCTTCGCAAAGTAACGAAAAAACCGATTCCACTTCTTCTGATGATTCGGAGTCATTTCTAGCTTACTCGACTGGTCTCAATCCAAAGACAAATTTCCAATCATTATCCGCAACGACCATCTCAGAGGATCAATCTTTATCGTCGGGTAAATTAGACTCCGATTCTGATTCCGATGATCAAGAATACACCACCGAAGATGACAAAGAAACTTTCTACCCTAAGGATCATGATTGTAAACTATCGAATGTAAATCAAATGGAAGATCAACGGTTAAGTGTCATTCAAGAGGATTCGGTGACAGAGGAACAGAACGATAATGACGATGCAAACACAGTTAACGTTAGTCTTCCATTGAGATTCAAATTTTCCGTCTCCGAGAACAATCAAGATGTAACAACCGTAATTGTCGGTGACAGTACAATTCAACCGGAAAAACCCAAAAACGACGAAATCCACGTTGATTTTACACTACGACGCAAAAAGACACAAGAAATCGAATCAGAATTTACAATTGATGAATCGCGAACTTTAAATACCAAACAGAATTCATCTAATAAATCCGAAAAACTTTTCTACGAATCTAGAGTCGTTTATGATATAACCTCCTGTCCAACTTATCCAACTTCTGATAATTACGATTCTGGTGATTACGATTCAACTTCCGTAGAGGTTTACAATTTACCGACTACAGAGGAAATTTACGACTTGACCTCAAAACAAATTCAAGAAAAGACAAATTCAATTGATTCTATAACTAAATCGACAAATTTACTCAGTGTTCAAAATTCACGAGAGGAAACCGATGACGAGGACAGTGGTGTCACTTCAGATATGAGTCGAATCATATCCGAAGTTGACACCGACTCGGAATGTTGCACAATAACAAGGAAACAAAATAAATATCAAAGAACACAAACACATTCACGTCTTTTTCGACTCTTGACCAATGATTCCATCACAACGTCCAATAATTGTCCCCTTGAAGAACGAATTCATTCTGAACAACGGGAACACTTAAGTCTTCCATTACAATCAACTGCTCCCAATGATGATCATCATTATTGTTCCAATTACTCCAGTGGAATGACATCGCCTGAATATTCCCCCAGTTATGAACCCGAAAAATCAACACAGGACTGTTACTATCAAACATGGAAATCATCAAAATCTGACGACTCAGACATTCTACCATCAATGGCTCATAAAGTTCTCGACAGTCAAAAACCCCATTGGACATATAAAGTAAATGTTCTCTGTCCGAGAATTCGTAGTTCAAAAAATGTTCCCAGGGATTTGACATCAATTACAAATGATCCATCGTCATCCTATCCTAATCACGATCCACTAGAGAAAAATAGCCAATGCTGATTTTAGCCCCTCCCAGGGTAGGAATATGAGACCGAGCATCCGGTTCACAAGCACCGAACGTGCCCTACGAATTTTGTCTCTATCTCTTTAATCCGCAAGACTGGGCCACGATGCCCGGAATGTAAAAAGGCGAGACATGTGATTTTTTTCTATCGGTACATATTTTTTCTGTATTTTTTTTTACTCTTTCTCTATAAATGTGTTGGCCGCCTTATTATCGATAGGTGGCGTTCTACATACATTCTTCCCTTATTAATAAAATGATAAATAAATATATACACTTTCGAATGCGTCCTCAAAAAAAAATAGTCGAAATGTGAGAGTTTTTGTTTTTTCTGTCGTTATATACTTTATGCGAAATAACTTGTCAAGTGTGAAGCGTGCTTTTTTTAAAATCGCTGAGGTAATTGATAGTTAACATTAGGAAGGTTGCCATTGTCCACACTCGCTATTTGTCATAATTCTTGTCAACTACCGCACCCTGCTCTTGTGAAAATCTAGTGAATTTATTGTTAAAATTAAAAGTTACTATTTAGTCACTAAATCACTAGAGCAAGGTGCAGTAGCTGAGCGAGAAAGTTGTTGAAATGTTTCCCTGTTCCCTCGTGTAATTTTCCCAATTATTCATTATCTAGTATGAAACACTTGCTTTCAGCAACTGAATCCAATACGACACTAATCACACTCATTGAATTTCTTCTTCTTCATAATTTTATTTTCTAAACAATTTTCAAAATTACCGATGTCCCTACTGGCTATTTGTCATAATTCTTGTCAACTACCGCACCTTAATCTAGTAAAAATTTAGTAACTTTATTGTTAAAATTAAGAGTTACTATAAAGTTACTAAATTTTTACTAGAGCAAGGTGCAGTAGTTGACAAAAATTATGACAAATGACAAGTGGGAACAATGGCAACCGTACCATAGCAATCTACAGGGTTTGGAACGTAAATTACGTAACGAAATCTTTTCTGAATTAATCTATCTTCATCAGGGGGTTAAGAAAAGTGATGAACGTAACAAAACCTCAAACGAAAAACAGATTTTTAACGCAAACAAAAATTAAAAATTAATTCTTTTATAATTTTTATATATTTTTGTTTGTTTTAAAAATCATTTTTAGTTTGTGGTTTTTTTACCCTCTCTAATATAAATTTTATGACTTTGTAATAAAAAATTGTAACTAGACGCGCATGCGTTGTATTAAAAGCGCCAAATTTGAAATGATAAATTATAAAAAAAATGAATTATCAACGAAATTACTTAATTTTTGAATTCGAATTTGTTTTTTAAATAAATAAAACAAGCACTTGACACGTTTTTTTGCTCTTTTTCTTCAGCATGCTAGGTTTTTTTCTCCTGAAATTCTCGACTTTGACTTTTTTTTATTATTCTCTTCTCGTGCCTCTATTTTTATTGTTAATATTAGGATCGTTATTGAATTTTTCAACACGTTTTTATGAAGAATTAATATTCTATTCAACAATAGAACTATTCTCTAAATTTGAATTTTTAATAATTTTAACTAATTTCAAAATACTGGATTTTGCTAAATTTTACCTATAAATTAATAGAATTTTTTGAATTAAATTAATATAAATAAATTAATTAAATAAATAACTATAGTAAAATTTAACTAATTCGTAATAAAAAGTAATTCAAATTAGATAAAATTTTTACTAATTCTAGAAAGCGTAGAATTTTTTTCATTTCGATTAGCAAGAATATTGTCAATATCTAATAATAATAATAATAATTCAACGCATTCCTTCCATTTACTGTTTATTAACAAAAGTTTTTATTTAGTATCGCATCTTGTTATTTTGCATTTTGTTTGCACGTTTATGACTTGCATATATTTTGCTTTAATTGTTTCTTCAATTTATTTTAAAATACATATAAATAAATTATATTGAAATTAAAGAAAAAAAACTTTTTATCAAAGGCAAAGAGTTTACAATTAATGTTAATAATATTTATTAATTAAATAATTGATTAACATTATTAATTAATAAATTAGTAATCTTTTTTTAATTAATTACGTCTATATATAATAATTAATATTATCAGTAATTATATTATTTATTAATTAATATCATTGATGCAATATTATTTATTGATTAATGTTATTAATTAATTATTTTATTCTATTTTGATTTGTTGCGTAAATGTTTTTTTTTTGCATCAGTTTTTTATTTAACTTTATTTTTCTCAAAAAAAAAAATATTGAAAAATTATTTCCTTAACTGAAAAAATAAATTAATTTCTTTTCTTTATTTTCAGGTCCCGACACTACTGATTACTGAAGAAAAAGAGATGGGCATCTTTTAAGAAAATGTGGCATTGCTATATAATATAATGTGCTTTTTTGATTTTTATTTCTATATTTTCTTATACGAAAAAAATAATATCAATTTATAAATTGGAATCGTGGACTTAAATCTTACTATTATTATAAATATATAGTTATTGCTTCGAAAAAAAAAACTAATGCATGGAGCATATTATATTGGCTCTATTATTTGTATACAGATTCGCTTTATAGATTTTTTTTTTATAATATAATACATAATTTGACGAGTGTGAAAAAAAAATTCATAATGACAAATGATCGTGAAATTTTATTTTTTCTTTTTTCAAATATTAAATATATTTAAATGTGTCAATCTTGTAAAGTATATTGTAGATTTTATTGGATATTCTCTTTATTATTTATATTTAATTTATCTATATATATATTTTTCTCGAATTTTTATTTTCTTTTAAATATAGTAATATCATAAACAATTAATTGTTAAATAATTAAAGAAAACGATAAATTTTATTATTATTAAATATAAAAAAAATATTTTTCTCTTTTTGTTGTCACTGTTTTTCATTATTTATACTTCAAATTATAACAAAAAAATCGTTTTCTTTTTTAACCTATAAAAAAAAAATTTTTTTCTAACAATACATTTATTTTTCATTGAGAAAAAAAAATAATTTCTCAATTCTATCTACGAAAAAATTAATATTTACGTAATATTTCATTAAAAAAAAAGATGGGGGAAATGAATTATCGTTTTTAAAAAATATTTTCCAATTGTAAATTACAAAGAAAATTTTTTTTTTTAATGCAAAAAATAACAACAAATGCTAACCTGAGTGTTATTTTCCTCTATTTCTTCAAGATGAATTATTATTATTATTATTATCAGTTATATTTATCTATAAGTATGTTTAACTTTATCTTTAATTTACCTGATTTTACTGTACTATTTATTATTTAAGCTGTGTAAAATAAATTATTTCTGTGAATGTTATAAATTTATTGTTTATTCACACACTCCTCTTGAAAAAATCGGAAAAAAATCATTTTGTATTAAAAACAGAAAAATTGAACAGTAATTATCATAAAGATATGAAAATGACTTTTTATTTTTAACAACATTTAACTTATTTGCTACAGAAAGAAAAAAGTTTTAATGAATTTTTTTAACCGTGACTATTTCCACCATTGATCTTTAAATATTAAGCTGCTTTTACAAAAAGAAAATCTCAAGTCTGACACTTACAGGGTTGGGAAGTTACGCGCGCAAACTACTTAACCCTGATACTTATTGTAAAAGAACCTTAAGCGCCTACGAAACCGGAAGTACCATATTTTAGATAACCTTATTAAAATAGAGGCGGAAAATTTAAAATATAATAAAATTAATAAATACTTGGAATCACAAAAATATAAAAGATGATTTATCCTCACATGCTGTATTAAAGGATTACTATTACCATTTTTTATTGTAAAAATAACTCACCTATTTGTTGAATGATATTAATTTTTTCAGCAGCACTCTACGATGGCGATAAAAATCTTCCAAGCACAAAAAAATACACGCGGTTTTAAAAATTTTTTACGAACACTCCTAATTCACGTAAAATATAAAGGGAACATATTTTTATATTACAAAAACGATCGCGGTTTTAAGTATTATAACGAGCACTCGCGAGATTTTAAAATTAATTTTATTTTCAATAATAGTAAAAAACAAAGTTAATGAGGAAAGAGAATAGTATTCTTAATAATAAACACTCGCGGATATGAAAAATGTACTAACACTCCCGAAGCTAACGCACGACTGATTGGTTTTTTGATTGACGGGTTCTGAATATAACCTCTTCACACGATGAAAATGCTAAAGCAATATATGGAAGTAAAAATTTTAAAGATTAATTAGATATTAACAATAATAGAGTTAATTTTTTCACAATAACTTTATTAGTAATGAGGAATATTTACTGCATACTGTTTTATGACTGCGGTACTGTATCCGGTACTTGTTATAACAGGTCTCGCAAGTGTAATATGAAGTTAGTCATGAATCGAAAGACGTTCTTAGTGAGAATGTAAGATGGCGCTAGTCATATGTTCTACTTTTACCGGCAAATTTGAATTATAAAAAATACTTTCGATTCAAATTAGGAGTAATTAATTAATATAAATAATAAATAACATTTCAAAAAAAAAGGGGAGAAAAATATTAATTTTAGGTTATTCAAAAAAAGGGAAGGGGCAAAACTTATATTTGTGTTAAATAAATAAATATTAAATCTAATTATTAATTAAAAAAATAATATTCTTAACAAACAAAATTTGAAATACATTTTAAAAATATATAAAACAAGGTATTTTTTGTCCACATCAATATTCGAAAAATCAGATTTTCTTTATTTATTTATTTTTTCTTAAGAATCAAACAAATCCTGAATCGACAAAAAAAAACGCAATTCAATCAAATCGCAGGATTGTAAGATTGTTTACAAAAAGAATATATTAAGCATTGTACACATTTTTTTTTTTACTAAAAAATACAAAGAAAGTTTTTTTTCAATTCTATCAAATTGAAAATAAGTATTTTTCTTCATCTATAAATGTCAGGTATTCAAAAAAGTACATTTCCTTTTTTAAAACTATACGTATTTCCCGACTGGAAATAGTTTTATATCTAATATACAAAAAAAAAAAATACTTGTCTAAAAGCTTGTTTACTTAACAAAAAACAAAAAAAAAAATATCAATATGGCAAGCTTTTTAAATAATACTATAAATGAGAAAAAAAAATTACATTGATCAGTTGTTTTTTTTTGCGAGTCAAGATGATGTAAAAAAAATAATAAATAAAACCTATAAGAGAAAAATTTTGAACACTGATCAAATAGAATTTTTTGCAGAGATCTTTTTCTTTTTCTTTTTTTTTAAAATCTAAATTATTTGTGTTGTTTGCTTCAAAATTTTGTTTCTTTTTACTGTTAATTGAACACATAATTATAAATAATTCATAAGTAAAATTTCTATAGTCGTTGATATTAATCAATGAAAATAAAATATAAGTTTATCGAAGATTTACACAATAAAAAACTTATTGTAATTTAAATATTATCCAATATTTTTTTTTTTTTCTTCTAATTTAATTATATAGAAATTAAATGACTTTTTACTTTTTGTTCGTTAATTATTAGACACATTAGAAAAATGTACTTTCCTACCGTTATTATCGAGTACGTCCATTAAACTCGATGTAAAACTGAATTCCGACGAACTATCTTCATTTTGACATCTGTAAATTATTTATTTGAAAATTATTAAAATTAATCTTTTTTTAAAATCCTAGAAAAATATCGATTAAATAAATAAAAAAATAGTTGAAAATATAAATAAATTAAATTGGTATAAATTATAAATGAAAAATAAATTATGAATGTAAATAAATTAAATTTGGTACTTACAATGTATCTATACTAGTGAGACTGCCACTATTTCGTATTAATGAATTTCCTTCGATTTTCAGTAATTCAAGAACGGTATTAACAGCAGATATGTAAATACCTTTGGTACCAGCCAAACCCAAATAACGAGGATTATTGAATTCCATTAATGTTCTTTCCGGTTTATTCGAGTACGATTTAAATGATTCGGAATCGATTTTTATTATTTCCACTGATGAAAAATGTACAATGAACAAATACGGTTTGCGATAAGCTGCAAAAATTTCAAATTCATTAGTTTACCTATTTTATTTCTATTATTTTTATTATTTTTATTACTATTTTGTTTGTTAAAAACAAAAATAAAATTTCAAAAGTAAAAATAACTAAAAAAAAAATAATGAATAGAAAATTTGTTTAAAAAAAATAATAATATCTTGTAAATAAAAAAAATATTTAAAAACTAAAATTACAAAAATAAGTAAATAAAATTTTTTCAAAAATAATACTTTTCCATATAAATATAGTATTAGTACAAAAAAAAAATTTCTTACCGAATGCAAACGGAAGATGACTCCAATTTGGATTAATATTTCGTGTTCTTTGTCCTTTTTCATTGACAAAAACGCCAAATTCATTGTAGCAAAGTAACAATTCAACATGTTGTGGATTACTCGATACATCGAGAACGCAAACCGGAAAAATGCCAAGTCTCGCAACACCCATGAGAGCAGCTTTAATTGAATTATCATCCTCTTCCGGAAAATCTAACGAAACAAAAGAAAAATTTACTAAATAAATAAATTAATTTTTTATTATTATTAATTTAATTTTTAATTATTATTAATTTAATTTTTAATTTTTAATTAAATTAATGTTTTTTTTCACAATTATCATTGAAATAACTCACCATCGATTTCATAAGTCGTCATATCAATTTGATAAAATTTATTACAGCCAACAATTAGTATATTTCTTGCAAATAAGGCACAACTACAAGGCTCTTGCGTTTCAAGTTCGCGAATTCCGATAAATTCGCCGGAATCTTCATTTACTGTCCACTTAAGAAGTCTGTAAATTATAAAAAATATTACATTTTTATAAAATTGAAAAAAAAATCAATTGTTAATATTTTTTTAAAATTTTATATTATTAAATTTCAGTTTTATAAATTTTATTTGTTTTTTCAAATTAATTTGAATTTAAAAAAAATGTCAATTTCCCGCTTTAATTAACGAAAATATAATTCAAAAATTAAAAATTTTAAATATCTATTTTCGTATTTTTTCTCAATAAAACTGAAAAAATCGGAAAACAATTTTCAAATAGAAGAATTAATATCATAATTATTGAATTAATAATGAATAATAAAAATATTTTTAAAAAAATAATTAAAAAATAGTAAATTAATAAAAATAATAATTTTTTGAATTAATTATATAATATTTACATGACGTGCGATGTTGTTGCTGCACAAAGCATTTCGCCTTGTACTTGATAAAGATGACAACTTTCTGAACCGGTAAGTACTGGTTTTGTATTAATTGCAGGACGTGAACATTCAGCAGCGACTGCATTACTTTTTAATTGTCTCAAATCGCAAGCAACCAATTGTCGATCCTCACCGGCAATCATTAATGCTAATCCCAATTTTGGATGTAATGTTAATTGATGAACTTTTTTCACGCCTCTTATTGCCGTCAATACTTGTGCTTTTGACGATTGATACGAATATAAACCTTCCTCGGCGCCCAATAATAATACACCCTCCTCACTCAATTCAACAAGACAATTAAGATCCAACTGGAAAAAAATAATTTTTCATATCAATAAAATAGTCAAAATAAAAAAAAATTTTTTTTAATTAATGAAATACCTGATTTTTCTCCAATCTCAAAACCGTATGATATTTATCAATCTTTGGTGTATTTGAAAGTGATTTTAATGCTTTAAGCCAATTTTTCTTATCCAATTGACTTAATGCCATAATATCAAGTCGCGCCGTTGGCCAACATGTTGTCGGTGAATTTGGTTCAACACGAATGATAAATGGTAAATCAGATTTTGCCGTACCAACAACATCGGCCATTTCAACAGCATCATTAATGATAAAACCATCTTTTTCCGTTAATTCCAAACGATTTATTGGCACCATACCTGGACTTGGTTGATGTTCATAAATCAATAAATTAGCACCCTCTAATTTCAAATATTTCCTCTCCCAACACGATTTTCCTCTACCTGGCACTTTTACCCAACTTTCCATTGTCACCAATTCATTATCATTATTTTTCTGCTGTTGATTTGTTTTCATTAAATAATCCGTATCACGCTCTGGTTTATCAGGCTCATCAATAGCCAATGTTCTAACACTTTCACCATTACTTGATAAACTATTTAAACTATCGCGTGAATATTTACCAAAATGTCGTGCAAAATCACCAGGTAAACCACATGTTGCCGGCACTGATACTGAACATTTTAAATGTGTCATTATTTGACATTCACTACAAATTGCTGCACGTTTACCAAATTGTATTGAATCAAGACACGCTGAACATTTACCAGCTCTCATTGGTAAACTAATATTAAAACGATGTGGAATATTGTGTTTTATTCTTTGTAATGAAAGATGACGTGTCATCATATCTGTACTATTATCAATATATTTTTTCTCCGGCGATTGTCGTGGTGATGTTGATTTTAATGGTGATGTTGTTAATTTTGCCGTTTTTGTCGTTAATATTTGTTCAGTTAATGCTTTTACTTTTGCACGTTCTTTATCCAATTGATTTTCTAATTCACGATAACCAACGGGCATTGCTGCACCAACATTTGGCGGTGTATTCTCTTTCTTTGAACCAAATATTTTATCGCAAACACCTTTTTTCTTTTTACCACATTCCTCAAGTTTTAATTGTAAATAATCAATGAGTTTTGTTTGTTGTTGACATGTACTACCGGCTTTAACTTCACGTTCCTGATAAAATTGTCTCATTTCATCCATAACGCCCTCAAGTTCAGCGACACGTGTTCTTAATTCCTGTGATTGATCAACAGTATCTTGAAGATCGGCCATTAAATTTAAATTTGTCTCCTTTAATTCATGTAATCTCGTTAAATGTTGTGATGATTCTTCTTTAACAATTCTTGCCTCTTCTTTTGAAACATCAAGTAAACGACGTGTTTGTGATAAATCACATTCAAGTGAATCGCATTTAATTGTAAGCACACCAATTTCTTCATTTAATTTTTGTGCTAATTTTTTATATTCATCACGTTGCGATGATAATGTATTACGTTCACCTTCAATATCAGATGCGTCTGATTCTAAACGTTCAATTGCACGTTCAGCAACTAAACGCATTGTTTTCTCTTCATTTTGTGCTATTTTTGCTTCACGTAAATTCACCTCCGTTGATTCCAATTCTTTTTGTAGGCGCATTTTTTCTTGAATTAATGTATTTTCACGTGTCTCATGATCATTTGTTAAACGTTCATAATCAGTTAATTGTTCCTCTAAAACGGTACATGTCTCCTTAAGAAGAACATTATTCACATGATAACTATTTACTTCTTCTTGTAATTTTTCAAGTTTTGCCTCATATTCATCCTGTGTATCATTATGCTTTGATATTTGTAATTTTAAACGTTCATTCTCAGCTTTAAATGAATCCATACGATCCTGATTGCCACGCACTTGTTTTCGTGTTGCGTCCAATTCACGACGTAACGCTGCACTTGAATTTTGTAATTCTTCTATTTGTTTATTCGCCTGTGTTAGTGCCTGAATAAAGGAAATTTTTTTATTAAATTTTGAAAAAATACAATAAATAACTTAATTTAAAAAAGAAATTTGATTTTAACAAAAAAAAAACTCACCCTTTGAGCAGAATCTGCTTGCATTTTATTTCTCGATGATTCTCTTGTTATTTCATTCAACGATAATTTTGCACTTTCCATTTCTTTCAATAATTTCGCCGATTTATCCTCCTCGTCTTTTTCCATTTTCTTCAATTTCTCCAATAAACGATGTTTATCGTCTTGTAAATTTTTAATTTTTTCCTCAGCCGTTTTTGCCTCTCTTGTTGCAATACGTTTATCAAGATTTGCATCTGACAATTCTTTTTCTTTTTTCCATAATGAAATTTGTGCTTGTTTAGCAACTTTTTGTTCAGCTGCTAAATTTTCATTTGCCGTTTGTAATTGTTGTTCTAATTTTTGTAATTGTTGTTCTAATTGTGAAATATTTTTACCATGATAATTATTATAATCAATTGATGATAAGCGTTTTGGCGCTTGTGGTTTTTCATGATCAATTGCTTTTAATGTGGCATTTTCTGTTTCAAGTTTTGACACACTTTGCTCAAGTCGTCGTAATAATTCTTCTAAATTGCTGACTTTTCGCAATTGTTCCTCTGTTTTCGAAAAAAAAAAGAATTTATTTTTTTAATGAAAAATGTTATTTAATTTTTGTTAATCGTGAATTTTTTTTATTCATTGATTATTTTATTTATATTATTTTGTTTACTATTTTTATTTAACAATTTTATTTACTAATTTTCAAAAAAAATTTTTTACTTATTGTATTTACTAATTTTATTTATTAATTTTGTTGAACAATAATTAATATTTAACAAAATGTTTGATTTTATAAAATGGATGGTAAAAATTTCAAATACCTTCTTTTTCCAAAGAACTACGCAATCGAAGTTCCAATGTTGCTCTGTCTTGTTCAACTCGTTCCAAACTCAAAGCAATCGATTCCCTTTGCTCCAAACTCATCAAAGTGTCGCTGAGATCTGATTTTGTTGCCTTAAAAATCGAGAATCAATTTTTAACATTAATTTCAACCAAATTAAAAGTAAATAATATATTTATGCTAAAAAAAAATTTAAATGGAAAATAAAAGAAAAGCTTTATTTTCAAAAAAAAAAAAGTATTTTTTAATTAAAAAAAATTTCTTTTTTTCTTACTTCAAGTTGATTTCTCAATTGATCATTCTCAGCGCATATTCTTTCAATTTGCTCCTGCATACTAATAACTGTTTGTTCATTAACAACAGCATTTTCCAATTGTATTGTCTTTTGATGTAATTCTTTTTTTAATTCCTCCATTTCGGCATCGCGCGCCGGTATTGTTGCCTTTAAACTTCTCAATTGTTCTTGACAATCGCGTAATTCCGATTGTGCTAATTCCAATGCAACATTTAATCGCGATTGACGACAATGATTTGAGTCCTGCTCATCACGTAAATTACTCTCTAAATCAGCTGTTTTTGCCACTTCTAATTCAAGTTTTGTACGTAATTCGGCAATTTGATTATGTGCACGCGCTGCCATTTGTTCTAATTTATTACCCACTCCTTGTGCACTTTGACGATTTAATTCACGCATTTTTGCCAATGACTCTTTATATTGAACCTTTAAAAAAAAAAAAATTATTATTAAACAATTTTTCAATCTGTTTTTATTAAATACAAAATTTCTTTGAAATGAAATTAATTAATAAAATTCAAATATTAATTTTAAATTTAGTTTCATTTAATTTACAATGTGGACATTTAAATTAATTTAATTGAAATTTAATTTCAATTAAAAAAACCTCAATTTTTTAAAAATCGTATACATAGGAATTAGAAATTTTAATTAATTTTTTTTATTAGAAATTAATCGTATTTTAATTATTCCTATGAAATTACTATTATTTCAGACCTCCGATCGACTTAAAGGCACAAAAAAAGTCGTTTTAATCGATTTATATTCCAAAAAAAGTCGATTTTTTTTATTTTAATAAAAAATTTTTAGATTTTTAAATAATAATAATTTTGAAAAGGGTTAAAGTTGAAATCTTAACAAAAAACTGAATTTCAAAAGTTAATTTTCAGACAATAATTAAATTTTACAGAACTAAAAATAATTTATTAAATAATTTTAGATAACATTTTTTAAATGTAATTGAATTTTCAAAGATTTACAATTGAGATTCTTGAAATTAATTGAACTTCAAGTGATTTTTAATTAAATTTTTTTTTTGATGATTTCACAACAAAAATTTATTAGAAATTACGGACAAAAATACAATAATTTGAAAACCATTTTTAATTGAAAAATGGTTTAAAATAGTTGAATTTCGGAAGAGTTATAATTGAAATTATTAAATTTTAAAAAATTATTGATGGAAAATTTTAGAAATAATTAAATTTCAATTGAAATTTTGGATAATAATTGAATTTTAGTTGATTTTTGATTGAAAATTTTAATAATAATTAATTTTAAATTGAAATTTTTGAGAATAATTGAATATTTTAATTGATTTTAAATTGGAAATTTGGAAAATAATTGAATTTTAAAAGATTTTGAATTGAAAATTTTGAAAATAACCGAATTTTCTCTGATTTTGAATTGAAAATAATTAAATTTTAGTTAATTTTGAATTGAAATTTTTGAAAATAATTGAAATTTAGTTGATTTTGAATTGAAATTTTTGAAAATAATTGATATTTAGTTGATTTTGAATTGAAAATTTTGAAAATAATTGAATTTTATTTGATTTTGATTGATTGATTTGTGATTTTGAATTAAAAATTTTTGGTAATTTTATTTGATTTTTATTTTTAATTTTAAACAATTGTTAAATTTCATAAAAGTTTTTAATTGAAAAATAATTTGAAATAATTGAATTTGTGACGAATTTCATTAAAATTATTAAAAATAATTAATTTAGTGAAGAATTTTAGTTAAAAATTTGTTAATTAATTGAAATAAAGAAGATCTGAAGAAGATCTGCATTTTATACTAAAAAAAACGTATTTTATTTAAAAAAATTTTTTTTAAATGTAAAAAAAAGTCGAAAAAGTCGCATTTTATTAAAATAAGTCGAAAAAAGTCGGAAATAGTTGAAAAAGTCGTATAATCCGAGGCCTGATATTTATTTATTCAATATACGGGAGTAAAAATGTTTATTATTTGATAGAAAAAAAGGAAAATTTGTATATGTTTAATTGAAAAAATAGATAAATATTTTTAAAAAAATACCTGAAAAGAGCGGAGTTTTTTCAATTCGGCGGTCGATGTTTTTAATTCAGATTCGGCACGTTGTAATCGTGCGCTCATATCATTATTACTTGAGCATAACTCGGCAATTCGTGTTGTTTGCGTTTCAATGTGTTTATTAAGTTGAGCAATTTTATCTTTTTCTGCATTTTCCCATTTTCTCTTTGCGCCCTTTATCAAGTTCAATGCCCTTGTTTCTAATTCTCGTCTCTCTTGCCTCTCCAATTCTACGAATACATGAAATTCATTAAATTACATTTTTTACTATATTAATTTTTTAAAAAAATTTAATTTTCCATTTTTTAGTTTCAATTTATTTTTTCTAACAAAATTTTTATATTATTTTAATTTTTCAATATTTCAAAAAATAAAAAAATAAAATTGACTTATATTTTAAGGAGTTTTAAATTAAAAAAATTTATTTTTGTAAAATTTCCTGTATACAAAACAGTTTCTTTAAGAAAAAAAATTTGTTGGTAAAGTAAAAATAAATGATTAAAAAATTATATTTTTGCTTCAATTTCTTTTTTTTTTTTTTTTACCTAGAATTCTTTTTATTCCAGCTGCTTCCGATCGAGAAGTAACCAATTCTCGCTCGAGATTATCCCTTTTTCTATTCGATAAATCGAGTTGCTTTGATTTTTCAGTTAATTGTGATTCCAAATTGGAATTTGCTTTTAAATTCAAACTCGTCTTATCTTGAAGTTCGAGTAATTTTTTCCTTTGCTCACGAACTTCTTTGAGTTCGCGTTTTTTATTCTCAAATTCTACATCGAGATCCATTTTGTCTAACATTCGTCGTGATGACTTTTATGAAAAGAAAAAATAAAACCCTTAAATAATTATCTTAATTTGCGATTTTTTTTTTTTAATTTCAATATAAATAAAATTAAATTATTAATAACAAAAATTGTTTTCTTATTCACTAAAGAGAATTTTACTTATTTCTATAAAAAAAATTAATATTTAGCTATTAAAAATATATATAAAATTAGGATAAAAATTTCAATTAAAGTAAAAATTTAAATTAAAAACAATTTTTTATTTCTCCTAAAAAAATAATAAAAAGAAAAAATTGTAAGGAAAATTTTTCCAAATACTAAAATTTAAAATAATTATTTAATAATTATTATCAATAATAATTGTTGTTATGTACTAGAAAAAAAATATTAAACGATTATTAAAGAAAATTCCCGAATTTTTAGATTTAATCAGTGAATATTAAGTTTGTTGACATCTTTGTGATTTTTTCCGCGTCAGAAGCGCGGGGGAAATGCTATATACACATAATCAAAAACAAAAAAAAAAAATTTTTTTTAACTAATTTCACTGTTTTTAAAATATAAATAATTAAATTTAAATAAAAGAAAAAAGAAATATCAAAGCCGGTCACAATTTTATAAATATCACGGCATTTTGCATGCAAATTATGTTTATCTCATATACAAACTCAAATTGTATTGTATACACATAATTATAATTCTAACCTCCATTATCGGTGCACTTTTGTTTTGTTCCACTTTAAACACTAATTATACTCTACACACATTATGTTTAGAAAAATTCTACTGTTTAATTTAAACAATTTATTATTTAATCAAAACTTACACGTTCTCTCACTTTAATTTTTCCATTCGGTGACGGTTGCAAAGCGATCTCCATTTTTAAATCCGTTTCAAAACAGTTTGTAGTTGCGCTATTGACGCCATCATTCTACTGTTCTTTGATTGGTGGACAATTTTGTGGAGGGTTGGAAAACAATGCATAAAGGTACGTTCATATCACTTAATCACCGTCAAGGTTGGGTTCGTTATGTTAGTAAAGTATCCGAAATGTGAAATGTCGCTACCAACCTTTTAATAATAAAAACAATAACAATTATTAATTTGTCTGCTATTTGTAGAAAAGGAAAATAATAAAAAAAAAATGTATTAATTTTATAAATATAGAAATAGTATATAATAAAATTTAATAATGGCTTCACAAGTTAATCAAAATATTGGAAAGGTAAGTCATTATTTCTTTTTTTTAATATTCACGTTATTACTCGAAACTAACCTCCAAAAGAGTGTATACGATTTTTTATTTTTTCAAAAGAAATAGATTAATAATGTAAATTTTTGAAATTAAATTACTATTTTTATTAATTACTGTCATATTTGATAAATATAATATTTATTTATTTGAACTGGCCAAATATAAAATGAATAAAATTTTTTTAAACATAACCTCAATGAAAATGTAATTATAAAATTTAATTAAAATGTAATTAATATATAAATTTAAATGTAATTTTAATTTTCTTTAAAAAATCATAATTCTAAACAATAATTAATATATTTGCAATATTGTATTTTGAAAAATCTTTTTTTTTTTGTAATTTAAAAAGAAAAATAGTATTTTTTTCACAAAATAATTATTTTAATGTCTGTAGGCTTTGTACTATTACAAAAAAACAAATAAATGGACAAAAGGTTTAGGTGTGTATTTACCCAATGAATATAAAAAATTCTACAACGAATGGAAAATACAAGAACCTGAACCTCTTCATTATATTAAAAGAGAGGGACGATATTATCGTGATGAAAAGTCAGGATTAATGTGAGTAATTGTTTGTTAATTAATTAATTATTTAAAAACTAGCAAAATTAAACGCGCGTAAGCGCGCCAAATTGAGTATTTAATTGTTTGTTATAAAGAAATTAAAGATTAATAAATGTAAATAAATGTAAATAAAATACATTTTTTTAGTATAAAATCTAGATCTTCTTCAGATCTTCTTCAATTCAATTATTTAACAAATTTTGAACTAAAATGATTCTTTACTAAATTAATTATTTTTAATAATTTTAATGAAATACATAACAAATTCAATTATATCAAAATTATTTTTCAATTAAAATTTTTATGAAATTTAACAATTGTTTATAATTTAAAAAAAAATATCACAATAAAATTGAATTATTTTTTAAAAATTTCAATTCAAAATAAACTAAAATTGAATTATTACCCGAAATTTTAATTCAAAATCAATTAAAAATCCAATAATTATCCAAAATTTTCAATTTAAAATTTAATTATTTACCAAGTTTTTAATTTAAAATGAAATAAAATTCAATTATTTTCTGAAATTTCTATTCAAAATTAATTATCCAAATTTTCAATAAAAAATGAACTTAAATTAAATTATTATCCAAAATTTCAATTAAAATTCAATTATTTCCCAAAATTTTAAATTCAAAATGAACTGAAATTCAATTATTTTCCAAATTTAAAATCAAATAAAATTTCATTATTCTCAAAAATTTGAATTCAAAATTAATTGAATTTTCAATAATTTAAATTTAAAAGCATCTAAAATTTAATTATTTCTAAAATTTTCCATCGAACATTTTTTTTTTGAAATTTAATAATTTCAATTATAACTCTAAGGAAATTCAATTATTTTTAACTATTTTAATAATATTCTTTGAAAATTCAACTATCTGAAACCATTTTTCAATTAAAAATGATTTTCAAATTATTGTATTTTGTCCGCATTTTCTAATAAATTTTTAGTGAAATCATCTAAAATTTTAATTACAAAACACTTAAAGTTTCAATTAATTTCAAAAATCTCAATTTTAAATCTTTGAAAATTCAATTAATTTTAAAAAATGTTTTCCAAAAATTGTTTGATAAATTATTTTTATTACTGTAAAATTTAATAATTGTTTGAAAATTAACAATATCTTTTGAAATTTAATTATTTCTAAAAATTTCAACTTTAACCCTTCGAAAAGGATTATTATTAAAAAAAAATTTTTTATTTAAAAATCTGTAAAATATTTTTGTTAAAATAAAAAACAAATCCACTTTTTTTTGGAATATAATTCGACTAAAACGACTTTTTGTGTCTTTAATTAATATTAATTAATATTAATTAATATTAATATTATTAATATTTAATAGGTATTCGTTGGCCCCTGGTACCTTAAAAATTAATTTTTAAAAATAAATTTTTTTTCAAATTACTATCTTGTACGAAATTTCCTGGCGCATCTTTTTTCTCATTATTAATTTTTTGTATTTGTATACAATTTTTGAATCAATATACAACTTTAAAAAAAAATTTCGTTGGTAAACGTTGTGTACTTCAGCTTCGTGAATTGAATTTTCGAATTTGGAATTTTAAAGAAACTTATTCCGAAAATTGGAAACACAATTATACAACTTTGGCAAAAATGAGAAAAAGAATTGTCAAAATTGGACACGTCATAAGATTACTATTCAAAAAAAACACGTGAAATCAGAAAAGGCCAACTTCAAGTTAGGACAGAAGGACAGACCAAGCATTTTATTATTATATAATTGTTCATAATTGAAATTTATTACGAAAATTCCAATTATATTATGTAATTCTATATTTTTTTTTTAATAGAAAATTTTCGTTTATCAATTTTAGTATCACTAATTCGTTTTTTTTTTTCATCCAATTTTTATTGATTTTTTTTTTTATGCAGACATCCAGTGCAAGATTATCCAATTCCCTTAAAATTCCCCTTAGAAGCTGACGAAGGTCTTTGGGGTGGCGAGGGTGTAATACAGGGATTTACAAAAAAAGATCGCTACAGTAGGAGAGTTCCTCAATTTTGGTTTCCACGATTAATATCGTCAGTTGTTTATAGTCAAGTTTTAAATTTATATTTAAAAACAATTGTCACACCAAGAGCACTTGAATTAATACACTCCAATTATGGTTTGGATCATTATATTTTAAAAGTACGTAATTAATTTAATTAAAAATTTTTTAAAATGATTAAAAAAAATCAAATTAATTATTAATTTAAAAAATTAAGTTCAAAAATTATTGATTTAAATTTAATTAATATATATATATATATTTAATATTCTAATTTAAATTTCATTTAATTGTAAAATTGATTACGATTTTAATTTTCACAGACAAAAGCTTGTGATATAAGAAGTTTGCTCGGTATTAAATTGAAGAGAAAAATACTTTTGGCTCTCGCAAACAAAACTCTCTATCCAGATGATCCTGATAAACGAGAAGAGGTTTATGAAATGTATAAAAATTATCTAAATGATGTAAGAAAATGAAATTTCTTTTTTTAAAGAAAAATATTCTTTTTCCTAAAATTGCATGTGGCGATTTATTTATTTTTTTTATTTTATTTTCGTATTTGTTTAATTGAACTTTTAAAAATTTATTTCACTAAAAATTTTCATTAATATTTAATATGAATTTAATTATTTAATTATATAAATATTAAATTTTGTTTTGATATTAAATAAATTAAATTATCATTTTTTAGTATACGCCGAAAGAAATTGAATGGTATGGTTTGACATTTAAAGAGGCGAATATAAAATTAAGAGAAGAAAAGGAGGCGAAAATTGTGATAGAGCCTATGAAAATTGAATATCGAAAAAAATTAATTGAAGAATTGCGAAATAATACCGAGGCAAGCGAACAATATGAGGAGGACAACAGGTTAGTCAAATTAAAAAAAAAAAAAAAATATTGAAGTACAAAAATAATAAAAAAAATACCTATAAAATATTAACAAACAAACAAATTTATATTAATTTGAAAATTTTTCTTTTTTTTCAGTTTACTTTCAAAAATCAAGGACTTCAATCCCTTTAAAAGTAAAACAAAATCAGATTAAGACAATTTGTAACAAATTGAAAAAATAAAATTGTTAATTTTTTTTTAAATAGAAAAACAAATGAAATTTTACATTTTTTTTTATAGAATAAAAATAAAATGTAACTAATTGCATAAAAAAAGGCAAATTTCAAATTTTGTCTTCTTTAAAAAAATTAAAAATAATTCCCTTTGAAATTGGAAAATTTTTTCCCTTTTGGAATTTAATGTAAAATAATAAAATACGAGAAAGTTAAACAAAAAAAAGCAAATATATAATATTTGCCGAAAACTTAAATATATTTATAGGAAAAATTTTAAAGATTTATTTAACGTTTATTCATAATAATAATAATAATAATATAATAATATACGAGTATTTTATACACAATTATCTAAATTTTTTTTTATTTTCTTGGCACTTGATTTTCCGTCGAATTGTGTAAAAATTATAAGGAAATTTCACACAAATTTTCATTCGAAAAAAAAATGAAATTAACTATACAATTAACACTTGTAAATACCCTTTTCCAGTCACATTTTTTTTTTCATTCGTTCCATTTAATTTATTTTCTAATCGCGAAAAAAAAACTTTTTTAATATTCAAATATTAAAAAATAGAAATTAATATTTAATATTAATTTACCTTAAATTTAAAAAAAAATGGAAATTTATATTTTATTAGTTTAATATAAAATAATTATTAATTAATATTCAATTATTATAATTTTCAATTTAAAATTATAAATTGATTATAATTTGCACTTATATTAAGTTTTCAATTAAATTAATGTAATATCAAATTTAAATCGATCATTTTTTTTTAATTTATTATTTTTGTAATCTTTTTGTTCTTTTTGAAAAGTAAAAAAAAAACTTTTTTAGTCCTTGGAGGAAAATTGTAAAAAAATTAAGTGACTGTAAAAGGGGTTAAAGTGTATATAATATATGAAAAAAAAAATAAAAACAATTTACCTATGATATAGAACACTCTAGATCGTGATTAATCGGCAAACAGTCTAACATGGAAGCCACAGCTCTCGTAATGTATGTCATTGTACCAAAACTTCCACTTGGCGCACTATCGTAAAAATGTTGACAAACGTATGCAGCACCACCGCAAAGTAACATTCCCGTTGAATTTATTTCCCTTTGGTCTTTTGGTTTCGCGCAACATAAAGTCGCATCTCCATCACATTTGATCTGGAAAAAAAAGAGAAAAAAAAACCTTTTTTGTTATTATTATTTCAAAAAGGAACCTTTCTTTTATTATTTTGAAAAAATAAATAAATAATTATAAAAATATACATATAATTAAAAAAAAAAAAAAGGAAATTGTAATTTGAAAAAAAAAACACGAACCTGATCGGCGAGAAAAATGCCATTAGCCTTGTGGACCAAATCTTCGACTGCAATAATTCCTCCTAAAGACGGTAAAACATTGTACTCGGTAACGAGTGTTAATACCATTAAAGCCTCAACGACAAGTTGACGATATTCCGGCTGTGGAATTGTATTCAAAAATGTTTCAACAGCCAATGCAAATTTTAATTCACCCGGTGTCATTTCTTGAGTGAGATTTTGTTGCAATAATTTTCCCTCAATTGCCAATCCTTGACACTAGAAAATCACAAGAAAATAATAATTATATTTTTTTTTTCTTAAATTATAATTTATTATTAACTTCAATAATAATAATTATATATTTTTTTTCTTAAATTATAATTTATTATTAACTTCAATAATAATAATTATTATTATTTTTATTATTAAATAATTAAAATAATATTTATTTATTAATTAAATTTCAGCCTTTCCGCCCAGAAGTGGACTTGGTTTAATACAAAAAATAATTAAAATAATAATAATTATTATTAAAAGAATAATAATAATAATCATTAACATTAGAGAGAATAAAAATAAAAATATTACTCTTTCTAAAACATGCCAAACACGAGGATAAAAATCTCTTGGAACACGATTTAAAGCTCCATCGAGTCTTCGTCTTCGTAACCATTGTCCCTGTCGATCTGGTTCAATTTCTCCTATTTCGCCTGGATCTGCACTCAAAAATCCAATCTGCGATTTCTTTACAAAAAAAAAGAAAGAAAAAATACGCTAATTAAAATTACTTCAATATTTAATTTATTGACATCATATTTTACTCTAAAAAAAAATTCTATTTTATAATTCTAATATACTAATTTTCTATTTAAAATAAAATTTCAATAAACAAATTTTATTGTCAACATAAATAACATCAAGAAGTTAATACTATTTTTTCAAATTCAAAATTTTTCTAAATTTATCGATTTATATCGAAATTATTTTTTAAATTAATTTTCTTTTCAATTCAATTGTTTTTAAATTAAATCATTGAATATGAAAATAATTAAAAAATTTAACAAATTGTACAACGAAAAAAATTGCATTTTAATTGCAAAATGTAATAGTGAGAATTATGGAAAATCAAAATACGAAATATAAAAAATTAATACCTTGCTGACTTTCCCCGATTTGCAGCTGATAACGGAAAAATTGCCACGTCCAACTGTAACAATTTAAAAATTTATCTTCCTACTTTTTTCTTATTTATTTCCAATTTTTCTTTTTTTTATAAATAATTATAAAATTATCAAAAAAAGGAAATTTTCTCTAAAAAATTAATAAAAAAAAATAATAGGAAATTAATAATTAATTTGCGTAATAGCAAAAAAAAAAGATACAAACCGCTGCTAATCGCAAATTCCTTTCCACTCATAATATGATGAAGTAAATTTTTCATTTCAAATGGCGAGAGATTGAGTAAATGTTCTGATGCTTCTTCACCGCTACAAATAAGAGTACGCGACAATTCAGTTGCCATTACTTGAATAATTAAACCAATTCGTAGCCTTAACATTTCATGAAATAATTGTGGTTCAGTTCTAATGAACATTGCAAGATAGACAAGTAATTCTTGCGTTAACATTGCCGTTGATTCATCATCACCATATGCTTGATGAATTAATGAGCGTAATTCATTTTCTGGTAATGGTGCAACAATTGTGTGTTCATTACTTGGTGGCATTCCAACAGTTACTTGTTTTTGTCGCACAAGAAGATCAGTGACGGCTTTCGCTAAATCCTCAACTCTTTTGCCCAACATACCCGCAGTGTGACGAACAATTCCCCACATTTTTTGTTGACACGCCTTTTCATAGAGGCCCTTTAATAAATCTTTCACAAGAACCGAATGACCATCCTCCACCATTCCGGTGTTAAATTGCAAACCCTGAGTGTCAACCTGTGATCAAGATTAGAAAAAAAAGGAGTTAAATTTTTTTAAATAAACTTATAAGAATATAAAAATGGAAAATAAAAAATTAACTATAATAATTTCCGTATTCATTCATTAATTCAGTCTGTCCACACTTGAAGTTAGTCGTATTTTGTTCCTTTTGTTTTTCTAAAATTTTGACAATTCTTGATTTCGTAATATTTTATGGTTAACGCGACGGATATTTTTATTCATCGTCATTAATTAAGTCATATACTAAGTGACAGTTTAAAGTAAAAAAAAAAAAAAAATATTGTTCATTGTGTGCAGCACCAGTATATTTCCTACTTGATATTTATAAAAAAAAAAGTTTCAATTATAATATAATTTTTATTATTATTATTTATAAATTTATTATATTATATATACATTTTTTATATAATGATTATTACAGATAATTAGAACATTTTAACTTATAATTATTATTTCTTTCATTATTTATTCATTATTCATTATTATTTATTATATATTATTATTCATATATTTATTATTATTAATTTGTTTTTATTATTAATATTATTAAATTATTATATTTTTTATCTGTAAACAATATAAAAATAGTTTGCTTTTTTAAAAAATTTTCCATTTTATTTTAATTTTTAATTTAAATTTAAAGTTTAAAATATTACAAAGTTTTTTTTAGGTTTTATTTTTTCAAAATTTTTAAATATTTTTTAATTGCTCAATACTTTTTAAAATATAATTAATAATTTTCAGTTAATTTAATTTTATTTTTGTTTACATAATTTTTTAATATTTATTAATTATCTTAAATTTTTTGAAAAAAAACATAAATTAAAAATTTTCATTTGCAACGAAATATTTATAGAAAATACAAAAAAAATATTTAGCAAAACTAATTTTTTGTAATTTCAAAGATTATAAAAAATCATCGAACATTATGACTTTATCAAAAATATTTATTTCTAAAATTTTAATATTTATATTTTTTAAATTTTTACTTAAAAATCTTTTTTTTTTTTACTATCAATTCACAAAAAAATGATCTTACTCGTTATAAACATTTATCAACATTTATACCGCCAATTGTAACTATTGGTTTTAATTTATGTTTTTCTTATCATCACTTTTTCGATAGGTTTTTTCTTGGGTTTTCATTGTTGTTACTAATTATATTAACTAATTATGAGCTGGCTTAACTAAAAAATCACTATTTATATAACATCAAACTCATTTTTTTCTGTGTATAAATAAATGATAACATGAAAATTAGAAATATACCTATTATTAATTTATTACTCCACTGATGCAGAATTATTATTATTATTATTATTATTATTATTTTGAAACAACCATTGCATTCAAAGTTGGACGCGCGCGTGTAATTTTGCTAGTTATAATAATAATAATAATAATACTAATAGTTAATTCTTAATTAATAATAAGTAATTAATAAAAACCATTAAATAATTATTCGGCTAAATAAAAATGTTTTAATTCGAAATTCTGACAAATTTAGCTAAATTATAATTTTTTATTATTATACTCAAAATAATAATTATTATAATATTAGTATAATTTTATATTATTATTACATTAATTATAAATTATTATAATAATAATAATTAAATAATTATTATAATTTTAATTATTATTAAATTATTATTTAAAAAATATAAATAAATAATAATTACCAAATATTGCAAAATATCGCCTTGCTCCTCGAGACTCTCAGTTTCTCGCAGCATCGACATTAATTCCTCAACTTCTGTATCAGCGTATTGTGTCTCGGAATTGACACGATGCCGATGTGGACGTGGAGAATATTTCCAAGGGAACATATCTTCAGTTGGCGATGGTGTTCGTTCGGGAATTTTTACACTTGGCGAAAGTGTTGTATCGGTAACTTCAATAAAGGGATTTGTCGACAATATTGTCGATGGTCTTCTTTCTTCTCCAGACATTCCAAGAATTTCCGCTAAAAAAAAAAAACGATGAGAGAATAATTAATAATTAAATTAAATAAAAATAATATTCACTTTAAAAAAAAATAAATAAACTGTTTTATAAAAATATATATATTTGCAGTAATTTCGAAAAAATATTTGTAAATTATTTACAGTAAATAAATTTTTAGTAATTTTTTATTTTTAAATCAAGTTTGAATAATAATTTTTTTTTTTTGTAGTAAAAATTTTTTAAGCGTGAAAAAATTATCGAGCATGAAATTAAACGAATAATGTGAACATTCAAATGTTAGTGTGAATAAAAAAATTGAAATGTTATTTTTTTAAAAAGGACTTACGTTCTTGCAAGATGAGAGGAACTGCTGCTGTAGATGAAGAAAATTAGATGAAAAAAAAAGAAAAAGAAAAAATGCAAAAAGGCGTTAGTTTATCTTCATTGGATGACATGCAATCAAACTTTATGTAAAAAAAAGAACAATAAAAAAATTATTTTGCAGCTTCTTTTTTTTTTTGATATTAATTTTCAACTCACGCTCAACTGCAATTGATCTTGTTTTTTTAATTGCCCCCTTCACGGACATTCGACGTCGTAAATTTTTCGTACTTTTCACGCCAGTTCGACTCAAAAGACTTGTGCGATGTGGAAAAGCTTTCATTAAATGTTCATCTAAATACTGTTGAACCTGAAAAAAAAATTTACAAAAAATAAAACATTATTTTTACCAACAAAATAAAAAAAGAGTAAAATTGAAAAAAAGAATTAAAATAAAAAAATTCAATTTGAAAATTACCTCGGGATTTAATCTATCGGGACGTCCATCCTCTGCACTACCGAGAAAACTGAGATTTGTGATGCAGGACGTACTTAAAAATTCATTTAAATTACCAAGAGAAACACGAGTTCCATTAATATAACCGCTCTTGAGTTTTTTCATTGTTGTAATCATTGCCAATGGAATTTTTCCCTGATCTGTAAAAAAATATTTCTCTCTCATGTAAAATAAAACCATTCAAATAGCAATTATTTTTTTTTCATCTTTTTCTTAATAATCTCAAAATAAAGGAGAAGCGAGAGATTTTTCTCAAACTTTTTTTGTTATTTTTTTCATATTTGCAAGAAAAATACAGCGAAAGCTGAGAGTCACAGTAGAATTGGAAAAAGAAAGCAAAACACTATTATTATAGAGATGTGCAACTAAAAGAAAATCACAAATTAGTAAAAGAAAGCAAATTTCAAATTAATTAAATCTATTGTAACTTAATTTAAATTTAATTTAATGAAATTAATTAATTTAAATTAAAATCCAAGTAACTACTAATAATATTTAAATTGAGAATTTGAATTTGTTTACAATTTTTCGTTTATAAAAAAAACAAAGATAGTTAAATATACAGAAAAGGATTATATAATTATTCGGCAAAAATATTATTTAGTTTTGCGTTAAATAATTAATTGGAAAAAATAAAAATTCTATTAAGTAGAAAATATGTTAATGGAAAATTTTGGCAAATGAATATTCAACTGTATGGAAATTCTATTAAAAATGGAAATACTGTTAAATTAAAAAATTTAGTTAAATAGAAATTAATCTGCTATATAATTATTTGGCTGAATAAAAATTTTTTTTGTGGAAAATTCAAAACGTAAATATAAAAATATTTTAAATTAGTGTACGAAATAAATAAATAAATAAAATTTCACAGAGGAATTTTTGTAGAGTGGCAAAAAATAGAAAAAAGAAAAAAAATTGTGAAGCCTTGAAACAATATGGAAAATTACCTATAGAAAAAAATCACATCATCTCTAATTGTAAGAAGAAGAAGAGGAAGAAGAAACTTATTTTTTTTTTTTTATGAAAACCTAGATCCAGCAGCGGCATACCTAAGTAATTATGAGTAGCAACGAGTGTTATGGTCGGTCTGCCAAGTATTTGCTTCCAGTTGATGGTGAGGAAGGCCATGTTGGTTGTAAATGTGCTGGCAAGAAGGGCAGCATCATTTGTCATATAGAACTCCTCCGCATCAAAATTCTAACACATGCAACATACGCGTACGCCAACGAAGACTTAATAATGTTTTTTTTTTCTCTTTTTTATTTTATTTTTCTCAACTTAATTCATTAAAAAGTCCATTAAAAATTTTATATTTTCTTAAAAAAAAGTTATTGAATTGAAAAATTATTTTCTTGAAAATAGAAGAAAAAAAAAATATAAGGAAAAAAAAATACCGAAATCAGACTGGCGAACCTCTGTCTCGCAATTTATCCAAGGCAGACAATGAAACATGTATCTAATTTAAAAATAAAAAAGAAACAAAAAAAAAGCGTAGAGGCGAGAAAAGTGAATTACAATTACAGAGAGAAAATTGTTTTTATAAAAATTATATTCTCATTCTTTGTAATTTAATTCACTTTTTTTTTGTTGATGTATTTGTAACAGCCAAAATGAATTTCTCTGCAGAAAGATGATAACGATAAGAATTTGCTGAAGCGAAGGGAGAGGGGAGGGAATGATTAAAATATACATGCAATTTGAGAATTGAACTCAAAACAGGATCCACTCGACAAAAAAGACAATTTATCCAAAAGCCATGCACTCTTAACTCCAAAATGCTTTTTTTAATTTCAAAATTTTTTGCGAAATTTTCTTTTTAATTTTTCTTTCTTTCTTTCTTAATTCTTTAATTTTAATATAACAGGCTTCGTAAAAAAAAAGAATTCACAAACTTGGAAAATTAAAAAAATATAATAGAAAAAAAATTCAAGTCGACAAATTTTATAGGATTCAAAAAAGAAAATATAATTTTGGTTTAGAAAAACCACCAAATTTCAAGGAGAAAAATTTTCAATTAAATTACTCTATTTTCATCGAAAGAAATAAAAAAAAATATTAAAAATTTTATTTGAATATAAAATTTAAAATTATATTTAAATTCAAAAAAAAATCAATACAAAAATCTAATTACAGAAAAGAATTGTGAAGCCTGTTTTTTCCAAAAATTTCATTCCGGTTTTTTCCCCCATTTTTCAAATTCTATTGCAATTTCTTAATCACGTGCTCTTATGCATTTTTTTTCTTCATTAAAAAAAAAAATAATAAAATTCCAATTAGGAGTTGAAATTCTATGGCTTTTGGGATATGACTTTACTGTACCTAGGTGGATATTCTTGAGTGGCATGACCACGAGTGGACGGCCTAACATATTCTGCCAGCTAGACTTCAAGAAATTAATTTCGCCTTTGAATATGTCAATCATGAGCTCATAGTCCGATGCGATGTAGAAGCGGGTCATGTCTGTCAACTGTTATTTTTTTTTTTTTTTGATGCAATAATAAACAAAAAATCGTTTGTGAGCAAAAGAAAGTCAACAATTCATTATATTCTCAATATTTCATACGAAGACAAAAGAAATTAAAAAAAAAAAATAATTTCAAATAAATGAGAGAAAGAAAAAAAAAGAATAAATAAAAATATTACAATAGAAGGTGTTCAAAAAGTTTCAAACCTCTTGAGTTTTCAAAAATTGAAAACAAAAATGAAAATTTTGAAAACAAATTTCCATAAGGTATAAAAATTTTTAAACATCCTTTTCAACTAATAAATAAAATAAAAATAAAATACGTAAAATCAATAAACAAAATAAATAAAAAAATTAATAAGATTAGTGGAAAATTTTACCTGCGGTGTAAAGGCAAATATTTTGTCGTGTAGGGAATATAATTTACTGGTACTCAAAATTCCCACGTCTCGTGATTTTCTTCCGGACAATCCCAATTTTTTATTTCTACCTAGAATCGTTAAATTACTTTTATTATTTATTTTTAAAATTTTTAATTTAATAATTAAAAATTTGTTTATGTAAAAAAAAATGTTTTTCTCTATTAAACCTAAATATGTGTAAAGATGACTGAGAACTTTCGCCGGTTGAACCTCAATAGGTGCGACTTCGGCGATCGTTTGAACATGAATATCGTGTTGTGCAATTTTTTCACGAATTTCCGCGTCTTCCGCAAGAATAACAACTTGAACAACGACATCCGGTTTTTTTTCACTACACAATCGACGATTCAGTGGATCCAATTCGCCAACTGCCAGGAAACCCTTGAAAATAATAAATAATAGATAAATAAATTGCAATTTATTTAATTTTATCTATTTTTGTAAATTGTATTTTAAATGTTGATAATTATATTTTTAATTCAATTAAAATTCTAATATAGAAAAATAATTGAATAACAAATGAAAAAAAAACAATTTATAATAATAAATAAATTAATTGTTTTGTTAAATACACACTAACTTTTACTTCCTTCAAAGGAATTTATATTTGCTATAAAAAAAAATTAATCATAATAAAAATTAAATTATTACTAATTATTAATCAAAATAATTAGTTGAGAATAATTAATAAAAATTTTTTGACATTGAAAATTAATGATAAAAAATTGTCTCTTACTTCTTGGAGCAATTTTCCAAGAATATATAAAGATTGCGCCCACATAAAAGGACATCGTCCCAATGCTTCTCTCTCTTGACTTCCAGGTTCTGCATATTCTGCAGCCACAGTGTCATTGGCAACTGCATATAATTCCGGAACAAGTCTCATGCCATCGTCAGTTTTTGTCGTTATTTTTTCCAATTGTTTACTATATTCCGCGACAAGTTCCTTATTCCCTTGAAAGCAATAGTCAAGTATCAAATAGCAAAAGAAAAGTGGCCATTCACATTCAATATTCTCAAACATTCGCAATTCCCACGGCTCATAATATAATCTGAAAAAAAAAATATATTTTTCAAAAAATACCAGAATCAAAATAAAAAATTTTATTAATTCCTTCTGAAAAATATGTAATATTAATTAAAAAATGGAATTCTATAATTAATTTTAAAAATATTTTCAATTATTTTGAAACATTTTCTTAAAATTTAATTACAAACATTTTTATTTTTGATAAAAAAGAAAAATTGGGCAAACCTATTGGGATCCTCTTTTGGTGTACGATGACCATCGCGTAAAAAACGTTTACATCCATAGCGTCCTTGTAATTTTTTTGTAATTGTATCGCGTGTCAATTGTATTAACGATGGTTCATCAACGGCAAAAGCAGGAAAACTGATAATTGACAAAAGACCACTGTCAAGTTCCTTTGAATTTGATTCCCTTGGCAGCATTGATTGTAAAACTGCTTGACATTTTTGTGCCTCATCAGCGAGAACATGAATCACCGATGTTGGTCCACCTCTTGCACCAAAAAGATCTAATTCATTCATTGCTTCCATTGCCGCTTTTGCCATTCCAATGCTACTTGCATTTAATTCCGGTAGGCCATGATTTGTTTTATCGCCACGTTCCCACATTCCATAATCGGGAGTGCAATACGCTGATTCAATGTAAAACACCAAATTTTGAATAAACGCCACCTAAAAAAATTTCCAAAATAAAAAAAAATTAGAATAAAATTAAAATAAAATTAAAAAAAAATTCACCTCATCCAAATTGAAAACCACTTGTAAACCAGAAGCGGTCATTTGTGCTAAAATCAAAAGATAGAGGGAGATTGCATCAATTTGTAAATGACCCCATTCACCATCGCCAACAACACTTTGTCCAGTTGATGAACTATATTTTGCGTGCAATGCATCTAATGAATTTTGTGTTGTTTTAAATTTTTCAACTTTATCCTTTTGTTGCATCATTGCCATTAAAAGGCCACGCATTAATTTAACACAACTTTGTTCGAGTTCATAGGTTTTTGCACGATCCTCATCGGCGTCGGCAATTTTTTTATAAGCCATTGATAGACCCCAAACGGCAAGAATTGTATAGACATTATCGCGAATCCATGCATGATTATTGTCGGGACTTGCTGGAAATAATCCCGTCACTGGATGTTGATGATGCATTATTATTCTTGCAACTGTACGTTGATAATAGTCCAGGCGAACGCCTGAATTACTGCGACTCCTCATTTTTTGTATTTATTTTTTATTCACCTTCAATTATATCACTGGAAAAATAATTAATAATTAAAAAAAATTAAATAATTTAAAAAATATTTAAAAAATTATATATGTAATAATAAAATGCTTGATCTGTCCTAACTTGAAGTTGGCCTTTTCTGATTTCACGTGTTTTTTTTTGAATAGTAATCTTATGACTTGTCAAATTTTGACAATTCTTTTTCTCATTTTTGCCAAAGTTGTATAATTGTGTTTCCAAATTTCGGAATAAGTTTCTTTAAAATTCCAAATTCGAAAATTCAATTCACGAAGCTGAAGTACACAACGTTTACCAACGAAATTTTTTTTAAAGTTGTATATTCATTCAAAAATTGTATACAAATACAAAAAATTTATGATGAGAAAAAAGATGCGCCAGGAAATTTCGTACAAGATAGTAATTTGAAAAAAATTTATTTTTAAAAATTAATTTTTAAGGTACCAGGGGCCAATGAATACCTATTAAATATTAATTATAAAAACACAGGCCTCGAATCAACTTAAAGACACAAAAAGTCGTTTCAGTCGATTTATATTCAAAAAAAAGTGGATTTGTTTTTTATTTTAACAAAAATATTTTACAGATTTTTAAATAAAAAAATTTTTTTTTTTTAATAATAATCCTTTTCGAAGGGTTAAAGTTGAAATTTTTAGAAATAATTAAATTTCAAAAGATATTGTTAATTTTCAAAACAATTATTAAATTTTACAGAACTAAAAATAATTTATCAAACAATTTTTGGAAAACATTTTTTAAATTTAATTGAATTTTCAAAGATTTAAAATTGAAATTTTTGAAATTAATTGAAACTTTAAGTGTTTTGTAATTAAAATTTTAGATGATTTCACTAAAAATTTATTAGAAAATGAGGGCAAAATACAATAATTTGAAAATCATTTTTAATTGAAAAATGGTTTCAGATTGTTGAATTTTCAAAGAATATTATTAAAATAGTTAAAAAATAATTGAATTTCCTTAGAGTTATAATTGAAATTATTAAATTTCAAAAAAAAAATTTTCGATGGACAATTTTAGAAACAATTAAATTTTAGATGCTTTTAAATTCAAATTATTGAAAATTCAATTAATTTTGAATTGAAATTTCAGAAAATAATTGAATATTATTTAATTTTGAATTGAAAATTTGGAAAATAATTGAATTTCAGTTTAAATTTTGGAAAATAATTGTACTTTAGTTGATTTTGAATTGAAATTTTCGAAAATTATTGAATTGAAAATTTGGAAAATAATTAAATTTTAGTTGATTTTGAATTCAAAATTTTGAAAATAATTGAATTTCAGTTTAAATATTGGAAAATAATTGTAAGTACTTTAGTTGAATTTTAGTTGATTTTGAATTGGAATTTTCGAAAATTATTGAATTATAGTAGATTTTGAATTAAAATTTTTCGAAAATTATTGAATGGAAAATTTGGAAAATAATTGAATTTTAGTTGATTTTGAATTGAAAATTTTGAAAATAATTGTAAGTACTTTAGTTGAATTTTAGTTGATTTTGAATTGAAATTTTCGAAAATTATTGAATTGAAAATTTGGAAAATAATTAAATTTTAGTTGATTTTGAATTCAAAATTTTAAAAATAATTGAATTTCAGTTTAAATATTGGAAAATAATTGTAAGTACTTTAGTTGAATTTTAGTTGATTTTGAATTGGAATTTTCGAAAATTATTGAATTATAGTAGATTTTGAATTAAAATTTTTCGAAAATTATTGAATTGAAAATTTGGAAAATAATTGAATTTTAGTTGATTTTGAATTGAAAATTTTGAAAATAATTGAATTTCAATTTAAATTTTAAAAACGATTGAATTTTTATTGATTTTAAATTAAAAATTTTTAAAAATAATTGAATTTCAATTTAAACTTTAAAAAACAATTGAATTTTCATTGATTTTAAATTAAAAATTTTTAAAATAATTGAATTTCAGTTCATTTTGAATTGAAAATTTTGGGAAATAATTGAATTTTAATTGAAATTTTGGATAATAATTTATTTTAAGTTCATTTTTGATTGAAAATTTAAATAATTAATTTTGAATATAAATTTTAGAAAATAATTGAATTTTATTTCATTTTAAATTGAAAACTTGGTAAATAATTAAATTTTAAATTGAAAATTTTGTGGATAATTATTGGATTTTTAATTGATTTTGAATTAAAATTTCGGGTAATAATTGAATTATAGTTTATTTTGAATTGAAATTTTTAAAAAATAATTCAATTTTATTGTGATATTTTTTTTTGTAAATTATAAACAATTATTAAATTTCATAAAAATTTTAATTGAAAAAATAATTTTGATATAATTGAATTTGTGATGTATTTAATTAAAATTATTAAAAATAATTAATTTAGTGAAGAATCATTTTAGTTCAAAATTTGTTAAATAATTGAAAAAGATCTGAAGAAGATCTACATTTTGTACTAAAAAAATGTATTTTATTTACATTTTTTTTCAAATGTAAAAAAAATGTCGCATTTTATTAAAATAAGTCGATAAAAGTCGTATTTTTGAAAAAAGTCGGAAAAAATCGTATAATCCGAGGCCTGTAAACATATAATTTTCATTATTATCATTTAATATGTAATAATATTCTAATAAATTAAATTATTATTGATAATATTAATCTTTAATTTCTTTATAACAAACAATTAAATACTCAATTTGGCGCGCGTTTAATTTTGCTAGTTAAAAAATAATTAAATAATTTAAAAAATATTAAAAAAATAATTAATAATTAAATTAATTTTTAATTCATTCATTTATAGTCTATTTTTATTATTTTTATTTTAGTAGATTTATTTAAAGTTATTTATAATTTACATTGAGATATTAAGATTTTACAATAAAAAAATAGATAAATAATTTTAAAAAAAAATGTAAAACTAAAAGTAAATGAAGAAATAAATCTTAGAAAATAATAATATAGTAGATAAATAATTTAACAAAGAAAATATAAATACAAATACTTAATAGTAATAAAATAAAAATTATTATCTTATTTTCTGATAGCAAATATCTTTAATAATTTATTAAATAGAGAAATTAAATACTTTTTTAATTACATGTACCTATGTACAAAAATAATAAGAATAAAAAATAAAACTTGTTTCAATAAATATTGCATTATTAATTAATAAATTGTAAATTTAGAATAAAAATATAAATCCCATTACAATTATAACAAAACTATTTTATATCTAAAATCTATTTTTAATTTACGAGGTCAAATTTTATATATACATATACATTTAGATTGGAAAATTAGTTTTTAAAATAACAAATAAAAATAATAAAAGAAAACAATTTTCCAATAGCAAAAATATGATACAGAAACGATAATTTGAATTTTTTTAATATCTATTTTGAGGTTAGAAATACCTTATTCAGAATAATTATCCCTGAAGAATGTCACCAGATGAAAATTGAATGAATAAATTATTTTTACACGAGTTGAACATTATAATTTGCACTTCCGACAATTATTTGTCAAAATTCATTAAATTATCACATACATATTAATTAACACACGAACAATTAAATGACAAGTATGCACATGTACACGACAAAAAAACACTAATACTATTACGACAATGTTAAACGAATGTCAACTGCGATGTCAAAAACACGAGAGACAAAATTGATCTTGATCCGAAATGAGAAAAATCAGTATTATAGTTGATGATAATAATAATGATTTTTAATCTACTTTTAATCTTTTGAACTGTACTAGATTTTTTTTAATAAAAAATTTCATAAGGAAATTAAATTGAAGAGTTGATAAATAATATTTGTATTATTACACAATTTGTGTTTTATTATTAGAATTGAATAATATAGCACAATTTATTATTTTAGAAAAATATTTTGTTTGCACAAAATTGTTTACATTAAGATTAAGAGTTATTATTTGAAATTATTTTCAAATTAAATTTTCAATTTTTTTGAAAACATTCAAGGTATAATAATAAATTTAATTTATTTACATTGTTGTTTTTCTTTTTAATTGAAAAATATTTTAATATCAAAATATCAGGGATGGGTTGCAATAAATTGGAAGTTTTAGCTTAAGCTCGCCTCACATTCCAAAATAGAGGGTCTTGAAACAAGAGGGATTCTATTTATAAAACTTACGTATTTTACGTAAATTACAAAAAAAAATACGAAAAACACGACCCAACTCTGTGTTGCATACTTTTGCATAAGAGGAATTTACACAGTATTTTATTTGTATTATTTTTTATTTAAAAATAAGACAATGATTAATATTACATATTAAAATATATAGTGCACTTGTTATAAAATTGAATTATTAAAAAATGTTTATAAAATAAAATAAGAACTAGTTTTAACTAGTTTATTTTTCTAATAACTTAGAAAAAATAGACAATAACCACATTGTTTTCACACAGGTAAATTTTATATATATATATATATATATACATATTATTTTATTGCAAAAATTTTTTTTGGGAAAAATTAATTATTGTAAAATTCATTTTCGATTTAGAATTACAAAAAAAACATATGGAATAAATAGTAATTAAAATTAAAAAGGGAATAATAGTAATTATGTTATTAAAATTACCTTTAATTTTTTAATTTCTTCAATATAAAATATATGATCGAAGTGATAACATATATTTTATTATCGTTCTTTTATCTAGTTTTTATGATGATTACACGAAATTCTAAACTCAAATTAAAAAAAAAAAAAAGTGATGACAAATGTTAAATTCCCACGCACGATATTTGTGGGAAAAAATGATATAAAAAAAATGCAAATTTTAATTTTTTATGTTTTCTTTATTACTTTCGCATTATTTGAAAAATAATCTCTTAAAAATTTTTTCATCATGATAAATTTACTCTAATGCTTCTTTTTTAAAAAAAAATATTGTCTAATTTAAATTTAAAAATTATATTTAGCAATTAAATTATCTGATTTAAATATTAATTAAATTTGATTATTTCCAAATATTTTTTATTTTCAATAAAAAAGTTGTTATTTATTCAAAAAATTAATTTTTTAAAACAATTTTCTCCAATTTTATAATTTTGAAAATTAAATTAAATTTTTCCAATTCGAATTACGAAGCTGAAGTACGCAACGTTTATATAAACGATTTTTAAAGAAATAATTTTTTAAAATGAAAAATTCTATAATTTTTTGCCTAAAAAATATTTTTTTATAATTTGTTGATTAATGAAAACTTCAAGAAATATTTTTTAGGAAAAAAATTATAGAATTTTTCATTTTAAAAAATTATTTCTTTAAAAATCGTTTATATAAACGTTGCGTACTTCAGCTTCGTTTCGAATTCAAATGTTAATTATATTATTAAAAATTTTTTTTTTAAGTAAAACTTTGTAATAAGTAAATAAAAAAATAAATCTATAAAATCTGTTTTTCTTTTTTTAGGTGTAAAAAAAAATTCTTGCAATGAATTTTTATCCAAACGAATGTTTTATTTGCAAGACAAAAAAAAATCTACGACAATGTACACGATGTCAAATGATTTCATATTGTGGCAAAAAACATCAGGATGAACATACAAATCATAAAGAATTATGTAAAGCAATTGTTGATCAAACAAAAATAATGAAAGTCATTCATCTTTATGAAAAATTTCATAAATCAAATATCAATGATTGGTGTAAAATGAAAGAAAATTTTCATCAAATATTTGAAAATAAACTTGGACGTTCATTATCATTGAATGAAATTCAAATGTTATATTTTCCACGTTCATGTTTTATTTGTCATCAATCGAAACAAGAATTACTCATTAATTGTCCAAATTGTCCATCATTAAGTTATTGCAATGAACATAAAGATTTACGTCAACAACATATTAATGAATGTGGTATTTTAAGTCGTACACAAAATTTTGATTCAAAAAAAATTAAAATTCATGAAATTTTAAAAATTGCACAATTAATTGTTGAACGTATTTTTTTCGATGACAATAATAAAATGCCAAATCAACCAAAATCAATGGCACAATTATTACAACATTATCCAAAACCAACAATTGATATAAATGAATTGACAAAAATTTCCATCTCTGATATATTAACATATCCATTGACAATATATAATGGATTTTATAAATTAAAATTTATAACAATGGAAAAATTGACAATTTTTTTACATCAACAATTACAAGAAATAAATGAAATATTATGGGAAATTATTTTACATCTTATGCAAGATTTAAAAATATTACAAATTATTATTCACGGCTCGAATGATAATGTGAAAATTATTGACACATGCAATAATTGTAAGAGAAATAATAAAAAATTAATAATAATAACAATGAAGAATTATGAAAAATCATTAATTATATCTGATGTGATTGTTAATTTTTGTTTTGACAATCAACAAGACACGTCGATAAAAATGAAACGTATGGAAAAAATTGATGAAAATAATATTAATCTTTATCAATTATCTAAATGTCCAATTATTTATTCTGGTTATAAAGAAATTGAGATAATTCGCAAAAATTTAGAAATTGATTTATCAAAAATTATTATTCATTATGATGGTGTAAATAAATTTTGTAGTTTACAACAAAGACGCGATTGTCGAACGGAATTAAATTATGTGATTAATTCGAATATGTTAATATTTCAATATACACAAAATTCTCACGATAATACAAATTTAGTGAAGAAATATAGAGATGAATTTTTGAATGATATGAAAACAATGGAAATTATTGAAAATAAAGAAATTAAAGAAAAAATCACAAATTCACCAAATGATGAATTGAATTTAAAAGAAAATAAAATTGACAAAAAATTAACAATTGATAGTGAAAATAAAACAAAAGTAATTTTAATGAGAAAAACTGATGCAATACATTTATCAATAAATGAAAATAAAAAAATTGTTTCATTAACAGAAAAAAAAATGGAAATTTCATTAGAAAAGATTGATTTAGCAATAATGAAAAAATTATCAAAAAAAACTGAAGATCAGAAAGTAAATCAAATACAAAATACACCTGAGAATTTATTAAAAATGAGGAATATCATTCTTCTTCATTTATTCAATGAAAAAAAATTAGCAACACAAAATTCATTAAAGGAAAATAAATTACAAACATCAATATTTGAAAATAATGTTGAAAATTCAAATCCAAGCAATAGTGAAAATTTATTGAATGAAAAGAAAATTGAAAATTCATCAAATGAGAAAAATATGTTAGAATTAATTTTCAATCATGATGATTTGAATTATTATGAAATTGATTCTTGTCAGGTTTGTCATTTATCACGTGATTGTGTACCGTGTACACGTTGTAAAATAATTTCCTATTGTAGTGATAGTCATCGACGTGAACATTGGACGAAGCATAAGGATTTTTGTAAAGTTATATTGGGAATGCTAAAAGAAAGCGGTGGTACGACACTTTATGATAAATCAAAAACAAATTATATGGATGCATGGATTAAGATAAAAGTGAATTTTCTCGTTAAAGCACAAACAAAACTTGTCAGACAACTTTTCGATTATGAAAAGCAAGTGATACTTTTTCCACGAACATGTTTCATTTGTCACGAGAGCGATAGAAGTATTTTGAAAACATGCGAATGTGGAGTAAGTGTTTTTTTTTTTTTTTTTTTTACAAATTTTGACAAATTATTATTTTAATAAATTTTCTTTTTATTTTCAGACAAGTCTCTGTAAACAACATAAAAATAATTCAACGCATAAAAAAATATGTTCCGATCTTCAAACAGCTGTAAAATTTGAAAAAATGCAAAAACTTTTACGTCAATATCCAAAACAAAATTATTATTTGTCACGATTGCCAGAAAATGCCATGGAAAATATATTGATTAAAAATAAAATTAAAAAATTACCAACTGGAATGACGGCATTTATTGAATCAAATTCTATTAAAGAAATTGGACTATCAATTTATGGAGAAAATGATAAATTTAAAAAATGTTTAATCACAGAATATTTTTCACGACCATTAACAGCACTTTATGCCATTGAAAAACTTAATATGCCTGTGAAAAAATCATTAATTATTCATATTATCGGTGCAAGTAAAAATGATCTTTTATATAATTCTTATTGGGAAATTCTCTTACATTGGCTAATTGATTTAAAGGAAATAAAAATTCATTTTTTTGGACCGAAATTTGATGGAAATTATTGTATAAATAATGAATTATGCAATTCCTGTAAAGCAATGGATAAAAAATCATTTCAAATTTATTGTTATTCTATGAATTATCATGAGTCTTTAAACAATAAATCAATAGTAACGAAACCGGATATTATTTTTGGTTTTAATTTAAATTTACACGAGAGCGATTATGGAATTTACGAATGTAAATGGAAGGAGACGTTTTGTGTTTTAAAAAATTATATCAATATTCCTTTTATAATGACATCAGAAACTGAAAGACGAGGACAAAAAGATCATGAAAAATTATGTTCATTTCTTGAAAAATCAGTGATTTATGATTTTTTCCAAGAAAATCCCTTTGCTTCGTCAATAATGATGCGTGATTTTGAAACTGAACAATTGAAAAATCCAAATAAATTTCTTCTCATCTATAAACAATTTTACAAAACGCCAAATAAATCTGCAATAAGTTTAGAGACAAAAAATGAATCGTTTAAACAAGAATCGGAAATTTTAAATAAAAATTTGATTACAAAAAATGCAACACAAATGCTTACAGTTGGCGAATTGGAAAAAATACACGAAAAACAAATGGAAGAAGAGAAAGTAACAATGGAAAAATTCAACGAATCATTGATGCAAACGGAAATTAATTCAGAACATTTAATTAAAAAAACAAAACAAATAAACGAACAAATTGAAAATTTGCCAAAAAGTCAAATAGAAATAGAAATGAAAAAATCTCAAGAAACAAATGAAAAACTAAATATTAAATTATCAGAAAATAAATTAAAATCGCAAGTAATTACAAAGAAAGAAGAAGAGGAAAAAGATGATTTGAAAAATTTCAAAACCGACGCATTTATTGAAGAAAAAAAAAATTTTTCTGAGAATTCATTAGAAAAATTAAATACATCTACAACTAAAACGATTTCAATGGACAGTTTAATGAATACTATTGAGGAATTGAATCAAAGTTCATATATACAAAGAAAAGAAGAAGCCAAAAGACAAGTAGAGTTTCTAAGAGAAAGTTTTATTTTTATACATGAAGAAACTTTAAAAATGAAACAAGAAAATTTACGTCTTCGTGAGGAAAATAAATTACTTATCGATATACGCAGTGAAATTGAGGAAACTCTTAAAAAATTACTCGAGAAAAAAAATTGTCAAACCTGTGATAATTGTCAGAAATAAGTTGTAGAACATATTTAAAAAAAAAAAAAAGAAATTGATTCTTAATTATTTTAAGAAAACTCATCTAATTTATCTTCAAGAGTCATCAATATTTTGTAAGATTTTTGAATTTAGAAAAAAAAAATATTTAATATGAAACTTCTTTTTGTATTATAAAATATCGTTTGTTTTTTTCATATTTCATTGAGAAGTAAGAAGAAAAATTACTAATTTTATAAATTTCTTCTACAAATTATTTTTTTCTATTTGAAAAATATTTTACAAAAATCCAAAGGGATTTTTAATTTATTTTAGTATATTTAATTAAGTAAATTACAAAAATTATTTTTAAATAATTTTTCTTTTCGCACAAAAAATTATTTTTTCCTATATTTTTTTTCAAAAACATTGCATTTGAAGAAAAATATCGATTTACAATTAACTTGATACATTTTCCATATTTTTGAATGTAGCCAAAGTTAAAACTTGTATATATTTTGTGAGTTTAATTTAGTTTTTTTCTTTTCTTTAGAAAATAAGAGATTTATACAGTTTATATTATAAAATACACAGCAATATATATAAAAAAAAAAAATATTTTGTATTAAAAAAAAAAAATTCTACATTAAATATATTTTGTACAATAAAAGAAAGAAAATGAAATAAATTTATACTATAATAAAAAGATAAAATTTTATTTTATTGACATTTTAGAACTTTTTAAAAGTACAAAATGAAGAAAATAAATTTAATCTAATTTAGAACTATTAAAATTAAAATTTTAAATAAAATTCGTTTTTCTAAAAAAAAAATTGTAATATTTTATTTTTTTATTTATATATAATTTTAAATATTTAAATAATATTTAAATAATATTTAATTATAATTATTTAAAATATTTTATTTTTAATGTAAATTCTACGTATTTATTTTTTAATAAAATTTTTTTTTTTTTTGGGTGAATTAATATTAATTTTAACATTAATAAATTAAATTTTTTTTTTATATAATTTTTTTTTTATTATAAAAAATGAAGAAAAAATGCCGATAAAAATTACTGCGCAAACTCGCACATTAACGTTTTGTGTATGAGAGAGAAAAGTCAAGGAAAAATGTGTTTTAACCGCTTTAAAAGAAAGTGAAATAATTACTAATTAAATTTACATAATTAAAAAGTATGTTCTGTCACTATTGATTATTGATTTCTCACGTGTAAACAAGTGTTTTATAACTTTTAAAAAAGACAATTTCATCTATATAGATTGCGGAAAGCCATGCACAACATAACCTATAAATTTACATTATTTACGAGAATTAATGTATATTAATATTTATAAACAACATTCCAGAATATAATAATAAGCGCGGGTAAGTGAATCATTGATTTAGTTTATAATATTTATAAAATGCTTATTTTTAATTTAAAATTAAAAAATTAAGTTTCATTTTTTATATATAATTATAAAAGCACAGTAAAAAGTACATTTTAAATTCAACAATACGTCGTTTTTCGAATATTTTATAATTTTTTTTTTACACAACTAAAATAATATGCAAATTAGGTATTTCAAAAATTGAATTTTAAAAAATTAATTACAGAAAGATTTAAGTTAATTTTTTTCGCGTTATTAAAATTTTATTCAATATTTTACGAAGCTGAAATACGCAACGTTTATGAGAAACGATTTTTAAAGAAATAATTTTTAAAATGAATAATTCTATAATTCTTTGCCTAAAAAATATTTCTTGTAGTTTTCATTAATCAACAAATTATAAAAAAATATTTTTTAGGAAAAAAATTATAAAATTTTTCATTTTATAAATTATTACTTTAAAAATCGTACGTTGCGTACTTCAGCTTCGTAATATTTTTTTAAAGCAAAAAGAAAATATTTAAATACATAAACGGGTTTTAAATAAACCCTTTCGTTATAAAAGTACTTAAATAAAAAAAAATTAATAACAATTATTATTATAAAAGTTTTGAAAATATTTTTAAATATCTAAAACTAAATAATAATATATATTATATTATTTTAGATATAAAAAAAAACCGCCCCGAGAGACGAGACAAAAATAAAATTATTAAACCTAATAAAATAAAAAGAGAAAAAAAAATGTATTTCTATCCAAACGAATGTTACGTTTGTGAGGCAACGGATTCATTGAAACAATGTGGTAGTTGTAAAATGGTCTCATATTGCGGTGAGCCACATCAAAAAGTCGATTGGAAAAATCATAAAACATTTTGCCGTGCTATTTCCACTTTATTGAAAAAAAATCATCAATCACATTTATTTGAGGGACTTAAAGGTTTATCGCGTCACAAATGGATGGACGAAAGTAAAAATATGTGGCCAGAAATTATTTTACTTTTAAATCGTTCATTCTTTCCAAATGAAGAGGAAATGTTACAATTTCCACGCGTTTGTTTCATATGTTTTGAGGCACGACAAAATTTATTGAAAAATTGTCCCAATTGTCCATTCGCAAGTTTTTGCAAGGAACATCCAACAAGTCCAATACACGATAAAAATTGTCACGAGATAAAAATGGTATGAAAAACTTAATTAATTATATCGGAAATTTTTTTTTTTTATGAAAAGAATTAACATTTTTTAATCCCAAAATTTTATTATAGAAAAAGAAAAATTTTAATTTCAAAATTATTTCAATGATTTTATTGATTATTTGAAGATAACTTAATATTTCAAGATAATTTCAAGATATTTTCAAGAAAAAGTTAATTTTTAATTATTTGATTAATTTATTTTCTCTATTATTTCTAAATAGAAAATTATATAATAATAAAATGCTTGGTCTGTCCTTCTGTCCTAACTTGAAGTTGGTCAAAAAATTTTTTGGAAAACATTTTTTAAATTTAATTGAATTTTCAAAAGATTTAAAATTGAGATTTTAGAAATTAATTGAACTTCAAGTGATTTTAATTAAAATTTTATATGATTTCACTAAAAAATTTATTAGAAATTACAGAAAAAATACAATAATTTAATAATCATTTTTTAATTGAAAACTGGTTTCAGGTAGTTGAATTTTCAAAGAATATTATAAAAATATTTTAAAATAATTGAATTCCCTTAGAGTTATAATTGAAATTATTAAATTTCAAAAAATTTTCGATGGAAAATTTTAGAAATAATTAAATTTTAAATGCTTTTAAATTCAAATTATTGAAAATTCAATTAATTTTGAATTCAAATTTTTTAGAATAATAATAATTTAATTTAAGTTCATTTTTTATTGAAAATTTGGATAATTAATTTTGAATGGAAATTTTAGAAAATAATTGAAGAATTTTATTTCATTTTAAATTGAAAACTACGAAAATAATTGAATTTTAAAAGATTTTGAATTAAAAATTTGGAAAGTAATTGAATTTTCTTTGATTTTGAATTAAAAATTTGGAAAGTAATTGAATTTTCTTTGATTTTGAATTAAAATTTTGGGAAATAATTGAATTTTAGTTGATTTTGGAATTGAAATTTCGGAAAATAATTAAATTTCAATTAAAATTTTGGATAATAATTCATTTTTAGTTGATTTTTTATTGAAAATTTTAATAATTAATTTTGAATTGAAATTTTAGAAAATAATTAAATTTTATTTGATTTTAAATTTAGAAAATAATTGAATTTTAGTTGATTTTGAATTGAAAATTTTGAAAATAATTGAATTTTCTTTGATTTTGAATTAAAATTTTGGGAAATAATTGAATTTTAATTGAAATTTTTGAATAATAATTTAATTTAAGTTCATTTTTTATTGAAAATTTGGATAATTAATTTTGAATAGAAATTTTAGAAAATAATTGAAGAATTTTATTTCATTTTAAATTGAAAACTACGAAAATAATTGAATTTTAAAAGATTTTGAATTAAAAATTTTAAAAAATAATTGAATTTCAATTAAAATTTTAGAAAATAATTGAATTTTAGTTAATTTTCAATTGAAATTTTGGAAAATAATTGAATTTTAGTTGATTTTGAATTGAAAATTTTTAAAATAATTGAATTTTAATTGAAATTTTAGAAAATAATTGAATTTTCTTTGATTTTGAATTAAAATTTTGGGAAATAATTGAATTTTAGTTGATTTTGGAATTGAAATTTTGGAATATAATTGAATTTTTGTTAATTTTCAATAGATAAATTTGGAAAATATTTGAATTTTAGTTGATTTTAAATTAAAATTTCGAATAATAATTGAATTTTATGTGATTTTAAATTGAAAATTTGGAAAATAATTGGATTTTAAAAAATTTTGAATTAAAAATTTTAAAAAATAATTGAATTTCAATTAAAATTTTAGAAAATAATTGAATTTTAGTTAATTTTCAATTGAAATTTTGGAAAATAATTGAATTTTAGTTGATTTTGAATTGAAAATTTTTAAAATAATTGAATTTTAATTGAAATTTTAGAAAATAATTGAATTTTCTTTGATTTTGAATTAAAATTTTGGGAAATAATTGAATTTTAGTTGATTTTGGAATTGAAATTTTGGAATATAATTGAATTTTTGTTAATTTTCAATAGATAAATTTGGAAAATATTTGAATTTTAGTTGATTTTAAATTAAAATTTCGAATAATAATTGAATTTTATGTGATTTTAAATTGAAAATTTGGAAAATAATTGGATTTTAAAAAATTTTGAATTAAAAATTTGGAAAATAATTGAATTGTCTTGGATTTTGAATTGAAATTTTGAAAAATAATTAAATTTCAATTACAATTTTAAATAATAATTCAATTTTAGTTGATTTTTGATAATTAATTTTGAAATGAAATTTTAGAAAATAATTTTATTTTATTTGAATTTAAATTGAAAATTTGGAAAATAAGTGAATTTTAGTTGATTTTGAATGGAAATTTTGGGTAATAATTGAATGTCATTTGATTTTAAATTGAAAATTTGGAAAATAATTGAATTTTAAAAGACTTTGAATTTAAAATTTAATAATTTGATAATTAATAATCTGAGGCCTATAAACATATAATTTTTATTTTTATCATTTAATATGGAATAATATTCTAATAAATTTAAATAATTATTGATAATATTAATTTTTAATTTCTCTATAACAAATAATGAAACAGTCAATTTGACGCGCTTGCGCGCGTTTAATATTGCTAGTTAAATATAAAACTTTAATTCTATAAATTTTTATATTTTAAATTTATTTATAAATTTATTTATAAATTTATTTATAAATTTATTTATAAATTTATTTATAAATTTATTTATAAATTTGTGAAATAATAAAACATTTTTTTTTTCATTTCTTGATAAAATAAAAATTTCAGGTACACGACAAAAAAGTTCTCGTCGTACCATCCGAAGAACGAATACAATTAAATATTCTTGTTGCATCGTTAAAAAAATCCGACAAACCACCACTATCAATGGAAGATCTCATGGAACAACAATTTGGCAAACAAACAGAAATCGAGGAGAATGTAAAATATTATGTATCAGAAGCAATGAGCGTGCCATTAACGCTCTATAATGCATTTCAAAAATTAAATCAACCATTACAATCAGAAATTGTTGTACACGTTCAAGGTGTTGCCAATGTTCATGTTTTTGTACAATCATGGGAATCAATTTTACATCTAATGCCACACATCATATCATTGACAATTGTATTTATTGATAGTAAACAAAATTCCTGTACAAATGTCACATTATGCAATAAATGTGTAATGGGTAAAAAAAAATTAATTGTCGAAGTACCAACATTGCCATATGTGAAATATGTAAAGAAAAAATCATGTCGTAAACCAAATTTATTGGCAATGTTTATGATGGATTTATATTATTGTACACGCGATCAATTTCGTATGTGGCATGAGAATCTTGATTATTGGAATACATCATCATGTCCAATTGTCATTGCCTATAAGGGTAATGTTGAGAGATTTGTCATTGAAAATTTACATCCATATATTTGTAATTCATCATTTTATTATATGGGATTAAATAGTTTTTCACCACTTTATCCATGTTTAAATCCATATGATTGGACGTGTTGTAAAAATTCAATGAATTTAATAATTGCAAAAAGTCCACGTGAATCAAAAACAACAACAACAACAACGGGAGCTTTAATGATGGATGGAACATCATTGGAAAAATATCAAGAAGAAGACGATATTGATGATCCTGATAATTCAATTGAATGGAAAAAACGTTTATGGAGAAGATCATTTTATCATAGTGTTTGTTATGTTTGTCAATCAATGAATCCAATGTTGGCATGTAAAAAATGTAAAATGATATTTTACTGTGGTGAAAATCATCAACGTGTTCATTGGCCATATCATAAAATGATTTGTCGTGCAATATTGGGAATGTTAAATGAAACTGGTGCAACAAGTGTTTTTGATAAATTGCCAATTGATAATGATGCATTATGGTTAAAGGGTAAATTTGATTTATTAAAAAAGACAGAATTAAAAATTGGCAAAGAACTTTTTGATGGTGAACGTGAAATGTTTTTATTTCCAAAAACATGTTTCATTTGTCATATCAATGATTCGAGTATTTTGAAGAATTGCAAATGTGGGGTAAGAAGATATTTTAAAAAATTTCATTCTTTTATAGAATTTTTTGAAAATTTTTTTTCTACCATTCTCTTTCTTTTATTTTTAAAAATCGAATTTTAATAGCAATAATTTTGAAAAATTAAAATATTTCTGCTAAATATCAATTTGATTACATCAAAATTTGTTAATTTATTAAATAAGTTTTGATAATTAAAATTTCTGCTAAATAAAAAACTGGTTAAATAAAAATTCAGTTAATTAAAAAATTTTGTTACGTAAAAATTCTGCTAAATAAAAATTTGGTTACATAAAAATTAAGATAAATAAAAATTCTGTTCATTACGATTTCTGCTAAATAAAAATTCGGTAAAATAAAAATTTAGTTAATTAAAAATTCGGTTAAATAATAATTTCGATTAGACGAAAATTCGGCTAAATGCAAAATTTGGTTACATAAAAATTATGATAAATAAAAATTCTGTTAATTACAATTTCTGCTAAATAAAAATTCGACTGAATGCAAAATTCGGTTAAATGATAAATTCGATTAAACAAAAATTCGTCTAAATGAAAATTAAATCTATAGTTAAAAATTCAATTAAACAAAAATTCTGCTAAACAATAAATTCGATTAAATAAAAATTTGGCTAAATGAAAATTTGGTTCAGTTAAAAATTCGATAAAACAAAAATTATGCATAATAAAAATTTGGAGTCATAGAAATTCAGCTGTGTTCAAAATTCGGTTAAATAATAAATTCGATTAAACAAAAAATCTGCTAAATGAAAATTTGGTTACATAAAAATTAAGATAAATAAAAATTCTGTTAATTACAATTTCTGCTAAATAAAAATTCGACTGAATGAAAATTCTGTTAAATAATAAATTCGATTAAACAAAAATTCGTCTAAATAAAAATTTAATCTAGTTAAAAATTCAATTAAACAAAAATTCTGCTAAATAATAAATTCGATTAAACATAAATTTGGCTAAATAAAAATTTGGTTCAGTTAAAAATTCAATAAAACAAAAATTCTGCATAATAAAAATTTGGCATTATAGAAATTTAGATTTGTTAAAAATTCGATTAAACAAAAAATCTGCTAAATGAAAATTTGGTTACATAAAAATTAAGATGAATAAAAATTCTGTTAATTACAATTTCTGCTAAATTAAAAATTCGACTGAATGAAAATTCGGTTAAATAATAAATTCGATTTAACAAAAATTCGTCTGAATGAAAATTTAATCTATAGTTTAAAATTCAATTAAACAAAAATTCTGCTAAATAATAAATTCGATTTAACAAAAATTTGGTTTAGTTAAAAATTCGATAAAACAAAAATTCTGCATAATAAAAATTTGGCTTCATAGAAATTTAGATTTATTAAAAATTCGGTTAAATAATAAATTCGATTAAACAAAAAATCTGCTAAATAAAAATTAGGTAAAATGAAAATTTGGTTGTATAATAATTTCGATTAAACAAAAATTCGGCTAAATAAAAATTTTGTAAATTAAAAATTTGATTAAAGAATAATTTCGATTAAACAAAAATTCTGCTTAATAAAAATGCGGTTAAATGAAAATTTGGTTAATTAAAAATTCGGCTTAATGAGTATTTGGTTAAATAATTTCTAATTTCGATTAAATAATAATTATGTTAAATAAAAAATTTGCTGAAATAAAAATTTGCTTTACTAAAATATATTTTTTTAAATATATAAATATTTATAATGAATGAAGTTAATAATAAGTAATTAATTTATCATAAAAAATAATGTTTCTCTTTTTTTTTATTTACAGATAAGTTTCTGCAAAATTCACATGAGAAATGCAAATCACAAGGAGAATTGTAAAGATTTTTCACTATCAAGAAAATTAATGTTAATCCTTGAGCCACGTGTAATGCATCTTGATGTTAAAGTATTATCAAAAAAAAGTAATAATTTTCCCGAGAAAATTGAGGATTTCATTAGAAATTATTTAAAATTTAATAATGAAGATTTTGGTATACCAAATATACAAAATATTTTACTCTCTGATTATTTATCGCGTACATTAACATTTCTCTATTGTGCCGAATGTTTAATGGATCCATGTTATTTTGAAAATGATTCATTAGTAATACATGTGATTGGTGCAACAATGCGTGAAAAATATGAAGCTGTATTTTGGAAATTTATTCTCTATTGGTTTGATCATATGAAAAATTTAAAAATTATTTTTATTGGACCAGAAGTTGAAACAAAAATACCACCCACACAACAAACGCTACTTGTACGTTTTGATTTTTCTTCAATTGCTTATATGCGTTATCAAAATTTGGAAATAAAATCCTATACAATGAAATATGAAGATTATTATCGTCATCAAGAATTTATTGTACCGGATATTGTTATTGGATTTAATTTAAATATTCATGAAAGTGATGCAAATACATGGGATGAAGCGGCTAAATGTTTAACAGATATTAATTGTTATTTTATAATGACAGCCAAAAGTAAAGCGCGTTCATTTAAAGATGATAATTCAATGGAGGCGATTTTAGATAAAATTGATTATTATACATTAAATTATGGCAATGGATTAAATCCATACGCGAGTCTTATTCCTGAACGTGATTATGAGACAGAGGGTCTTTGTTATTCGAATAAAGCAATTACATTTTGTACAATGTTTGAAAAACGTTATCGACCATCGGGCAAAAGTCTCGCCGAATTGAAAATTGAAATGGTAGCGAGTCAAAAGAGATTGGAGGCAATGTTACGCGATCAAAAGAAAGCTGAAATAATGCCAGAAGATAGTCCTATGAAGAAAAACTGCGAAGAATTGAATGCGTTAGTAAAATGTTTGAATGAGGAAAAATTACCTCAACTTGAGGCATTATTTGAAATGGAGGAAAAAATTGAATTAGTTACAGAAGTAGAGAAAAAATTATCGGAAATTAAACTTTCTATTGAAAAAGACGATAAAAATTGTGATATTGAAAATTCTATTGAAAATAATAACATATCAATTTCAAGTCAATTAGAAGAGAATTCTGATAATGAAATAAATGATAAAAATCTCGAACAAGAATTACAGGCAGAGATTTTGGAAATACAAAGAAAATTTGAAAGAAAAATGCCCGAAACACAAAATGAAAAATTTGATCGTAAAATACGTAAAGCAATGCGTAGAATTGGAAAATTAGATTTAAAAGATGAACAAAAAGAAAATACACTGAATGGAGAAAATTTTGAAACAAATAAAATAGATGACAAAGACGAAGAAAATGAAGAGTTTGAAGAAAAAATAGATGAAACTGAAAATGAAAATGGAAAATTAAAATATGTTAACGAAAGAACAATAGAAAAAGAAAATTTAGAAAACATAAATGAAGAGAAAGAAGAGACAATAAAAGATGATAAAGAACGAAAAATAAAAATAGAAGATGAACGAAAATTAAATGTAGAAAAATTAATAGAAGAGAAGGAAGAGAAAGAAGGAAAAATAAAAGAAGAAACAGAAGAGAAAAAGGTGAAAGAAGAAAAAATTAAAGGGGAAAATGAAGAGAAAGAGGGAAAGATAAAGGTAGAAACGGAAGAGAAAGAAGAAACTGAAAATGAAGAAGAAAAATTAAAAGACGATAAAGAAAGAAAATTAAAAAAATATGATGCTGATAAACGGAAATTAAATGTAAAAGAAGAGATTAAAGAAAGTTTAATAAAAGAAGAAACTGAAGATGCAGATGGAAAATTAAAAGATGATAATGAAAGAAAAATAAAAAAAGAAGAAGAACGAAAATTAAATGTAGAGGATAAAGAAGGAAAAATAAAAGAGGAAACGAAAGATGACAAAGAAAAATTAATAAAAAATATGGAAGAGAAAGAAGAAAAAATTAAAGAAGAAGTGGAGGAAGAAATAGAAACAAAAGAAATACCGAAAGGAAGAGAAGATAAAGAAGGAAAATTAAAAGAAGTAAAGGATGAGGTAAAAATAAAAGTAAAAGAAGAAAAAGAAGGAGAAAAAAATGAAAATAATACAAGTGTAAAAGAAGAAGAAAAAAATAAAGAAAAAATGAAAGCAGAACCAGAAAAAGAAGAAACAAAACAAGAGAAGCCGCAAACAGAAAATTCTTCAATTGTCACTACAAATTCAAAATACGAGAAAAAATTGAAAATCGAAGCACAAAATGGAATAATTGTCGTTGAAGGTATAAAAATTGAAAAAAGACCAAAACAAGAATTAGAAATAAAGCAAAAAACTGAAAATTATTCTCTTGTCTCTTCCACTTTAAAAAATGAAGACAAACCAAAAGTGGATGAAAAATTAGAAGTCAAGGAAATTCTCGAAATTGAAAAGAAATCAGAGAAAAAATTGCAAATTGTCAAGAAATCAGAAATTACAAATAAATTAGAAACTAATGAAAAATCGAAAATCGAAAAAAATGAAACAACTTCTGTTGAAAATATCAAAATAAACGAAAATAAAAATAAAAAGAAGGAAGAAAAACAAAAGGGAAAATCAATAAAAGATGAACCAAATTCATCGAATCAAAATGTCACCAATAATTTGGATAATATTGAAAATATAAAAGCAAAAGTAACAAAAAAATCCCCTGACGAAGCAAAAGCCGAAGAAAAAGTAGAAACACCAAAAGTTAAAAATGACGTGACAAAAAGCAAGAAATCGAAAAATAAAAAACAATCCAAACCAGAAACAAAGGAAAATGAGGTAACCAACAATGAAAATATTGAGACAACAATTAAACAAGAATCCAATAAACCAAAATCAGAACCTACTCCAATTGAGAGTAAAAAAACAAAAAATAAAAAACAATCAAAAATTGATATTAAAGATAAAGAAATACCTATTGAAATTGAAAAACAAGAAAATTCCAAAACACCGGAAAATAATAGTCAAAATATAAATAATAAAAAATCGAAAAATAAAAAATCCAAAAACAATTCCAAGGAAATAATTGACGAAGAAGATGCAAGCGGAGTGAAAGAAATGCCAAAAATAGAAAATGCAGGCGGTAGTAAAAAATCAAAAAATAAAAAACAATTAAAAACAGAAAAAGAAACAATAACAGTCGAAAGTAATGATAAATTAGAAAATAAAAAAGAAATTGATAAAAAAGTTGAAAATAATACAAATGATAAAAATGAATCGAAAAAATCAAAAAAACAACAAAAAATTGATGCAAAAAAAACATTGGCAGAGAATAGTGAAAAAATTTCAGAAAAATTGAAAAATGAAAATATCAAAAAATCGAAACAACAAAAAAATCATACAAAATGTGAAAATGCAATGGAAAATGCTCAACAAATTGAAAATACTCTTTTAAGAGAAAGAAATAAACTTTTAGAAGAACATTTATTTCTAATGCGTGAAAATGAGAAATTAAAATTAGAAAATTCACGACTAAGAGAAGAAAGTGAGAGACTGAAAAAAGAGAAGAATGAAATTATCAATAATAATGATGATGACGATGACAACGTTAATTAAGTAACGATTTAATGCATAAGTAAGCATTGTGATTTCTACTTTTATAATACAATATAATATATTATAAATGTATAATATAATATCAGGAAATAATTTATCAATAAATGTGATAATTATATTTTTTTAATTTCAAATAAAAAAAAAAATATAATATTATAATATAATTGCGAATTTATAATGTTAAGTTGAAAAAAAAAAAAAAAAAAATTCTACAAATATTATTTATAATGAATTTCAAATTGTGATTAATTCTGTGTAATTATATTTTATATATAAATCATCTTTTTGTATTTTTAAATGACGACACATAATTTGTGAAGATTTTATTTGTAAATATTATTTATAATTAATATAATAATTTATAATTAATATAATATACAATAACAATTATTGTATGAATCGAAATTTATTTTTTTCAATTGTGTGCTGAATGAAATAATAAAATAATTAATTTTAAAAGTATTGTTTATTTCAAAAATTCAATATTTTTGGAAATCAAGTTATCGAATTAAAAAGGGAGAATAATGGGGGGCTAATAACATAAATAATATTACGGTGAAATTATTTTTTTTTTATAATTTCCATTCTATTTTTTAATATTGTTTAGAAAAAAAAAAAATTTTTAATTAATAAATATTTTTAATTCAACATAAAATAGAAAATAAAAATCTAAAATAATTGTTAATAATGAAGGAATTTCATTTTTATAGTTATCAACAAAGTCTGGGATTTCCCCGCTTTTATATTAAAAAAACTTTTTATTTAAAAAAAAAAAAAAAAAAAAAAAATGACAGGGTTGTGTAGTTACAGAACATAATTTGAATTTTGGACACTTTTGGAAACGTAAAAAAAAAACCTACTATCGCAAAGAGTGTGAAATCTATTATTATATTGTTAATGAGTCGGTATTTGACCGCCAACCTAGTCAGTCCTATAAGATATATAAAAGTGAGGATTAACCTCGCTAGGCTTGATAATAAAGTGCTTTGAACTTAATATACTATCATCTAGTAAAACAGAAAAGGAATTTTCTTTTTAATCAGTGTACGTTTATCTGTTATCAATTGTGGCCGAAACTGAATTTGTTTTAATATAGTGACGCTCATTCAAATGGTACATATATGCAGTGTATTTCGCTACAAAACTGAAAACATTCACATCTTGGAAATTATATATATTTACTCTGGAAATTTTGGATATACAACAAGGCAGTTTTTTTTTGGATTTTGGAAATAATTATATGAAATACTTCTCTGCAACTAGTTTGAATCTTGGAGATATTTACCATTACTGTTATTTTAACAAAATTCAAGGTTGTTTATTAAACTCTTGTTGGCTATAAGGTATTGTCTCTCCTTTCTATTTACTTTTCACACTCTTCACAAAACAATTCTCCTTGGGCCGTTCTTGACTTTTATAAAGATGAGTTAGAACTAAAATTTTCAATAACTATTATAAATTCACTTGGTTTATTATACACACTATTTTGAAATTTTATTTTTAATTTTTATTTAATTACACCACAATATCCATTTATTATCGCTGTATAGTCTACGTAGTGCGACCCAGGAGAAAAATTTATTTTATATTTTTTTTACAAGTTACACTTTTATAATACTCTATTTATATGTTATGTTATCATGTTCCCTGATTAACGTGTATTTTTGAATTTGAACTCGTCAATCGAGACCGCTCTGAACATAAATTCTGCCAGTTTTTCTTATTTTTATAGATCGAGATGGATTTTCCTCGAGAAAATAATCAAAATCGATCTTCTTCCTCCAGTCTGGATCATCGGAGCAGTGGCATCATTCCACACTCGACATCTCGTGGCAGATCACTACGCAGGGGTGACCCAAACGTGCTCCCCAAACCGGGATATTCTTCTGCCCCAAAATCAATCTCAGAAACTCCAAACTCTATTTTGATCCCAGGAAAAAGATCACATGGACCTACTTCTCCTTCCCTTTCTACGGGTTGCATAAGTCCACAAATTAAAAAACCTAAGACTCCTACTTCAATAAATCTACCCCCCGTTCCCTTCCTCCTTCAGAATCAATTGGTTTCCTCAGAATGCTCCATTTATTCTTCAGCTAATAACAACGACCTCCCACTTACTTCTTCTGACATACCTTCCAGCAATAATAATTTTAGTCCCCCCCAACAGTCTCCACCTTCCAAATCTAATTCTGATGATGTATCCTTTCCTTACGAACTCATATGGTACAATGACTCTCTCTCTCACGAAGCCAGATTTGACGAAAAATCTCCGGAACCCTTCAAAATCCTAATCGAATCTTCTTCGCCAGAGAGGAATCTAGGCAAATATAATCGGGTAGCCTTCGCTGAATATCTAGAGGGTATAGTTAGTGATCCCCTTCGCATCATTGTAGCTAATGGGAAAAATCAAATCATAGTCACTTCCTCGACTTGGAACTTGGCTAATTTGCTTCTCAATAACCCCGATTTACCAAATAAAGGATATAAATCATACATCCCGCAATCCCTAGTCAGTAGGAAGACGTTAATCAACAATGTTGATGTTGATCTATCTCCACTGGAAATCAGTAATAAAATTGGTCCTGATGAAACTATTGACTCCATCATTTCAATCCGTCGACGTACTAATCCAGATAACTCATTATCTGAACAAGTTGAGCTGACGTTCGCCGGTACCAATTTCCCTGATTCCATCTTGATCTCTCGATTCTCTTTTAAACTAATATTGGTAGTAACCCCCCCTAAGAGATGTTTTAAATGCCAGAGGTTCAGGCATTTTGCTTCGCAATGTAGATCTACCCATTCTACTTGCGAATTCTGCTCTGAACCTCATAACAAGAGGGAATGTCCTAATCTTAATCGATCCTCTCTTTGCTCGAATTGTCATGGTAAACATATGGCCTCAACCAAGGTTTGCCCAGACTATAAATATGAATTTTCTATCATGAAGACTAGACTTCTCAACAATGTCTCTTACGAGCAAGCAGATGCTATCCTGTTGGAGCAGGGCGTTGTTCGCCCGGGCTATCAGATCTTCTGGGAAGGTAATGTAGATCGGATTGAGCGGTGTGAGCAAACTGAGTTGTCTCACTCAGATCTCTTGGAGCGTGTGGAATCCACTGAATTAAATTCAAGGAATCTTCTGGGCGCGCCTGAGTCTGAAACTCATAGCTCTACTCTGCTTAATTCTGGTTCTGCTCCTTCTCTGTCCCAACCGGAAATTGCTAGGGAATATTATAATCCTGATATGTTTAGGGCGAGTGTCGATAACTCAGATGAATTATAAACTACTTTGAATTTTTACTTATTATTAGTTGTATTATATATTTATTTTATTTATTTGTTTATCTTTTTGTTTACTTGTATTTTTTCTTTTTCTTGTTTTTTCTTTGGATCGATTTACTTGAATTTTTGTTTTTATTTGGCTGTTGCCTTCTTTTAAAATATGACTCTTTTATCGAAAAGTTTTAATTTGATTCTTTGGAATTCTCGTAGTATAATACACAAGCGTCCGGAGTTGGAAACACTTCTCTGGAAACACAACCCGGATGTCATTTGTATTACGGAGACTTGGCTATCACAAAGAATTACATTTGAGTTGCCTGACTACATCACGGTACGACAGGATCGGGTTGATGGCAGAGGTGGTGGGGTTGCTATTCTCATTCGTAAAAGACTCTCTTTTCGGGTCTCCTTCTCTTCTCGTATTGCCGTGGGCAATTTTCATTTCGAAGTTGTCGCCATAATTCTCCATACGTTGTTCGGATCTACACAGATAATTTGTGCTTATGTTCCCCCTGGAGGTGATGTTGGTACAGCGGTATGGGATGACCTTTTTGAAAGACTCCCCTCCACTCACAACTTCATCTTTTGTGGGGATTTTAATGCCCATCACTCTTGCTGGGGTGAACAATTCAATGACATACGTGGTGCTTCTCTTCTCACCTTTACCCTCAATAGAGAATTCTTTCCCTCAAACACTACTACCCCTACTAGACACTCTGAACCAGGGGTTTCTTCTGGTAATCTTGACCTAATATTCTGCTCATCTGCTGTCTTGCAGAACTCCACCACATCTGTTTTGGAAGATGCCTACTCTTCGGATCATTTTCCGGTATCCCTTAGTGCTAGCATTGTCCCTACTCTGATTCCACCTGCAGTTTGTAGACTGAATCTGAAAAACCTTAACTGGACAGAATTTAGATCTCTTCTTGAGTTGGACGTTCTTGAGCTTTCAGCATATCTTTCCTCTGAAATTTCTTTGCCCGAGCTTTATGATCGGTTTCTTAATTCTATCAAGAAATGCATTCTGGTCGCTGGTGCTTTTTTTCCATCTCGCAACTCTCTTCCAACCCGTGCTAAGCCGCTTTGGTGGAATTTGGAATGCGACAGGGCTCTACAAACCAGAAGGGATAACTATAGATGGTATCAGGCGAATCAATCTTTGCAGAACAGGAAGGAATTTAGGAAGAGAGATGATGAGGTGAAGAGGATCTTTAGACGGCAAAAGACTCAAGCCTTTAGAGATTTCTGTGAGGACATCTCCCCATCTAGGGGTACTTCCACTCTTTGGAGGACAATCAGGGCCCTGTCTTCCAGATCGAATCAGGCCAGTACCAACATTGATACTGATCCCTCCAACCCTGAACTTGTAGAATATAAAAAAGACCTCATAAGAGAAGATATTCCACCAGTAAACATTCCTCTCTTACCCACCCCATCTCAATTCAATGATGATGATTTTAGGCCTTTCTCTATGAATGAGTTTAAATCCGCCTTGAATTCAACAAAAACCAATTCGGCTCCAGGTATGGACGGAATCACGGGTGAGATAGTCAAGGGCCTTGGGCCGGTTGCCTTGGAATTTGTCCTCCTCCTGTTCAATCGTATGTTTCTCGCTTCTTCATATCCGGCAACTTGGTTGGAGACACAGGTGCTGATCATCCCGAAACCGGGTGGTAGGGGCTTCAGGCCAATTGCTCTCACTTCTGTGTTTTCAAAAATTTTCGAAAAACTCATCCAACGCAGATTGGATCACGAGGTCGAATCGAGACGTCTGATTCCTAAATGTCAATTTGGCTTTCGTAAGGAACGCTCCTCTCTCGATTGTGTTTCCACCTTTGTTGCTGATATTCTAAATGGTTTTGCTGACTCCTCACACACCCTTGCTATCTCTGTTGATATCAAGGGTGCCTTCAACAATGTCCGTCCTTTGATTCTAAACAAAATTTTAAACAGATTGGGCTTACAACCCAATCTAATCAACTTTTTAACATTTATAACCGCTAGGAGACGTATCTCTTTTACCCCAGATGGCTCAGATGGCAAATTCTGTGGTGTCGGTGTCCCTCAGGGAGGTGTACTCTCTCCTCTTCTTTTTAACCTTTACCTTCGTAGAATAGGACAAATTCTCCCCGCCAACATGAGATTTGCTATGTATGCGGATGATCTTCTCCTTTACATCAAATTTAAAGATCCTACTAACATTGATGAAGAGGTCTCTCTAGTATTAAATAGATTGTGTAAGTGGCTTAGAGGTATGGGTATGGAGGTAGCTCCCAATAAAACCTGTTGCTGTGTCTTCTCGAGATCTCGCATCTCTTTTGATAATCTCAGAATATTTGTTGGAAATACCCCAATCAGATGTGAGCCTACCATTAAATACCTGGGTATAATTCTGGACAGGAAACTCTCTTGGCTTCCCCACATAAAGCAAATTGCTGATCGAGCCATGCGAGCTCTCTCTATCTTAAAAGTTGTTTCCAGGGTGGCATGGGGTACTTCCCCGATTCTTGCCCTCATGGTCTATCGGGGCCTCATACGAGCCATTCTGGACTGGGGTGCTCCACTCTTCTCCGATGCGGCTCCAACAAATTTGAAGATTCTGGATGGGGTACAGAGTGCTGCTCTGAGAATGTCCCTGGGATGCATGAGGTCAACCCCAATTGCCATCTTGTTGTCGGAATCAGGGGAACCCCCTCTTGCCCTTAGAAGAATCTTCATTGCAAATTCCTTTATTTATAGGAATTTCAGATGGAAGGATAACCCTCTAATTCCTAAATTACAACTTTTGAGAGAGAAGTCTTTACGTCCGGGTTTTAGACTGAATAAGTGTAGAATATCTCTCCTGAATGCCTATGATAGGACTATTCCCGTGTTGCAGTCTCTTTATAGAACCAACAGACCTTCATATTATGATGTTCCATGGAAGACCTTGGCTCTCACTCCCATCTGTGATCTTCTATCAGGCAATCTACTTAAAGATATTTCTTTACCTGACAAAAAGTTCAGATCTATAGTCAGAGAAAATTATCAAAACCCTCTCACGATCTATACTGATGCTTCTTATGATGCTAAATCTGGTCTAGCCGCTTCGGCTTTTTACGTTGAGTCCACCCACTTTTCAGTGGGCATCCCTCTTCAATTTGGTCCATCCATCCTAACGGCTGAGCTCTATTCTATCCTTAGAGCCATCCTACATGCTATAGAACAAAATGCCCCTCAGGTTTTGATTGTTTCAGATTCACTGTCTGCCTTATCCAGAATTTCCAACTGCTTTCTGTTCCCAGACAATAATTATCTGGTATACAATATCCTTACCTGTCTATATGATATTTCCAAGTTCTCACGATCCATGGAGGTCAGATTTCTATGGGTTCCGGCCCATACGGGAATCTCTGGAAATGAAAGAGTGGATGGAATTGCTAAGGCCACTAATAGATTCTTAAATAGAATTGACCTTGCCCCCCCTCCCTCTGATCTAAAAAGGATAATCCTGGATCCAGACTCTAAGTTCTGGCTGTCCAGACTCTGGCCTTATGTGGAGGAAGGTAAACAGCAGCGAAGATATTTCTCACATATAACATTCGATACTCTGAGACCTTGGTTTGCTCAAATCTCCTTGCCCAGAAGATATATCAATCTTATCACCAGACTTAGATCTGGACATATATGCACGGCGGATCACCTCTCAAGATTTCACCTTGATGATGCTTTGAGATGTTCTTGTGGCTCGGACTGGAGGAGTCTTGAACATCTGATATTTGAATGCCCACTGTTGGCTTTAACTAGACAGGGATTCATTGACTTTCTTAAACGTAGAAGACCTAACATTGAGTTGTCTGAGGTTTCTTTAGATGAGTTCATTTTCGCTCCGGATATGGAGACTGTTGGAGAGTTTGGCAGGCACCTCTGTTCCTCGGAGTTGGTGGTCTAGCTCTGCTCCGTACTCATGTCATTCTTAGGCCCGTTCATGTGGATGTTCTTGCCGATAGAACCATCCACTATGAAGATCCTTCTCGGACAGGACCTAAGTAATGGCGTCAGTTCTGACTTTGTGATTGTTACCTCCTCGTGGAGCATCTTGTGCTCTCCTGCAGTCTCGGTCTGCGATGAGCTCTAATTATTTGATTCTGATAAATTGATAAATGATGTTTGTGTTTCCACAATTTTGTGGCTCCATGCGGAATATTCAATTTGCTCTGGGTAGTATTGTCCGGACTATACAGCGGATACTTACCGGGAAGAAAAAAAAAAAAAAAGGGAAGATGAAGTAAAGAAATATCTCTTTATTTGAATCGAGCGCGGTTCCAATATATGCCCTTGTCCCTAACCCTTCGAGCAATACCTTACATCATGAAGAAACATCTGGAACACAGTTGTGTTCCCTCCCTAACGTGACACGTGAGAATCCATCTGCCTACCAACAACTTGAACGTTCCGCTCGAGCCTTTTTGACGGTTCACTGTGTATGCACTTTAACTCTCCTTCTTTTCTGATTATTTATTGTTCTGACAGTTGGCTGTGCCTCAAGTCATTAAGAAGAAGAAGAAGAAGATATTGTTAATGATTGTTGATGGATTTCTTATTTTTCAAGTAAAAATAATTTATAATTAAAAAATTGTACTTAATTTACAAAAGCAAAATTTATGAATACGAAGATAACTACTATACTGAGGGTAAATATTTATTTATTTTTTTATTTCAATCAAAATTCCTTTTTTTTGGATAAAAAAAAACTTTCGGCTTATTAAACGTGGTTCGTTTTTTTATAGAAAAATTAAAACCCTAAAAAATCGATTATTTAAACAAAAAGAAAATTTAAAAAAAGCGTCTATAACTGCGCATTTAGTTATTTATTTTCAGACGAGAATAACGTGTAATTAGAGGTTATGTTGCTCGCACTAACTGAACTTTTTGTTTCAATACGTTAAAAAATAAATTAAGACTATTTATTTTTAAATATTTTTTAAAAATTGACATTTTAAAAAAAAAATGATATATAATTCACTGATTTATAAACTAATTTACCTTTCATTGTAAATGCAAATTTATTTTCAGATTGAAATCTCAATTAATAAAAAATGCCAAAAGCTTTCTATCCAAATGAATGTTACGTTTGTGGAGTGACAACATCTCTAAGAAGATGCAGCCGCTGTCATTTAATATCCTATTGTGGTGAAGTACATCAAAAAAATGATTGGACATCGCATAAAACATTTTGCTCAGTAATATCGATGATAATGAGAATTAATGATTTATCACATCTCTATGAAAATTCAAAAGGATTCACATCACAAAAATGGATTCAAGAACGAATGAATATGATTAAACATGTCTCTTCATTATTGGATCGTAATATTCAAATTAATGAAATACAAATGTTAACATTTCCACGTTCATGCATTGTTTGTCACGATACAAAACAGGAGAATTTAACAAATTGTCCCCATTGTCCATTGATATCATTTTGTAAATTACATTCAAATACATTGCGTCACAATGAAGAATGTTTAAAAATAAATGCCTGTTATAATTTTGAAATTGATTGTGACAATTTTCGTGAACGTGCATTTACATTAATTTACAAAATTTTAGATTCACAGCAAATGGAATTATTAAAAAAACCAACAACTATTGACGATTATTTAAATCAAATTCTCGATCATTCACTAAATATTGATGATAAAATGAAAAAATATCTTGCGGCAATTTTAGCTCCCTCTTTAACTATTTTCAATTCTATTGAAAAATTAAATTATCAACCATCAACAAAATTGACAATAAACATTAATACTCGCGATAATCTCAATACATTTCCTCAACATTGGGAAATTTTACTTCATTTATTGCCAAATTTAAAATATTTAAAAATAATTCTCGATAACGATGATACAATTACAATAAGAGATGATGTTTCACTTTGCAAAAAATGTACAACAATGAAACGAAAATTAATAACAAAAACATTGAATGAAGAGAATTGTGATGATTTTGGAAAATTTGATTTATCATTTTTTTCCAATTTAAATGTACCGGATAATTGGGATATTGAATGGGAATTGGTTAATAATGTTTGGAAATTATTTAATTGTCCAATAATTTTTATGATAAGCACAGAAATTCAAATGAAACGTTTAAAAAATAAATTGAAACACGACAATTATTGGAAACAATTAATTTGTTTTGATGGTTCTAATGATTTTGCACCAGCAACTCCATATCGTTCAACAGACGATTGGACAATTGTGGAAGATAAAAAATATTTATTAATTTTAAATACCACTGCTTCAATTCAGAAAAAAATTCCAAAAAATTTATCAAAAACAAAATCTGAAACAAATTCATCAAATAAAATTTCATCGTTAAATAAGAATGAAATTAAAATAAAGGAGAATAATGTTAAAAAAGATGAAATTCCATTGGGAATTAATGCTGAAAATTCAATTGAAAATAAATTTTCAATAAATAATGAAAAAATGGGAGAAAAAATAATTAATGAAAATATTAATTACATGGAAATTAAAAATCTCAATGAAACATTAATAAAAAATACATTACTTCTTCAAGAGCAAATTGATAATATTATTAAAGAAAATATAAATCTCAAGGAAGAAAATCAACGTCTAAAAAATGAGATTTCGAAAAATTAATTAAGAATTAACTATAATTATAAAATTAAATTTAATTAAAAAAAAAAAATTGTGATGTTTTTCTCTACGAATTTCAAAAACTTTCAAAAAGTTACAAATATTTCTCATCTTTTTTTTTTTTTTTCTTTTGTTTAAAGTTAAAAATTATTTTTGATATTAATTTTCATTTGTTAATTATAGAAAATTATATTTTTGAAATAAAAGATTTGTAATCATTTATTTTATAATTATATCATTTTTTAATTTATTTAAAATTAATTTTTTTCCTTTACTTCTAAAATTAAATTTAGATTTAAATAAAAAAAAATTCCTGTGAAAATTTGAATAATTTTGAAAATTTGGCAATTATATAATTAATTAATTTTTAAATTGGATTTTTGGTACACTTTCTATAATATTGACCTTCTTATCACATCTATCCAAAAACATGATTTCATTATGTATTGCGATTACAGTCAAATTATGAATCACTCGCGTAAAACGTCGCACACGATTAGATATGAATGTCTGCACGCTTTATCAAGATAACATTATTTCAGTTTACTTTGAGAATAATATGATTGTGGTCGATTCTATACAAAGTGAGGAGACATTTCAAAACAATCGTTTTCATTTATTCAATGTCTATTATTTTTTTTACACAAGGTAACAATTTTTTATTTTATTATTTATAAAAAAAATGGTAAATTATATAATTTTTATTCATTTAATAAATAATAATTTCAAATTTAATATCAGATTAATATTTTTGATTAAAGAAAACATAAAAGTTATTTTTTAATAGAAAATTATTTTTTATACAAAAAAATATATGGAAAATTAAAAAATTTGTTCTAATATAAAATTATTTTCAGATAATTGGAGAGAAAAGTAAGAAGCTGTATAAAAAAAACAAAAAAAAACTATAAATTAGAGGGGAAAAAAAAATGGAAATCAATTATCCTAATCAATGTATCGTGTGTAAATCGAAAAATAAATTAAGATGCACCGGATGCAATATGGTTTCCTATTGTGGACGAGATCATCAATTACAACATTGGTCAATTCATAAAAATTTCTGTCGTACAATATCAAAAATGCTAAATGAAAAAAATTTATCTCATATTTATGAAAATTTAAATTTATCCATTTGGTTACAAGAGAGAGATAAAATTATTCATCAAGTGAGAAAAAAATTAAAATCATTAAATTCAGAAGAATTATTTCTATTAAAATCGCCGAGAATTTGTTTTATTTGCCATGAAGCTAAACAGGAGAAATTAAATAATTGTCCAAATTGTCAATTAGTAAATTTTTGTAATATTCATAAATCTAGTTATATTCATGAAAGAAATTGTTCAATAATGCAAAATCGTTTTGATTTAATAACAAGAAAAATGAATTTCGATTCACGTGCATTGGAATTATTAATAAAATCAATAGCAAGGGAGACAAAAATTTTTCATTCACCACCAATAACAATGAGAGAATTTCTTGATAATAATACAAAAACAATTAATAAAATTACAGAAATACAAAAAATTTTCCTCTCTGAAACATTTACTGTTTCATTAACAATTTTTAATATTTTACAAATGCACTACGATAATATACCAATGGAAATAATTATTCATTTAAATGTCAATAATTTACAAACAATTTTTATTGATAATTTTTGGGAAACTCTTCTACATTTATTGTTAGATGTGAAATTATTGAAAATTATCTACATTGAGGGAAAAATAAATCATATCAATAATAATGTCATTCTTTGCAATGATTGTCAATTAAAAAAAAGACAATTGTCAATTGAATCAAATTCAATTTCCTATGAGAAATATATAAATCTGAAAAATTATCAAAAACCACATTTAATTGCTTATTTTAATATTAAAAATCCAATGACAACGACAATTGAAACAAATCGTGGTATAAATATAATTAATAAATTAAATGAAATTAATTGTCCAAAATTAATGACATTTCTCACCGAAATGGAATTTACAATAATGAGGGAATATTTACGTTCATCAATTAATTATTCAATTATATACAGTGGTTACAATGATTTTGCATCGTTAATGTTTCATCATGAACAAAATGATGGATCATTAAATCGTACATCACAATTTATGATTGTATTTAAGGAACAAAGAATTAATTTTCCCGAATCATCTCAATATTGGTCACATAATAATTTTTATTCAACAATTTGTCACGTTTGTAGGAAAATTAATGCAAAAATAATATGTCAACAGTGTAAAATGATATTTTATTGCAGTAATAAACATCAAAATCGTGATTGGATTCATCATAGGGATATTTGTAATGCAATTTTTAGTTTTTTATGTGAAATGAAAATTGAAAATATTTTTGATAATGCAAAATTATTGGATTTAAATTCATGGCTGAGAATAAGAATTGATTTAATGAAAGAAATACAAATGAGAAGTGGACGAATATTAGAGGAATGTGAAAGACAAATGTTTTTTTTTCCAAAAAATTGTGCAATTTGTCATGACAATGATTTGAATATTTTAAATATGTGCAAATGTGGGGTAAGAATATATTTTTATTTTTATTGAAAAAAAATTACATCCTTGAATATTTTTAATTTAAATTTTTCGAAAATTCAATATTATTTCAATAACATTTTTAAATTAAATTTAAAAATATAATTAAAATAAAATGTATAATTTTTTAAATAAAATTTAAGAAAATTTCAAATTTTTTTAAAAATTCTTTTAATTAAATATCGATAAATAAAATTATAATTATTTTTATATCTCTCTTTTTTTTAGACAAACTTCTGCCGATTACATCAGAATGACAAAAAACATCAAAAACTATGTGAAAAATTATCAATTGCTTTTCAACTCGCTACAATTAAAAAAGAAACATCATTAAAATCAATATTATCAACGGCATTGGATTCTCGTCACAAATTACCGCCAACGATGGAAGATTTTATAAAAAAATTTTCTAAACCATCAGAAGAAGAAGAAGAAGAAAATTCAAATCCAAACTATAAAGATTTGATAACATCCGATTTTTTGACATCATCATTAACATTAAATTATGCAATAAAAAAATTTACTCAACTATTAAATAATTCTTCAATGGTGATTCATATTTTAAATTCAAAGAAAGAAGATCTATTAGCAAAAAGTTCTTGGAAATTATTGTTGTATCGATTAAAAAATTTGAAAATATTAAAAATTATTTTCATTGGAACAGAAATTCCCCAATGGCCAGAAACTATTGTCGATACATTGAATTTCTCTCAGATTGCTGTAAAATATTTAAAAGTTGAAAGTCATTCAATGAAATATGAAAAATATTTTAAAACTAAACAATTTATTAAACCCGATATTATATTTTCAAGTAATGTTAATATTCATGAATGTGAATTAGATAATAGATTGGAAAATTTTTGGAAAGAGATAATAATGACTGTGAAAAAAATAAGAGTTCCCATTATTTTAACAGCAAAAAGTGAAAAACGTGCAATCATAAATCATAAAAAAATTTGGAATATTTCCAATTTTTCTTATTTTCAACAAATAAATAATCCATTTGCTTCATTATGTCCAGAAAGAGATTTTGAAACTGAAGGAATAATGTATTCAAATAATTTTTTAATTATTTACAATGATTGTTTTCATATTAATTTAGATAAATCATTGTCTATTAAAGATAATGAACGACAAAAGGAAAAATATTTAAAATCACGAGTCACTAATTTTGGAAATATTTCAAATTTTACAAATTCTTCTGAAACAATTAACGTTGAAAATAAAAATTTAAAAGATCAGAATAAAGAAATTGAATCTGTAGTACAAAGTACAAAAATTGTTATCACCGATGTAGAAGGAATAGAAGAAAAAATTTACGAACATCAAAAAAATGGAATAGCAATGGAAAAACAAATAATTTCTGTTAGTTGTGAAAATTTAAGAAACCAAACGAAATTAAATGATTCTGAATCATTTTTAGTTAAACATAATTCATTTCTTAAAAGTGAAAACGAAAGGCTAAGACAACAATTAGATTTGGCAATTGCAGAAATTGCAAAATTGGAGAATAAAATTGTAGAATTACAAAAAAGTACAAATTAGATGTAAATTTGTGAAATAAATTCTATTTAAATATATATTTTGGAATATTTGCAATAAAATATTTTTAGGATTTCAAAAATAATTTCAAAAATAATTTCAAAAATAGAAGAAATAGAAGAAAATCAAAAATTTACTCACGAATTATCTTTTGTTCGAACAAAATTACAGGAGATTGGATTAACCTGAAACAAAACAAAATTAAATAATAATTAATAAATTTAAATTAAAATTTAAAAATTGCTAAATGGTTGTTTAAAAAAATTTATACGTTTTAAGAAAAAAGTATCAAAATGCGAACTATCTTCCAAAATAAGTAATAAAAACAAAATAAAATAAATCAAACCGCTCTAATTATTATCATCAAATTGGGTAATAAAAAATTTTTTTAATTGAATTATACGTAATTTAAAACAAATTGAACATTATACTTTTCATCATGAAATTTTATATCAAGGACAAAAATTCTTCTTTTGCTATAATTAATGAAACAAAATTTTAGAAATTGAAGTAAAATGTTTATTTTTTAATTTATTTATCAATATTGATAAAATTCTACTTGGAAGTGCGAATAAAAACCTAATTCAAAAATTATAGCATGATAAAATTTTTTGTGAAAATTTAGGTACTTATTTTAAAAAGGAAGTTTACACTTATCAACAAAAATGAGATATTATATAATTGTCTGTGTAAGTCGGTGAAGTTCACATCGATTACAATCTTCGAAATATTAAAAACTAAGATACTGCATAAACACAACAAAAATAGTAATAGAGATCTTCCCCTACTCGTATTTGGCTGTCAATTTTTTTCTACACTTTAAGGTGTATTTTGTGCCAGAATTTGCATTAAAATCGTCTGCCTAAAAAAAAATTAAATTTTTTTGAGAACTTTTTTATGATTTTGGATTTATGGGTTGGATGACTTTTAGGTGGTAATAGGTGTCTTCCACTACTCGGATCAGACTGTCAATTTTTTTCTACACTTTTAGGTATATTTTGTGCAAGAAAATGCAATAAAATAGTCTGCCTAAGAAAAATTAAATTTTTTTGAGAACTTTTTTATGATTTTGGATTTATGGGTTGGATGACTTTTAGGTGGTAATAGGTGTCTTCCACTACTCGGATCGGGCTGTCAATTTTTTTCTACACTTTTAGGTGTATGTTGTGCAAGAAAATGCATTAAAATCGTCTGCCTAAGATAAATTAAATTTTTTTGAGAACTTTTTTATGATTTTGGATTTATGGGTTGGATGACTTTTAGGTGGTAATAGGGGTCTTCCTCTACTCGGATCAGACTGTCAATTTTTTTCTACACTTTTAGGTATATTTTGTGCAAGAAAATGCAATAAAATAGTCTGCCTAAGAAAAATTAAATTTTTTTGAGAACTTTTTTATGATTTTGGATTTATGGGTTGGATGACTTTTAGGTGGTAATAGGGGTCTTCTTCTACTCGGATCAGACTGTCAATTTTTTTCTACACTTTTAGGTATATTTTGTGCAAGAAAATGCAATAAAATAGTCTGCCTAAGAAAAATTGAATTTTTTTGAGAACTTTTTTATGATTTTGGATTTATGGGTTGGATGACTTTTAGGTGGTAAAAGGTGTCTTCCTCTACTCGTATTTGGCTGTCAATTTTTTTCTACACTTTAAGGAGTATTTTGTGCCAGAATTTGCAATAAAATTGTGTGTTATGAAATTTTAATTTTTTTTTTAAATGTTAATGTAGGGGATTATACTTGGGTAGTTTGTCATATGAATTTAGGGTTGAACTTAATTTTGAAGTTAAAAAACCAAATGTACAGTTAATAAATTGTATTTCATTAAAATGAATACCACTGTTCACTGGTTCCAATTACTGTCAGTGGTTACTAAATACATTAACACTTTATTTTATAATAATTAATTTTAATAAAACAGCGCTAATACAGAATTAAAATTTTGTTTTTTTATTTATAATAATAATAAAAATTATAAAAATAATAATAACAATTAAAAGTAATTAAGTAATGTGATGTAATTAATGGCAAGATAAGGTTATGTATAAGTTTTCTGTGAAGAGAACTTCGCAATTAAATTCTGCTATTATACTCAAATGAGTCATATTTCTTAAAAGCACGATTAGATATAAAATTCTCCTCCCCTTCTGAGGAACGTAATAATGAGAAATTACCTTCGTCAATGTTTGAGTTTCTAAATTCGAATTTTATATTATCAAAAATATTTAAAAATCAAGGAGATAATTATCAAAAACTTGGCGACATCTAATTTGCTATCTGCTGCGCTAACCTTAAGATATTTTATAAATAAATTCGATTCATTTTTTACGATGCTAACAATGGTAATATTCATATTATTGGCGCAAACAGAAAAGAACTTCAAGAAGTAAATTCGTGGAAAATATTTTTATACTCATTGCGATAATTAAAAAATTTAGAAATTTGTTTTATTGGACCAGATATCAGTTGTCTAGGTATTTAATAATAAGGTAAATATACATCTTTATTGATAATAATTTTGAAAAATGCATTATAAGTACGTTTTAGGAAACAAATATCAAAATGCGACGTAACTTCAAAGAAAGTACGTAATAAAAAAAATAAATAAAAGCACTTTAATTATTATCATAAAATTGAGTAATATAAAAAATGTTTTAATTTTAAAAAAATTGAACATTATACTTTTCATCTTGAAATTTTATATCAAGAAAAATAATTTTTCTGTTATATAATTAATAAAACGAAATTTTGGAAATTGAAGTAATATTTTTATTTATCAATATTGATAAAATTATTCTTGGAAGTGCCAATAAAAATCTACTTTAAAAAGTTATCACGAGATATGATAAAATTTTTGTGAAAATTTAGGTATATATTTTAAAAAGGAAGTTTAAACTTCTTATATCAATAATAACAATGAGATATATTAATAATTAATTTTATAATAATGAATTTTAAAAAAACTGCGCTAATTTAAAAATTAAATTTTGACCTTTATTCTAAAAATTAAATTTTGTTTTTATATTTATAACAATTATAAAAATGATTAATAGTAATATAAGTATGTATAGTAAGAAATAAATATCAACCATCTGAACATGCAAAAATTTAAACGTTTTATAAACACAACACTCATATACCTATATACAACATAAGTTCTACGATTAGATATAAAATTCCTCATGGTAACATATAAAAGTGAGAGAAATAAAAAATGTTCTTATTTCCCTCACTCTTATACGTTACCATAATTATGACGACCTTACTAAAGGCCTGAGCAGAATAGAAACGTAACCGGAATCGTAATCGTAAACGCAACCGGAAGAATAAGTTAGAGAAGGACAAACAATCTATCTATCTTTCTCTAACTCATTCTTCCGGTTGCGTTTGCGATTACGATACCGGTTAAGTTTTTATTCTGCTCAGGCCTTTAGCTGAACTGTGGTCATACACTAATAATGTAACTTCATATCGTTCATAACAGTCTACCGATTGTGGTTCCTCAAGAAGTACATAAATTATTTAAAACTTTTACATTGGATTTAATACCCAGGTAAATATACAATCTATAAAATAATCGAGAGATTCCGTCAGCACTCATTTGTTTATGTTTGGAAAATTCTAATTTTTGATGAATTATTGTTATTATCATTAAAATGCGATTTGTGACGGTTACAAAAAATTCATCTACAATTATCTTTTCTTTGTTGTTGTTTTTGTTTACTTTTTTTTAATTTTAAAGATTTAGAAATTTGTTTGAATTTATGAAAAAAATACTTCATTTGATTTTCAATAAGTTTAAATAATTAATTTGATATTTATGGTTTTTTAATATACACATCAAAAATTATCTTCTTTATTTTTCCAAAAAAAATTTTAATATCTACAATTAGCTTTTTTTTTTGTTGTTTTTATTTACTTTTTTTTAATTTTGAAGATTTAGAAATTTTTTTAAATTTATGAAAAACATACTTCATTTGAATTCAATAAATCTAAATATGTAATTAATTTGACATTTATGGTTTTTTAATATACATTAAAAATTATCTTCTTTGTTTTTCCAAAAAAAAAATTTAATTTAGATCAAATGTACCGTGGATGTCCCAGTTACCGTCCACCTAAGACCTAGTTTCCGTCCAGTTTAATTTTCAAAATAACATTTATAAAAAAATTATTTTCTTTTATTTGTTTACTTAAACTAATAAGTCGATTGTGTGCCAAAAGGAATAAATTATTGTTAAAAAATAATTTAAATTACTATACGAGATATTTGTAAAATGGACGGAAACTGGGACATGGACAGTAACTGGTACATCCACGGTAAATCTTTGTCAGTGTTAAAAAATTTAGTTAAAGATTTTAAAACTGCAGATAGCAAAATGTTTTGATATTAAATTTTTTTTTAAATAACTTATTAGTTATTTAAAAAATTTTGTTTTTCACAAAAACTCAAAATATGTAAAAAAAATTTTTTTTTTTACTTCGAAATATTTTTTTTCTAATTCTATACATAAAAATAGGCATTTTTTATCTTGAAAATTTTTTTCTATAGCTAACCGTTCTCGACTTATTACTAATTACAAAAAGTGCTGATTTTCAAAAAAATCAAAATATGTCAAAAAAAAAAAAATTTTTTTTTTATGTCTAAATATTTTTTTTCTAATTCTATACATAAAAAGGCACATTTTTCTTCTCAACAATTTTTTTCAAAAATCAATCGTTCTTGAGTTATGACTAGTTGAAAAAAAGTGCAGTTTTTTTAAACAATTGTCCATATCTTTGTTACAAATTATCGTATTAAAGTTTACAAGGAATCATTTTAAAGGTGATAAAATTAGCTTTCAAATGGCTTATCAACGATTAAAATGTGATGACTGGTTTAAAAACTGCAGCGATTTTAAAATTACAAAAAAAACCGGAAATTTTGGATTTTTATTTTGAGCAATTAAACAATAAAAAAAAATTTTTTTTTAATGTCTGTTTTAGATATCATAAAAGTAGATGATATAAGCTTTCAAAAAAGTCCTCACTCATTATTATATCTTTATTAGCAACCGAAATATAAAACTTTTCGCCAAGCGTAAAATTCTCAAAGGTGGGCAAAATCTGCTGAGCGGCACTGTAAGTTGATAATTTTATCAAATTTCAAACATTTATTTAATTAAATCACGATAATTTAATTAATTTTAAAAATAATAAAAAAAATTTTATATTATTTATTTATTTATATTATATTTATTATTTATATTATATATTACAAATTAAATTTTTTTTTTATTTTCACAAAATATTTATTTATTTTTGTTATTATAATTAAAAAAATTTATATTATATATATATATTTATGTTATATACATATAAATTTTTAATTTTGACTAAATATTCATTTTTTTTAATAATTTTTATTTTTAAATATTAACTTAATCTAAAATTTTTTAAAATAATTTTTATTTAAAATAAAATTTAAATTATTATTATATTTTATATATATATTTATATATGTTACATTAATTAATTAATTAGGAATATTGAATAATATATATTAAATATTAAATTTAAATAATTTATAAATTATTTATTTATTAATTTAAATTTATTAATAATAATTATTATTATTTATTATTATATAATAATAAAAAATAAAAAATTTTATTTAATGATAAATATTTTGATGATAAGAAATTTTTACAAGACCTTTACCGATATATATTATATTAAAAATTATCAATTTAAATTTTAAATCGAAAATTTTCTTGAAGAATTTCTGAAAAATTATCGACAGATAATCAAAAAAAAACCAATAAATATTTTTTTATTTGATAAAAATTAAGGAATTATTATTAACAATGTAATAATATTATAATAAATTAAAAATATTATTGATAATATTAATTTTAATTTCTTTATAATAAACAATCACAGTCCTAATTTCACGCGCTTGCGCGCGTTTAATTTTGCTAGTATGTAATTAATTTGACATTTATGGTTTTTTAATATACACTAAAAATTATCTTCTTTGTTTTTCCAAAAAAAAATTTTAAATTAGATCAAAATGTAAATCTTTGTCAGTGTTAAAAAATTTAGTTAAAGATTTTAAAACTGCAGATAGCAAAATGTTTTGATATTAAATTCAATTGACTTACGTCTCATTTTTCCAAAGACGGTGAAATTAACATTTTTTTTTAAAATTATTAATCAAAGATAATTGCAAAAATGTTTCCAGTCAAAAAATTATAATTTGCATAAAAAAAAATATTTTTTCTCTTTCATAAACGTTATCAATTTCATTGACGTTTTTTACAAAATCAAAAAAATTTTGTTACATAAGATAAAAGTTTTTTGTTCTTTTGCAGATTAATAAATACGATCAACAAGAAAAAAACAACAAAAATGGAATCTTCAACATTTTTTCCAAATCAGTGCATCATTTGTCAATCGACAACGAAATTAAGTAGATGTACCAGTTGTAATATGATTCAATATTGCAACAAAAACCATCAAGTGCAACATTGGCCACAACATAAAGCATTTTGTAAAGCAATTGCAAAAATGTTAGAAACAAAAAAAATTACTCACATTTATGAAAAAATTTCAAATAAATCTTTTGATTCTTGGGCATCGGCAGCTGGTCCAATAATACAAGAAGTTGTACGAAATTTAAAACGACTTCCAATTTCAATTGAAAGTGTTATATTAAAATATCCCCGTGTATGTTTTGTTTGTCGTGAAGCTAAACAAGAAAAACTGAAAAATTGTCCAAATTGTCCATTGGCAAGTTTTTGTGATCAACATCCCAACAGTGAAATACACGAAAGACATTGTTACATAATAAAAAATAATTCTGAAATTATTCTACGAAAAGTACATACAAATCCGTATCTTTTAAAAAATCAAATGAAAGCATTGGCAAAAGGTACAAAAATTTTAAAACCTAATGACGAATCACCAACATCGATTAGACAATTTTACGATAACTACACAAAGCCAAACTGTGAAATTTCAGAAATTCAAAAAATTTTCCTCTCTGAATTCTTTAGCATCTCATTGACAATGTTTCACAATTTACAAATGATTTATTTCGACAATTTTCCACCTGAAATTGTTATTCATCTTGACATTGGTGGTGCAATGACGTTAATAACTATTGATGATTATTGGGAAATTCTATTACATTTAATACCAGATGTAAAAATTTTAAAAATAATTCATATCGAGGGTGAGATAAATCACATGAGTGAACCATCACTTTGTAAGGATTGTAAATTAAAGAAAAAAAAATTATTTATTGAAGCTAATTCCATGCCGTATGAGAGATATTTAACTCAATCAAGTTATCAAAAACCATCATTAATTGCTTATTTAAATATAAATCCACCGGGTTATGAAAATATAGTTGCACGAAATGATTGGCTTAAAACGATCGAGGGATTCCGTAAAGTCACGTCTCCAATGCTTTTTGCTCCAATTAACGTAGAAAAATTTACAATCGTTGAAAAAGATTTCTTAAATTCTTCCATTAAATTTAACATTATTTACAGTGGATTTAATCATTTTTCATCATTAATGCATAACGGGATATATGGTGACGGTTCAGTAAGTCGAAATTATCAATTTTTAATTCTTCTTCAACAAAATGATGTCAAAAATAATTTCGAATCACTCAATGCAAAAATAAATCGTCCCCGTTCATGTTTTTATTCACAAATTTGTCATGTTTGCCGAAAATTGGAAGCAAAAATAATTTGCAATCGATGTCGAATTATTTCCTATTGCAACAATAAACATCGTGATCAAGATCAAATTCATCACAAGGACATTTGTCGAGTAATTTTAATGTTGATGAAAGAAATGAACACAGCGAATCTTTTTGATAATGCAAAAACATCAGATTCAGAATTATGGCTACGTGCAAAAATTGATATAATGAAAAAAGTGAAAACACAACTTGGTAGAAAATTGGAGGAGTATGAAAAGCAAATGTTTCTATTTCCCAAGGCATGTGCAATTTGTCACGACAGCGATTCGAGTTTATTGAAAAATTGTGAATGTGGGGTAAGAATAACTTTTTTAAAAATTTTAATTTTTACTTAGTTAAAATTTTTAAAAATAAATTTTTTACTAAACAAAATTTCGATTGAATGGAATTTTAATTTAACATAATTTTTAATTATATCAAATTTTTCATTTTTAAACAAGATTTCAAATATTAATAAAAATTTCACTTAAGAAAATTCTTATTATAAAATAAAGATTATTTTTAAATAGAATTTTAATTTAAGAAATCATTTCGAATTTAAATTCAAGGTATTTCTACTTATTATTTGAGAATTTCCATTTCACTAAATCTACATTTATTGAAATCAAACTTTCATTTAGCAAAATTTTCATTTTTGTAAAATCTCGAAATTGTCATACAAAAAAAAAATTTACTTTTACGAAAAAACATTCAACATTAGCAATTTAACGTTAATTATAAAATTAATTATCAATTTAAAAATTATATTAAAATTTTGTCTGTATGTTTTTATAAATAAATATAAATTTTTTAAAAAATATACTATTCATAAACAAAGAAAAATTAAATATCCACAAATTTTATGTATTATTTTTCAGGTCAGTCTCTGCAAAATTCACAATAAAGATCCAAATCACAAAAAATTGTGTAAAGAATTATCGATTGCCTATAAAATGTCTACAACTGAAACGGAGCCAAATTTAAATTTTATGATACGAATAAATGTTGTTAAAGGTTCTATTGATGAATATCCATCGTCAATGCTTGAGTTTATAAATTCTTTTTCTGAACCAACAATAACCAATTATCAAAATCATGAAGAGATAAATTATCAACATTTAGCGACATCCAATTTCATAACTGATATGCTAACATTAAGATATTATATAAAAAAAATTAATCCACTTTTCACGACGATAACGACAATGGTGATTCATATTATTGTTGTAAACAAAAACGAACTTATGTCAGAAAATTCTTGGAAACAATTTTTATACTCATTTCAACAACTAAAAAATTTAGAAATTGTTTTCATTGGGCCAGAAGTACCAAATTGTCCAGAAAGAATATTCAACACACCTGAATTAAATACAATTGAAAAAAGAAGATTAAAAATCGATTATTGCAGTACAACATATGATAAATATTTCAGAAATAAAAAATTCATAAAACCGCAAATAATCTTAGGATGTAATCTTAATATTCATGAGAGTAAATTATTCGAAATTTTAGAAAATACTTGGAAGGAGACAATTTTAACGGTGGAAAAAGTTGGAGTTCCATTTATTTTAACATCAGGTACAAAAGAACGTGCCGAAATGGAGCATAAAATAATTTGCGATCTTCTTGGAAAATCTGTGAATTTTCAATTTTTCGAAGAAAATCCATACTCATCATTAACACCGGAAAGAGATTTTGAAACAGAAGGTGTCATGTATGCAAATAAATTTGTAATTGCTTACGATGGAAAATATCAAAATTCCTCAAATTCGACAAATGAGAACAAAATTAAAATTAATGAGAATTCGCAATTGGCAACAAATATTACAATAACAGAAGAAAATAATTCAAAGGCAAAAGAAATTATTAATAAAACTAAAGAAATAAAAGTTTGTGAAAATTTAAGTAATGAAAATAAAAATGAAAATCCAGATTTATTATTATTACAGCAGCGTAATAAATTTCTTATCGATGAAAATGAAAAATTAAAAGAACAACTAATTTCAGCGAATACTCAAATTGCAGAACAAAAAAATCAAATTTTAAATTTAAATAATCAAATTTTACAATTGGAAAAAACTTATATTGATTTTGTTAAAAAATTTCAAGAAAATATTAATTTAACGTTTGATAAAAATGAAACAAAAAAATAAAGGAAATTTGATATTTTATTAAAAATAATTGATAATATTAATACTTTACTTTTTAAGAAAATATAAATATATAAAATATCTTTAATCATATATATGTATATTTAATCTATACATATAAATATTATCTACTAAAAATGTAATTTTTTTAAAATTGTGTTATAAAGAATAAAAATTTCAATTTATTATCTTTTTCTTTTTCCTAATGAAATTACCCGCTACCAACCATTCTGTTTTGACATTCCCAATTCTGGCGTATTGTCTCCCTCCCTAATTTCCTAATTTAACTCAAGTGTGCAAATATTTCAAACAAATGTTAATTATAGCAAATGTATTATACATTTTAGGAAAAAAATATCAAAGTGCGACGTAACTTCAAAGAAAGTACGTAATAAAAAAAATAAATAAAAGCACTCTAATTATTATCATAAAATTGAGTAATAAAAAAAATGTTTTAATTTTAAAAAAATTCAACATTATACTTTTCATCTTGAAATTTTATATCAAGAAAAATAATTTTTCTGTTATATAATTAATAAAACGAAATTTTGGAAATTGAAGTAATATTTTTATTTATCAATAATGATAAAATTATTCTTGGAAGTGCCAATAAAATCCTACTTTAAAAAGTTATCACGAGATATGATAAAATTTTTTTGAAAATTTAGGTATATATTTTAAAAAGGAAGTTTAAACTTCTTATCAATAATAACAATGAGATATATTAATAATTCATTTTATAATAATGAATTTTAATAAAACTGCGCTAATTTAAAAATTAAATTTTGACCTTTTTTCTAAAAATTAAATTTTGTTTTTATATTTATAACAATTATAATAATGATAATAATGATTAATAGTGATATAAGTATGTATAGTAAGAAATAAACATCAACCATCTGAACATGCAAAAATTTAAACGATTTATAAACACAACACTCATATACCTATATACAACATAAGTTCTATGTGGAGAACTTCTCAATTATATTCTGTTATTATACTCAAATGAGTCATATTTTTTAAACGCACGATTAGATATAAAATTCCTCATGGTAACATATAAAAGTGAGAGAAATAAAAAATGTTCTTCAGTGATGGGTACGTATAATACGTGGTTTTCTACGCGTATAATACTACGTATATTACGTGCCAAGTTTTCTACACGATGTATATTACATTTGATCACGTGATTTATGAGCGGCAATTTTAAATTCTTCATTAAAATACATCATTCATTACACTTTCCCAGGGCAAACCCTCTATAAAGATTTTCTTTTACTTTTTCTGACTATTTCTATTTTATTTTAAGACTTTAATTTAAATAGAATGATAAGAAAAATTCGTTATGGCAAAAATCAGAGGATCATATATAGATGTCAAAATGTCAGTGGTTTTCTACATGGTTTTATACATTTTATACGTATATTACGTCGAAAGCGTATTATACGTAAAAAACTTCGTGTGAAGCGTCACAACCCATCACTGATGTTCTTATTTCGCTCACTCTTATACGTTACCATATGACGACCTTACTTAGCTGAGCTGTGGCCGTACTTTAATAATGTAACTTCATATCGTTCATAACAGTCTACCGTCTACCGATTGTGGTTCCTCAAGAAGTACATAAATTATTAAAAACTTTTACATTGGATTTAATACCCAGGTAAATATACAATCTATAAAATAATCGAGAGATTCCGTCAGCATTCATTTGTTTATGTTTGGAAAATTCTAATTTTTGTGGATTATTGTTATTATCATTAAAATGCGATTTGTGACGGTTACAAAAAATACATCTACAATTATAGCTTTTTTTTGTTTACTTTTTTTTAATTTTGAAGATTTAGAAATTTGTTTGAATTTATGAAAAAAATACTTCATTTGAATTCAATAAATCTAAATATGTAATTAATTAGACATTTAGGGTTTTTTAATATACACTAAAAATTATCTTCTTTGTTTTTCCAAAAAAAATTTTAAATTAGATCAAATGTAAATCTTTGGCAGTGTTAAAAAATTTAGTTAAAGAGTTTAAAACTGCAGATAGCAAAATGTTTTGGTATTAAATTCAATTGATTCAAAGGTGCACCTTTGAGAATTTTACGCTTGGCGAAAAGTTTTATATTTCGGTTGCTAATAAAGATATAATAATGAGTGAGGACTTTTTTGAAAGCTTATATCTTCTACTTTTATGATATCTAAAACAGACATTAAAAAAATTTTTTTTTATTGTTTAATTGTTCAAAATAATAATTAAATAATAATAATTTTAAAATCGCTGCAGTTTTTAAACCAGTCATCACATTTTAATCGTTGATAAGCGATTTGAAAGCTAATTTTATCACCTTTAATGTGATTCCTTGTAAACTTTAATACGATAATTTGTAACAAAGATATGGACAATTGTTTAAAAAAACTGTACTTTTTTTCAACTAGCCATAACTCAAGAACGATTGATTTTTGAAAAAAATTGTTGAGAAGAAAAATGTGCCTTTTTATGTATAGAATTAGAAAAAAAATATTTTGAATTAAAAAAAAAAAATTTTTTTTTACATATTTTGAGTTTTTTTGAAAAACAAAATTTTTTAAATTACTAATAAGTCGAGAACGGTTAGCTTTTGAAAAAAATTCTTAATATAAAAAATATGTATTTTTATGTTTAGAATTGAGAAAAAAATATTACGAATAAAAAATTTGTATTTTGATTTTTTAATTTTTTAATAAATATTTTATATGCTGCGTATTAATTACAGTAGATTAAGAAATGTAATATTTGGCTTACTTAACAGAATTAAACACTTTTAATTTTAGAGCCATTTGAATAGCTTTTAATATTAGAATCGATATCCTTTGTTTACAAACAAGTTGAAGGTTATTTTCAACCTGTTTATAAACAAAGGATATCGATTCTAATATTAAAAGCTATTCAAATGGCTCTAAAATTAAAAGTGTTTAATTCTGTTAAGTTAAGAATTTTTTTTCAAAAGCTAACCGTTCTCGACTTATTAGTAATTTAAAATATTTTGTTTTTCAAAAAAATTCAAAATATGTAAAAAAAAATTTTTTTTTTTTAATTCGAAATATTTTTTTTCTAATTCTATACATAAAAATAGGCATTTTTTATCTTGAAAATTTTTTTCTAAAGCTAACCGTTCTCGACTTATTACTAATTACAAAAAGTGCTGATTTTCAAAAAAATCAAAATATGTCAAAAAAAAAAAAAATTTTTTTTTTATGTCTAAATATTTTTTTTCTAATTCTATACATAAAAAGGCACATTTTTCTTCGGAACAATTTTTTTCAAAAATCAATCGTTCTTGAGTTATGACTAGTTGAAAAAAAGTGCAGTTTTTTTAAACAATTGTCCATATCTTTGTTACAAATTATCGTATTAAAGTTTACAAGGAATCATTTTAAAGGTGATAAAATTAGCTTTCAAATGGCTTATCAACGATTAAAATGTGATGACTGGTTTAAAAACTGCAGCGATTTTAAAATTACAAAAAAAACCCGGAAATTTTGGATTTTTATTTTGAGCAATTAAACAATAAAAAATTTTTTTTAATGTCTGTTTTAGATATCATAAAAGTAGAAGATATAAGCTTTCAAAAAAGTCCTCACTCATTATTATATCTTTACAGTGGCAAGGCCGGGTTCGGATAATCGAAAATTCGGATAATAAAGATTTTAATTTTTTTTAATAATTAAAGTAAAAAAATGTACAGTTGAACTATATATTTAACTTAATACATATGTTTTTAAATATACATAAGTATATACATATATGTAAATATATATTAATTAATAATATATTAAAAACTCAGAAAATTCGGAAATTTTTAAGATTTTTTTTGGCATAAATTTAGTTATTTTGCTTTGAATGATAAAATAAATAGAGAAAATAAAATTTAAAATTCGGGAGGCCAAAAAATAGTTCGGATAATAGAAGTTCGGATAAAATGTTTTTCGGTTCGGATAATAGAGGGTTCGGATAATAGAGGTTCGGATAATCGAGGTTCCACTGTATTAGCAACCGAAATATAAAACTTTTCGCCAAGCGTAAAATTCTCAAATGTGGGCAAAATCTGCTGAGCGGCACTGTAAGTTGATAATTTTATCAAATTTCAAAAATTTATTTAATTAAATCACGATAATTTAATTAATTTTAAAAATAATAAAAAAAAATTTTATATTATTTATTTATATTTTTTTTTTAGTCCGACCCCCGGCTCAATATCACGACACCGCTCAGGTATGCACTTCCCGTGGCCACACGCGGTGCTCCGTCACCTCCAGGTCGTTAACGTCCACCGATGCAACGTTGCAGAATAAGCAGAAAGGACACACGTGCCTGCTCAGAACAGCGGCAGCCATACGGCCGTAAGATAAGCATCGCCCGAAGGCGACAGACGCTGATTCATCACTCTTGTGTGTGTCCTCCACCACTCCCCGTGCACTCGGCGGACCCTCCCCCTCACTCCTGTCGTCTTCGTCGAGGAGGCCCTGTCTGTCCGCGGCCCATAGCAAGACAAGTTCTTTTAGTCTCTCAGCCATGTGCCGCCCCTCACCCTTACCCGTCAGCAGCTGCCCACTGGGGGTTCTTCCCTCCGCCCTCTAGTGCGCCTAGCACGCGGGGGCCGTTCTAATGTATGTATTTTCTCCGCAATCGCCCGAGCCCTCGTGCCCAGCGCGACTTTTCGAACGCGTTTCCCTCCCGTCTTCTTAACTTCAGGATTTGCAGCCCGGGATGTTCCCTGTTTGACCACGTATCTTGTACGCTGGGACGGATCAGTGTCCTGAGATCTGAACATTGCTTCCACGGGTCGTTCGAATACACCCACCTCCCGTGTATTCACGAACCCGGATCCGTTAGCTGATACTGCGCACATCGTAGCCCAAGAGAACCCCCGCTCAGCCGATGCCCGTTGGTCTGGGCCTTCCTGATTAACTCCCAATCCCCACAGGACGTTGACGCAGGCACCCACGTCACCCGTGAGATACGGCTCCGTGCCATCTTCGCTCCGCGATGTATTCAACACCAAAGTTGGTTGAAAACCGCCTTCCTCCATCGGTTCGGGGGCCGCGAGGTCGTCAGGACGTCCGCCCCCCCCTTGCTTGGAATAGCAGCTAACAGGCGGAATGCGGGTTCATCCCGCAATTCCCGCCCCGAAAACTTCGGGTCGTTTTCCTCATCATCAGGGGCCACCGGCCACGTAGTAGTCACTACTGCCGGCTCTACTGCTTGTAGCTATTGGGCCACCATCTCCAGCGCGACCTTCTCGATAACGGCGGCGAGTTGTTCCCGAGCCGCCGCATTCGAGGCCAGCCTTCCTCCTCCCTTTCATCCACTTCCTGAACAAGCTCGGGGGTACGCACTCCTCCGTAGCGATCTCCTCCCAAGTCTTAAAGTCGTCGTCGTCTGACTCATACCAGTTCGGACCTCCCGTAGCCGCACCTAGAGCTCTGCCGTACTGGACTTCCCGTTCCACAGGGTCGTCAGACCACGGTATTCCAGGAGGAATACGTGGATCGTTGTAGCAGGTATACCTACTCTTTCGCATGGTTAAACGCAGTGAAAACTCACCAAAATATCACAGTTGCACAAAGAATGTCAAGTGCCACCCCGCTAATCCGAATGGGGTAGTCAGCTAAACAAGTAATATATTATATTTTATATATATATTTATATATGTTACATTAATTAATTAATTAGGAATAATGAATAATATATATTAAATATTAAATTTAAATAATTTATAAATTATTTATTTATTAATTTAAATTTATTAATAATAATTATTATTATTTATTATTATATAATAATAAAAAATAAAAAATTTCATTTAATAACAAATATTTTTATTATTTTTTGGTTATATTTTTTTTTTTGCAAAATATTTTTTTTTATTATAGGCAATTGAAAATTTATATATTTCATATAATAGATTAATAATAATTATTATTATTTATTATTATATAATAAAAAATAAAAAACTTTATTTAATGATAAATATTTTGATGATAAGAAATTTTTACAATAAATATTTTTTTTATTTGATAAAAATTAAGGAATTATTATTAACAATGTAATAATATTATAATAAATTAAAAATATTATTGATAATATTAATTTTAATTTCTTTATAATAAACAATTACAGTCCTAATTTCACGCGCTTGCGCGCGTTTAATTTTGCTGCTATTTAATTAATTTGACATTTACCGTGGATGTCCCAGTTACTGTCCACCTAAGACCTAGTTTCCGTCCAGTTTAATTTTCAAAATAACATTTATAAAAAAATTATTTTCTTTTATTTGTTTACTTAAACTAATAAGTCGATTGTGTGCCAAAAGGAATAAATTATTGTTAAAAAATAATTTAAATTACTATACGAGATATTTGTAAAATGGACGGAAACTGGGACATGGACAGTAACTGGTACATCCACGGTATGGTTTTTTAATATACACTAAAAATTATCTTCTTTGTTTTTCCAAAAAAAAATTTTAAATTAGATCAAAATGTAAATCTTTGTCAGTGTTAAAAAATTTAGTTAAAGATTTTAAAACTGCAGATAGCAAAATGTTTTGATATTAAATTCAATTGATTTACGTCTCATTTTTCCAAAGACGGTGAAATTAACATTTTTTTAAAAAAATTATTAATCAAAAATAATTGCAAAAATGATTCCAGTCAAAAAATTATAATTTGCATAAAAAAAAATATTTTTTCTCTTTCATAAACGTTATCAATTTCACTGACGTTTTTTACAAAATCAAAAAAATTTTGTTACATAAGATAAAAGTTTTTTGTTCTTTTGCAGATTAATAAATACGATCAACAATAAAAAAACAACAAAAATGGAATCTTCAACATTTTTTCCAAATCAGTGCATCATTTGTCAATCGACAACGAAATTAAGTAGATGTACCGGTTGTAATATGGTTCAATATTGCAACAAAATCCATCAAGTATACTTTACTTTTTAAGAAATTATAAATATATAAATTATTTTTAATCATATATATGTATATTTAATCTATACATATAAATATAAAAATATGAAACTGATATTATCTACTAAAAATGTAATTTTTTTTAAAATTGTGTTATAAAGAATAAAAATTTCAATTTATTATCTATTTCTTTTTCCTAATGAAATTACCCGCTACCAACCACTCTGTTTTGACATTCCCAATTCTGGCGTATTGTCTCCCTCCCTAATTTCCTAATTTAACTCAAGTGTGCAAATATTTCAAACAAATGTTAATTATAGCAAATGTATTATACATTTTAGGAAAAAAATATCAAAGTGCGACGTAACTTCAAAGAAAGTACGTAATAAAAAAAATAAATAAAAGCACTCTAATTATTATCATAAAATTGAGTAATAAAAAAAATGTTTTAATTTAAAAAAAATTGAACATTATACTTTTCATCTTGAAATTTTATATCAAGAAAAATAAATTTTCTGTTATATAAGTAATAAAACGAAATTTTGGAAATTGAAGTAATATTTTTATTTATCAATATTGATAAAATTATTCTTGGAAGTGCCAATAAAAACCTACTTTAAAAAGTTATCACGAGATATGATAAAATTTTTGTGAAAATTTTGGTATATATTTTATAAAGGAATGTTAAACTTCTTATCAATAATAACAATGAGATATATTAAAAATTCATTTTATAATAATGAATTTTAAAAAAACTGCGCTAATTTAAAAATTAAATTTTGACCTTTTTTTCTAAAAATTAAATTTTGTTTTTATATTTATAACAATTATAATAATGATAATAATGATTAATAGTGATATAAGTATGTATAGTAAGAAATAAACATAAACCATCTGAACATGCAAAAATTTAAACGATTTATAAACACAACACTCATATACCTATATACAACATAAGTTTATGTATAAGTTTTCTATGTGGAGAACTTCTCAATTATATTCTGTTATTATACTCAAATGAGTCATATTTCTTAAAAGCACGATTAGATATAAAATTCCTCAATTTCAATCCTCTCCTTACGAGGAACGTAAGGGTACGGCCACAGCTCAGCTATCTAGTAGTAAGATCGTCAGTGTAACATATAAAAGTGAGAGAAATAAAAAATGTTCTATTGTTCTTATTTCGCTCACTCTTATACGTTACCATATGACGACCTTACTTAGCTGAGCTGTGGCCGTACTTTAATAATGTAACTTCATATCGTTCATAACAGTCTACCGATTGTGGTTCCTCAAGAAGTACATAAATTATTAAAAACTTTTACATTGGATTTAATACCCAGGTAAATATACAATCTATAAAATAATCGAGAGATTCCGTCAGCATTCATTTGTTTATGTTTGGAAAATTCTAATTTTTGATGAATTATTGTTATTATCATTAAAATGCGATTTGTGACGGTTACAAAAAATTCATGTACAATTATCTTTTCTTTGTTGTTGTTTTTGTTTACTTTTTTTTAATTTTAAAGATTTAGAAATTTGTTTGAATTTATGAAAAAAATACTTCATTTGATTTTCAATAAGTTTAAATAATTAATTTGATATTTATGGTTTTTTAATATACATTAAAAATTATCTTCTTTGTTTTTCAACAAAAAAATTTAATTTAGATCAAATGTAAATCTTTGTCAGCGTTAAAAAATTTAGTTAAAGCTTTTAAAACTGCAGAGCAAAATGTTTTGATATTAAATTCAATTGATTTACGTCTCATTTTTCCAAAGAAGGTGAAATTAACATTTTTTTTTTAAATTATTAATCAAAAATAATTGCAAAAATGTTTCCAGTCAAAAAATTATAATTTGAATAAAAAAAAATATTTTTTCTCATTCATAAACGTTATCAATTTCACTGACGTTTTTTACAAAATCAAAAAAATTTTGTTACATAAGATAAAAGTTTTTTGTTCTTTTGCAGATTAATAAATACGATCAACAATAAAAAAAACAACAAAAATGGAATCTCCAACATTTTTTCCAAATCAGTGCATCATTTGTCAATCGACAACGAAATTAAGTAGATGCTCAAGTTGTAATATGGTTCAATATTGCAACAAAAACCATCAAAAGCAACATTGGCCACAACATAAAGCATTTTGTAAAGCAATTGCAAAATTTTTAGAAACAAAAAAAATTACTCACATTTATGAAAAAATTTCAAATAAATCTTTTGATTCTTGGGCATGGGCAGCTGGTCTAATAATACAAGAAGTTGTACGAAATTTAAAACGACTTCCAATTTCAATTGAAAGTGATATATTAAATTTTCCCCGTCTATGTTTTGTTTGTCGTGAAGCTAAACAAGAAAAACTGCAAAATTGTCCAAATTGTCCATTGGCAAGTTTTTGTGATCAACATCCCAACAGTGAAATACACGAAAGACATTGTTACATAATGAAAAATAATTCTGAAATTATTCTACGAAAAGCAAATACAAATCCGTATATTTTAAAAAATCAAATGAAAGCATTGGCAAAAGGTACAAAAATTTTAAAACCTAATGACGAATCACCAACATCGATTAGACAATTTTACGATAACTACACAAAGCCAAACTGTGAAATTTCAGAAATTCAAAAAATTTTCCTCTCTGAATTCTTTAGCATCTCGTTGACAATGTTTCACAATTTACAAATGATTTATTTCGACAATTTTCCACCTGAAATTGTTATTCATCTTGACATTGTTGGTGCAATGACGTTAATAATTATTGATGATTATTGGGAAATTCTATTACATTTAATACCAGATGTAAAAATTATAAAAATAATTCATATCGAGGGTGAGATAAATCACATGAGTGAACCATCACTTTGTAAGGATTGTAAATTAAAGAAAAAAAAATTATTTATTGAAGCTAATTCCATGCCGTATGAGAGATATTTAACTCAATCAAGTTATCAAAAACCATCATTAATTGCTTATTTAAATATAAATCCACCGGGTTATGAAAATATAGTTGCACGAAATGATTGGCTTAAAACGATCGAGCGATTCCGTAAAGTCACGTCTCCAATGCTTTTTGCTCCAATTAACGAAGAAAAATTGACAATCGTTGAAAAAGATTTCTTAAATTCTTCAATTAAATTTAACATTATTTATAGTGGATTTAATCATTTTTCACCATTGGTTCATAGGGAGATATATGGTGACGGTTCAGTAAATCGAAATTATCAATTTTTAATTCTTCTTCAACAAACTGACGTCAAATCTAATTTTGAATCACCCAATTCAAAAATAAATCGTCCCCGTTCATGTTTTTATTCACAAATTTGTCACGTTTGCCGAAAATTTGAAGCAAAAATAATTTGCAATCGATGTCGAATTATTTCCTATTGCAACAATAAACATCGTGATCAAGATCAAATTCATCACAAGGACATTTGTCGAGTAATTTTAATGTTGATGAAAGAAATGAACACAGCGAATCTTTTTGATAATGCAAAAACATCAGATTCAGAATTATGGCTACGTGCAAAAATTGATATAATGAAAAAAGTGAAAACAAAACTTGGTAGAAAATTGGAGGAGTATGAAAAGCAAATGTTTCTATTTCCCAAGGCATGTGCAATTTGCCACGACAGCGATTCGAGTTTATTGAAAAATTGTGAATGTGGGGTAAGATTAACTTTTTTAAAAATTTTAATTTTTAAAAATAAATTTTTTACTAAACAAAATTTCGATTGAATGGAATTTTAATTTAACATAATTTTTAATTATATCCAATTTTTCATTTTTAAACAAGATTTCAAATATTAATAAAAATTTCACTTAAGAAAATTTTCATTATAAAATAAAGATTATTTTTAAATAGAATTTGTAATTTAAGAAATCATTTCGAATTTATTTTTCAATATTCAAGGTATTTCTACTTATTATTTGAGAATTTCTATTTCACTAAATCTACATTTATTGAAATCAAACTTTTATTTAGCAAAATTTTCATTTTTGTAAAATCTCGAAATTGTCATACAAAAAAAAAAATTTACTTTTACGAAAAATCATTCAACATTAGCAATTTAACGTTAATTATAAAATTAATTATCAATTTAAAAATTATATTAAAATTTTGTCTGTATGTTTTTATAAATAAATATAAATTATTTAAAAAATATACTATTCATAAACAAAGAAAAATTAAATATCCACAAATTTTATGTATTATTTTTCAGGTCAGTCTCTGCAAAATTCACAATAAAGATCCAAATCACAAAAAATTGTGTAAAGAATTATCGATTGCCTATAAAATGTCTACAACTGAAACGGAGCCAAATTTAAATTTTATGATACGAATAAATGTTGTTAAAGGTTCTATTGATGAATATCCATCGTCAATGCTTGAGTTTATAAATTCTTTTTCTGAACCATCAGTAACCGATTATCAAAATCATGAAGAGATCAATTATCAACATTTAGCGACATCCAATTTCATAACTGATATGTTAACATTAAGATACTTTATAAAAAAAATTAATCCACTTTTTACGACGTCGACGACTACATTGGTGATTCATATTATTGTCGTAAACAAAAATGAACTTACGTCAGAAAATTCTTGGAAACAATTTTTATACTCATTTCAACAACTAAAAAATTTAGAAATTGTTTTCATTGGACCAGAAGTACCAAATTGTCCAGATAGAATAGTCAACACATCCGAATTAAATACAATTGAAAAAAGAAGATTAAAAATCGATTATTGCAGCACAACATATGATAAATATTTCAGAAATAAAAAATTCATCAAACCGCAAATAATCTTAGGATGTAATCTTAATATTCATGAGAGTAAATTATTCGAAATTTTAGAAAATACTTGGAAGGAGACAATTTTAACGGTGGAAAAAGTTGGTGTTCCATTTATTTTAACATCGGGTACAAAAGAACGTGCCGAAATGGAGCATAAAATAATTTGCGATCTTCTTGGAAAATCTGTGAATTTTCAATTTTTCGAAGAAAATCCATACTCATCATTAACACCGGAAAGAGATTTTGAAACAGAAGGTGTCATGTATGCAAATAAATTTGTAATTGCTTACGATGGAAAATATCAATATTCCTCAAATTTGACAAATGAGAACAAAATTAAAATTAATGAGAATTCGCAATTGACAACAAATATTACAATAACAGAAGAAAATAATTCAAAGGCAAAAGAAATTATTAATAAAACTAATGAAATAAAAGTTTGTGAAAATTTAAGTAATGAAAATAAAAATGAAACACCAGATTTATTATTATTACAGCAGCGTAATAAATTTCTTATCGATGAAAATGAAAAATTAAAAGAACAACTAATTTCAGCGAATACTCAAATTGCAGAACAAAAAAATCAAATTTTAAATTTAAAGAAAATTTTCACCAATTTTGTTGAAAATAATCAAGTTTTACAATTGGAAAAAATTTATAACGATTTTGTTGAAAAATTCCAAGAAAATATTAATGTTAACGTCTGATAAAAATGAAACAAAAAAATAAAGGAAATTTGATATTTTATTAAAAATAAATGATAATATTAATACTTTACTTTTTAAAAAAAAAATAAAGATATAAAATATCTTTAATCACATATATCTTTAATCTATACATAAAAATACAAAGATTAAAAAATTATAAACTGATTTTAACTTCTAACAATGTAATTTTTTTAAATTGTGTTATAAATAATAAAAATTTCAATTTATTATCTGTTTCTCTTTCCTAATGAAATTACCGTTATTCTGTTTTGACATTCCCAACTCTGGCGTATTGTCTCCCTCCCTAATTTCCTATAATTTAACTCAAGTGTGAAAATATTTCAAACAAATGTTAATTATTGCAAAGTATTGACACAGTTGTCAAGATATTTAATAACAAGGTAATCTTTTTCTTTATACACATTTTCTATAAACAATTACGCGATTGGTATCTAAAAAATTATAACTTTTATGTTGACATTTGTAATATTTGAGGTTATGGTGTAATCAACACTCTTCAAAAAATTAATTTATTAATAAAATTCAATTTTAAACATTATATAAATTAAAAAAATGTAATTATTATTAGTTTAAAAAAATATTTTCCTTTACAGTTTAAATATTGCGATCGATAATCAAAAATAAAATGGATGATTCAAATTATTTTCCAAACGAATGTATCGTTTGTCAATCGACAAAAAAATTAAGTAGATGCTCAAGTTGTAATATGGTTCAATATTGTGGTGAAAGTCATCAATTACAACATTGGCCACAGCATAAATCATTTTGCAAAGCAATTTCAAATGTTATGAAAAAACATAATATTACACATATTTTTGAAGAATTTACAAATATAATTTATCCATTATGGTCAACGGCAACTATTCCAATTGTTACAGAAGTAATAAAAGCATTAAAACGAATTCCAAATTCAATTGAAACAAATATATTAAAATTTCCCCGTGTATGTTTCATTTGTCGTGAAGCTAAACAAGAAAAATTGAAAAATTGTCCAAATTGTCCATTTGCAAGTTTTTGCGAACAACATAAAAATAATAAAAAACATGAGAAATATTGTCAAATAATGCAAAATCGTTCTGATAATATTTTAAAGAATACAAAATTTCGATCAAATAGTTTTCAAAATAAAATGATATCAATAGCAAGTGGTACAAAATTTTTAAAAACAAACGACAAAACACCAACATCGATTAGACAATTTTTCAATAACTATACAATACCAGAATGTAAAATTTCAGAAAATGAAAAAATCTTCTTCTCTGAATTCTTTAGCATCTCATTGACAATGTTTAAATTTTTACAAATGATTTATTATGATAATTATCCAACAGAATTAATTATTCATATTGACAGTAATGGACAGGATGTGTTAACAATGATTGGTAATTATTGGGAAACTTTATTACATTTACTATTAAATGTCAAAATTTTAAAAATAATTTTCATTGGCGAAGAAGAAACTAAAATGCAACAAGAAATTCTTTGCAATAATTGTAAAACAATGGGAAAAAAATTATTCATTGAAACTTATTCAATAACATACGAAATGTATTTGACACAATCAAATTATGAAAAACCATCTGTAATTGCTAATTTAAATATATATCCTTTGGAAAGAGAACAAAAATCAACACGTGAAGATTGGTTAAATACCATTGAGAGATTTAGTAAAATTTCATGTCCAATTATTTTCTCAACATTTAACGAAGATATGTTTGTAATTGTTGAAAATGATATTTTAAATTATTCCAATAATAATAAATTTAAAATTATTTACAATGGATTTAATAATTTTTCATCTTTAATGTATAGTCATTTACTTGGTGACGGCACACTACATGCAAATTCACAATTTTTAATTGTTCTTCAAGGAAATTTAGAAAATAATTCCGAATTAAAAATAAATCGTCCACGTTTGTCCTTTTATCAACAAATTTGTCATGTTTGCCGAAAATTGGAAGCAAAAATAATTTGCAATCGATGTCGAATTATTTCCTATTGCAACAATAAACATCGTGATCAAGATCAAATTCATCACAAGGATATTTGTCGAGCAATTTTAATTTTAATGAAAGAAATGAATACAGCGAATCTTTTTGATAATGCAAAAACATTGGATTTGAATTTATGGCTACTTGCAAAAATTGATATAATGAAAAAAGTGAAAACAAAACTTGCCAGAGAAATGAAGGATTATGAGAAAGAAATGTTTCTATTTCCCAAGGCATGTGCAATTTGTCATAATAGTGATTCGAGTTTATTAAGAAGCTGCGAATGTGGGGTAAGAATTATTTTAAAGATTATTTTCATGAAAAAAAAAAATTCATTAATTCGAATTTCCATTATTTTTAAAAACAATTCAATAGGTAACTAAACTCTAAAATTATAATTATTATAACAGTTAAAAAAAAATTTAAGGTATTTAAATTATTTTCTTTATTTATTTATTGAAACACGACCACTCTAATTAATTTTTTTTTTATTTTTAATAAAAGAATTAAATATTAAATTTAAAAAATTTTTCAGACATTTCTCTGCAAAATTCACTATAAAGATGAAAATCACAAAAAATTGTGTAAAGAATTAGCGATTGCTTATAAAATGTCAACAACTGAAAATAAACAAATTTCAACATTGGTAATGAATTCATCTAAAGATCTCTATGAGAAATTACCATCGACAATGTTTGAATTTCTAAATTCGAATATTCTATTATCAAAAATATGTAAAAATCAAAGAGATAATTATCAAAACCTGGCGACATCTAATTTGCTATCTGCTGCGCTAACTTTAAGAAATATTATAAATAAATTCGATTCATTTCTTACAATGCAAACAATGATAATTCATATTATTGGCGCAAATAGAAAAGAAATTCAAGAAGTAAATTCGTGGAAAATATTTTTATACTCATTGCGAGAATTAAAAAATTTAGAAATTTGTTTCATTCGACCAGAAATTGAAAATTTTTCAGAAAAAATTATAAATACTTCTGATTTTGAAACAATTACAATAAAAAGATTAAAAATCCAATACGTCAATAAAACATATGATAAATATTTTACATGTAAAAAATTTATAAAACCGCAAATAATCTTAGGATGTAATCTCAATATTCATGAGAGTAAATTATTCGAAATTTCGGAAAATACTTGGAAGGAGACAATTTTAACGGTGGAAAAAGTTGGTGTTCCATTTATTTTAACATCGGGTACAAAAGAACGTGCTGAAATGGAGCATAAAATAATTTGCGATCTTCTTGGAAAATCTGTGAATTTTCAATTTTTCGAAGAAAATCCATACTCATCATTAACACCGGAAAGAGATTTTGAAACAGAAGGAGTCATGTATGCAAATAAATTTGTAATTGCTTACGATGGAAAATATCAAAATTCCTCAAATTTGACAAATGAGAACAAAATTAAAATTAATGAGAATTCACAATTGACAACAAATATTACAATAACAGAAGAAAATAATTCAAAGGCAAAAGAAATTATCAATAAAACTAAAGAAATAAAAGTTTGTAAAAATTTAAGCAATGAAAATAAAAATGAAACTTCAGATTTATTATTATTACAGCAGCGTAATAAATTTCTTATCGATGAAAATGAAAAATTAAAAGAACAACTAATTTCAGCGAATACTCAAATTACAGAACAAAACAATCAAATTTTGAATTTAAAGAAAATTTTCACCAATTTTATTGAAAATAATCCAATTTCAGAATTGGAAAAATTGTATACCAATTTCATTGATAAATTTGAAAAGAATATTAATTCAATTTGTAAGAATTAAATTTTAAATTTCAAATTTTTTTTAACATTTGTGTGTTTAAAATTACTAATATTTCGAGAAGTTTTAAAAACGATTTTAAAAATAGTGAAATTTGCCAAATAGTTAAGAAAAACTAGAATGGCAAAAAACTTTTTAATTATATTTATTTTATAATAAGGTAAAAATTATTTTTGTTTATTCTAATACTATTTTTAAGAAGAAAATTTTGATAGGCCGAAACAAAAAAAGTTTTATTGTTTATATATCAAAATAAAAAAATTTATAACTGATTATCTATTTCTTTTATTGTTTATACTTTACGAATACTTTTTCTTTATTGATTTTTTATTTTTCTATTTTTTTTTTTCATTTATTATTCATAAAAGGGACAATAATTGTAATTATTATTTTTTATTATTATATTTACAGCTAAAGAATAAAAAACAAATTGTTAGCTACAATTATTTAATACAATTTACAATTATTATTAATTATTATTTTTTTAATTTTAATGATTTTAATTCAAAAAACAGAAATTTAAAAATCTATCGAATTTTTTCGTTCTGACATTCCCAACTCTGGCCTCTACATTCCCCCTATCATCTAATTATGCAACTAAAACTTTGACATAAAACATAACCCAAAAAAAACCAAGCACAAATCGTTCAAAGAAGAAGCGTGATAAAAAATATATTTCTTGGAAACTTTTTCACTATAATATTAAATATCGAGGTAAATAAATCTTTTTTTTAAAATATAAATACTAAAGAATCGAAAACTGTAAATACTAAATTCGATTAAATTAACGCCACTTTTGTAATATTACAATTTCTAAAAAATTCCCACTAAAAATATATTTTATAAAAAATTAGTGTATTCAATATATTTTCAAAAACATTGAGAACTAGAGAAAAGTGTTTTATATAAAAGTCTAATGAAAAATTTTCTTTTTCAAAATTAAAAACGAATTGTAATTGATTAATAAGTAAATTAGTTTTTATATTGGGCCGGACTGTATGCGACTTTTTCGATTTATTTTAATAAAATACGGACTTTTTTAACTTGTTATTTTAAGGAATTTATAAAATATAGATAATATTTCCTAACAATAATTATATAATAATAAAATGCTTGGTCTGTCCTTCTGTCCTTCTTTAGTCGATTTATATTCCAAAAAAAAGTGGATTTGTTTTTTATTTTAACAAAAATATTTTAGATTTTTAAATAAAAAATGTTTTTTTTAATAATAATCCTTTTCGAAGGGTTAAAGTTGAAATTTTTAGAAATAATTAAATTTCAAAAGATATTTTGTTAATTTTCAAACAATTATTAAATTTTACAGAACTAAAAATAATTTATCAAACAATTTTTGGAAAACATTTTTTAAATTTAATTGAATTTTCAAAGATTTAAAATTGAGATTTTTGAAATTAATTGAAACTTTAAGTGTTTTGTAATTAAAATTTTAGATGATTTCACTAAAAATTTATTAGAAAATGCGGACAAAATACAATAATTTGAAAATCATTTTTAATTGAAAAATGGTTTCAGATAGTTGAATTTTCAAAAAATATTATTAAAATAGTTAAAAAAATAATTGAATTTCCTTAGAGTAATAATTTAAATTATTAAATTTCAAAAAAAAAAATTTTTCGATGGAAAATTTTAGAAATAATTAAATTTTAGATGCTTTTAAATTAAAATTATTGAAAATTCAATTAATTTTGAATTGAGATTTTGGAAAATAATTGAATATTAAAAATTTGGAAAATAATTGAATTTCAGTTTAAATTTTGGAAAATAATTGTTCTTTAGTTGAATTTTAATTGATTTTGAATTGAAATTTTCGAAAATTATTGAATTATAGTAGATTTTGAATTGAAGTTTTCGAAAATTACTGAATTGAAAATTTGGAAAATAATTGAATTTTAGTTGATTTTGAATTGAAAATTTTGAAAATAATAGAATTTAAATTTAAATTTTAACAATCAATTGAATTTTTATTAATTTTAAATTAAAAATTTTTTAAATAATTTAATTTCAGTTGATTTTGAATTGAAAATTTTGGGAAATAATTGAATTTTAATTGAAATTTTGGATAATAATTTAATTTAAGTTCATTTTTGATTGAAAATTTGGATAATTAATTTTGAATAGAAATTTTTAAAAAATAATTGAATTTTATTTAATTTTAAATTGAAAACTTGGTAAATAATTAAATTTTAAATTGAAAATTTTGGATAATTATTGAATTATAGTAGATTTTGAATTGAAATTTTCAAAAATTATTGAATTGAAAATTTGGAAAATAATTGAATTTTAGTTGATTTTGAATTGAAAATTTTGAAAATAATAGAATTTAAATTTAAATTTTAACAATCAATTGAATTTTTATTAATTTTAAATTAAAAATTTTTTAAATAATTTAATTTCAGTTGATTTTGAATTGAAAATTTTGGGAAATAATTGAATTTTAATTGAAATTTTGGATAATAATTTAATTTAAGTTCATTTTTGATTGAAAATTTGGATAATTAATTTTGAATAGAAATTTTTAAAAAATAATTGAATTTTATTTAATTTTAAATTGAAAACTTGGTAAATAATTAAATTTTAAATTGAAAATTTTGGATAATTATTGAATTATAGTAGATTTTGAATTGAAATTTTCAAAAATTATTGAATTGAAAATTTGGAAAATAATTGAATTTTAGTTGATTTTGAATTGAAAATTTTGAAAATAATTGAATTTCAATTTAAATTTTAAAAAACAATTGAATTTGTATTGATTTTAAATTAGAAATTTTAAAAATAATTGAATTTCAGTTGATTTTGAATTGAAAATTTTGAGAAATAATTGAATTTTAATTGAAATTTTGGATAATAATTTAATTTAAGTTCATTTTTGATTGAAAATTTGGATAATTAATTTTGAATAGAAATTTTTAAAAAATAATTGAATTTTATTTCATTTTAAATTGAAAACTTGGTAAATAATTAAATTTTAAATTGAAAATTTTTGATAATTATTGGATTTTTAATTGATTTTGAATTAAAATTTCGGGTAATAATTGAATTTTAGTTTATTTTGAATTGAAATTTTTCAAAAAATAATTCCATTTTATTGTGATATTTTTTTTTTAATTATAAACAATTGTTAAATTTCATAAAAATTTTAATTGAAAAATAATTTTGATATAATTGAATTTGTGATGTATTTAATTAAAATTATTAAAAATAATTAATTTAGTGAAGAATCATTTTAGTTCAAAATTTGTTAAATAATTCAATTGAAGAAGATCTGAAGAAGATCTACATTTTATACTAAAAAAATGTATTTTATTTACATTTTTTTTCAAATGTAAAAAAAAATGTCGCATTTTATTAAAATAAGTCGATAAAAGTCGTATTTTTGAAAAAAGTCGTATAATCCGAGGCCTGTAAATATATAATTTTCATTATTATCATTTAATATGTAATAATATTCTAATAAATTAAATTATTATTGATAATATTAATCTTTAATTTCTTTATAACAAACAATTAAATACTCAATTTGGCGCGCTTGCGCGCGTTTAATTTTGCTAGTTAATAATAAAATATTTATTAACGATTTAAAATTTATTAAAAATAAATTCTTTTTCTGTTATTCAAATTTTCTGCGATACATTTTCTATTTTAATTTCTGTCGAAAATTCCAGAATAAAAATCAATTTAAATCACAAAATATTAAATGACTTTTTGGGAAAAATATTTTTAAAAAATAACTCACAGAAAAAATTATTTTTACTCTTTCAGATTTTTATGTATTATAATTGAAAAATAAAATTAAAAAAAAAAAAAAAATGGAAGAATCAAAATATTTTCCAAATCAATGTATCATTTGTCAATCGACAATGAAATTAAGAAAATGCACTGGATGTAATATGGTTCAATATTGTGATAAAAGTCATCAATTACAACATTGGCCACAACATAAATCATTTTGTAAGGCAATTGGAAAAATTTTAGAAAGAAAAAAAATTACACACATTTATGAGAAACTTGCAAATAAATCTTTTGATACTTGGTTATCGGAAATAATTTTAATAACTGAAGATATCACAAAACATTTAAAACGAATTCCAAATTCAATTGAAACAAATATATTAAAATATCCCCGTGTATGTTTCATTTGTCGTGAAGCTAAACAAGAAAAATTGAAAAATTGTCCAAATTGTCCATTTGCAAGTTTTTGCGAACAACATCCAAATAGTGAAATACACAATAGAAATTGTCTTATATTAAAAAATCGTTACGATGATATTAAATGTAAATTAACATTAAGTTTGACATTTTCTTTAGACGATATTGTCAAAGAATTTGCAATGGGTACAAAAATTTCAAAAATAAATGACGAATCACTAACAACGTTAAAACAATTTTTTGATAACTACACAAAACCAGTACGTGAAATACCAGAAATTGAAAAAATTATTGTCTCTGAATTTTTTAGCGTTTCATTGACAATATTTCAAACTTTACAAATGATTTACTATGAAAATTTCCCAACGGAAATTATTATTCATCTTGATATTTCTGGTGGTCCAGATGAATTTATAATTTGTGATAATTATTGGGAAATACTTCTACATTTATTACCAGATATTAAGAGTTTAAAAATAATTATTTGCGAGGCAAAATTAACATATGCAAATAAATCATCACTTTGTAATGATTGTAAATTAAAGAAGAAAAAAATATTCATTGAAACACAAACAATGCCCTATGAAATTTATTTAACACAATCAAATTATCAACAACCATCTCTAATTTCTTATTTTAATGTACGTCCATTAAAAAATGAAAATATAGTCAAAAAATATTGGCAAAAAATAATTGAAAAATTTGGTAAAATTAATTGTCCAATTGTTTTTTTAACATTTAATGAAGAAATATTGAGAGTGATTAAAAAAGATGTTTTAAATTCACCAATAAAATTTAACATTATTTACAGTGGATTTAATAATTTTGCACCATTAACGTATCTTGAATTAAATGTCGATGGTACTCTATTTCGAACTTCGCAATTTTTAATTATTCTTCAACAACGAATTAATGGGAAAAATAATTCCAAATCAATTATTACAAAAGGAAATCGTCCACGTACATATTTTTATCATCAAATTTGTCATGTTTGTCATAAATATCAGGCAAAAATTACATGTAATCGTTGTCGAATTATTTCCTATTGTGGCAATAAACATCGTAATCAAGATCAAATTCAACATAAAGATATTTGTCGTGCAATTTTGATTTTATTAAATGAAATGAGTACGGTGAATCTTTTTGAAAATGTAAAAACAACAGATTCGGATTTATGGCTACGTGCAAAAATTGATATAATGAAAAAAGTAAAAGCAAAACTTGGCAGAGAAATGGAGGAATTTGAGGAGCAAATGTTTTTATTTCCCAAAGCTTGTGCCATTTGTCATGACAGTGATTTGAGTTTATTGAAAATTTGCGATTGTGGGGTAAGAATTATTTTACACGATTTTTTTTATATTAGAAAAATGTAACTATACGTATAAATAAAAATAGAAAAAAGTAAGTTTTACTCTTTTAAATGTTAAAAAAAAAAAAAAAATTATTTTTTCAGGCATTTCTCTGTAAAATTCACAACAAAGATGAAAAACACAAAAAATTGTGTAAAATATTATCCTTTGCCTACGCAATTTGTACAAAGGAAAACGATTCAAATTCAACATTGGAAATAAATTCTGCTAAAGGTCTCTATGAAAAATTACCATCGTCAATGATTGGATTTTTAAATTCAAATTTTGTAATATCAAGAAAATATGAAAATAAAATGGATATTAATTGTCATCAACGTCTAATGACATCAAATTTAATAACTTCTTCGCTAACATTAAGATATTTTATAAATAAATTCGATTCATTTCTTACAATGCAAACAATGGTGATTCATATTATTGGCGTAAAGGAAAAAGATTTTATAGAAGAAAATTCGTGGAAAATCTTTTTATACTCGATGAAAGAATTAAAAGATTTGAAAATTATTTTCATTGGACCTCAAGTTCCAAATTGTCCCGAAACAATAATTGTTGAAACTTCTGATTTTCATGCAATTGGTGTGAAACGATTAAAAATCGAATATCGTAGTATAACATATGATAAATATTTTACGAGTAAAAAATTTATAAAACCGCAAATAATTTTAGGATGTAATCTCAATATTCATGAGAGTAAATTATTTGAAATTTCGAAAAATACTTGGAAGGAGACAATTTTAACGGTGGAAAAAGTTGGTGTTCCATTTATTTTAACATCGGGTACAAAAGAACGTGCCGAAATGGAGCATAAAATAATTTGCGATCTTCTTGGAAAATCTGTGAATTTTCAATTTTTTCAAGAAAATCCATTTGCTTCATTATGTCCGGAACGAGATTTTGAAACAGAGGGTGTTATGTATGCAAATAAATTTGTAATTGCCTATGTTTGGAAATATAAAAATTCGTCAAATTTACTTCAAGAAAATGAAATCAAAATTAATGAGATTAATGAGAATTCTCAATTGGCAACAAATATTACAACACAAGAAAATAATTCAGAGGCAAAAGAAATTATTGTCAAAGACACTGAAGCGGAGAAAATAAAAGTTTTTTGTGAAAATTTAGAAAAAGATGAAAATATTGAAAAAACAGATTTATTCTTACTTAAGTGTAATAAATTTCTTATTGGAGAAAATGAAAAATTAAAGGAACAACTAAATGCAGCGAATGTTCAAATTAAAGAACAGAAAAATATGATTTTAGAATTAAAAAAAATTTATTCCAATTTCGTTGAAAACAATCGAATTTTAGAATTGGAAAAAATTTATAACGATTTCGTTAAAAAATTTAATGAAAATATTAATTAAACGTGTAAGAATTAAAAAATTCTTTTAAACTTTCAACATAAATTTGTGTTAAAAATGTATTACTTTTTATTTTATTTGGTTAAGATATTAAAATCTTTTTATTTTATTTAAGATATTAAAATGTGACGCATTTTTACTTGTTAATTAATAAAAATAAACGATGACTTATTTTGATATATTATTCTGTGTTTTTTTTGTTGTTGTAAATTTTTATTTTAAAATAGAAATTAAATTTTTTTATTTAATTAAAATTTTGGCTAGCCAAAATTTTCAGCTATAGGCTAATTTTTATTTATCGTAAATTTGACTTTTTTAGAAAATGTATTTTATTTTATAAAAAAAATAAACTCACCTTTTGACATCACAAGAAGATTGTTTCCGGTGACAATGTTGACTGAAAACTGATTGAAGCTATCCTTTAATGAATTTTCAAAAAAAAACTTGTCACTAATACACTTAAATTTCACTTTTCTCACTTTAAATTTCCCATTTTTTTAATATTGCACTCCACTTATTTTATGAAAAAATTGTTGGTTAATTAAAATAACACTTTTAAACAACTATAATGTGAACTACGTAGTATATTTAATATGGCGTTATCACTTTTCCGGAACTTCGAAATTGGCGGGGAAAAAGTTAGGTTAGGTTGTTGAATTTTTATTCAAAACATAATTAATCGCGATTGATAGTTAATTAAGATTAATTAAGGAACACAAGAATCAAGATTAAGTAGAAAACGAATAAATTTCAATTATTAAACACTTTTTTCACTTTTTCGTTTCCATCCTGCGAACGCGACACTCGCGACTATATTTCGCGAATCCTGTAACAAAACGAGAATCAAATATAAAAATATTTCTATAATCACTTAGCGCAAGGTGTAAATTTTTAAATATTCACAAATCTCCAGGGAAATGTGATGAAAAATAATTAAAAAAGAACTGTAAAAAATCGGTAACGCGAGACGTGAACTTCACTGTCCAAAATGTCGTTTCAAACTGATGTGGTCAATGGAGGGGGTTCAGGAATGTTAACTTTGAAAATGGCGCGAAACATTTAATAATTTTTTTTATTTATTTCTGTTTACTGTTGACATTAATTTTCTACTTTATAATAAAAAATACTAATAAACTCTGTAATTGAAAGTTTTTAAAAAGTTAAATAAAATAATTCCAAGAGATTTGTGAATAATTATTTGTATAGTTGATGTTAAATTTAAACGAAATTAATCTGAAGGTGGCGCTTATTATTTCCGTTCCGTTTTCGTTTCGTCATCTCCGCAGGAAGTTACCGCCAAAAATGCGTGAAATAGTCGGAATAGTGGAAATTACTTCTTTGTTTGTAAATAAAGTAAATTTATACACAAGTTTTGATGGAATTTTTCAACATATTCAATTTGTTTTTAATTAATAAGCAGTGTAATAAAACAGGGAAAAAAGTATTTTGATTTAGATATTATCATGAATGTGACAGGAATATAAAAATGTATCACGAATTGGAAACTGTAAGTTGACAACAATCATAACCTAAAAATAATTTTTTTTTTGTTTTTATTTATGATCATCAATAGAATTTGTGATTTCGATATTATTATTTAACTTTAAATACTGAAATATTTCGTATTGTTATTATTTTTAGTAAAAAGGTAAAAAAAAAATTCTAGATTTTAAATTAGGAAGTTAAATTTTTGTTAAAAACTGTTGTCAATTTAAATAAAAATAAGCAAATTATTTATAAATATTTCTAAAAGATAATATATTTCCTAATCGTTGAAATTTAGTTAATATAACATTAATTATTAATTCCATTGATTTCTATTGTAATTTTCAAATAAATTTTGGATTTTTGAAAAATTTTCTATTTTTTAATTTTTTTTTTCTTGGTAATAACGCCAAATTTTTAACCAGGAAGTTGTGAACAAAAAAGGAAGTCGGACTTTTTTTTTATTGGATCAACGGATTTTGAGCTACAATTAAAGTTTGGATTTTTTAAAAATATTTTCTATTTTTTCAATATTTAAAAAAATAGGTAAGATAATTATGTTCTATTTAACTAAAACAGTAACTCTTATTGACAAATCGATATAGGTATTGAAAAAAAAAAAAAAAATTCTAGTTACCTTGAACTCGAAAAATCAAATGTTGAAATATGTAAAGATCAATATGGTAAAATTGTAAAGCAATTTTATAAAATACGACAAATTGAATATTTTCTTTTCTTAAGATTTTTTTCTATTGATATTTTGAAAATTTGATTGAATAGAAAAAGCAGAATAAAATAAATTCTTACCTTCATTTGGAAAATATTATTCACTCTGAATCACAACAAGAACGCAAAATTAAACAAAAAGGTTATAATTAATTTTTTACTTATTTTATACTTTTTACAAATATAATTAATTATTTTATTTCATCGTTGGAAAAAAAAGGAGCGGAATAATTGTTTATAATTAACAAAGGTGAGAAGTTTGTAAATATCCTGGGGTAGAGAAATAAATTATTTATTTAATTATTTTATTTCAGAAATAAAAAAAATGGCATCGTTGATCTTTGTATTATTCGTTTTGCTAATTTTTGGAAATGACGGATTCTCACCACAAAGTGAATTTCACACATCTCTAATTGGAAAAATAACAAATGATTCAAGAATTAAACAAATTTTGTTTATACAAAACAAAACTGATGAAACACAAGATTTGTCAATAAAAACAAAATTTCCATCTATAATCGTTGATTATTTGAATGCAACAGAAAAATTCGGTCTAGAATTGAGTGAATTGTTAATGTTTAAAAATTCTCGATCAACGTTAATTGTAATAAATTTGACGTCATTAAAATTTGAAACAAACAATTTGGAATTATTAAAATTTCTACTTCAACTCGTCCATAAGGAAGAGAGATCAAAGATTTTAATAATAAAAAAAGTAACGACAAATTATCGAAAAATTCTCAAATTTTTGTGGTTGAAAAATTTTTTGGATGTGACAATTTTAGAAATGATTGAGGCAAAAGAAGGCAATGGAAAATTGATTTTTGACTTGAATACCAAAACGATAATACAACATTATTACAATCCATTCACTGAAAGATTTATTAAACGCAAATTTTCAATGGAGATGGATTTGTTTCCTGATAAATTGAAAAATCTTCACAAATATCAAATGAAAGTGGGATTTTTTCATTTTCCACCTTATCTCACAATTATTCAAAACAAATCAGTATTGAAATTAGATGGTCCAGATTATCATCTTGTGAAGATACTTTCTGAAACAATGAATTTTAAAATTTCACATGTTATTTCAAATAAAACAAGTTGGGATGTGAATTCTTGTATTAAAGAAAACAATACTGGCCTTACTCGTGCTTTAATATACAATGAGATTAATTTTGTTGGTGTTCAATCTGGTAGAATAATAGTTCCCTGTTATGAAAAATATACAAAATATATTGAGGTCAATTTTGGAAAGATCTATATTTCAGCAATAACACCGACTTTATCGAATGAAATTACTCTACGTTTAGTTGAATGGAAATTATCTCTTTTGTTGTCAGTCACTTTTTTACTTATGATAACTTGGCTATTTCCACGTTTTGTACAATTAAAATCACAAAATTGGCAATTAATTTATTTATTTGGAATAATGCTTGGAATATGTGTTCCACGACAACCTCGTACATTTGCAGAGAGAATTATTTTTGCAAGTATGCTTATCAGTTGCTTTTTTCATTCGTCAGTAATTTTCTCCGCATTTACAAGTATTAATTTACAAATGAAATCAGATGCAGGAATTGATACATTAAATGATTTATATTCATCAAATTTCACGCCAGTTATTCATAAAAATATGTTAAATCTTTTTCAACTTGACGATTTGACGGTGGCAAATTATGTAAAGAAAGCAAGTTCTAATATTGACATGACTAATCAGGATTGTATTGAATATTTAATGAAGTATAAAAATATCACTTGTTTTATGCGAACAGTCCAAGCTGATTTGGCAATAAATAATGCTAATAAAGAACAAATTAGTGTTGCAATGCGAAAAGTTAAAGAATATGTATCAGATTCAATGAGTTTCTTGAAATGTGAACCAGGTTTTCCATTTGAGACAAATTTTAAGAAGATACTTTCAAGATTACAAGAAGTAGGAATTGCTTATAAATTGAATGATAAATATTTAAAAAGCATCTCGAAAAAAACTACAATGGCTGATGATTTTCTTTCTGATAGCGATGCAGCAAATTTACAAATTCGACAAAATATGCTTTTTATTTTGGTTTTTGGCTTCACTTGTTCGATGCTCACATTTATTGGCGAATTACTTATGCGTAATTTTTTTTAATTGACTTTTGAAGTTTATGTAAAATTTAATTTTTTTTTTTTTTTAAACCGAATTCATAGTGAATTTCTTTTGAATGATCTTCTTTATTCAAATTCAATTATCTTAAATTATTTTTCAATTAAAGTTTTTTATGAAATTTAATAATTGTTTATAATTTAAAAAAAAAATTAGCAAATAAAATTATCAAATTTCAATTCAAAATTATTTGAAATTCAATTATTTTGCAAAAATTTCAATTATTTTTAATGATTTTTGTAATATTTTTCGAAAATTCAATCATTTTTTTAATTAAAAACTTTTGAAATGCAATTTTTTTTATGTGATTTCTAATAAATTCTAATAAATTGGAAATTTAATAATTTCAATTATAAATCTCCTCAAATTCAATTATTTTTAATGATGTTTATAATATTCTTTGAAAATTCAATTATCTTAAATTATTTTTCAATTAAAGTTTTTATGAAATTTAATAATTGTTTATGATTTTCAAAAAAAATTAGCAAATAAAATTATGAAATTTTAATTCAAAATTATTTGAAATTCAATTATTTTGCAAAAATTTCAATTATTTTTAATGATTTTTATAATATTTTTCGAAAATTCAATCATTTTTTTAATTAAAAACTTTTGGAATGCAATTTTTTTTATGTGATTTCTAATAAATTCTAATAAATTGGAAATTTAATAATTTCAATTATAAATCTCCTGAAATTCAATTATTTTTAATGATGTTTATAATATTCTTTGAAAATTCAATTATCTTAAATTATTTTTTAATTAAAGTTTTTATGAAATTTAATAATTGTTTATAATTTTCAAAAAAAAATTAGCAAATAAAATTATCAAATTTTAATTCAAAATTATTTGAAATTCAATTATTTGCAAAAATTTCAATTATTTGAAATGATTTTTATAATATTTTTCGAAAATTCAATCATTTTTTTAATTAAAAACTTTTGGAATGCAATTTTTTTTATGTGATTTCTAATAAATTCTAATAAATTGGAAATTTAATAATTTCAGTTATAAATCTCCTGAAATTCAATTATTTTTAATGATGTTTATAATATTCTTTGAAAATTCAATTATCTGAAACTATTTTTCACTTAAAAATGGTTTTCAAATTATTTTATTTTTGTTTGCAATTTCTAATAAATTTTTAAGTGAAATCAAAAATTTTTAATTAAAAATCACTTGAAATTTAATTACATACTTTTAAAAAACATCTAAAATTATTTGATAAATTATTTTTAGCTCTGTAAAATTTAATTATTGTCTGAAAATTAATAAAATCTTTTGAAATTCAATTATATTTCTATAAATTTCAACTTTAACTCTTCCAAAATTATTTTTATTTAAAAAAAAATTTTTATTTAAAAATCTAAAATTTGATTAAGTATTATCAGAAATTTTTTTTTACTATCAAAAACTAAAAACTATGACAAAATTTTGTTAATTCGAAGAAATTGATTAAATCAGACTTAAAAAAAATTATAAAAATGGAATTTTAAGAATTTTTTTTAGAAATTTGTTCTACTTAAGGCCATCCGGGAAAAATCCCTAACCTAAAAGTGTTTTCCCGCGCGAGATATTACTCGTAAATAACTTGAAATATCTTGTTCGGATTTGTCGGATTAATTAGATGAGGGCGAGCTGATTAAGAATCATCTCCATTTTTACAAGTAATTTTGTTGAAAAGTATTGAAAATCGTGATTATAAAAGTTGGATTTTTGACAGAAGTGGGAACAGTAGGGGAGGCGAGCACACAGACATTGAATCTATGTGTCAGTGGCCCAGAAGGTGGCGCCAATTTTAGCTAGTGGCCGCTGCTGAACTAACTTACCCCAAATTACTCCACTTTAAATCTTTAATAAAATAATTTCCTCACAATATTATTGCAAAAATGGAGAAGAGCCCCACTCAGTGACCCTTCCTCTATTATTCCTCCAAATGCCAACTCGAAATACTTTATCCTTTAAAGATGAGAAGTAATTTACGAAACCCCTTTTTGCCAATGTTTAAACATTTTTTTCAATAATTATTTATCAAGATTTTGCAAAATTCCGAGAAGAGCCCCTGGCAGGGTACCTTCCTCTATTATTTCCAAAAAATTACAACCTAAAATATTCAATTTTTTTCAAATGAGAAGAAATCTACAAAACCATTATTTTCTCCCGGATGGCCTTAAATAAAATTTTGAAAATTTGTCTTTTAATTCTATTATGAAATAGAAATAAATTTTCTTGATAATATTCATTATAGAATTATTCTCATTACAGAATTAATAAAATAAATTTAATATCTAATAACATTAGTTATTTAAAGTAAAATATTTATTAACCAATTAAATTTTGTTAAAATAAAAAAAAAATCGATTTTTTTTTGGAATATAAATCGACTAAAATTATTTTTTTTGTACCTGGTAAATAATTATTATTCAAAATTAATAGCAATATTTATTTATACTTTTTCTCTTCTATATACATATGTGAAGGATAAATATCTAATATAAAAACATTAATTTAATTGAAAATCAGATAAACAAAGTTCTAAAATTCTGAAAATAAACAAATTCTTCAGAAATTTAGCGAAATAATTTAAAATTATGTACAAATAATTCTCCAATAAATGTGATTATCGAACAAGTGAAGCCAAAAACAATAATAAAAAGCATATTTTGTCGAATTTGTAAATTTGATGAATCATTGTCTGTAAGTAAAATTTCAGCCATAGTTGGTTTCTCATCGACGTTCAAATAATTAATTTGCCATTTTTTCAAAACACCAGACTCTTGAATTCGAATGAGCATTTTTTTAAATTTTGTCACATATGGTGAACCTGCTTCACTCTGAAAACAAGGAATCATTTTTTCTAATGTTTCTTTTACTTTATGCATCATTGGATGGCCATGTTTTTTTTTACTAACACTTATTGAAAAATCAATTTTTGTTGATCGCATAAAGCAAGTGATATTTTTATGCATCAACAAATAATCGATACATTTTTTATCTGTATTGGCAACATTAGAATTTGCTTTCTTTACATAATTTGCCACATTTACATCATCAAGTTTAAAAATTGATAACATATTTGAATAAATTACTGGCGTTAAATTTGACGAATATAAATCATTTAACGAATCAATTAATGACTGTTCTTTCATTTGTATATTAATACTTGTAAATGCGGTGAAAATTACTGACGAATGAAAAAAGCAAGTGATAAGCATACTTGCAAAAATAATTCTCTCTGCAAATGTACGAGGTTGTCGTGGAACACATATTCCAAGCATTATTCCAAATAAATTCAATATTTGCCAATTATTTGTTTCAAATTTGAAAAAACGTGGAAAAAACCATGTTATTCCCAATAATAAAATAACGGAGAATAAAAGTAACAATTTCCATTCAACTAATTGTTGAGTAATTTCTGTTGATAAAATTGGCGTTACTGCTGAAATTGCCATAAATTCCAAATTATTATCAATATGTTTGATAAATTTTCTAAAACATGAATCAAACATTCCCGATTGAACGCCAATAAAATTAATTTTATTGTATATCAACGCATGATTTAGACCAGTATTGTTTTCTTTAATACAAGAATTCACATCCCAACTTGTTTTATTTGAAATTACATGTGAAATTTTAAAATTCATTGTTTCAGAAAGTATCTTCACAAGATGATAATCTGGACCATCTAATTTCAATACTGATTTGTTTCGAATAATTGTGAGATAAGGTGGAAAATGAAAAAATCCCACTTTCATTTGATATTTGTGAAGATTTTTCAATTTATCAGGAAACAAATCCATTTCCATTGAAAATTTGCGTTTAATAAATCTTTCAGTGAATGGATTGTAATAATGTTGTATTATCGTTTTGGTATTCAAGTCAAAAATCAATTTTCCATTGCCTTCTTTTGCCTCAATCATTTCTAAAATTGTCACATCCAAAAAATTTTTCAACCACAAAAATTTGAGAATTTTTCGATAATTTGTCGTTACTTTTTTTATTATTAAAATCTTTGGTCTCTCTTCCGTATGAACGAGTTGAAGTAGAAATTTTAATAATTCCAAATTGTTTGTTTCAAATTTTAATGACGTCAAATTTATTACAATTAACGTTGATCGAGAATTTTTAAACATTAACAATTCACTCAATTCTAGACCTAATTTTTCTGTTGCATTCAAATAATCAACTATTACAGATGGAAATTTTGTTTTTATTGACAAATCATGTGATTCATCACTTTTGTTTTGTATAAACAAAATTTGTCTAATTCTTGAATCATTTGTTATTTTTTCAATTAGAGATGTGTGAAATTCACTTTGTTGTGAGAATCCGTCATTTCCAAAAATAAGCAAAACGAACGATACAAAGATCATCGATGCCATTTTTTTTTTATTTCTGAAATGAGAAAATTATTTCCAAAAATTTAATTAGGTAAATTTTTTTTTATTTTTTTTTTATTAAGCATTTAAAAAAAACTAAATCACAAAATTCAAATTTCAATTACAGATAGTAAAAAAATACTTACTGTTTTAATTCTTTTTTTCGTTTTTGAAAAAATTCGTTACACTATTTTTTTTACCCTCTGCAATGGAAGAGGAAACTTAGTTTTCTGTTACAATAATTTTCTTTCGTAAAATATTGAACCGATATTTTTTTCAATTATTATCAATAGAAAAGATCTTTGAAAATAATGGAAATTTGATGTTTGTACTTTGACAATAATCTCTCGCGATGCATTTATAAGAAAAAACTTTGAATTATCAAAAGAAAATATCAATAACAATCATAAAAATTGTAATTTGCATTGACGTAGTAAAAATAAAAATAAAATCAATAACTATTTTATATAAGTAAAATTTTTTTTGCATTACATTTGGTATATTTTGTTAATTTACAAAATTATTTAAATCAATTTTTCTTTTTATAATTTAATTTGCAAGATAAAAAAAAAATTAGATGACACTGGAACGCAAAAAAGAAATTTAAAAATTGAAATACTGAAAAACTAAAAATTACATTGCAAAAAAATTTATCTGATTCAAATAATAATCGACTGTTATAAAATAAATATATTTTTAAATAATTATTATTTAGGTTAATTAAATGGAATTTTTTTAAAAATACAGAAATTATTTATTTAAATACAGTTTATTTAATATTATAAATAAAAATTATTTACTTTTAAAATTTACAATTAGTAAAATTAATTTTACGTTTAGTTTTATTTGATTGATAAAACCAATATTTTTGATGAAGATTATAATTTAGTTTTAGTTCACGAGATTACTAGTTACGTTCCTGATATTCGCAAAATTCGAAATTCAATTAAGGGGCTTCCCCGAGCTTCCTAAAAGTACCAGAGCAAAGCGCTCATTCTATTGGTTGATTTCAAATATAACAGGGCCGTAACTATAAAAATTCTGTGCCTCGTATTATCGTAAAACGTAATTTATTTTAATTATAATTATATATGTATTTTAATTATAATTATATATGTATTTTAATTATAATTATATACGTATTATAATTATATATAAATTCACATACTGGCAAAAAATAAAATCACAATTTTCAAGGTCAGATTTAATTTCTATTTTTTACCGACCGGTTTTTTTTTCATACCAATTGGTAACATCTATTTCTCTCTTATCTGCATTGTTTAAAGGTAAACTAAAAAATTATGTAAGAAATTCCACAAAAAATCCGCAAGACGGCGCTAGAGTTGAGAAAATACAGTTAAATGTCTAATTTGACATGTATAATATCATGATTACGTCTTTTATATTTAATGTATAAATTATTAAATTGGGATGTAAATTGATGGAATTATTAATAATATAAAAGTGGAAGTTTCTTCTAATTAAAATATAACACTAAATTTCCATTATATTGAACTAACAATCGGAGTAAGAATACTGTGTTGTCATTATATTCTATGTAGCAAAGACCTTTGTTGATTGTTGTTGAACGTAAGTAAACTATCATTTTATTCTATTATATTTAATAAAATTATTTTTTAAGAAAGTAAATCTAAAATTTATAGTATCTCTTTTCTTAATTAGCTTTCGAAATGAATAATTCTATTTATTTTTTTTTTATTTATACGTGTCTGTAAAAATTAAAGTACTGTTATCCGAGAATTCATATGTGAATTATATTTTTGATTTTTCTTTAGAATTTAAATAATTTTAAAAATTTGTATCCCATATTTTTTTTTTGAATTCATAATGTCGAATTTTTAATTAATTGAATTTTATAATTAATATAATAGACATATGTATATATATATATAATACAATTTTCCCGTTTGTTGTAAAATAGGAAGAGACATTATCGATAATGCAATTGATGGGCGTAGTTCACCACATAGATGTCAGTAAATGTTTTTTTCCTTTTTCAATGCTTTATTATTATTATTATTAATTAACACTCAAAATTTTAATTCCAGTACATAAAATTTAATTAATTTTCAATTTCAAAATTAGTATTGAATAGAAAAATTATTTAAAAACATTTTGTTTCGATTAAACATTAAAATTAAATATACAAAAATTTTTATTTATTTTGTTGTAATTTTATTTTTTAAATTTGAATTTTTTTTATAATAATGATAATTTAATAAATTAAAAATTAATGAATTTTTAATTAATTAATTAATTAATTATTTAAAAAAACGGCAACAATTAAATTATTAGAGGGGAAAAAAAATATTATTTGGTATTTTTAATAAAAATTTATAAATTTTAAAAATATTTCAAGGGAGCGTTCGTATTTTATACACTTTCACTACTTTTTTTTTTACTTTCTCACTTTTACTAATACTAATATTTACTTTTTTCTTTTCTTAATTTTCAAAATAATTTGGACAAAGAAATTAAAAATTAAATTTTAATTTCGATATAATGAAAAAATTAAGTTATGAATTTTTTTTTAAGGAACTATATAAGATTTATATAATAATAATATTTTTGTAAAATATTTATGTATATAGATATCTGTTTCTTTTTTTCGGGACGTGGTTTTTTTCAAAATTTATTATAATTACTTTAAAGGTGTCGGCTTTACATTATTTTTTTTTCTCTTGGTGTGAAACACACACATACACACACGCACTCAGGGATAAAAAATTTATTTGACTTAACCAAACAGTTTAATTATCATATTTTATTTTGTATAGAAAGCAAAAAAATATTAAATATAAAATAAATATATAAATTATATATAAATATAAAATTAAATTACAAAATATAAATAAAATAAAAAAAATTTAGTTTAGTCTCTTTTGTTCATTCAAATTTTACTGTCTTTTATTTTTAGTTAAAAATAATTTACAGAATGCAAAAATTTGTTTCATTTAATCAAATTATTTAATTGAATTTAAAATTATTTTTTAATTAGAAAAAAAACTTATTTGGTTTTCTCAAATAAATACGTGGTGTCAAAATGCAAAAAAAAAAAAACATGCGTAATTTACAATGCTGTTTTTTTTATCTACGACTGTTAAATAAAATTTTCTCGTGTCGGTGATGTGATTTTTTGTGTCTATAGACAATAATAAGTGTAGTGAGTGTTTCTTCTTTATTGCAGAGAATTTAAAAAAGAAAAAATGTTGAAGGTGAAGTAACCTTTCGATGGATAAATTGTAGTTTTAAATATGTGATATATATATATTTTTTAATTAATTTAGACTTTATTATAAATTAATTATTAAATATAGAATATTATTAAAAAAATTTTTTTAAATAACAAGTTAACCAAAATATTTATTTAAACCAATTAAACTTGATGAAATAATTTATTATTTGAATGAAACAAATTTTCTTTTGTTTTGTAAGGAATCAATTTTTTTTTTATTTTAATTTAAAAAATTTAATCAAAGGCAATGAAATTTTTATTTGATTTAAATTTTTTTGTAATTGTAATAATTATTTTGTAATAAGTATATTTAATTTTAGATTTTTGTAATTTAAAAAATTACTATTATAATAAAATAGTGATTTTTTATTGTAATTTTTATATTATATTTTAATTTATTTTTTCTATTTTTTATAATTTTTTTTATTTTACTTTTTTTTATTATTATCGAACGGAAATTAGTAATTAAGAATATTGTGTATCCTTGACAACGGTACGATTTGTTTATTTCCAAATTTTTTTTTCTCTCTCTACAGATAGTAATTAAAAAAAAAAAATAATTTTAAAAAAGACTGAATGAAGATGACACCCGTTAAAAATTATAAGCACATTAATGGCGAGCAAAAAGAGAAACTTATTGAATTTATGCTCCAACATAGAGACTTGGCAGCGGGAAAAATTAATAGAAACAACTATAAACAAACGGCTGTAAGTTGATAAACTTTTGTTTTTGTAAAATGTCTTTAAAAAATTATTAAACTTTTTTTTTCGTGTTTGTAAAAGAAAAAATACTTTTTTAATGAATATTTATAACATTAAAAAAAAATTCCCAGTCTAAATTCTGAAAAATCAGAAAAATTAATTTAAAAAATCCTTTATTTTTTTTATTTAGGATCACTTATATGTGCAGTTGGCAAGTATTTTGAATTCCGTGGTTGGCGGATCAGTTAAAGATGTCGACGGTTGGAAAAAGGTAATTTTTTTCTAATTTAAATTTATTGATTTTCTTATTTTTTAAGTAATTTTTAAATAATTTTGTAATACTTTTAAAAAAAAATGTTAAAAAGAAAAAAATTAATAAAATTTAATAATAATAATAATGTATTAATATTAATAATAATAAAAAGTTGATAATTTAATAATAAATAAAAAAAAAAATTAATTTGAATGACTACAAAGCTTTCTTCACGAGGAAGAAAAAACAAATAAAATAATTAAAATATTTTTTTTTTAAATTATAATTTAGTGTTGGATGGACTTGAGAAGAAAGACAATTGAAAAAGAATTTTATAGAAGAAAACTATTAAATGAACATTCAGGGGAAGAAGTTCATATGAGTGATATTGAAAAAATTATTGTAGAAAAACTTGTACCTAAAGAAAGACTCAGGACGAAAGAAGTGGATGAATTAAAAATCAAGGAAGAGGAGGTATTTAATTTAATTTAATTTGAGCTTTTAACGTATTTGAAAACAATTTTTTTAAATTAAAAATATTTTGAATTTTTTTATTTTTTTTTTATTTGAATTAAAATAATTATTATTTTTATTATTATTGTTTTGCTTTCAGATTTCGATAAATGAAAATGAAACGCAAGAACATGAAATGGAACATAAGTAAGTATAATAATTAAAATTATGATTATAATTTTATATTGGCGATTATTTCTAAAAGTTATAAAAGTAAAAAATGAAAATTTCAATTGACGAATTAAATTTAATTTTTAGTCCAAATGTATTTTATCTTGCTGATTATGAAGAAGATGACAATGATAGAAAAGATATTATTAATTTGTTGCCGCCTTCAACAAGTGAAGCGAAGAGAAAAATGGATTTTGCTCCTACATTATGCAAAAAAAGCAAACTTAACGGTAATCATTATTAGTTTAATTATTCCTAATCCTGAAATACATTTTCATATTTTTCTTTTAAACTTTTCCGTTTATTTTCAAATTTGCATAAAAAAAAAAATTGTATCCATAAATTTCAATTTGCTTTTTTTTTTTGTTTACTTAAAAAATTTTATTATTTTAATTGTTATATTAAAATTTTTTAATTTACATTATAAAGGAACCGAAAATAAATTTGCAGACGAAGATGATGAATTAGAGGAAGATAATTTTTTTGAAATAAATGAAGCAAGAAACTCGAAGGAATTAACAGCAAAAGGTATTTTTTAATTAGATTGTAAAATAATAATAATTATTATTATTATTACAATAGTAATTATTATTATTAAATTACGCATTTAATTAAATTTTATTCTTAATCTATAAAAAAAAGAAGTTTGTTAATAAGACAAAAAAAATTTATTTCCTAATTATTTCATCATTTTAATTAAATAATAAAAAAAATGATTAATTATTTTTTTGCAGATGAATCTACAATACAATTATTAAGAGAAAGAGTTGAATTAAAACGAAGGGAATTAGAATTAAAAGAACAAATGTGGAAAAAAACTGAGGAACATAATGAGAGAAAAATGAAATTAAAAATTGAAATGCAAGAAAAAATAATTTCCTGCCTAGAGAGAATTGCTGATGAATTACAAAATCATAATACTTATTTACGTTCTTCATCTTAAATAATTTTTTTTTTGATACATTTATATATATAAATATATTTAATTTTGCATTTTATGTTAAATATTTGACATTTATATAGTTTGTTCTAGAATTATGTAATTTTTTTATATTATAATAAAAGAAAAAGAATTTTCAAAAAATTATAACACGTTTTTTTTTTATTAAATTGAAATTTAATTTCTTATTACGTCCACCATCAATTATTATTATTATTATTAATAAAATAAAAATTTAACGAACAATATTAAATGGAGAAAATTAAAATTATGATTAAAATTTTTTATAATTAAATTGATCGTTAATTTTTTAAATAGTATTTTATTTATAGCAAATTAAAACTGAATTTTTTTTAGTATATCGAAATTAGTTTTTGTTTTCTTTGTCCAAATAGAAATAATTTTTTTCAAAAATTTGCAAAAATTGAAAAATTCTGTTAAAATTGCCTTACAAATAATCTCCAATCGTTTAGAAATTCGACATTATAAATTTCGCAATTTAAAATCAATTTTCATAGTAAAATAATAATCATTATTTCATACTTTCAACAAAAAAAAAAAAAAAAAATTAAATTATAAACAATTAATATTTTTTAAGTAAAAAGTATTTAAATAAAATTTTTTACTTTAATAAAAAAGAAAAGAAAATTCTAATTCGGAAATTTTTAGAAAATTTCTTCTCTAAATGAAACAAAAATATTTATTTACAGATTTCAATTATTTGGAGATAAATGAAAAAATAATAAATTCCCAACATGAACTATTCAAAGGATGCGCGTTTTTTTCCCAATGAATGTTATATTTGTAAATCGCAAAAAAAATTAACACGATGTCAATGTAATATGATTGCATATTGCAGTGAAAATCATCGTTTACAACATTTGTCAATGCATAAAAAATTTTGTCAAACAATAAGAGAATTATTGAAAGAAAAAAAAATACAACATATTTATGAGGAGCTTATTTCTCTATTTGGCGTTGATTGGACAAAAAAAAGAGAAGAATTACGTCAAGAAATAATAAAAAATTTAAAAAGACCAATGACACCACTTGAATTAACAATGTGGCGATGTCCACGTGTTTGTTTTGTTTGTTTCAATTCAAAGCAAGAGGAATTAAAAAATTGTCCCAATTGTCCAGTGGCAAGTTTTTGTCAAAAACATCCAAATGATAAAATACATTCAAAAAATTGTTTAATAATGAATAATTATTTAAAATTTTTAACAAATGCCAATCAATTAAATATTGATTTACAATTTTTATCATCTGATTTTCCATTTATTGCTAATGAAAAGAAAAAAATTGGCGACATTGATCGACTTACTTATACATTTTTATTAAATGACACCGAGGCAAATAGTCAACAATCAATATTATTAAAAGCAAATTTATTCAAATTAACAGATATTGCATCGAAACTCAATTGTGCATTATTAAAAATCAATGAAACTATTCCCGAGGAAATAATTATTCATTTCGATGTAATTTCCTATAAACCAGAAATTATGGAAAATAATTATTGGGAATTTCTTCTACATCTCAATGAAAATATAAAAAAATTAACAATTATAATCACTGGCCATGAATATGAGACGTACATTATTGAGAGTCTTTGTGAAAAATGTGTGATGGAAAAAAAATTAAATATTGAATTTAAATCAATGTCATACGAAAAATATTTATTATCTCACGATTATAAAAAACCGAATATTTTATTTTACTCGCATCCCTTCGATGATGTTCTACAATTTAAAAAGTGGAAACAAATTAAATGTCCCATTCTTATGCCAATTGATTCAAAATTTGATTTATTAAATATTAATATTATTTATCAAGGACAAATTAATACACCTTTTAATAATACATCTTCATTTATAAAAAATGAGAATTTTGTAATTTTTACAACAACAAATAATAAAAGTGTGAAAGAAAAAATTTCATCATCTTTGATGTCAATTTCTAATATTACACTATCAGAATTTGAGGACAATAATTATTTCAATGTAAAGGAGGAGAAACAAAATTTTCAATTTGAATTTGAAAAAGAAAAAAATTTCAGTGAAAATGAATCTAAGGAAAATAATTCAGTCGAATTATATCAGAAAAAAAATTCAATTAAAAAATTAAAACAAGATTTTTCGTTTGAGAAAATTAAAAATATTGAAGAACAAAAAGTGAAATCTATATCACCATCATCGTCTGTATGTTCATTTATTGTTATTTCCGAACCTGGTGATAATGATGATTTTAATGAAGAAAAAATTCAAAATACAAAAGTAAAAATTGAAAATAAATCTTTATCAGAATCTCAAATTGAATTATTATCGAATTCAAATGAACAAAATTATTCACAATCATTTCTTGTTAAATATATTTCATATCTTAAAAATGAAAACGAAGGATTGAGACAACAATTAAATTCATCTGTTGAGGAAATAACAAAATTACAGGAAAAAGTTTTGGAATTTGAAAAAATTACTTCTCACTATAATAAAAAGAAGAAATTAATTAAAAAAATATCACTTCAAATTGCTGATATTATTGATAATGTAGATGACGATAATAATGATAATGATGAGAAAATTTTTTGAAATTTTATTAAGAATTAAAAAAATACGTTTAAAAAAAAAATTATTTTCATTAATTCAAGTCTTTTTTATATTGTAAACAAATTTGTTTAATTGCCTTTTTTATATTCGATTTCGATTTTATAATTTATAAAAAGAAACTTAGATTTTTTAATTTTCTTATATAAATATAAGAAATAAAATTTTTTAAACCAAATATGTAAAAAAAAACTATTTTTCAGGATATTCTTTTCATATTTTTGAATAACATAAATATAAATATTGTAAACCTTAAAAATTATATTTTATATTCGAATAAATGTAAAAAAAATAAACCATTTATTGTAATTTATTTTCTTTTATTCATCTTTGGGTGTCGTAGTTTTTTTAATTTTTAAAATTAAGAATTGAAATAAAAAATGTCAATAGACATTTGTCACAAATAAATAAAAATAATTTAAATTAAGTACTAAAATAACAGAAATTGACTAAAATATTTCTATTTAAAATTTCTTTGAAAGAAATTTAGTCAAATCTATATTTATATGATTTAAATATATAAATCTCAGGACACTTTTTTTTTTGCAAAAAATCTCTTGTGTTTTTTGGACTTACAGCCTTTTGTGCGATATTTACAATCAGCATTTGCTTGATTAAAATTTTTATACACATTATTGCTAATATATATATATTATATACATTTAGATATTAATAAAATTGGTTCTGATCAGGAAAAAAGTCAAGACCAAACATAAAAAATAATTATTTGAAAAAAAATAATAGTACCTTTTTTTCCAAAGATTTTCTCTCCTTATGAAAAATTCACACTTTTCTAGTAATTTACTAATTTTCTTCTTCGTCATTTTATTTTGACGATAAATGTCAATATTTGAATTTGTATCTAAATTGCACGTATTTCAATAATCTTGATCAAAATCACTTGTATCGTCGGCGTCAAGAATAATTGTATTTTGTTTATCGCGTGATATACTGTCTTGACTTAATGCTGGGACTTGTTTGGAAAATTCACTAGTTGCCCAAAGAAATAGATCAAGTGTTTGTTCAGTACATTCAGCGATAAATCTCACAAATGGTCTCACATCGCCTCCATTTGCTATTTGTAAATTTTCATAATATTCATGACGATGACGTTTGTGAATTATTACCGGTGGATAGCCAGCTTGCATTAAAATCATATTCATTAAAAGACGAGATGTTCTTCCATTGCCATCGGAAAATGGATGAATATGCACTAATTTGTAGTGAGCCAAAGCTGCGTATCTGGAGAAAAATAATTTTCCAATTTTTATTTTAATTATTTATTTATTTACATTATTGAAAACTATAAATAAAAAAATTTTTTCGAAAAATCACGAAATAAAAATAAAAACTAAATTAATAATAAATTAAAAAATCAACATTTAAAAAAGTTAATTAGAAAAATTATTTAAAATTATATTAATTTTTTCGTTATAATTTACTTCAACAAAATTAAAGTATATATTTTTTTTTTTACTGAGAAAAATATTCGATTTATTTATTTATTTTTTTTTTGAAAACGATTTTCAGATTTAAATTAAAATAATTTGGAAAGTAAAAATAAATTAATAACTTACCTAACGGGATGTAATCTAATAGCTTGCTCGCTATTTAACCAGGAAGCGAATTCCTCCATTAAATAATGAATATCCCCAGGTCCAGGTGGAATATGTCCACCAACATAAACCTGAGTACGTCTAAATTGTCCACCTTCAATAGGATCCACGTGACCCAATACTCGTCTATGAATTTCCAATATATCCTTTATTGATATTGATCCCACCCTAAAAAAAGGAAACAATTTTTACTGAAAAAATTCACCAATCTCTCTCTTTCTCTCTCTCTCTTTGCCAAAAAATTAATAAAATTTCCTTGAATAATAGAAATTGATTTTTGAAACAAAAATTTTATTTCAATACGAGCTTAAAAAAAAAAAAAAATTATTTCTCCAGTCACGTTACAGCTTAAAATTTAAAAATGTTTTTTGTTTTATTAAACAGAAATTTAATTTTTTTTCCCCCCAAAGAAAAATCAACGATTTTTCTGCAATACATTCTTATTTTTCTACATTAAAGACTAAAAAGTAAAAAATATTAAAATAATATTAAATATAAAATATACCTATAATGAAAATAAAAAAAAAGCACTGAAATAAAATTCATTAAACATCAATATTGCCATGTATACAAATTGTGAGACAACAAATATACAATAGAATAATTATGTGTATCTTTTTATAAAAATTCTGGATTAAAAAAAATTTAATTTTTAATATCGAGAATAAAAAATCAAAAAAAAATAAAATTTTTTTTCCAGAATTTTTTTTTTGAAGTCTTAAACTTTTTTGAAAGTACTGAATACACAATATTCATGTGCACGTATTCCTTGTCATAAAAATACTATTTTTCTATAATTAAAATTTTTATATTAACAAAAAAAAAAATTTTTTTCTCATATTTTTAAACAAGAATAAAATTTTCGAATGGACATATAAAAATTTAATAACTTTAAAATGACAAAAATTAATATTTTATTCAATTTAATAGATTAGATTAGATTTATTTTACACTTTCTAAGTTTTAAAATATAATTTTCCCCATCAATATCCCTTTTTGTTCAATTTAATAATTTATTTAATAACTTGAAAATGAAAAAAAATTTAATATTTATTCCTATTTAATAACTTTAAAATGACAAAAATTAATAATTGTTTAATTTAAAAATTTTATAATAACTTTATTTTAAAAAATAATATTTTCTTAAATTAATGATAAAAATTGTTTGTTTTTTTTTTTAAATTTATTTCTCAAATTGAAAACTTTTTGCTAATATAAAAAAAAAATTTATTAACGTTTTTATCAGTCGATTTTACGACAAGGAAATTAAACGTGTGCTGATTGTTGTGAAAAATGCTCACATTTGAAAAGTTCGATCACTTTCAGAGTAGCAGCAAGCTGTATTATACGCATTCCAGTCAGGAGCATTTGATCTAATTATTAATAAAAATATAGTTGAAAAAAAATAATTTACAAAACTTTAGAAAACTTTACTTTAAAAACAATATAAATAATAATAATAATAATAATAATAATAATAATAATAATAATTTCAAAATAATTAACTAAAAATAACAATACGAAATAAAGAAACTTATGAATACTAATAAAAAATAGAAAACAACAAATTATTGTAAAATTAAAATAACTATTATTAATTTATAAGATTTAAAAAAAAATGTAATGTTTTTAAATATTCTAAATTTTTGTTTTCGAAATCTTAAAATAATTAAAAATATAATTCTTTTTGAGTAAAACAAAAATAAATAAGTTAAAAATTATTATCATTTCATTCAAATTTTTACTTCCTCCTTTTTTTTAAATTTCATTATTTTAAAAGAAAATAAATAAAAAAAAAATTTGTTACAATTTGAGAAAATTTATTATTGTTTTATTTTTTGGTGGAAAAAGTAAGTTATTATTAAAAAAAAATAAAAATAATAAATAATTATAATTAATAATTTTGATTAATTGTATTAATTAATAATTTTAATGAATATTATTAATTAATAATTTTGATTAATTGTATTAATTAATAATTTTAATTAATAATTTATATTTCATTTGCGACAAAAAGCAAATTTTTATTTTTAAAATATAAAAAACCACAAATATTATTATTAATATAGAAGAAAATTTGCTTATTTAATTTTTGAATTCGACTTTAAAGAAAAATTTTACAAATTTAATAATTGTGAATTTTTTGCAGAATAAAAAAATTCTTTTAAAAATTGTTAAATAAAAAAATAAATAAAAACGTGTATAAAAAATAGCATTAATTAATAATTTTATTGAATACTATTAATTCTTTGTAATCAATTATATTAATAACAATATTATATTAATTAATTTTAGTATTATATTAATTAATTAATATAATTATTTATACTTAATATGCGATAAAATGCATATTTTTATTTTTAAAAATTAAAAAAACACAAAAATTTTTCTTATTAATATTTAAAGAAAGAAAGTTAATTTAATTTTTAAATTTGACTTTAAAGAAAAATCTTCTAAATTTTTTTCTTTCTTCTTCTTCTTTCTAATTTTCTTCTTCTTAAAAATATACATATTTAAACAAAAAAAATTTTCTAAATTAAAAAATAAAATTTACCTATTAACAAGTGTGGCATTAATATATTTCATTGCAGCATCAAGACCAAGAATTTCATTATGCTCATCGATACTTTTTCCAGCGACTGCCGTTCTTGTCTCAACAATTGCTCGCGTTTGTGCCAAATTCATTGTATTACCCTCAATTCCCACTGTATGATAGATATGTTGAAAATATGCTTCTTTTTTTGCTCTTATTAATGCCGCATCATTATCGGGTATTGCCGATAATGAATTTCGTTTCTCATCAATTCGCCTCAACATAATACGATCAAGTTCCTCAACAACTCTTGCCGTACGTTCACGATTTAACAATGCACTCTCATGATTTGGCTGATATGTTAATGCACGTACATAATATTCATTTGCCTTGACAATATCATTTTCTGTATATTCCAAAAATTCACCATAACGATTTAATATATCGGGATGCTCGGGTGCAAGTGCAACTGCATGTTGAAATAATTTTACTGCTTTTTTCTTTTTACCCGTGTGTTTCATTTCAAGTGCCAAATGAAGTGATGTAAGTGCCTCCGATACGGATGCTGCATTATTATGTGAATCCCATTTATCAATAATGAGATTGGGAGAATTTTTTTCTATTTCAATTATACCCTCCTCGTAGGTGTTGAGGAAATTTTCACCCGGAAGAGGTGAAAATATTTTTACACCGCCTGCAAAAAACAATTTTTGTTATTTAAAAAAAAAAGAAAAAATTTTTCCCCGAGGTAAATAAATATAACAAAAATATGGCAAAACAATTAAATTATTTTAAAATTTGTACGAAATTTTAAATTAAATTATTTTTCGAAACGTAAACTTTTAGAATATACTAGCAATATTAAACGCGCGCAAGCGCGCCAAATTGAGTATTTAATTGTTTGTTATAAAGAAATTAAAGATTAATATTATCAATAATAATTTTAATTTATTAGAATATTATTTCATATTAAATAATAATAATGAAAATTATTATTATATGTTATTAAATTATATATAAAATTGAATTATTTTCCAAATTTTCAATTTAAAATTCAATTATTTACCAAGTTTTCAATTTAAAATAAAATAAAATTCAATTATTTTTTAAAATTTCTATTCAAAATTAATTATCGAAATTTTCAATTAAAAATGAACTTAAATTAAATTATTATCCAAAATTTCAATTAAAATTTAATTATTTTCCAAAATTTCGAGTCAAAATTAATTATTATCAAAATTTTCAATCAGCAATCAACTAAAATTAATTATTTTCAAATTTTCAATCAACAATCAACTAAAATTAAATTATTTTCCAATTTTCAATTTAAAATTCAATTATTTACCAAGTTTTCAATTTAAAATAAAATAAAATTCAATTATTTTTTAAAATTTCTATTCAAAATTAATTATCGAAACAATGCCAAAAAAACATTGAAAAATTTTAACCAACACAAAATAAAGTCAAACAATACATTTAAAAAAACAAAAGACCTATAACAAATACTAACTTCAGGTGTGGACAGAATGAACGAAAGATATTCACGATTATTATATGTAATTTTTTTTTCAAAAAGTTTCGAAAAAAATCAATTTTTAGGTTAGGTTGCATTTTATCGGCTTTCTTCAAATTCGTGAGAAAAAACAATAATTAAAAATAGTATTTACTTTTTTCCATACTTAAATTCCAAAGTTAATTGAAAGTTTTTATTTATTTAATAATAAAATAATAATAGAAAAAAAAATTAGTTACATACCTGTAAAATCGTATGTCTCACAAAAATAACGATGCAAAAGTGTACCAATAAATGCGGCAATAATACCGGAGAAAAAAACTAATAGAACAATTATTTTATTTGGAACCATATCGAACTTTTGTTTTGAAGTTTTTTTCTTACACGTATTATTATTCGAGATGATGAAAAATTTGAGAAAATTTAAATGACATTCTTTGAGACATGATGAAATCATTTTTCACTATCACTCTCATAAGTCTTATTGTTTTATTAAATAAATAAACTTTATTATAAAGACGATTTAATAACATTGCAAAACGTAACCTCCAAGTGGCATCACACAATCGTGACATCCGTATTCACTGTTATATAGATATATATATATATACAAACAAATGACAGAAAAAAAAACCTAACGTCAGCTGATACTTATATTAAATTTTCAATGTATTTGTGAAATGTTTATCAATGAATTTAAACTACTAATAACTATTATTGTATATACGTATAGAAAGAATTTTGTAAATGTTGGTAAATGCATGTGGTCGTTTCTTATTGGGGGGACTGACAGTGTTGCCAGCATTTGGGGAAAAAGTTTCCTAGAACATTGAATTTGATTGGATTTGTTGTCGGACAATTTCTGAAAATTTACCAATTAAACTATAAGCTACATTGGAAATTAATTTATCAAATCATAATTGGCCCAAATAGCGCGCGCCTGTTTGAAATAAATTATAAAATATTTTAAATAATTATAAAATAAAATAATTTAAATAGAATTTTTTAAATTTTTATTTTTTTTTTATTTTTAAATAATTATAAAATAAAATAGTTTAAATAGAATTTGATTCTAATTAAAAATAAATTACATTTACATACAATAAATTATATTTTAATATTATTGTAATAATTAATAAAATATGAAATAAAATTAATATTTCTAAATATTGTAAATGAAAATTTATATAAAAATATAAAAATAAAGAAATTTGGATCAAGTAATTAAACAAGAACTGTTAGCAAAATGTAAATAAATAAAATAATATAATTTTTTAAAACTTAAAATATTTTTTTATTTAATTATTTTATAAAAATTAAAAAAATTTAATTAAAAATTAAAATTAAAAATTTAATATATTATTAATAAATAATTATTAATTATCATTAATAAAATTATTATTTTGAAAAAATATTGTTTCATTTAAAAAAAAATACTGTAAAATTTTTTTTTTTTCGAAAAAAATACTAATTAAAATTTGTTTGGAATTATAAATTTTAATTTAATTTATTCATATATTATACTTGATACGTCACACGAGGCGATAGTTCAGTCGCGTTAGAATTTCAACAGTGAATGCGAGATAAGAAAGTTGTTATGTGAGAGTTGAAGTAAATATAATATAGTGAAAAAATATGGCTTCTAAATTAATTCTAAAAAAGATTCAATTTTCTATTCTTTCTCGTCATGTAAGTTTGTAATTTAAAAATTATTTTCATAAACAAAAATTTTTTTACAAATTTAAATTTAATATTAAAAAAACATATTTTTCTTTTTGTTTTGCTGTTTTAATAATAAATATATTGTTTCAGATAAAGAAGTTGAGTACAATATCAACAGAACCACAATTTTTAGGAATACAAAGTAAATTTACAAATGTTTTAAAATTCACAAATGCCCAAAGTTATGAGCCAATTCCAATTTATAGAATTTTACAACCACCTGGACAAAATGAGGATAAAAATTATTTGGTATAAAATTATAATAATTTTTATAATTTTTCTATTTTTAAATATTTATGAGAATAAAAAGAAATTATTAAAAAAAAATAAAACGAGAAAAATTAGATTTTTTTTTAAATTTTCATTAACAATTTTAATTTACATTTTAAAATAATTATATTTATAATTTTTTTGTATTATTTATTTTTATATTTTATTTTATAATTATAAATTTATATTTAAATATTATAAATTTAAAAAAAAAATATTAAATTTTGTATATATTATAATAAATAAAAAATTTACATAATTTATTATAATATAAATTAATATAATTAATATTTATTATAAAAATACATTTATTATTATTATTTTCTTTTATTCTTTTTTTAATGCTAGATTTAGATTTTGTTTATTTATTGCAAAGAAAAATTTATTTATTATTTTAGTTGGATAATGAAACTTTGAGGAAAATGTATGTTAATATGATAACAATTGGAATAATGGATAAAATTCTTTACGAATCACAACGTCAGGGTAGAATTTCATTTTATATGACAAATTCCGGTGAAGAAGCTGTACAAACTGGATCGGCTGCTGCCTTAACTTTACAAGATGTTGTTTACGCACAATATAGAGAAGCTGGTAAGAGAGAAGGGCCGTGGAATTTAAATTACATTCAATTACTTCTTTTTTTTTTCTTAAATAAAAATTAATTCAAAAAGAAAAGAGAAAAATTGAAAAAAAGAAAGAGAAATTAGAAAAAATAAAGAGAAATTGTTTAAAACCAAAAACTATTTTTTTAAAATTAAAATTAAAAATTTTTTCCTTGAGAAATTAATATTTTTTAAATGAAAAAAAAACAAATTAAATAATAAAAATTTTCAAAATTAGATGAAATTAAACTTCCAACTAAAAATATAGATAGAAATTATAATTTTAAAAAAAAATTGCAGGTGTCTTGCTTTATAGAGGTTTTGAAATTTCCGAATTTATAAATCAATGTTATGGAAATTATTTGGATAAAGGAAAAGGAAAACAAATGCCAGTTCATTATGGTTCGAAAGAATTGAATTTTGTCACAATTTCTTCACCATTGACAACACAACTTCCACAGGGTAAAGTATTTTGCATTATTATTGAATTTAATTAATATTTATTTAATTAATTATTTAATTAATTTATTTAATTTAATTAATTAATATAATTTTTTTTTCCGAGGATGATAGAAATTTTGAATTTAACAAAAATTATTTATGTAAAAAAAAATTGTAAATTAATTTTTTTTTTACTTCCATAACTAATAAATTTCAATACTTTGGGGAAAAAAATTAATCAAATTAGTTTTCAATAAATTATAAATTTTTATTAATTAATTTTTAGTATTTTTTTCCCTTGAATTTAATTACCTATAGAATTAAAAATACTTTTATTAATTCTAAATCTACAAAATTGAATTTTTTAAATTTTTGTTGAAAATCACTTTAATTTATTTAGCGAAATACATTTTAATTTTTTTTTTCTTTTTAATTTTAGATTTTATTTTTCTCTTTTGTGTATTTATTCCAAAGTTTTAAAAAATTAATTTAATTTTTATTTTATTGAAAAAAAATTTAATTCGATTTTAATTTAAATATTTGTTTTTATAATGAAAAAATTAATTCAAACAGCCGTTGGAGCCGCTTACGCTTTAAAAAGATCGAAAGAAAAAGCTTGTGTAATTTGTTATTTCGGCGATGGTGCTGCGAGTGAGGGAGATGCTCATGCGGCATTAAATTTCGCTGCAACTCTCGATTGTCCTATTATTTTTTTCTGGTGTGTATATTTTTTTTGAATTTTCAAAAAAAAAACACAATTCTAAAATTCTTTCAATCCAATGAAAATATTTAAAAAAATATTAAATTTGTAAAAATAAAAAATAGAACAAAATTTTGAAAATTCGGGTACTTAAAAAAAATTAAAGGAATAAAGTGTTAAAAACAAAAATTGTAATAATTAAAATTTTAGTCGTAATAATGGATATGCAATTTCTACGCCAACTTCGGAACAATATAAAGGTGACGGTATTGCAGCAAGAGGTCCGTCCTATGGGATTAATACTCTTCGAGTTGATGGAAATGATGTTTTAGCTGTTCATCGTGCAACAAAATATGCCCGAGATTTTTGCATTGATAATTCAAAACCCGTTTTAATAGAAGCAATGACATATCGGTTTGTTTTTTTTATTATTTATTTTCCACAATTTCTGTATTTTATTTCAATTTTTATCATTTTTTTTCAATTTTTGTAATTATTTTCAATATTTCTAAATCAATTATTTTCAATTTCTTTGCAAATATATTAAAAATATGCAGTTCATAATTAAAAAAAGATAGAAAAATTGAAAGAAAAAAAAAATTTATATTAAAATTGTAAAATAAAAATTAATAACGTGGAAAAAAATTAATTGAAATAATATTATCGTAGAATAGGACATCACAGTACTTCGGACGATAGTACAGCTTATAGATCAGCAAATGAAATTGCCCAATGGAATGCTTATGCGCCAACAATGAAATTTCGTCATTATTTGGAAAATTTGGGAATTTGGAATGAAGAAGAAGAGGCGAATTTAATAAAATCAAAACGAAATGAAACACTTTCAGTTTTTTCTGAAGCTGAAAAAAAGCCAAAACCATCGTGGAAGGAACTTTTTACCGATGTTTATCACGATATGCCTTCTCACATTAGGTAAACAAAAATCGAATAAAAGAAATTAAACTTTCATCATTTTGAAAATTAATTTTTTTTTGTACCTCTATTTGGTATTATTGATTTTTTTAAAATTACTTTTAATTAAAATTAAAATTTAAAAAATAATTGTGTTATTTAATTTTAGTAGAAAAATTTTATTACCTCGGTTTTTCTTTTTTTTTCAGGGAACAAATGGAGTCACTCGAAAGTCATCTGAAGGAATATGGAGAACATTATCCATTAAATTCGTTTAAAGAATTGAAATAGGATTTTTTTCACCTTTGTAATTCAATATAATTTCTATATATATATATATATATATATTCAAATGTTTATTATTTCTAAATTCTCCACTTGTAGAAATGTCTTGAAATAAATTTTATTTTTTTTCTAATGTTGCGGTTTCTTTTTTATTTATTTATTTATTTTTTTTTTGGATTTTTCTTTTTATTAATAATAGATATTAAAATTTGATTTTTAAGAACAAGTCCAATTTTAACTAACGCCATCACTGGGAGAAGAATTGTTTTCCATATCTTTTGCGATCTCTTTATATTTTTTATATCGATATTCCTTTTTTGCTGCATCAAGTAAAACATTGTGTATCATATTTTTGGTATTTGGATTTTCAATTTCTAAACTCGGATAAATATTGCCTGCAAAAAAAAAAAAGGCAATAATTATTAAATTTGAAATAAATTGAAAATTAAAATTAATTAAAAATTCAGAAAAATCAAAAAAAAAAAAATATATTATTTATAAAATAAAATTATTGGAAAATTTAAATTATTTAATAACTTTAAAAAATTATTCTCATTATGAAATTACCTTTAAGTTCGAGAACTGATCTTTGAAAATAATGTCCAGGACATTCTCTAGGTACCATGTAAAAGCTTGTAAATGAATCGGTGTAATTTTCGTATCTCGGAACGAGAACTTTAAAAAGTTTATGAACAAGTTGTTTCTCGAGAATATAAAAATCGGCAAATTCCATAGTTTCCTTATCGTGTGGTCCATTTTTACGTGCTTTATCAATTAACTATTCATAAATAAGAGGAGGGGAAAAAATTAATAGAAATTAACGCAAAAAATGGAAATAAAAACATTTTTTTAAAAAATTTGACAAAGTGATTTTTATATTTAAAACAGCATTTTTTTAAATTTATGTATTAATTATAAATAAAATTACAGTAAACAATATAGTATATATAATTTATAAACAAAAAAGAAAAAGGAAAAACTACTTACGAGTTCAACATAACCTCTTGTCTCATCGGCTCTGTTGAAATTTAATTCAATACGTTCATATTTAAATAAAGCTGTTAATGTCTTTTGTATTTTACGTATTCTACCAGCGGGTCCATCTGGATTACTTAATTTTCTATGTTTATCACCACCAACTTTAAATTTTAATTTAGGAAATAAATGTTTTACTTCTGCTTGTCGTGCCATGTTTTCAACTAAAAAGTTTGTCGTCTGCTTCTGAAACTACTCACAAAAATACAAAAATAAAAATTTACCCCCATATTGATTTCAATCCACTTTATAAATGTAACTTTTTATCAAAAAAATTCAAAATTGATTTTAATTATTTAATAACTGTATTTTTTACTACAACAATAAAAATAAAACAAATCTAAAGCTTAAAAAAAAAGTGTAAAGTCTTTGCTTTCCGGTAGCTTCCCTTGTAATTTTGTGTAACGTTTTAAATTATTTAAATTATTAATTGTTTTAAATTCTTATTAATTTTTGATTATTAAATTAATTTGATTACAAATTAATTTTCAACTTAACCAAAAACCAATTCTTGCAATTTTGAAATAAGCGCCACAATTAATAGCGCAAAATCGATTTTTACTCGCGGAATATTTCGATTATTCCACTGTAACCGCTCGTTTATTGGATAGTTGTTGGTTTTTTCATCTCCAAAATGGGAAATTGAAATAATAATAATAATAATAAAAAAAAAAGTGACAGTGACAGTTCTTTCAAGGGAGAGGCTTTGTTCATTATTACGTGAAATTGTCGTTTTTCTTTTTTATATCATATAAATACGCAATGAATTAATTTCTCCCTAGAATAGTCGAGAACACAATAAACGAAAAAAAATCTCAAGAGGATTTTTTTTTTTGTGTTTTCATCATTATATTATTAAAATAAATAAATAAAATCGCAATCATGGAGGACGATCTGCCAACTGAATACGATGTGATTGTCGTTGGAACAGGTATTGATTTTTATCAATGAAAGAATATTTATATTTTATTTATTAATATCGTAAGAGAAAAAATAGAATGATTATACATTTTTCAAAGTATTTTTCAATAATTGTATTTTTTTTTTTTTTTGTTTTCTGTTAATTGTTGATAATTATTTTAAATATAATATTAGGTATGACTGAGTCGATCGTTGCCGCAGCTGCCAGTAGAATTGGCAAAAAAGTCCTCCACCTGGACAGGTAATTAAAAAATTACTTTTTTTCTTTATTATTTTCGTAAATGGGATTTTTATTTAGAAATTTTTATTTTTTTTAATTTTGTAGAAAAAAAAAAATATTTTAGACGAAAATTATTTATATTTTTTTAATATAGAAAGAGTTGTGTGTATGTAATTTTTATGAGTTTGTCGGCATAGCGACAAGACAATGGAGGTTGAAAATTAGGGTGGAGGGTGTTTCGAATTTTTTTCAACTTTGCTTACGTGTCTAGAATATTATTTGGATTTTTTTTTCATCTACAAAAATTTTTTTTTAATACTTATTTTGTCGATTTTTTATTTTCTGTTTTGATATTTTTTTTTGAATTGATTATTTAATAATTTTAGGTCAAATTTTAATATTTCATTTTTTATTATTTAAAATTATTTTAAATTATTTTAAATTATTTTTTTAATAATATTTTTCTTTATTTATCGTAATTAATTAAATTTATCGTAATCTTTTTTCTTTAAATTTTTTTCGATTTTGAGAATTCAATTTATCTTGTTTTTACTTTTCAGTTATTTTTTGTCCCATTTAATAATTAATAAATTTTATTAATTAGCAGTTTTTCTTCTAGTTTCTATTTTTTCATTTTGTAAAACTAAATGTTTTTTTAATTTCTCTATTTTTTTTTTCCTTTTTTTAGAGATAAAAATATTTCTTTAATTTCTATATGAGCAGTAAAATGAATATTATTAAATATTCATTATGAAAATTAATGAATTATAAATATATCTAAAATTGGTAGAATTTTCATTTGAACGAATTTCATTACTTAGAAATATTATTTAATGATATTAAATTTTAATAAATTGTAATTTATCGACACTTTTGTTGATAAAATTTTTCTCTTTCAATTTATAGTAATTTCTTATTTTATCGTTTCCATTTTAGTAATGAATATTACGGTGGTTTGTGGGCGACCTTTAATTTTGATGGTCTTCAAAAATGGATTGATGATTTGAAAGAAAATAAAATCGAAAACAAAGAGAGCGAACCAAATGTTGAGGGTGGAGAAAATTTTTTAAAAGCCAGTAATCAATATTCAACGGTTGAAAATATTGAAGAAACTTGGTATATTGTCAAGTAAGTGTTAGAATATATTAATTTATTAATAATTTATATTAATTATTTCTTAATTATTTATATTAATTATTTCTTAATTATTTATATTAATTATTTCTTAATTATTTATATTAATTATTATTTATTAGTTTTCTATTTATTAATTCTTTTTCTTTATTTTGTTAATTCAATACTAAAAATTTTTTAAATATTTTCAATTTAGTTTCTAAATTAATTTTTTATTTAAATTGAATTTATAAATTTTTTTTTTCCAAATTTAAAATCTTTAATTGATTAATTTGAAATTTACAAAGAAATAAATGAGAAAATAAATTTAATTTTTTAATTAAATTAAATTTATTAATCGTTTTTTGTAATTTTCTTTGTTAATTAAATTTATTGTTCATTTTTCATAATTTTCATTGTAAATTAAATTTATTAATCATTTTTTGCAAAATTTCTTTTGTAAATTAAATTTATTATAATTATTTTTTGCAATTTTCTTTCTAAGTTAATTTTTTTTTTTTGTAGTTAAATTAATTTAATTTTTAAAGAAAAATTAATAATTTTGTAAAATTCTTCGAATTAATAGTGATGCGGATCTTCCGGAAAGATCATCGAAAGATACACAAACTGATGGTTCCGGTGAACATTCCGCGGAAGGCGATGAAAAATGCGACGAGGATAAAGTCGAGAAAAAGGAAATTGTCAAACACTGGAGCACGGATAGAATAAAAAAAGAATATCGTAGATTTAACATTGATTTGGCACCAAAGGTATTTATAATTTTCTTTTCAGTTATTATTAATTAAAATTTTAATTTTTGTTTTATTTATTTTTTTACTTCAATATAATTACTATTTCTATTTTTAAATGTATTATTTATTATTTTATTATTAGGTATTACATTATTTCAATATTTTGCTTTTATTTAATTTTTCCATTTTTTTTCTGTTTTCTTATTTATTTTTTTTTTTATATAAACAAAAATTTGTTTTTTATGTTTGAAATTAAAAATTAAGAGTAACAAAAAATTGATTTTAATTCCAGTTACTTTACGCACGTGGTGAACTTGTGGAATTATTAATATCGAGTAATATTGCTCGATATGCGGAATTTCGAGCAGTTTCACGTGTCGCGACATTTATGGAAGGAAAACTCGTTCAGGTACCATGTTCGCGAGCCGATGTATTTGCAAATAAAACCGTGAGCGTCATTGAAAAACGTATGTTAATGCAATTATTAACGTCCTGCATGGAACAAGGAGCCGAAAGTCCCGAATTTGACGGTAAGAAAATTCTACAATTTTTCTTTGGCAAATATTTTTTGATTTATTAATCAGTAAATATTTAATTGTCAATTTAATTTAAAATAATAATTTTTATTAATTAATATTATTAGTAGAAAAATTGATAGATTCCTACTAATAATATTAAAAAAAAACTGATATTAGTATTTTTTTATAATTTAATTTAAAAATTAATTTTTCATTGTCAATTTTAACAGTGAAATTTTACGTGTATTTTTTAAAAGAATTTTTAATTTTTTGTATTGTATGTGTCATATCGGAGATTATGCAAAAGACGATTAATATTCACCGCTCGTTTGCAAAAGAAATCCTATATGGAAAACAAAATGTAAAACCTATATACAATATTTAAAAATAAATAGAGGTTCTCATTTTCTTCTTTTCTGTTTAATGTAAGAAAAAAAATTTTCTTTTTTTTTCACAGGATATCGTGATAAAACATTTATAGAATATCTCAATACAAAAAATTTAACGCCAATTGTTAAACATTATGTAATGCAAGCAATTGCAATGGCAACCGATAAAACATCGTGCAGAGACGGCGTTATTCGTACAAAACATTTTCTCAATAGTCTCGGCAGATATGGAAATACACCATTTTTATGGCCAATGTATGGAAGCGGTGAACTTCCACAATGTTTTTGCAGGTGAAGAATCAATTTTTTTTTTTTTGATTAATTGTCCTAAATTTTTTTTCGAATTTATTATTCATTATTAAGGAAGTCAAAAATAATTTTTTTTATTTGCAAAATTATAAATTGATAATAAAAATAATTATTTTTTGTAGATTGTGCGCAGTTTTTGGCGGTGTTTATTGTTTAAAAAGACAATTGGACGGTCTTGTTGTCAATGAGGATAAATGTAAAGCAATAATAACGGGAAAACAACGACTTGCACTTGAACATTTAGTTGTTGGACAGGGACATTTACCACCGGAAATTGTTGCCTCTTGTGGTGATCAACAAATTTCACGTGGTATTTTTATCACTGACAAATCAATAATGCAAGGCGATAAGGAAAATTTAACATTACTTTATTATCCACCGGAGGAAAAGGAACAAGAAGCTGTGACATTAATTGAATTAGGACCATCGACAAATGCCTGTCCTCAAGGACTTTGTAAGTGTTTTTTTTTTTCTTTTTAATCGTTTCTAATATAAATAATATAATTTATTTACTTGGAATTTATTTATATAATAATAATATAAAATAATAATAATTTCCAATAATGATTGTGTAAAACTTTTTTAAAAGTTTGATCACCATTTTTTGTCTCTTTCTTTTTTTAAAAACCAAATTTATTATTCCAGTCATGCTGCACATGACTTGCAAGCGAACGAAGACGGCAAAAGAGGACCTCGAATATGTTGTCAAGAAGTTCCTTAATGTTGGTGCCGTTGAACCTTATGTTAGCCGCAGTCCCACGGATTCACACACACAAACCGTTTCTCCTGATAAGCAACATCTTCCGGTAATTATTATTATTATTTTCTATGAAAAAAGATTACTTATTGTTCATTGAATTTCTTCGTAATATTTTTTTAATTATATTTATATATATTCTTTAAAATATAATTGAATTTCCAAATAAAATTAAATTTTAATACCAAAGTTGAAATTTTTCAATAATTATTGGATTTTAAGATAATTTCTATTTATGTTAAATTTTTTTTAATAAACGAAATTTCGGAAACGATGCAAAATAACTAAATAGTAAAATTAATTCATCACATTTTTTTTTTTTTTAGGAAGGAGAAAAAGAAGCGAAAGACGTTGAAGATTTGAAACCTCATACATTGTGGTCACTTTATTTAAATTTACCAGCATCAGATATAAAATTAAGTAATTCTGCTCCGAGCAACGTTCACTTTTGTTCGGGACCCGATTTGGATCTGGATTTCGATTTTGCAGTCAATCAAGTAAAATTTATTAATAATCAATTTTTCTTCGTTTTTTGTAATTTAAAAAAAAATAATACTAATTTCTCATCTTTTGGATGTTTATTTATTTATTTATTTATTTTAGTGTTTTATTTGTAATGATTTTTGCTTTTTTTGCAGGCAAAGGAAATTTTCAAAGCAATGTATCCAAGCGAAGATTTTCTCCCACGCGCTCCTGATCCAGAGGAAATTGTCCTCGAAGGCGATGAGACACCAGGTCCAAAATTCGAAGGCGACGAGAAACAAGACGTTGAAAAAGCGGAAAAAGAAGAATAAATTTCGCGCATTTTTTTTTTTAATAATGGCTTGAATTTTTGAATAAGAAATAATGTGAAAAAAAACACGTAAAACTTTCTCGTGCTAAGAAAGACAGTCGTTATGCTCGAATTTTTTTTTTTCTTTAAAAGTTTTATTCTAAAAGAAAAAACGTTCCGACTAAAAAAAAAAATGCTTTTCGACTTACTCGATAGTTCAACGATGATACTTCTTATAATCTTAAAACTACTATAGATGTACTGTCATTATTGTTATTTTTTTTTCTTTTTATTCCTATTTTTAATTATTTTACTATTTTTAAAAATAATTATTGTTTTTATTATAATATTATTACTAGAATTATAATTATTTTATTATTATAATTTTTTTTTACTATTTTAAATAGCTCATCACAGACTGAAAAAAAAAACAGTAATGAATGTGAAAAGCGTTTCAGAAGCTATAAAAAAAAGTAACATATCTGTGATTGCTTGAAAATGTATTTTTTGGTTACTTTTTTTCTCTCTTTTTTTTATTAGTTTTTATAGCCGAAAAACTCGAAACACAAGTATAGAAATTAATAAAAAAAAAAAAAAAAATTACTGTACATTATTTTTTTGGTGATTTTCAAATTATTTTGAAAAAGAAATATTCCTTTTTTTAAGCACAAATGCTTTTGAAATTTTTTTTTGAATCACTCAGCAAAAAAGAAAAAAACAAAAAAAAAGTTGTATGTTGAATAATATAATACAATATATATTTGTAAATGAAAAAAAAAACAATCATTTTCTCGAAGCTCGATTCTTAAATTTTAAATTTATTTAAAAATGTGATGCTTCAAAAAAAAAAAATGGATTTTCATTTTTTTTTTTCTTTTTTTTCGTTTTGTAAGTGATGAAGTGTTATTTTGACGTTTCGCACGCTAGCATGTTTATAAATAAAATTTCGAAAAAAAAACGAAATCATTTTTGTACCTTTTCTTTACCTTGAAAAAAATATAATTTTTAATTTTTTTAGTCTGTAAATTAAAAAAATTTTAACTGTTTTAAAAAAAGGATTCCTTAAATTCAGTTACTTAAAAAATCAAAATTTTTATTTTAAATACAATTATTGAGAAATTTTTAATTATTACTAAAAGAAAGTAATAAAAATAAATTTTCCAATTGTTTATTTTTAAATTTATTTAAAAATCAATTCTATTACTTTTCTTAATCAATTATATGAAAATTTCAAATTATTTCTATAAATTTAAACTTTAATTAATATATTACAATTATTTTGCAATTTTTAATTATTTTTAATGTCATTAAAAAAAAAAATATCTCATTTACAAAAAAGAAATTAAGTTTTCTTTTTTTAATACAATTATTTATTTCCTTAATTAATTTTCAATTTAAAATAATTAATGGTAAAAACACAACCCTATTATTTATTTGAATAAAATTTCCGTTTTAGTATATTTATAATTAAATTATTTATTTATAATAATTATTAAATTATTTATTTATAATAATTATTAAATTATTTATTTATGATTACTATTAATTTAATTATTATTTAGTAAAAAAAAAGTCAATAATTTTAACATAAAAATAATTCATTATAACTTGTTGTTAAAAATGAATATAAAATTTATTTAAAAAATTTTATTTTTCAAAAAAAAGAAACATTTAAAATTTCTTTCAATATTAAAAACTTAACTATTTAAATTTAACTTTCGACGGTTTTATTTTTTATTACCAAAAAAAGTAGTACTTTTTATTTCCCAAAAGAAATGTATTTTTTATTTAAAAAAAAAATGTATTTTTTATTTCTAAAGTAATTTACCATTTTTTTTTCGTGTAAATAAAAATTTTAATTTTCTAAATGCTAAAAAAACTGTGTGTTTATAATATTTACAATTAGAAGAAAATTTTCTAAAATCACTGTCGAAAGATAGATATATATATATATATTTTTTTAAAATCACTAAAAATATGTACAAAGAAAACAAATCACTCCCTTTTTTTTTCTTTTGTCTCTTGTTTTTGTTTTTTATACATAATAATAATAATAAATTTATACTGTAATAATATACAAATTAAATTAATTTTAATCAATCTTTTTTAACATTTTTTCCTTCCTCTGATAAATATTTAATTTCCGCCATTGTAACAACGCGACAAATTTCCATTTTTATCTCAGCTTGAATATGCGTTGGTAAATTGAGAACAGTTTTTGCCATACTTTCAAAAAATAATTCCACACTATTTTTTGGTGTATTACGCAATTTTACTTTACCATTTTGTAATTCATTTGATGATAATGTTGTTGTTGATAATAAATTATTATTATCCTTATTGCCAACAATACCAGCGCCATTTGTCATCATTTTTGATAATGTTATCCCTCTATTATTAACAATTGAATTCGCTGAAACATATGTTTCGTGTCCTTTTTCTTTTTTTATCACCGCTGATGTCGATGATGATGATGATGACGATGGCGCAGTGACAATAAATCCTGGCGTTGTATTAAAATTCACAATTGGCGTTAAATTTTGTAATTTATTTGTTGTTGTTCGCGTGACGGAATTTAATTGTGAACTTGGTTTTGGTCTTATTGGTCGATATTTAGGACGTAATTTTAATTCATTTGGTGTTATTTTATTTTCAAATGTAATTGATTTTGTTTCTTTCGAGCGTTGTCGTTTTTTTTGTGTATATTTATTTGTATCAATTATTGTAACTGGCGTTGTTGTTGTTGTTGTTGTTTGATGACATTCATCATCGGCTTCCTGTATTATTTCCATGTCCATATCGAGATATTCAATTGTACCTTCGTCAACTTGATCATCGTGTGTGACAAATTTTTCATAACCATCAATACCTTCCTCACATGTTTCTTCGTCGCCTGTCAAATTTTCCTCCATTTCCTCAATTTTATTTTTATACATTACAGAAATTTTTTTTCCGAATTTCGTCTGTAAAATGAAAATTGTTTCTTTTTTTTCAACGTGAATAAACTATTTTTTATTTTCATTTTTTTTTCAAAATATTTGTATAATAATAATTAGCAAACAAAAATATTCGGAATAATTATATATATATTATTGTTTTTTATTGATTAAAAACGAAAATTTTTGAGGTTATGTTGATATGAAACTGACATTTGCGAAAATAGAGAAACTAGTATAGATAACAGTCAAAAGAAAATAAAATGTGTAAAAAAAATGTCAAAAAAAAAGAGAGAATTCATATAGAAAAAGAGTATTTATTTACCTTTTTTTGTATTACTGATATAGCAAAATTGTAATTATAAATAATGCAAGAGTATCAAAAATTAATAACACAATAATGCACTCCCTTTGGGTCGTCGATTTTTTACAGTCGGCATTTCTTTTTCGATTAAATTTGTTGAAAACTTATATATTCTTTTTTTTTTGCGCAATAATATTTCTTTTTTTATAGTAAAAAGAAAAACAAGCTTCAACTTTTGCTAAACCATAAACTAATGGCTGTTGTGATATATATGGCAATTGTTATTTGTACGTGAAAAGACAACTCTAGTCAATTGACAGGTATTACAGCAGTTTATTTTATTTCACAATTGTTTTATTTATATATATATATATATATATATATATATATACAATTTTTCAAGGAAATAAATTAAAATTATGTTAAATATCGGACTTGTTATTCTAAAATTTTGTTTGAAATATTATAAAAAGCTTTTTCGAAAAATTTTGATTATTCTTTTGACTTAGTTTTGTTTTCAAAATGCCGGAACCGCCATGTTTTAAAAACAAAAAAAAAACACTATATTATTAATTAAAATTTAAAATAAATTGTAAAATTAGTAAATAATTAGTTTATTGAAATAAAAAAATTTTTCTACTTTAAAATTTTAGGTTATGTTATATCTGTAGAAATTGTTCCTAGTTTTTTCTATTGAAAAAATCAGTATTTTTTTTGTAATTTTAATGGTTCGAAAAAAAATGTAAATAAATCTGTTTATGTTTGAAAATAAATAAATTATTTTTATTATTATAAAACTTGCATATTTAGTATTTTTGTTAATAAAATTTTTAGTTTTATCAATTTTAAAAATAATTTTTTTTTTAATTTTTACATTTTGAATTTTTGCAAGTACGTTAACACTGTATAAATTATTTTATATAAAAACTTTTTTTTTAAACTATGAAATTTTGAGAAAAATCTCAAAAGGCGTGAAAAAAATTTTATTTTCCCCTTTTTGAAGGATAGAAATTTTATTTTTTTTGTTACATATTTTAACATTATATTATGCTTTTTTCAAAATACAATCATCGCTTCTATAAATAATAATAGATTCATTTGATCAGAAAATTAATTAATAAATAAATATCATTTATAACAATAGAGTCAATAAATGAAAAATAAGAAAAAATAGTAATTTATTGCAAAAAAAAAAAAAAAATTAATTCTGTCCCAAAATTCTGTACATATTCACAAAGAAAAAAAAAAGGAAAAAAAAAATTTATTCAATTTTTCTGTTTATCAATCATACTACAAGGTATAAGTACCAATTTTGGTAGACTTGAATTTTTCGAAATTTCCCTTTTATTTGTTGTTGATGAATTTTTTGTAAATCTCGATTCGGCATTTGTGACAATTCGTGAAATATCCATTTTAATGTCAGCTTGTGCTTGTGTAGGTAATTTTTTTACAGTTTGTGCCATACTATCGAAAAATAATTCCAAACTACTTTTCATTAATTTCTCATCATTAATTTCCTCATTGAGTTTTGAATTATTATTATTATTATTATTATTACTATTTTTATTACTAATATTATTATTACTTTTTGTAATAATTTTAGTTTTGGGATTTGTAATAAAAATTTGTTTTCGATTATTTAAATTTTTTGTTTGATGAAAATTTTTACTATTTTGAATATTTAATGTTTTTTCATTATTTAAATGTGAATTAAGAATATTATTAAAAGTATTGATATCGAGTGATTCGTCGTGATTTTTCGGTCGTATTTTACGATATTTCGATTCAATTTCCAATGCTGATGTTGTGATATTTAATTTTTTTTGAGGTGGTTCATTGGATTCGATGAAATTTTTTGTTTTATTAATTTTTGTAGTTGTTAATATTGGATCGTCTGTTGTTTCTTCTAATTCCAAATATTCACTGTAATCCTCGTCATTACGATCCTCGAGTTGTTCGAGAAGATCGTCGGAACTTAATCCACCGTCATTTATTTCCTTCACATATTCCTCGGACAGAACAACGCATTGCGGTTCATAATCTACTTCATAACTGAGGAAAAACAAAAAAAAAAAAATTATTACAATATTTGAAAATTTTCATTAAAAGAAATAGTTTTAAAAAAATCGATTTTTTCCCCATAAATTTTTACATTTTCACATACAAAAGAAATAACATTTTTTTAATTTAAAATCATACAATAGTAAAAATTCCAAAAAAGGAAACTTAATTTTAATATTTACAAAATTTGAAATTCTAAAAAAAAAGAAATATTAATTTGAATAAAAATTACATTTGAAAATCAAAGCAAAATTAAAAAAATACTTCGTTTTTTAAAGATGTAACAAAAATAATAAATTTGAAAAGTAAAATTAAATATTTTCAATTCTTACGGGAATTTGAGAAAATTCAAATGATCTTCAAAAATCCATTTTTTCCGACGTACTCCTTTTTCCGTTTTATTTTTGTATTTTAAAATTCGACAATACGTATCACGTAGATTTTTCCACCTTAATTTCACCCAAGTAGCTGTCATTAAAAGAATTATTTTAATTAATTAAAGGTTTAAAATTTAAATAATTTTCAAAAATTCAATTATTTTTTTTTGTAAATATTTCTCCGAAAATTCAAATTTTTTTTATGATTTTTAAAACTTATTTGCTTTTTTGTATATTATAATGTTATAAAATTAAATTATTTTTATTAATTTTCAAAAACAATGCAAGTGTGAATTTGACGAGCGAAAAAATTTATTTATTATTTTATTTATATGAACAATTTCTTTTTTTATATTTTTGCATTAAAAAAAAATTATAAAAAACAAAAATTCGTACTTACGATCAAGACCCAATTCATCGGAAATTCGTTTCCAAACTTTTTGCCGAAATTCTTGAAGTTTAAGAATGCTACTTTTAACCTCAGAAATATAAAGTACTGGATGTTGTTTCACTGCTTCAATAACTTTAAGTGAAATTTTGTGTGTATCCGGTGGCATTGTTGGCATCATTTTCGTATTTCTATTTTAATTGTTAAAACAGTTTTTTCAAAATAGAATAATGTTTTTTTAATAAAAAAATCAAAAAAACATTTTGTTTTTGTTCAACTTCCAATATTTATACGTAATTCCTAAATGTATTTAAATTTAAAAAAAAAGAAGAAAATAATTATCTTGTATAAATTATAAAATCTGTCAATTAAATTGTCAAGATTTTGTTTCACTATAAACAAGACAAAAATAAACGTTAATTATAATTTTTTTTTTTTAATCAACATGGACGCCATACGTCAAATTTTCTGTTGTTAAAAAAAGGTTTTTTTAAAGAAAGTATCTGATTGGCTCAAACGAAAAGAATAAAGGCTAGTTCACAAAAACGAGACGTGAGGAAAAAATAAATTTTTTCCAAATTTAAAATATTAAAATATAAATTTATCAAAAATTTAAAGTCAATTTTAGTATATATAATTTATCTACTTTTAATTCAAGTAAATTTAATAATAATGTAATGATCTGTGTTTTTATTGCCAAAGGATTTGCTCGCCGGATGGAGTCCGGGTACCTATTTTGACTAGTTACTTTAAATCTCGGTAGATGGCGTGAAGCGCCATCTATGTTTCGATTAATTTCGGAACTATTTCTTACTATGATGTAGAGGAGAGGTGTAGTCATTGACGAGTCATTATTTAAACCTTCGAAAGAGAATATATTGTTTAAATAAAAGAATAATAAAATATACAAAATAAAGTATTACATAAAATAATAAAGAACAAAAGAATCTATACAGTGCAAAGAAAATACTAAACTCTAGAAAACATAACGATAAAAGAACTAGCTATTCGAGAGGAGCGTTCGCTGAGGCTCCGATCGCGCTTAAATTGAGTTCAAATATAAACACGTTCGCGAAGACGTTGGTCAGGACGACGCATATTACATTCGCGTGAGGTACTTTCTAGAATTTACCCCCTAGACGACGGTACGGACGGATACTAGGGTCGTGCACGCTAGGTCGATTATACGTAATCGGGAAGAAGCTAGATGTGGGATACGGTTCCCACATTCATGCCCGACGCGAAGCTAGTGCGAAGGAATATGTATTAAGGCTCACCAGGTGTAACCCTCATCCGAGGAGCGCCTCGAGATGGGAGTTAACCTGGGGCATCGTCTAGGTCGAGAGAGGGGCGCCTCTACTCGGCATGGACGGTCCTGAGTAATGGGATGGAGGGCGAAGGGAGTTACTGTTCCACAGGAGCACCTGTAGGAACACGTACAGCTCCTTCTAGGAAGTGAGGTAGGCTCTGATGTTCTGAGAGGAGCGCCTCTACAGTGCACCAGGTAGCCAGGAGTGAGTCCCTTCCAATAGTCAGAGGAGCACCTCTAGGCGAGTCGGAAGAAGACTGATGAAAAAGGTGCGAGACGAAAGGTATATCACTAGCAGCTAGGTGACAGCGAGTGGTGGGGGAAGAGAGTGACACTACTACTTACGCTGTCTACTTTCTCTCTTTTCGCCGGCCGACTATACTACGATACTCTATCGTTACATCCCCCCTTCTTAAAAAGCGAATTTTAATGAGCGTACGAGAAAAAAGAATTTCACAAAAAAAAACGATTAAACGCAGTAGCCACTTACAAATTCATTTTATAGTGTATGATTCTGCTGGTCTGCTAGTCCAATTTCAACGTCCATTTGCAATCATTCATTCTTATACTAGATTTCGTTGTACTATTCGGTTTACTATTTTTAATAGTTTTAAGTTTTTATATATAAACTAAGGGTTAACTACACGCACTACACGAGATACTATAGTTCTTTATGAAACATCTGCTGGGCTTCTTCTTTTCTCAAAACTTGTGTCACAGGATACATAGGTTAGTAACATCCTTGTATGTCTTGAAATAAAACGGTTTTTTACTTAACGAGTTGTTTAACGCATCTTTTGTTACTGGTCTAGGAAGGTTAAACCTGAGTGTTCTATTTCATAGACTTCACTTAAAAGACGAGTTTTTCACTAGATTGATGACGTGAGTGTTAATTAAACTTCAAATCCATTCACGTAACATAGGTTGAAAGATGCCGGTAAAACGAGAAATTATGTTTCACAAATGTTGATCCTGCAGTGATCTTCATTTGAAAACTGGTGTCAAACTTCTATTCGGCATCATTCACTGACATCTTTATGTGGATTTATCTTCATTGTTGACTAAATGAAGAATCTCTGCAACTTCTTCTACGCGTTGTATCAGATCGTTGACTTCATTCACTTCTGTTCTTCTGGTATGGAGTCTATACACTGGTAACATATTCCAATAGAGTGTGTCCAATTCACGCACTTTATTATAACCGCCGTGTCTTCTCATTAATGTTTGTAGACTAATAGTGAAGGCACGAATTGATTCACTTTTACTTTGGAGTTTTCTGGAAATCTGATAATCCAGACTTCTCAGTTCCGATGGTGACAGGTAATACTGTTTCAAAGAAGTAATTAGTTGTTCTAAAGATCTAACTGAGCGGATACTATTACGATACCATAACATGGTATCTCCTTTCAAAAGCACTGGAAATCCTCGAAGAATCTGTTCATCCGAGAAACCATAAGCTGATTGCAGTTCTTCCAACCTTTCCAAAAATGCATACGGATCACTACCATCAAAACTGCATCCCCATTTCCGCATACTTTCAAGAACAAAAATATCACTCGCGGTATTGGATGGTGATGAATTACTAGGTAATACCGGGGAAAATGGATGATTATTCTCAGTTGTTCCAACAAATTGTTGCACTTGGTTGTTTGATGTCGATGGGTTTTGCGATGGTGGTGGAAGAGGGTTGATAATGCTCAAATTAGGATCTTCTAATGCGATGGCATCCTTAGAGATATCGTCTTCTTCTTTGTAGTCGACCGGGTCTATAGTTTCGTCAAAAAGCTCTGGATTCGATTTGACGAAAGCTACTAAACGTTGACGAAGTGCTGCCACTGTACCAGATGAATCAATTTGGTGTCGATTTAACTCGGCGATTAGTTGTTCTTTAGATAGGGTATAAATCCATTTCACTCCCATTTTGTATTAAAATAAAATTTTAATAACCAGAATAAAAAAATAATTGTTGTAAAAGCTGATGTCTTCTTAGTGTAACAAATTACAATAAAATGTGAGTTAACTGTTCGAGGTAGTTCTATATAAACTAGTTTATCCCCTCCACTTGACTACTTTTAGTTAACGAGGGTGGGGGTAATGCGAGAAAAATGGCGACTAGGAAAACTTTAATTTCATTTCACTGTACACAAAACACTGAACGATTGCAAATTTCTGTCGAGTTGGTGATGTCTTCTTTCTTGCATAACACATTTCTTCCATTTGTGGCACTGATCGCAAAGATAAATATAAAAAAAAAAATTTGTACTAGTGTTGCATTACGGATCCGAGAGAGAAAAAAAAATTAATTTTTTTATATTTCGCTATTAATTTAACTAGTGCGTCTTGAGGGCGGCGAGAAAACAAATCTCCTCCAAATCATAGTTCGTTGAAAAAAAAAATCAATCTTTTTTTCCTGAATATTCTAGTTTTTAATTTTTGATACTCAGAAAAAAAAATTTAGTCCCTGTTCGGGCGCCATGTAATGATACGTATTTTTGAGCCAAAGGATTTGCTCGCCGGATGGAGTCCGGGTACCTATTTTGACTAGTTACTTTAAATCTCGGTAGATGGCGTGAAGCGCCATCTATGTTTCGATTAATTTCGGAACTATTTCTTACTATGATGTAGAGGAGAGGTGTAGTCATTGACGAGTCATTATTTAAACCTTCGAAAGAGAATATATTGTTTAAATAAAAGAATAATAAAATATACAAAATAAAGTATTACATAAAATAATAAAGAACAAAAGAATCTATACAGTGCAAAGAAAATACTAAACTCTAGAAAACATAACGATAAAAGAACTAGCTATTCGAGAGGAGCGTTCGCTGAGGCTCCGATCGCGCTTAAATTGAGTTCAAATATAAACACGTTCGCGAAGACGTTGGTCAGGACGACGCATATTACATTCGCGTGAGGTACTTTCTAGAATTTACCCCCTAGACGACGGTACGGACGGATACTAGGGTCGTGCACGCTAGGTCGATTATACGTAATCGGGAAGAAGCTAGATGTGGGATACGGTTCCCACATTCATGCCCGACGCGAAGCTAGTGCGAAGGAATATGTATTAAGGCTCACCAGGTGTAACCCTCATCCGAGGAGCGCCTCGAGATGGGAGTTAACCTGGGGCATCGTCTAGGTCGAGAGAGGGGCGCCTCTACTCGGCATGGACGGTCCTGAGTAATGGGATGGAGGGCGAAGGGAGTTACTGTTCCACAGGAGCACCTGTAGGAACACGTACAGCTCCTTCTAGGAAGTGAGGTAGGCTCTGATGTTCTGAGAGGAGCGCCTCTACAGTGCACCAGGTAGCCAGGAGTGAGTCCCTTCCAATAGTCAGAGGAGCACCTCTAGGCGAGTCGGAAGAAGACTGATGAAAAAGGTGCGAGACGAAAGGTATATCACTAGCAGCTAGGTGACAGCGAGTGGTGGGGGAAGAGAGTGACACTACTACTTACGCTGTCTACTTTCTCTCTTTTCGCCGGCCGACTATACTACGATACTCTATCGTTACAATAATAAATATATTTTGTAAACAGACCTTTGTTGTGTTACTTCTCACATTCACCACCAGAGGCGCTAGCAAATGATTAATTTTTCTTAGTTCATGGTTCATATTTTACATAAGTGTTTATTATGGTTATTAAATAATAGGTTTCTTTTTTGATAAATTGAAATAAATCACATAATTTGGAAGTTAATTTAATTTTTAAAAAAAAATGGCAAACATCCCAACGGGATTGTTGTCACATTCACAAAAAGTTTGCCGTCTTTATAAAGCAATTCTTCGAAATATTGATGGTTATTGCCAGACGAGAGTAGAATTCAGGTGAGAACGATATTTTTTCATAAAAAAAAAAAAAAATCATATTTCTATAGTAATAAAATAAAATGTATGTAAAAAAATTGTATTATACAACAAAAAAGTACACTAAAAATATATAAAATTTACATTTTTTCGATTTAAAAAAGAAATTTGATAATTTACACTTCATAGATATCATGCAGTGATTATTAGATCAAAATTTGATGAAAATAAAGACCTCCGTGATTTGCGTATAGCAAAACAAAAAATTATGGAAGGTGAAGAATGGTTATTTAAACATCAACATCCAATTCCAAAGAAATTTGCCGAATCAATAGGTGGTTGTGCTTATGGACGTGATGTAATTCTACCCGATTGGCTTCTTGATTTTTGGGATCCTTGGGAGAAAGCATTTTATCCAAAATATTTTGCAAAACGTGAAAAAAGGAAGAAAAATTACGTTGAATTTTATAAAAAAACTTATGGCGAACCAGAAATGCCACATCATTAACAAAAAAAGGTATATTATTATTATTAAAAAAAAAAGTGTATTTTTCCTTTTTGAAGGAGAAAAAACTAGAATTTGTTATAGAAAATAAATATAAATAATAAAATAAAATTGTAAACATTTATTGTTATTATTTTATTAAAAAAAGAATTCCTTCATCGAATTAAAATTTTTACTTTTGAATTTCGCGGGCTTTTTCAATAAAAAAAAATTTTTTCTCTTTTATTTTCTATTATTTTGAATTCTTTAAATTAAAATTTCTATTTACTCGTTAAAATATATTTGTCTTTAATAAATTATTTATTTTTACAATAAACGGGTTTTTTTTTTTATAAATTTCGCGAAATTATTACATAACCTAAAATGATCAATTTCCGTCAAAATCACAAAGAAAGTGATAAAATATCACTAAGGAATATAAATTAAATATTACATTTTATTGACATTTAGAGTGAAAAAAATTTTAATTATTATAAAGTTTGAAAAACCAAATTGTTCTATTTTTGGAATAGTGGGCGTTTAGTAGCGATTATTCTCGAAGGTAAAAAGAGAGTGAGAGAGAGAGAGAGAGAGGGTTCAAGAATCGAAGATCGAAAAGATCATCTCTGCTCGCGAGTCGAGCGAACAAGTAAATTATTAACAAATAAAAAACATATATCGGTGTTTTATCATTCGTTTTAAAAAGAAAATAACCATCTTTAAATATTAAATGACTCTACTAAATAATAGACTTGTCATTTAAAATCGATTTTGACCCGCGCGCGAGTGTTTTCGTGACCTTCTGCAAAAAGCGGAAATCTTCATTTTTTTTTTTTTACAATAAAAAAAAAATATATATTTTCATCACACGTCGCGAGTTTTATTATTATAAAGAATATATAAATTTCTATTCCTGTACAGAATTATTAGTAAAAAGAAAAAAAAAGAAAATAAAAATAATAACAGTGACAAAAGGAAGTTAAAATTGGAAGTAAATATAAAAGATAACGAAAGTTCGTGTGTGTGTGTGCTCAACGTGGTTTTCGCCGCCGTCATCAACGACGACGACGTTAAAACACAAAAGATCGTCAGCAAAAAAAGAAAACACGCGAGTTTTATCGTTAGCTAATTAAAAATTCAAAAAAAAAATAGAAACGGAGAAATATTGACAACTTGAAAGATTTACATTCTATGAACACTAAGGGCCAAGAGGACCCTGGAGAAGATCTCGCATCCAGGTATGTATATATATATATTTAATAATTCCCCTTCCAAATAAAAACAAAAGAAAATTTTTTTTAAAAAAAGATTTGTCACGATTTTTTCAAAAAAAAAAGTAAAATTGAGTTTGTTTACTTCGTATGATTTCCGTGTGTGTCTTACTACGTCTTTTATTGGTAAAATTCTATTTTTAGTTCCAGAAGAAAGGTTTATTTATGAAAATAATTACACATTTTTTTTTTGTTATTTTTGCTTCGTCCATTTTTTATATGTTTAAAAATTTTTTTTTTTAAATTTTATTGTGTATGAAAAAAAAGCCGGAAAAATGTGCTAAGTCATTCAAAGACATTAATTTCAATTAACAAGATAATGTACAAAAAAAATTTTTGTGAAATTGTATAAAAAAAAAAATATGAGAAGAATTTTAGGGTAAAAATGTGTTTTTTTTTTAATTAAATGTAGAACAATTAAAATAGTCTATTGACAATTATTATTATTATTATTTTTTTGTATGAAATGAATTTATACAGTAAATTAAAATTAATTTAAACGATAAATTAATTAGATTAAATTGTGTAATTTTTGTGTAATTAAAAATATATTTTTTTTTTATTTAGGGTAGGTGCTGAAAGCCCTTGCAGCGACATGAAGCGAGCAGCTGCCAAAAAACTCATTGAGAGATACTTTTATCAACTCACAGACGGTTGTGGAAATCCTCAATGTGACAATGAAAATTGTGTTTCAAGTGGAAAGGTAATTTAAACAATTTTAAATTTTAATTTCTAAATTATATTTATTTAAAAAAAAAAAAGAAACCAGAGGGTAAAATTTTAATTTTTTTTTTTTCATTTTATTAATTAGAACATTTTTTTTAAATAGTTTATTAATTTCTTACGCTGAAGTAAAAAAAATTTTCTCTATTTATAAATTATTAAAATTATTATAAAATTATAATAAATTATTTATTAATTTTTTAATAATTATTAATAATAATTAATAATTAATAATAATTAATAATAATTAATAATTAATAATAATTAATAATTAATAATAATTAATAATTAATAATAATTAATAATTAATAATAATTAATAATTAATAATAATTAATAATTAATAATAATTAATAATTAATAATAATTAATAATAATTAATAATTAATAATTATTTAATAATTATAAAATTATTTTATAAATTATCTAATTTATATGTTATTTCTCGGAAAGAATAAAAAAAAAAAAATATGAAAAATTCTCAGAAAAAAAAAAATTCTTTCCTTTAGGTGACAAATCTCACGCCAAATCAAGCGGCGGCGCAGGCAATTCAATTATTTTCACAGGAAGCGAGACTTTGCGATGGTACACAACCAAGTAAAGTTGCAAGGACAACATTGGAACCTGGACCCGCTTCATTGGCAAAAAGTCTCCCAGTGAAAAATGTCAATCCCACATGTTCCGTTGAAGGTACAATAACAAATGAAAAGCTGTCGAAACAAATTGAAAATTTTCATTTCAAGAATTCATTATCATCATCAACTATTTTATCCAATTTTTATTTGACAAATAAAATTAATGCATCAGGTGATGATGAATCGAATGCGGGTAAAGTGAAAATAATTGTGAAACTTGTCGATGAAAATCTTCCATTAAAAATGAATTTTCCTGAACTTCTTTATAATAATGTTAATTCATTTAAAAGAAAAACTTCTTCAATTGAAACAAAAAATTCGCCAATTAATTTACAAATATTGCCAAATAATTCACAAGAATTTAATGAAAATTTGCAAATTGAATCTAAAAAATCACAATTATTGGAAAATTTACAAATTGAAACTAAAAATTTGTCCCAAAAAAATGAGTCTAAAAAAATTTTAACACATTTTTTTCAAAATTCAAAGAAAAAAAATGATGAAAAGCAAAAAAATAAAAAACGATCGCGATCAAATGAAGATGAAATTTCCAAAAAAGAAGATAATAATTTTTTAAAAACAAACATTAGTGAAGATAATAGTAAAAAAAAAATTTCTATTCAAATTCCACCATTAAAACGTCCTCGTAAATTAATGATAAAATCGAAAAAAACACGTATTATTGAAAATTTTACAAATATTCTTAAAACACGTGAATTTTTGTGTCGTCATAAAAAAAGAATGAAAAAGCCAAGAGAAATTTTGAGAAAATTAAAAAAAGAAAAAATAACAAAGAAACAAATTAAAAAAAAATATAAAATTTCTCGTCATAAAAATAAAAAATTAAGAATTAATCGTTCTATTGCTAAATTATTTGCATTAGCATTCTATTTAAAATATATTGATAATGAGAAAATAAATTCATAATTTATTTAGAATTTAAAATCTAATTATAACTGAATTTTTTTATTCAGTAGATTCGATTCATCGTTTCGATGCATTTTTTTTTTTTGTCAAAATTCCTGTCTTATAATCTGTAATCCTTTTTGTCCAAAATAAATTTTTATCCAATGTCCTTTGATCTTTTTATTTTATTGTTTGGTGTGAATTTTTGAATTACAAAATTTTTATCAATTTGGGAACTTTTCGATTATTTAAATTAGAAGATATTTTTATTTGTTTAGCGTATTTTATTTGAATTTGTTTTACAGGAATAATTAAAGTCAATTGAAAATGTTAATTATTATTTTATTATTTATTAAAAAAATCATTTGCGGTTTTTATATAATCATTGGATATATTTTGTGGATGATGAAAATGTTAATTGAAAATTAATAATTTTTTTTTTTTGGAAAAAAAACAGGAAAAGAGGAACCATATCTCACAGAAGTGAAACTTTTGGAAATAATAGAAAAATGTAGAACCGAAGGTTCATATTCATTGTTAATTCGAACATTGGGCGAGGTTTTCTCGTCGGCTGAAGCATTAAGTAGAAGTTTTCAAAGGACAGAAAAAAATGACTCGCCACTGGCAGCATTATTGGATAGAGCTCCAGTTTCATTATTAAGGCCGCCTGCTGATTTAAATAAAGAAGCTGTGAGATCATTACAGGGTGAAGATAAAGAGGAAGACAGTAGTGATCCATCGCCAACTGTTTTACATCCCGACGATACAAGTGTCGATCTTCCTGGTGTTCGAAGAGCTTTCACTGCTTTATGGTCCTTACCAGGTGATTTTTTCTTCTTTTTCATATTAAAAATTCCAATCGAATTACTTCGATTTGTCTTTTATTATTATTATATAATAATAAAATGCTTGGTCTGTCCTTCTGTCCTAACTTGAAGTTGGTCTTTTATAATTTCACGTGTTTCTTGAATAGTAATCTTATAACGTGTCAAATTTGTGTCAAAATTAAACTTGAAAATTTTAGAAATAATTAAATTTCAAAAGATATTGTTAATTTTAAAACAATAATAAAATTTTACAGAACTAAAAATAATTTATCAAAAAATTTTTTGGAAAACATTTTTTAAATTTAATTGAATTTTCAAAAGATTTAAAATTGAGATTTTAGAAATTAATTGAACTTCAAGTGATTTTAATTAAAATTTTATATGATTTCACAAAAAAATTTATTAGAAATTACAGACAAAATACAATAATTTGATAATCATTTTTAATTGAAAAATGGTTTCAGATAGTTGAATTTTCAAAGAATATTATAAAAATATTTAAAAATAATTGAATTCCCTTAGAGTTATAATTGAAATTATTAAATTTCAAAAAATTTTCGATGGAAAATTTAAGAAATAATTAAATTTTAAATGCTTTTAAATTCAAATTATTGAAAATTCAATTAATTTAGAATTCAAATTTTTTAGAATAATTAAATTTTCTTTAATTTTGATTTGAAATTTCGGAAAATAATTAAATTTCAATTAAAATTTTGGATAATAATTCATTTTTAGTTGATTTTTTATTGAAAATTTTGATAATTAATTTTGAATTGAAATTTTAGAAAATAATTAAATTTTATTTGATTTTAAATTTAGAAAATAATTGAATTTAAGTTGATTTTGAATTGAAAATTTTTGAAAATAATTGAATTTTCTTTGATTTTGAATTGAAATTTTTGGAAATAATTGAATTTTAATTGAAATTTTGAATAATAATTTAATTTAAGTTCATTTTTTATTGAAAATTTGGATAATTAATTTTTGAATAGAAATTTTAGAAAATAATTGAAGAATTTTATTTCATTTTAAATTGAAAACTAGGAAAATAATTGAATTTTAAAAGATTTTGAATTAAAAATTTGGAAAGTAATTGAATATTCTTTGATTTTGAATTAAAATTTTGGGAAATAATTGAATTTTAGTTAATTTTGGAATTGAAATTTTGGAAAATAATTAAATAATTGAATTTTTGATAATTTTCAATGGAAAAGTTTGGAAAATATTTGAATTTTAGTTGATTTTAAATTTAAATTTCGGATAATAATTGAATTTTATATGATTTTAAATTGAAAATTTGGAAAATAATTGAATTTTAAAAGATTTTGAATTGAAATTTTGGAAAATAATTAAATTTCAATTACAATTTTAAATAATAATTCAATTTTAGTTGATTTTTGATAATTAATTTTGAAATGAAATTTTAGAAAATAATTTTATTTTATTTGAATTTAAATTGAAAATTTGGAAAATAATTGAATTTTAGTTGATTTTGAATTGAAATTTTGTGAAATAATTGAATTTTAATTGAAATTTTGAATAATAATTTAATTTAAGTTCATTTTTTATTGAATATTTGGATAATTAATTTTGAATAGAAATTTTAGAAAATAATTGAAGAATTTTATTTCATTTTAAATTGAAAATTAGGAAAATAATTGAATTTTAAAAGATTTTGAATTAAAAATTTGGAAAATAATTGAATTTTCTTTGATTTTGAATTAAAATTTTGGGAAATAATTGAATTTTAGTTAATTTTGGAATTGAAATTTTGAAAAATAATTAAATAATTGAATTTTTTGTTAATTTTCAATAGAAAAATTTGGAAAATATTTGAATTTTAGTTGATTTTAAATTAAAATTTCGGATTATAATTGAATTTTATGTGATTTTAAATTGAAAATTTGGAAAATAATTGAATTTTAAAAGATTTTGAATTGAAATTTTGGAAAATAATTAAATTTCAATTACAATTTTAAATAATAATTCAATTTTAGTTGATTTTTGATAATTAATTTTGAAATGAAATTTTAGAAAATAATTTTATTTTATTTGAATTTAAATTGAAAATTTGGAAAATAATTGAATTTTAGTTGATTTTGAATTGAAATTTTGTGAAATAATTGAATTTTAATTGAAATTTTGAATAATAATTTAATTTAAGTTCATTTTTTATTGAATATTTGGATAATTAATTTTGAATAGAAATTTTAGAAAATAATTGAAGAATTTTATTTCATTTTAAATTGAAAATTAGGAAAATAATTTAATTTTAAAAGATTTTGAATTAAAAATTTGGAAAATAATTGAATTTTCTTTGATTTTGAATTAAAATTTTGGGAAATAATTGAATTTTAGTTAATTTTGGAATTGAAATTTTGGAAAATAATTAAATAATTGAATTTTTGTTAATTTTCAATGGAAAAGTTTGGAAAATATTTGAATTTTAGTTGATTTTAAATTAAAATTTCGGATAATAATTGAATTTTATGTGATTTTAAATTGAAAATTTGGAAAATAATTGAATTGTCTTGGATTTTGAATTGAAATTTTGGAAAATAATTAAATTTCAATTACAATTTTAAATAATAATTCAATTTTAGTTGATTTTTGATAATTAATTTTGAAATGAAATTTTAGAAAATTATTTTATTTTATTTGAATTTAAATTGAAAATTTGGAAAATAAGTGAATTTTAGTTGATTTTGAATGGAAAATTTTTGGTAATAATTGAATCTCATTTGATTTTAAATTGAAAATTTGGAAAATAATTGAATTTTAAAAGATTTTGAATTAAAAATTTGGAAAATAATTGAATTGTCTTGGATTTTGAATTGAAATTTTGGAAAATAATTAAATTTCAATTACAATTTTAAATAATAATTCAATTTTAGTTGATTTTTGAAAATTAATTTTGAAATGAAATTTTAGAAAATAATTTTATTTTATTTGAATTTAAATTGAAAATTTGGAAAATAAGTGAATTTTAGTTGATTTTGGAATTGAAATTTTGGAAAATAATTGAATTTTTGTTAATTTTCAATAGATAAATTTGGAAAATATTTGAATTTTCTTTGATTTTGAATTAAAATTTTGGGAAATAATTGAATTTTAGTTAATTTTGGAATTAAAATTTTGGAAAATAATTGAATTTTAAAAGACTTTGAATTTAAAATTTAATAATTTAATAATTAATAATCTGAGGCCTATAAACATATAATTTTTTATTTTTATCATTTAATATGGAATAATATTCTAATAAATTTAAATAATTATTGATAATATTAATTTTTAATTTCTCTATAACAAATAATGAAACAGTCAATTTGGCGCGCATTTAATATTGCTAGTTATTTTATATTTAAAAACTCATTTTTTTTTATTTATAATTGTCTGTAAAAATAATTGTTTTTTTTTTTGTTCTATATTGAAAATTGGAATTATTTTCAGGTGATGCTTTTGAATCAGCTTTAGTACATGCACTAGTCACACTGGCCGATAATATAGAATTAGGACTCAGGGTATTTGGAATAATGCCTTATGACAGTACCGATAGTTTATTAAATGTTTTCTTAATTGTTTTTGAAATCCCAGTATTGGGAACGAGTGATTATTTGGAATTGGCATTACATATGCTGTGTAAAGCGGCAAGTTGTTTACCATTACCAGCACAGGCAAAATTAGCACGAATTTGGGCACGACATTGTAAATCAAGACTTGAATGTTTACTTCAAGCACTACAACAGCTTATAACTGTTAAGGTAAAAAATTTTTTTTTTTTTTTTTAAATAAATAATTTTCAATTGTTTTTAAATTAAATAAAAAAATTTAACAGGTTATTGGCGGTTCTTTTACACGTGATTATTGTGTCCAAGATGCGGATACAATAACAGCACCAACGAAAGTTATGAAAATACTCTATTATGCAAATATTTTGGCGGGTGAAATGGATCCACCAGAATTTTCCCAAGAAGAAGAAGGCGAAGTTATGAGTTCCGATAAATCGGGATCAAAATCAACGACTTCGCAAACAATTCAGGTTTTTGTTTTCTTTTTTCTTTTCTTAAATTAAATTTAATTATTTGAGATTACTATAGTTTATTAAATTATTAAATTTGTTTATTAATTAAAATTTATTTATTTGGAAGAATTAATTTTTTTTTTTTTTTGCAGGATCCCCTTGCGAAAGCACTTGGAATTTCTTCGCTTGATGCACGCAAAGCGTTCATTCCATTCACAGATTTTTACAACGAACCATTGAGTGATGCAGTTGAAATGGATAAGGATTTTGCCTATTATAAAAGTGATCAACCAATGAAATTTAGCTTTATGAATTTTGCTTTTATTCTCACGCCAGCGACAAAAACACTTGGCCTTTATTATGATAATCGAATAAGAATGTACAGTGAACGGCGAATGAGTTTTCTTCAAACAGTCGTTGGACAACCGACAAATCCATATCTTAGACTAAAGGTACTTTTTTCATTTAAATTAATTTAAAAGAACAAAAAAGGATTCTTTAAATTAATTTTTTTGTTCTTTTATATATTATTTAGTAGTTTTCTTTAATTTATTTTCTATTTCCCATTATTTTCTTTATTGAAAATAGTTTGTTTTTTTTCTACTAGAAAAAAATTTATATATTTTCAAAAAAAATGTTTTTAATGCTAATTAATTATTTTTTTTAATTATTTTTAATATCTTAAGTAAATTAATTAATAATTAAATTATTTTTATTATGTTTTTAATTTTAATTGTATTTTAAAATTTTGATTAAATTTTTCTTTTGCAAATTTTTGATACGATTTATTTCTTCATTGTTTAATTATTAGAAAGTTTAAACAATTTTTTTTCCCCCGCAAATTTAAAAAAAAAATTAATTTGCAAATTTTTGATCCTATTGTAATTTTTTTTATTTTTTTGTGTATCATTTAATGATTAAATTTGCAAAATTTTTGATTTTATTGTATTGTAATTGTTTTTTTTTATTTTTGCATAGGTTCGACGAGATCATTTAATTGACGACGCTCTAGTGGAATTGGAAATTGTCGCAATGGAAAATCCGTCTGATCTTAAAAAACAATTGGTTGTTGAATTCGAAGGAGAACAGGGAGTCGACGAAGGTGGAGTGTCGAAGGAATTTTTTCAACTCGTTGTCGAGGAAATATTTAATCCCGATTATGGAATGTTTACGACGCAGGTAAATATATTTTTTTTAATATTTAATTTACTTTTTTTGGCTGTTAAAAAAAATCTTAAAATTTTAGTATTTATGTTCTTTATTGTGTACTTTTATTGAGTTTTACAATTTAAAAAAAAATTATAATTTTTGTTATTATTATTATATGTAAAAAATTTTTAAATACATTTTTTAAATTTGTTTTTTAATTTTAGGAAGACACACAAACAACGTGGTTTAATTCAACGTCTTTTGAAAGTGATGCCCAATTCACGCTAATTGGAGTTGTTCTCGGTCTTGCAATTTACAATAATGTCATTCTTGATGTACGTTTTCCAATGATTGTTTATCGAAAACTTTTAGGAAAAAGGGGCTGTTACGCTGATTTAGAAGATTGGAGTCCAACTTTATTTAGAAGTCTTTCGGAAATAATGAGTTATAACGGTGACGATATGTCCGAGACATTTATGCAAACTTTTAGAGTTGGCTACAAGTAAGTTTTCTATTTTTCTTTTTACTATTTTAATTATTTTTTAATTTTTTTTCCTATTTTTACTATTTTAAAAATAAATTATTTTATATCCTTATTTGATTTTTATTTATTTTATTATTATTACTTTTCTAATTAATAATTTCTTTTTTGTTTTATAATTTTTTTTGTGAAATTTTTTATTATTATTTTTTTTAAAAATAATTATTAAGTAGGTAACTTAATTTATAAATTAAATCATTTTCTTTCTCTCATTTTTTTTCCCCCCCCGTTTCTTTTCAGAGATGTTTTTGGTTCGGTTCTATTTCACGAGCTCAAAGACAAAGGAGACGAGATTTATGTTTCGCAAGAGAATAAAAAAGAATTTGTCGATCTTTATGCTGATTTTTTGTTAAATAAATCAGTTGAAAGGCAATTTAAGGCATTTCGACGTGGTTTTCAAATGGTTACAGATGAAAGTCCACTTGGTTTATTATTTAGGCCTGAAGAAATTGAACAGGTGCGTAATTTTTATTCATACCTTGTTTTTTTTTTACAAATTAAATAATTTCAAAGTTGATTTAGATTTATTTTTTTTTAAACAAAGTTTTACAATTTTCTTTCCAGTAAATTAAAAAAATAAAAATAATAGTAAAAAATTATTTCAAACTAATAATTGTTATTAATTAAATATTTATTTTATATATTTTATTAAATTAATACTTTATTTAATAAAAATAAGTTAATTTTATAATAGTTAAGAATAAAATATTAATTTTCTTTATTTTAAATTAGAATAAATTAATTATTTTTATTAATATAATAATAACTAAATTTTTTTTTATGATTTTTAATTAATGAGATTTGTTTTTTTGAGAAAAAAATTTGCCTTTTCAGCTCGTTTGCGGAAGTAAAATTTTCGATTTCGCGGAACTTGAAGCGGCAACGGAATATGAAGGTGGTTACACCGCGGAAAGTGAAGCGGTGAGGAATTTTTGGCGTGTGGCACATTCATTAGCACCTGAAAGTCAAAGGCGACTTTTGCAATTTACAACCGGAAGTGATCGAGTACCTGTTGGTGGATTGTCGAGATTAAAAATGGTTATTGCTCGCCACGGGCCTGATTCCGATAGGTAATAAATTTTATTCTTATTTATTTAAAAATTTTATTTTTTTTCATAGTCAAATTATTTTAAATATTTTCAAATATAAATATTTATTTTAAAAATTGTTCATAGAGAAAATAAAAAAAAATTCTAATTTGAATATTAAAAAACAAAATTAATTTTTTATTTCAGGTTACCAATAGCGCATACATGTTTCAATGTTTTATTATTACCAGACTATAGTACCATAGAAAAACTACAAGACAGACTTTTAAAAGCGATAAATTATTCAAAAGGTTTCGGAATGCTGTGAGAAACTTTTTTTTTCATGTTTCATATTCTAATTAACGAGGGAACCAAAAAAAAAAAAAAAAAAAGTCAGTTTCCTAATTCCCTCCTCTTATTTATTTGACAAAGGAAAATTTTGAAGAACTTTTTTTTAAAAAAGAAAGAACAACAAAAATAAAAGGGACGCTTATCCAAATCAGTGATTTTTAAGCTCGAGAGAAAGGATTTTTCAAAACTGAAACTTCCTTAAAAAAAATAATAAGCTTAAGCAGTGTACAAAAAAAATTCAAATATTTTTTCTCTAATCGCGACACTTCTTCTTTTTGTCGCGTTTCTTGAAAAGAAAAATATACAGATTGTGTTACGGAAGTAAAAAAAAAATTTTTCCTTTTTTTTTTGTTGAATATAAAATGAAATTTTTTTTCAGACCTCCGAAACATAATAATCTTGTATATATATTATTTTTTTTTAATTATTTCTTTTGACGCAAATTTTTTCAAAAAAAAAACAAGCGCGTTTTGATTTTAATTTTTTTTTTTTTTTTTTTTTTATAAGAAAGACGAGACTGAGGAAAGTGGAGTTTAACCAAGACCCCAAAGAGACACGAGCTGAATGACTGTGATGTAAGAAAGAAAGAGAGCAAAAGAGAATGAGAGAAAATGTTGTATGTCAAGTGAAATGTTAATGTAGATTGTACAATGTATGAAGTTATTTAAGAGAAAAACAAAAAAAAAAAAAATCACGAAACATTTAATGTGACTGAAAATTGAATAGCAAAAAAAAAGAATAAAAATTTTTTTTAAACATGACCCGGGATTATGATGTATGTATTTTAAAAATACTATGAAAAAAAGTGTAGATTTTTCCCTTTTAAAAAAAAAAAATTTTGATTATATTGACACATTTTTCTAAGGAAGAATTTTGAAGAAAATTTGTAATAAGCGAAAGATTTAAAAAAAACTACTTTTCATTTTGCATAATATCTTTATTTTTCGTCTTTACAATCAATTCTCGATTAAATCGATCAAGATAAATTTGTGTACAAAAATTGTAATAATTAAATAGCGACTTTTTTTTCTTTTTTTTTTTGTGAAAAGAAAAAGAAAAAAAGACGCTCTCTTCGAGTTTATCTTAATCGTGTGACAATAAAAGATCTATTAAAAAAAAGGATATTTTTTTTTGTAAATATATAAGAAATTCTGCGCTAAATACATTTTTTTTTTGCATATAATTAATTATATTTTAAATATTTTTGTCGATTGTTTTGTTATACAAAAATTATTATTATTACTATTACAAAAGTAGAATAATCTCGCTTTTTTGAACGGAATGTTTTTTTTTTTTTTTTTATATAAAGTTTTGTAATTTATAAAAAATATATCAGGCTTTAATCTACATTATTCTAAATTGGACGGATTTAATTGTATCAAAAACCTAACGCTAAGATCATAAAAATTATATAAAAAAAAAGAAAACCGTTGTAAATAAACGAATTCGTTTGTCAAAAATAGAGTAAAATTTCAATATTAAAAATTATCTAACTGTTAAGAAAAAAACAGTTATGAAATATAAAAATTTGTAAAAAATTTTCAGACAATACATTTTAAAATTTACAAACTAAATTTCGAATTTTGCATTAAAAAATCGTTACATTCATGAAATTGACTATAAAATAATTATTTTTTTTCAAAAATTGAAAAATTATAATATTTTTGAAATTAACTGCTTCAAAAATTAATTAACAGAAAAATTCATGTTAACTATTTGGAAAAAAGCAATTAATGGAATAATTGAGAATAATTAAAAAAAAAAAAAAACTGAAAATCAATTTTTTGTTAAAATGAAAATTTCTGTCTGTACAAATATTATTTACACCGAAGCGAAATAAGAATTGAATTATTATTTTGTGGGAATTTTTTCTTTCACGTAGTAAAATACCAGAAAAATGGCATCAAAACAAAAAGAACGGCTGAGAGAATAAAATTCGATGCTCCATTACATCGATTATCAAAATAACACATACACCATGTGACTTCGTCATAATAATTACGATGTATATCTTGTTCGATAATACTATTATTTACATAGTGACCAAGTTTTTGATCTTTTGCAGCTGGACGACAACCCTCATAACGATCAGCTGGAATATCAGTTCTAATGCCACGAAATGAACTTAAACAATCTCGAGTTATTACCACCTCGGCTAAAAAAAAAATTTAATTTAATCTTTTATTTTTATTTCAGAATAATTAAATTTAACTCTCATTACTAAATTTGTTTCTAAGAAAAAAAGTTTATTTTTTTTATTTTTAACTTTAAAATAAAAATTTAAATTATTTTAATATTTTTAGAAATTAATAAAAATTGGAAAAATTATTTTAATATTTTTAGAAATTAATAAAAGTTGGAAAAATTATTTTAATATTTTTAGAAATTAATAAAAATTGGAAAAATTATTTTAATATAGTAAAAAATTAGCAAACGATAAAAAATATTAAATTTGTTTTGTTTTTCTTCTCTTTTTTTTAAAAAAAAGACATTCAAATTTAATAATTAAAAAATTAGAGATAAATTTTATTTTTAGAAAAAAAAAATTACCTTCTTTTCTTTCGACAATTTTAACACATATATCATCAGGCTCTGGACATTTTTCTGACCAATAAAACCAACTTAATTTATCACCACAGCCTCCACTGTTACTGTTACATTTGTAACACCAAAGGCTACTTTCTCCTGCAAAAAATTAAATAAAAATTTCAAATTTTCGATCAACAATTTACAATTATTAAAAAGGACTCAAAACAATTGGATTTACAAAATAAATTTCAAAATTCTTTAAAAATATATTTAACTTTTTCGAATTTTTAAAAACCTCAAAATTTAATTTAAACTAAATTTTTTATTTGTAATTTTTTTTTTTTTTTGTAAAAAAACTCCCGAATTTTTAATTTAAATTTTCTTTAATTAGATAAAAATTCTAAATAAAAATTTCAAATAAAAAATTGAATAAAAAGAACAAAATTCTCAAAAGAAAATTAACAAATATTTATTTTTAACACTCTGGTACTTATTAAATATATTTAATTATTATTAATTATTTAGTATTATATTTAGTATAAAATTATATTTTTCCTATTTTATTTTTCAATATCAATTTTTTTGTGTACTTTTTAATTAGACGTGTCTTTTTTTTTTTTGAAAATAAATTAAAAGAAGAAACTAAGAAATAAAAATATTTTATTTTCATTAAATAGCAAATTTATTAAATTTTCCTGTCCAAAAAATAATGTAAAATTATAATAATAATTGTCATATGTGTACGATTTGAAAACTATTTTACTTTACAAATTAAAAAAAAAAATGTTTACAAATTTTAAATTATTGAAATATTAAAAAAAACTTCCCAATTAATTAAAATTAATTTAAATTCTATTAATTTTTGTAAAAATACAAATAATAAATTAAAAGCCACGCCCTGGAAAAGTTTGGTTATATTTAGTAAATATTCTTTAAATATAAAATAATTTACCTTGTTTTGTTAAAAAAGTCAATAGAAGAAAAATACTAAATATCTTTATAAACATTTTCACTGTGAAATTTTACTTATTTTAATTATTTTTCTTATAAATAATACATAAGTTATTTGTTTACTATTATTTTTTTAATAAAAACATGAACACATTTATGAGTCACCAATATAGGAACAAAAAAAATCCCTGCGACTCTAGAGAAAAAAAATATATAGTTACTTATGGGGAATTTTTATGGAACTAGTATAATAATTGGTAATATCCCTCTAGAGAGATTTCGAATTAAATTCTGTTGGCAACACCATTACAATTAGAACGCGATTTTCACAAGCAACCGGAGTGACATTTCATTTTTTTGTATTTTCTCCTGAATAAATAATTAACTGCAAAAATGGTAAGTTTAGTAATTTTTTATTAATATTATTTAGTAAAGAATATTATCTATTATATTTAACAGTCTGTATAATTATCGAGTGGTTTTTATAGCTTTTTTGCTTTTTTGAGGTTATGTTTATGTGTCTGACAATTTTGTTATACATTAATTATTAATAATATTATTATTTTTATAAAATTGTTTTTAAATATTCTCTCTTAAAAAATGAAAAATTGTATTTTGAGATATGAGACACTTTTTTTTACGAAAATACGTTAGAATTTATTTAAAAAAAAATGACAGGGAATAATATTATTTTAAAATGATTTCTGTTGCAAAAAAAAAACGTAATTTATTATTATTATAGAGTTTTGGTTACTCTACCGTAAAAGCAGTGCCTGATTTTAATGATGAATTTGGCATGGGCGATAATTATGGAATCAAAAGTCCAATGCTTCAGGGGTGAGAATTTTTTCTGCGTACTATATTAAATTTAGAAAATAAAAATTAATATTAAATTTATTGGTATTTGTTTTTTTTTTTATTTAGTTTGGGTGCAACAAGGAAACAATTAGGATTTAATCATCCTTTGGAAGCTTCCGAAAAAGTGGTATGTTAAATAATTATTTTTTTTCTACAAATTTTCTTATTTTTATGAATTTTTTTACGAATGTTTTTTGTTAATGTATTATAATTTTTTAATCGAAAAAAAACTTTAGAAATAAAATTTTTATTTTTAATTAATAGTAATTTTTCGATGTCTTTCACAATTATTATTAAACTAGCAATATTAAACGCGCGCCAAATTGAGTATTTAATTGTTTGTTATAAAGAAATTAAAGATTAATATTATCAATAATAATTTAAATTTATTAGAATATTATTTCTTATTAAATGATAATAATGAAAATTATTATTATATGTTATTAAATTATATATAAAATTGAATTATTTTCCAAATTTTCAATTTAAAATTCAATTATTTACCAAGTTTTCAATTTAAAATTAAATAAAATTCAAATATTAGCCGAAATTTTAATTCAACATCAACTTAAATTAAATTATTATCCAAAATTTCAATTAAAATTCAATTATTTTCCAAAATTTCGAGTCAAAATTAATTATTATCAAAATTTTCAATCAACAATCAACTAAAATTAATTATTATCAAAATTTTCAAAATTTTCAATTTAAAATTCAATTATTTACCAAGTTTTCAATTTAAAATGAAATAAAATTCAATTATTTTTTAAAATTTTTATTCAAAATTAATTATCGAAATTTTCAATTAAAAATGAACTTAAATTAAATTATTATCCAAAATTTCAATTAAAATTTAATTATTTTCCAAAATTTCGAGTCAAAATTAATTATTATCAAAATTTTCAATCAGCAATCAACTAAAATTAATTATTTTCAAATTTTCAATCAACAATCAACTAAAATTAAATTATTTTCCAATTTTCAATTTAAAATTCAATTATTTACCAAGTTTTCAATTTAAAATAAAATAAAATTCAATTATCTTTTAAAATTTCTATTCAAAATTAATTCTCGTAATTTTCAATTAAAAATGAACTTAAATTAAATTATTATCCAAAATTTCAATTAAAATTTTATTATTTTCCAAAATTTCGAGTCAAAATTAATTATTATCAAAATTTTCAATCACCAATCAACTAAAATTAATTATTTTCAAATTTTCAATCAACAATCAACTAAAATTAAATTATTTTCCAATTTTCAATTTAAAATTCAATTATTTACCAAGTTTTCAATTTAAAATAAAATAAAATTCAATTATCTTTTAAAATTTCTATTCAAAATTAATTCTCGTAATTTTCAATTAAAAATGAACTTAAATTAAATTATTATCCAAAATTTCAATTAAAATTTTATTATTTTCCAAAATTTCGAGTCAAAATTAATTATTATCAAAATTTTCAATCAGCAATCAACTAAAATTAATTATTTTCAAATTTTCAATCAACAATCAACTAAAATTAAATTATTTTCCAATTTTCAATTTAAAATTCAATTATTTACCAAGTTTTCAATTTAAAATAAAATAAAATTCAATTATTTTTTAAAATTTCTATTCAAAATTAATTATCGAAACAATGCCAAAAAAACATTGAAAAATTTTAACCAACACAAAATAATGTCAAACAATACATTTAAAAAAAACAAAAGACCTATAACAAATACTAACTTCAGGTGTGGACAGAATGAACGAAAGATATTCACGATTATTATATGTAATTCATAACAGTTGTAAATATTTAACAATAATTAATATTAATTATTTATTTATTTATAAAAATTTAATAATAGAATTATTACAATATAGAATTATATATTTAATATAAAAATATTCATAATATAAATTAAATAAATTTAAAAATAGTATATTTTTTTATTTAAATAAATAGAAGTAAATTACTTTTTGCAGTTTCACAAAAATAAACAACACATGGAAATGACAATGCTTCGAAATGCTCAAGGTTTACATGCACCAATGCGATTGGCAATGGAAATTAAAGCCTCAGAAAAAATAGGCAGACTTCCATTTTTACCATCGTCAATGGCATTGAGAGATTCACTTCTTGGAAGGGACATCGAAATCAGGTAATATTTTCCATTAATATTTATTTATATTTTCATACTTAATTTTGTTTTTTTAAAAGAAATATTAATTAAATAAATTTAAATATAAAACTAATTTTATAATAATTTTAATTTAATTAATATAAAACTATATAATTGAAACTTATTAAAAATAAATTTAAATATATTTCAAAAATTAATTTTTAAAAAATTTTTGTTTTTAAATTTTTCAGTTTTGATGACATTTTGAATACTTCGGAATTCAGAGAACAAATGGGACAACCACATGCGGTTGTAGAAAAAAGTCTTGGAATTTTGTAAAGAATAGACGTTTATTTATTTTCTGTTTTTTTTTCCGTCGTCACTAATTTTTTTATTTTCTTTGCGAAATAAAGGTAAGATAAAAATATTTAGTCTCTAATATTCCATGTGAATAAACAAAAATTTAAAACTTTCAATGACGGTATAATATTGTTTCTAAAAAAATCCTTAATTAATCACATAGAGAGAAGAAAAGGAAATATTTTTTTTGCATATAAGAAATAATTACATTTTTTTTATATTACAATGTTCTTTATGATAATTTTCTGTTAGATTTAATTGATTACTAATTATTAATTAATTGTAAAAATAATTATAATCAATTAATAATAATTATTCATTAATGAGATATTCAATTAATTTTTTTTTATTAAATTTACTTTAATTAATTCTACCCTAATTAATTGAGGGGATCAATTAATTTTACCGTACAATTAATTACTTTTTTTAAAATTATTTAACAAATTGTCATTTTTTTTTATAACTATTAAATTTAAAAATTTCTAAATATTTAAGTATCCGGCCAAACAATATCATTTATTCGTATTCTACAAATTTTTTTAACTTCATCAATGCCCAAATTAATTTCAACTTCTCGTGAATTTTTCAATCGACTCTCAATTGCCATGAGAATTGTTGGCATTTTATTTTTTTTAACACAAATGACAAATGGAAATTGAAATTTTTCTTTATACCTGAAAAAAGAAAAAAGAATTTACATATTGAATTTAAATTTCAAAGAAAAGAATTTTTTTTTGCTAATGAAAAAATAGAAAAGTAAAAAATTGCACTCTCACATAAAATTAAGTTGACTTAACGAAAGTTTTTCCTCTTTCGTCAAATTATCAAGTCCCGCACTTTTTTGTTCATTTTTTGATTCGCCAGTGAGTTTTCCTTCATCCAAAAGTTTACCCGCCAATTCAGGATGTTTCAATAAAATAATTTCCTTGTCTGTCAAATAAAAAACAAAATTATTTTTCAAATTTTTTTTTTATTTGCATTTAATTTAATTTATTTATTAACTAGCAAAATTAAACGCGCGCCAAATTGAGTATTTAATTATTTGTTATAAAGAAATTAAAAATTAATATTATTAATAATAATTTAATTTATTAGAATATTATTACATATTAAATGATAATAATGAAAATTATATGTTTACAGGCCTCGGATTATACGACTTTTTCCGACTTTTTTCAAAAATACGACTTTTATCGACTTATTTTAATAAAATGCGACATTTTTTTTTACATTTGAAAAAAAATGTAAATAAAATACATTTTTTTAGTATAAAATGTAGATCTTTAGATCTTCTTCAATTCAATTATTTAACAAATTTTGAACTAAAATGATTCTTCACTAAATTAATTATTTTTAATAATTTTAATTAAATACATCACAAATTCAATTATATCAAAATTATTTTTCAATTAAAATTTTTATGAAAATTAACAATTGTTTATAATTAAAAAAAAAAATATCACAATAAAATTGAATTATTTTTTAAAAATTTCAATTCAAAATAAACTAAAATTCAATTATTTTCAAAAATTTCAATCCAAAATTAACAAAAATTCAACTGTTTTCCAAAATGTCAATTGAAAATCAATTATTTTCAAAATTTTCAATTCAAAATAAACTAAAATTTAATTATTTTCAAAATTTTCAATTCAAAGTCAACTAAAATTCAATTATTTTCAAAATTTCAATCCAAAATTAACGAAAATTCAACTGTTTTCCAAAATGTCAATTGAAAATCAATTATTTTCAAAATTTTCAATTCAAAATAAACTAAAATTTAATTATTTTCAAAATTTTCAATTCAAAGTCAACTAAAATTCAATTGTTTTAAAAAATTTCAATTTCAATTTAATTAGTTTCATAAATTTCAATTCAAAATCAACTAAAATTCAATTATTTTCCAAAAATTTTCAATTTAAAATCAAATAAAATTTAATTATTCTCAAAAATTTGAATTCAAAATTAATTGAATTTTCAATAATTTGAATTTAAAAGCATCTAAAATTTAATTATTTCTAAAATTTTCCATCGAAAATTTTTTTTTTTGAAATTTAATAATTTCAATTATAACTCTAATGAAATTCAATTATTTTTAACTATTTTAATAATATTCTTTGAAATTTCAACTATCTGAAACCATTTTTCAATTAAAAATGATTTTCAAATTATTATATTTTGTCCGCATTTTCTAATAAATTTTTAGTGAAATCATCTAAAATTTTAATTAAAAATCACTTACAAATTTCAATTAATTTCAAAAATCTCAATTTTAAATCTTTGAAAATTCAATTAAATTTAAAAAATGTTTTCCAAAAATTGTTTGATAAATTATTTTTAGTTCTGTAAAATTTAATAATTGTTTAAAAATTAACAATATATCTTTTGAAATTTAATTATTTCTAAAAATTTCAACTTTAACCCTTCGAAAAGGATTATTATTAAAAAAAAAAATTTTTATTTAAAAATCTGTAAAATATTTTTGTTAAAATAAAAAACAAATCCACTTTTTTTTTAATATAAATCGACTAAAACGACTTTTTGTGTCTTTAAGTTGATTCGAGGCCTGTGTTTTTATAATTAATATTTAATAGGTATTCGTTGGCCCCTGGTACCTTAAAAATTAATTTTTTCAAATTACTATCTTGTACGAAATTTCTTGGCGCATCTTTTTTCTCATCATAAATTTTTTGCATTTTTATACAATTTTTGAATGAATATACAACTTTAAAAAAAATTTCGTTGGTAAACGTTGTGTACTTCAGCTTCGTGAATTGAATTTTGGAATTTGGAATTTTAAAGAAACTTATTCCGAAATTTGGAAACACAATTATACAACTTTGGCAAAAATGAGAAAAAGAATTGTCAAAATTTGACACGTCATAAGATTACTATTCAAAAAAACACGTGAAATCAGAAAAGGCCAACTTCAAGTTATGACAGAAGGACAGACCAAGCATTTTATTATTATATAATTAATATTTTACCGTGAATATTGAGTTTATCTAAATAATTGTCGAATGCACTTTTTAATGTTTCACATGTTGAAAATGGCTTTTCGGAAAAAACATGTTTTGCCGCCTCCGGACTATGTTCAATTACATTTCCAAAAATCCATTCAAATTGTTCATTTGGCAGGGCATTTACTTCCGTTATACTTAAAATTCCACCGGCTGACATTTCTCGAATATTTTTTTTTTTGAAAAAAATTTACAATATTTTTTTTGAATTAAAAAATATTTTTCTTTTAATATTTTTTTTCAATTTTTTTTTAAATATTTTATATTTTGAATAATTTTAATTTTTAAATAATAATAATAATTATTATTATTATATTATTGACAAGAAATTAATTTAATTCTTTTATATAATTGTTTTTCGTTAAATTGTTTATTGAAAAATTATGAAACTTTTTTTTTCTATATGTACATTTATTTGTCTTCATAAACTCGGTCTTTATCACTAGTTGAAAAGAAACTAAACTCCTTTCGTGGACTTATCTCCTTTTTCTATTTAGTTATATATAAAACTGGATTTCACTCGTTAAAATGAAATAACTGACGTAGAGCTTATTTATAAGAAAAAAAAAAAAAAAAAAAATCTTATCAATTCATTAGTGTTTGTGAATGTATACCAATACTTTTGAAATTATATAATATATAATTATTATCATTATGAGTGTGAGAAATAATTATATATATTATAATTACATAAAAATATTTTTGCTGATCGTGTTTTTCGCTGACATTGTATTTAAACAACTGTTTAATTATTTACAAAGTTTTTTTTTTTTGTTCTTCTATATAAAACAATATCTGTTTTTTTCATTGTTTTTCTCTTTATAAAATAAATTTTTTTTAAATGAATTTAAATTAATTAATTAATTAAGAAGCGAATTCGCTTTTTATTTAAACTTTAATTTTTAATTTTCTTCTCTGTAAAAAGAAATTTTGCTTGAAATAATATTATAAATTTTTGTAAATACTCATTTGAATTATGAGAAAGTATTTTAATGTATTATAGATAAAAAAAAGACCTTCTAAATGATAAACTTATATTCTTATCACAGAAAATTTATTTTCTTATCAATATTCAAATTTAATTTCCCAAATTATCGTCAATTGGAAATTTATATTTACAGATTTGTATTGTATATATAGTTAGATAATTTTCTAAAAGATGTCAGTAGTCTTTAGATTTTTTCAATACGGTCTTATAAAATCGATAAAAAAAAGGAAAAAAATTAAAATAAATATTTAAAAAACAATTTTTTTTTTAATTTTAAAAAATATTGTTTTTTAAATAATTATTTTTTTCAATTTTTTTTCGATATTACATTTTTTTAAAATTAAATATTTATAGGGACTATTTTTAATTTTTTCAATTATTTTCGTTTAACAGAATGAAAATTAGGTTTAATTGAAAATTAAAATTTTGTTGAATTAAAATTCAGTTAAATAAAAAAAATAAAAGTTCAGCTAAATAAGAATTTAGAATTAATAAAAAATTCTCTTCAGTTTTATAAAATTTCGGTCAAATAAAAATTACCTTAATGAAAATTCTGCTTAATAAAACCTCTGCTTAATAAAAGTTCAGCTAAATAAGAATTCAGGTTAAATATGAATATTAGGTTTAATTAAAAAATTCTATTCAGATTAATAAAAGTATATATAATTATAAATAAAAATTATGTCTATTAAAAATTATGTGAAAAAAAAAATTTGTTAAATAAAATTTCGTCTCAACAAAAATTCAGTAAAATAAAAATTAGACTTAATAAAAATTCTGCCTAATAGAAGTTGAGCTAAATAAAAAGTATACGTCTATTAAAAATTCTGCGTGGGGGGAAAAATTCGGTTAAATAAAATTTCATTTCAATTTTGGAATTTTAGTAAAATAAAAATTATATTTAATGAAAATTTTGCCTAATAAAAATTGAGTTAAATAAAAATAGTTCAGCTAAATAAAAATTCAGTTTTTAATAGAAGTTAGATTTTAAAATGGAAAATTGCGTGTTTAGTTTTTAATAAAATTTCGGCATAATAAAAATTTATATGTTCAATGAAAATTTTGCTTAATAAAAATTCAGTTAAATAAAAGTTCAGTAAAATAAAACTCTATTTAAATCTCTATTTTTATTATTATTTTTTTTTTATTTTTATTATTATTTTAATTATTATTTTTTTTATTATTATTTTAATTATTATTTTTTTTTATTATTATTTTAATTATTATTTTTTATTATTATTTTTTAATTATTATTTTAACCATTATTTTTTTATTATTAATTTTTTTAATTATTATTTTTATTTTCTATAATTATTAATTTTCTGAAAATTTTTATTTTGCATATATATAACATCACCCCCTCTCACAACCCCCTTCATCCAATTCGTATACATAACAATGACAATACATTTTAATAAAAAGTAATAAAATATTTCGCTCGGTGTGTAATGTTGCAATAAGTCATGACACACTGGAATCCGGGAGATAAATAGGATAACTATATTGTAACTGGAGAGAGAGAGAGAGGGGGGGGGGATGAAGAGACGAAGGTGGCAACGAGTCCCAAGGGAGCCCTTGAGTTAACTACCAGATCGATGTCCAACCCCGACCCCCCCAACAACCCCCCTCAGGAAGCGTCACACCACTTCGAATTTTCTCTCTTTCTTTCTCTCTCGCACTCTCGGTTTTTCACATTTTTCTCAATTTTATTCCTCCCACCACCATCAAGAGAAGAATTTTCTCATACCAAATTTTTTTTTTTTTTTTTAATTTTTTTTTCTTGTTTGTTTTCACATTTTTGTCGTGCATCATTTTTTATTGGATTAGAATTAAATTTTCAAAAATTAAATTATTAAAATTATAATTGAAAATTAATTCCATAAAAATTTTATGAATTATAATTTTTATTTTTAAATATTTTTTATTAGAAATAATTATTTTTTATAGACGAATTTTCAATTTTCGAATTAGAATTTTGGGGAATTTATTTTTAACCAAAATTTTTAATTAATAAAAATTTTTAGCTACCGAATTTTTAATTGATAACATTTTTTTCAAGACGTCGAATTTTCATTTGTCCAAAATTACAAATTGTCCAAACCAACAATATTGAAAGAAATTGAAGAAAGATTTTGGCGCAATTTTCAAAAATTATGACCAAATCACAATTTTTCTATTGATAATTTTTAATTGATTTTCAAAAAAAAAAAATTGCGCCAAAATATTTTTGTATCGATTTTGTTATTGTTCGGTCATTTGTAATTTCGGACAAAAATGAAAATTCGATGTCGCAAAAATTTTTTATAAATAAAAATTCGGACAAATTTGAAATTCGGTGAATTGAAATTTTTGTCATTTAAAAATTCGAATTAAATAAAATTCGATTAAAAATTAAAATTTTCCTATAAATAAAAAGTCGTGTAAATTAAATGACTAGAAAACAAAAAAAAAAAAAAATTCTGACAAATAAAAATTAGGTATATATATAGCTAAAAATTTTGTTTAGTAAAAATTCTTATATAAAAAGAAATTCTGTCGAATCATAATTCGAAAAATGAAATTCTAATAATTTTTTATTATTATATTATTTTTTAATAATAATTTAATAATAATAATAATATTAATAATAATAATAATAATAATAATAATTAATATTAATTTAATAATAATTTTTTTTTTTATTCTTAATTATTAGTAAAATTAATTACTGTCAATAAATTGACTATTGTTGATTTTGTTAATTAATAATTTTCTTTTCTATAATTATAATAATTCTTTATAATTAATAATTGATAATATTATAATATTTTTAATATATTAATGGATGAAATAAAAATTTTGGATTTAAAAAAAAAAAAATTTTTTTTTAAATGATAACATATTCTCAGCTTATAATTATCTAGGCAAGAAACAAAGCTTGACTTATTGATATCAAAAAGTCGTCGTCGTCGTCGTCGTTTCGCCGAAGTTAAGTTTACCTAAGCTTTACTATCAACGTAAAAATGAATCTTTCGAAATTCTCTGAACGAAAAGACCTTTGATAAGAGTCTATGTTTACGTTAAACAAAAAAAAAAAAAAAAAAAAATGAAAAGAAAAAAAAATTGAAAAAAAATTTTTTTTTTTTCTTAACAAATTTTTTACATTTTTTTTAATCCCTTTATATACTTCTGATAAGTATCACAAACAAGTTTGTCCTATACCTATATATGTATTATTTTTTTTTTAATTTTATTTTTATTTTATAATAGAATAAAAATTTAATTATTTTTGAAAAAAAATTATTTTCGAAAAAAAAAATTATTTTTATATTAATTATGTATAATAATAATTTTATTACAAATGAAAATAATTTAGGAAAACGTATTTTTTTATAATTATATAAAAAAAAGAGAAAAAAAACTGTTGAATAAAATTTTTAGTTAAATGAACAAAAAAGGAAATTTAGGAAAATGTATTTTTTTATAATTATATAAAAAAAAGAAAAAAAAACTATTGAATAAAATTTTTAATTAAATGAACAAAAAAGGAAATTTTTTTTTTAATTAAAAAATTAATATACCTAGAAAATTTTGTTAAATAAAAAAAGTTCTATTTTTTAATGAATTAAAAATCGTTTAATTTTGAAATTTTACTTTAAAATTTTATGAAATTAAAAAATTGGTTAAATATTCTGTTTTAATGTTAATTTTTTTTTAAATAGAGAAATTTTTCCAAAATAAAAATTTAATTAAAAAATTTTTTTTTTAAATTCTGCTAAATAAAAATTTAATTAAAAAATTTTTTTTTTTAAATTCTGCTAAATAAAAATTTTATTAAATATATAAAAATTCTGTTTAAATGAATCTCCAGTTAAAAATATAGAGCACCACTGCGAATAATTATATATATATGTACTTTCGAATTTTTATATTGCAATAGAATTAAAAAATTTTGAAATTAATTTAAAAAATTCCAAGTCATATTTTTTTTTATATAAATTATTAGGAATTTGAATTTCAAATTTCTTAAAGGAATTATAATTTATATATAATAGGTGAGATTTTTTTTTTCCAAAAGTGAAAATGGAATTTTTCAATTAAAGAAAAAATGTGAGAAAAATTGAAATTTTAAAAAAAGAAATATATATATTCTACTAAATAAATGAAAATCAAAGAAAAGGTATTTTCTCATATATAATGAAGAAAAAGTAGAAAAAGAATAAAAAGAAAAAATAGAAGAAATAGAAAAAAAAAAAAAAAAAAAGAATTGAAATGATGTTATTCGGCACCTGGATTATAATTGGACCTCTACAATTTTATATACAAAAATCGTAAATATATTATACAGATTTTCAGAAAGAAATCTTTTAGAATTTCATTTGTATACTTTTTTTTTTCTTATTTATTCCAATATATATATGGTCATCAGTCTAGAATTCAAGTCAGAACTGATGGGGGGAAAAAAAAAACCACCAAATAGATACTTTTATTGGGGGCTATAAAGTTTCTCGAATCGAGAATCAAAGCATTCTAAAGGGGCTAATTTTAGGTTGAAAATTGTGTAATAAAAAAAAAAAAAAAACGTGACGACCAAAAAATTCACAGAACCAAAATATGAACTCAAATTTTCTACTTTTGAGTTTCAATAAAAATAAATAAAATTTTCAAAAGAGGTTGTATAACAGTTTCAAAAAAAAAAATAAAATAAAATAAAAATTATTATTAATATAAAAAAAGGAAAACTAAAATAAAAATTACGCCTACTAAAGAATTATTTATTAATAGCTAATCGATTTAATTTTATTTAACCAATAAAAAATCAATTTTACTGAATATAATTATTAATTTTCTTTTATTAATAATTAATTCAACGGTTATTAATTAATACTAATTAATTATCAAATAATTAATTAAATACTAAATTAATATTAATATTATCAAAACAATTAATTAAAATACTCAAATTTTCTACTTTTGAGTTTCAATAAAAATAATACCATTTTCAGAAGAGGTATAACAGTTTCAAAAAAAAAAATAAATAAAAATTATTATTAATATATAAAAAAGGAATAATAAAATAAAAATTACACTACTAAAGAATTATTTAATTGATAGCTAATCGATTTAATTTTATTTAACCAATAAAAAATCAATTTTACTGAATATAATTATTAATTTTATTTTAATAATAATTAATTAAGCGGTTATTAATTAATACTAATTAATTATTATCAAATAATTAATTAAAATACTAAATTAATATTATTAGCCAAATAATTATTATAAATTATATATTAAAGGACAAAAAAAATGCAATACAAAAAATTATTTTTCAACTTTTTGAGATTTTTATTTCAAAACGATATAGATAGAGACAAAAAAATGTGTGTACAGTGTGGAAAAAAAAATAATTAATAAATCAAACAATTACATTGTATTTTGACTCTTTTTGTAATGTCGCAAGAAATCTCAAACATCTTTTCATATATATATATATTTATATATATATTTTCATAATATAATGTGTGTTTTGAAGTTTTATTTTTGAAAAATGATTTTCTTATAATATATATATTTCGACGCACACATCGCAGTAAATAACACTTTAAATATACACAGTTTAAAAAAAATAACATGTTACAACCGCAATAATAATAAACACAATAATAATAATAATAATAATAATAACATAATTTTTAATAACTTTTGTCTCGAATTTTATTTTTATTTTTTAATTAACAGAATTTTATTTTAGAATAAGCAAAAAAAATTGTTGGATAAAATTTTGCTGAAAAATATAAATTAACTATTTTCTATTATTATTATTTTTTTATTATTATTATTATTATTATCATATATTATTTATAAAATACACTTTTTTTTTTTAATACGACGAGTATAATTATTTATAGGTATTATTATTAAGTTGAAAAAAAAAATTCATATACAAAAATTCGTTGGGGGGGCGGAGAAAAATAATAAACAATATAATAATATTACTGTCGAGAATCACAAACATTAACTTTATATATATACATATACATATAAAATAATAATAATAAACTAATATAAAATATCTTAAAGTTTCTTAAAAACAAAAAATTTATCCGGGCCAAGAAAAAAAAAGGAATGAAAAATTTTTGCCGTTGAAAAAAAAAATTTCCAAAATTTGTTGGAAAATTATTAAATCATAATTTTATTTTTTATTTTCCAAATATTGATATTCTTTTTATTTATAGCCAAAAAAAAAAAAATATCCATATATTTCAAAATTAAATTTTTTTTTTGCAAACAAAAAATTTTTGTATTCTAAAAAAAATTTTTTTTATGAAAATATTAAAACATTTTTTGAATATGTTGAAAAAATATTTTAATATTAATTTCGAATTTTTTTTATTGAATACAAAAATTTTTTTTGGTTAAATTTAATTACGATTTTTGGAAAATAAATTTGTTGAAAAGGAACAAAAAATTTTACATTCCTCTTTTTCATTGGCTACATGTAAATAAACGATATTATATATATATATATTTATGATTTTCATTAATTAAAAATCAATAATAATTCTTAATATAATAAATAAAGAGATACATTATTATTATTATTATTTTTACTAAGATATATAGTAATAATATATTTACAATATATTTCGAGAGAAAAAAAGGCATATCGTAATACTTCTTTTTTTCTTTAACTTTTTTTTTTTTTTTTTTTTTTTGCTTATTTGTTATATTTACAATATTTTTGTTTATATATATATATATATATATATATATATACTTGAAAAAAATTCTAGTTACAAATGTATAGATATATTAATGAATAAGGCTTGTGAAGAGAATTTTTTTTTTTTTTTTTTTTTTTTTTTTTGCAAATAATTACGAGTATAATTTTGCATGATGATGCGGTTGTAATCCATTGGTACCGAGTGCCAATGGATGAGTGGTTAATGGTGGCGAGCCACCATTTTGAATAAAGTTACCAAGCATACTGCTCATTCCAGCAAATCCAAGACTTGCCATACTTCCGGCAAGTTGTTCCGTTGTTGGCTTAATATCCTTTTGTTCCAATTCCTCACGTTTCTTTGATTGTTTACGCTCTTTTGCCCTTCGATTTTGAAACCATATTTTCACCTGCAATACAGAAATGGTAAAAAAAAATGTTATTTTTTTTTGTTTTTTCATTTTTTACATCTAAAAAAATTAACCGAATTTTTTTGTTTCAGTGAATTTTGAAAATTTAATTGAATATTTAACCAAACATTCATTTAGCAGAATTCAATATTTATAACTGTGAATTATAAAAAAAGAGAATTTTAAAAAAAATCGAATTTTGAAAAAAAAATTCTTACTTAAAATGAATTTTTATTAAGCACAATTTTCATTAAGCCGAACTTTTTATTAAGCACAATTTTCATTAAGCATAATTTTTATTAAGCCGAACTTTTTATAAAGCACAATTTTCATTAAGCATAATTTTTATTAAGCCGAACTTTTTTTTAAACTCAACAGAATTTTTATTAAACCCTAATTCTTATTCAGCTGACTTTTTATTTAACCGAATTTTTATGAAATCTAATTTTCAGTTAATATAAATTCTTTTTTCGCGAAATTTTTATTTAACCGAATTTTTATTTAACCGATTTTTTTGTTTTTGGTGAATTTTGAAATTAATTGAATATTTAACCAAACATTCATTTAGCAGAATTCAATATTTATAACTGTGAATTATAAAAAAAGAGAATTTTTAAAAAAATCGAATTTTGAAAAAAAATTCTTATTTAAAATGAATTTTCAATAAGCACAATTTTCATTAAGCATAATTTTTATTAAGCCGAACTTTTTATTAAACTCAACAGAATTTTTATTAAACCCTAATTCTCATTTAGCTGAACTTTTATTTTAACCGAATTTTTATAAAACCATAATTTTCAGTTAATATGAATTCTTTTTTAGCGAAATTTTTATTTAACCGAATTTTTATTAAGCAAAATTTTTATTTAACCGATTTTTTTGTTTTAGTGAATTTTGAAATTAATTGAATATTTAATCAAAAATATTCATTTAGCAAAATTCATATTTAACTGTGAATTATTAAATTAAAAAGAAGATAATTTTTATCAAAATCGAATTTTTATCAAGCAGAATTTCTATTTAACTGAATTTCTATTTTTAAAAAATTCTTATTTAAAATGAATTTTTATTAAGCACAATTTTCATTAAGCATAATTTTTATTAAGCCGAACTTTTTATTAAACTCAATAGAATTTTTATTAAACTCTAATTCTCATTTAGCTGACTTTTTATTTAACCAAATTTTTATGAAATCTAATTTTCAGTTAATATATGAATTCTTTTTTAGCGAAATTTTTATTTAACCGAATTTTTATTAAGCAAAATTTTTATTTAACCGATTTTTTTAGTGAATTTTGAAATTAATTGAATATTTAATCAAAAATATTCATTTAGCAAAATTCATATTTAACTGCGTGAATTATTAAAAAGAAGAGAATTTTTATCAAAAATCGAATTTTTATTAAGCAGAGTTTCTATATTTATAACTGAATTTCTATTTTAAAAAATTCTTATTTAAAACAAATTTTTATTAACCAGAATTTTCATTAAACATAATTTTTATTTAGCCGAACCTTTTATGAAACAAAAATTTTATTAAATACAATTTTTATTAATCCCGAATTTTGATTTACCTCAACTTTTATTTAATCGAATTTTTATTAAATCTTTAATTCTTATTTAATCCTGAATTCTTATTTAGCTAAATTTTTATTTTAACCGAATTTTCAAATTAATGTACAAATTTTTATTATATAACTGAATTTTTGAAAAAAATTTTTTAAATTAATTGAACATATTTAACCAATAATATTTATAGAAAAATTCTTATTTAATCGAATTTTTATTTAGCAGAATTTTTATTAAAACATATAATTTTTATTTAATCGAAATTTTATTAAACCTATATAATTATTTTTGTTAAACCTGAATTCTTGTACTTAACATTAATTTGATATTAAGCTGAATTTTCTTTAAACATTATTTTTATTTGACCGAAATTTGTGTTAAACTGAGCAAAATATTTTTATTGAATCTTATTTATTTTTATTTAACTATATTATTTAGCCAAACTTTTTGTTAAACTGAACAGAATTTTTATTAAAACTGAATTTTCATTTAATTAAATTTTTTATTAAGCTGAATTTTTCGTTAAACATTATTTTTTATTTAACCGAAATTATATCATTTAAATGAATTTTTATTTTATATATATACACTGAAAAAAAATTCTGATTAGGCTATATTTAACATTACTTTCTAGTTATGTTAACCAGAATTCTAGTTGAATTAACTATAGAATTCTCGTTAAAATAACCAGAATCAAAATGTTAAATATACCCTAACCCTAAATATAACCTAACCCTAGTTATTCTACCTAGAATTTTTTTTCAGTGTACGTTTAAAATGTAAATTCTGCATTCAATAAAAATTTGGTTTAATAAAAATTTGCTTAATAAATATATATATATATATATATAGAAATTCTATTTTTATAAGTGAAAATTTTATGATATAAATATTCGATCGTATATATAAAAAAAAAGAATTTTATTTGAAAAAAAAATGAATTTTATTTTGAGAATAAAATAAAAGAATATTAACCCTCTCGTAAAAAAGTGGTCACAAAATATATATATATTATTAGACAAGTTTTTTTTATTATACATGAAAGAAAGAAAGAAAGAAAGAAATACTCAAAATTTTATCGCAATTTTAGCCTTTTTGAAAAATAAATAAAAATTCTAATAAAATATAAAAAAAAAAAAAAATGAGAAATTAATTTTTCAATGAGATGAAATTTATGCGTCATAGAATCTTTTTCGAATCGAAAAGAAAGAATTTTTTTTATGTTTGCTTCTCAGAATGCCATTTTAGAGCATAATTATAATAATTATGCTATATATATATAATAATTATTATTTTTATGATTGTTATTATTATTATTATTATTATTATTATTATTATTATTACTATTATTATTAATAGAGGAATTAGATATATATAATCCGGCAGCATTCCTTAATTTATGAGCACGTTAATTGATCCGGAGTGTTATGAGTATTCTTTTTTTCTTTCTTTCTTTTTTTTATTTTTTATTTTTTTTTTACAAAAATGATATATACCTGTCGTTCAGAGAGGGCAAGATTGGCTGCGAGTTCCGCTTTACGACGAATCGTGATGTAACGACTGTAATGAAATTCCTTTTCAAGTTCCAGTCTTTGATGATCCGTGTAGACTACTCTGTATTTGTCCTTTGTTCTTGTTTTGCCTATAAAATAAAGAAAATATTTTTTTTTATTATATGTATATATACATATTTCACTTTCTTTATACATATATATATTATTATTATTATATTATTATATTATATATATATATATTATTTTTATTTTAAATTATATAGATGCAAAAAAAATAAATTTAAAATTAAATAAACTTTTTTTTTCTAAATGGTAAAATTAAATATGGGAATTTTTTTTTTTTTTTTTTCTTTTTTTTTTAAGAGCCATGCATCATGTGTACGATAAGGTGGTATATTATCATAAAATACGCGAAAAAACACACGCGACTTCATGTCACAATTTTTTTTTTTTATCTCCGTCAGGCGTGCTAATTAAACTCACGATAAGCATATGTATATTCTCAGATCTTTACTATATATATATATATATTCGAGTGCACTATACGTATATATATATAGAAAATATATAATTAACGATTAATGGAAAAAAGGTAGCAGTTACTAAAAAAAAATAAATAAATAGTATTCACAAGGGAAAATATAAAAAAAATACTTTTCATTTTTTTTTTTAAAAATATAATAAAATAATTTTGCATTTTTTGTTTGTTATTAATACATATTAAAAATTAAACTTAAAACTGTGCTAAAAAAAAAAGTTTTTGAGACAAGGAAATGGACATAAGAAAACATTTTTATATAGGTTATGTTTATGATTGTTTGGAGAAAACTAGTTTTCAAACAATCATAAACATAACCTATAAATTTGTTTTAAATCTACTTTCTAAATTTGAATTAGTAAAAATGTTTACTCTCTAAATCTGAATTAGTAAAAAAAGTTTACTAATTTGAATTAGTGACTCACTTTTTGATTCTCAATTAGTAAAATTTTACTAATTATTAGTAAAATTTTACTAATTATTAGTAACTTTTACTAACAATTAGTAAAATTTAACTAATTCTAAAGCAAAAAGTGAGTCACTAATTTAAATTAGTAAACATTTTTACTAATTCAGATTTAGAGAGTACTAATTTGAATTAGTCACTCACTTTTTGCTTCAAAATTAGTATAAATTATAAATTATAAATAATATATATATATATATATATTTATTTATTTATTTATTTATTTACAACAAAAAATTATATTTTTCAACAAGAAAAGTAAATAAAATAAAACAATAACTTTCTTTCAAGTAAAAAAATAAAAGTTTTTACACTATTCCAAATCTGATATATTATCGCGTTAAAAAAACAATTAATTAAATAGTCACTCTCCTATACAAATAAAAAAAAAAAAGTCTCAGGTGATAAAAAACGACCATTTAAATGTCGTCGGAAGAAATTTAAAAGGCAATTTTTAATTTCTTAATCGTGTTTACGACGTCCCATTATTATTATATATATCCGACAAGCGAAAAAAAAAATCAAGTATTTTTTTTTTAGAGAGGGGGCTAGAGAGTATAAAAAAGAGAGACAAAGAGGCAAAAGGAGTGGGGGGAAATTCTAAACTCAAAAATGGAAAAAAAAAAAACATTAAGAGCGCAGGTGGTAGAAAAAAAGTCAGCAGTGTGCGAGAGAGCAAAAAAAAAAAAAAAAAAAAAAGAAAGAAAAAAATAAAGAGGGAAAAGGTGTGCGATTAGATAAGAATGGGCGGTCGAGATCAAAGCCAAAGACGCTAATCCACCACTCTTGTGATAATATGAAGTCGGTGAGACCTTCAGAAAAATTTCTCTAATATACACCATCAAGCAAAATACGACGACCATCATTACAAAAAACATATATATATATATATGCGTTCACTCGCACACAGAAACAAAAAAAACTTGAAAATTCAGAAATTATCTCTATTTTATACGCGCGTTTAAAAGTCGCTTCTTAATAGGCGCAATCTTTTATATCATTTTTAATTTCAAAATTCAAAATATAGTACACGAGTCTCTTTGTTAGTACCTATACATTAAAACAAACAAAAAAACAAGTCACACTTCTTGGAAATTTTTTTTTTACAATTTCGCCGACACTTTCTATATATATATATATATATATAATACATATTTTGAGTCACGGTGAAAAAAAATTACTATTTTGATGAATTTTTATTTTGTAGTCATTTTCTTTATGATTTTTTTTTGAGAGAATTTTAATTTAATCAAATTTTAATTTTAGGAAAATTATCATTTAATCGAATTTTAACTGATTTATATTTTTAATTATGACCAAATTTCAAATTTGTCCGAATTTTTATGCGTGTCCGCAAATTTTTAATTGTACGAATATTTTTAATTGAAAAAATTTTTTTAGACACTAAATTTTCATTTGTCCGAAATTACAAAAAGTGACCGAACAAACAAAATCGACAGAAAAGATTTTGTTGGCGCAATTTTCAAAAATTGACCGCAATCAAAATTTTCTTGATAATTTCTAATTGATCAAATTTTTTTGAAAATTGCGACGAAATTTTTCTGTCGATTGTTTTTGTTCAGTCATTTGTATAATTTCGGACAAATTCCGTCAAAATTCCATAAGAGTTCCAAAGAATTTCCGATGAGATTCCGACGGAATTCCAATTAATTTTTTCCAACATTTTTAGAGTCCTAATTCCGTCGGAATTCCGCCGGAACTTCCAACGTAATTCCATCGGAATTCCATCGGAGTTCCAAAGAATTTCTGATGAGATTCCGATGGAATTGCGATTAATTTTTTTTTTTTTAAATTTTTAGAGTCCTAATTCCGTCGGAATTCCGCCGGAACTTCCAACGTAATTCCATCGAAGTTCCAAAGAATTTCCGATGAGATTCCGACGGAATTCCGATTAATTTTTTTTTTCAAAATTTTTAGAGTCCTAATTCCGTCGGAATTCCGCCGGAACTTCCAACGTAATTCCATCGGAATTCCAAAGAATTTCCGATGAGATTCCGACGGAATTCCGATTAATTTTTTTTTTCAAAATTTTTAGAGTCCTAATTCCGTTGGAATTCCGTCAGAATCCCATCGGAAATTCTTTGGAACTCCGATGGAATTCTAACGGAATTACGTTGGAAATTCGCCGGCGGAATTCTGATAGAACCTACCGCAGGGGGCACTTTCCGGGGGGAATCTTTCCAAGTGGGTCTTCTAATTGATAAAATTTTCATTTGTCCAAAATTGCAAATCTCCGAACAATCAATTTTGGCGCCATTTTTATATAATATAAAAAATTGTTTTGATGAAAATTCTGCAAAAATATACTAATTCGAACAAATAAAAATTCGGCTCAAAAATTTTTAGAACATAATCATGCGTGTCCCAATTTTATCTGATTCAAATTTTTAAATGACAGAAATATAATAATAATAATAATAAATAAAAAAAAGAAAAATGCAAAAATTAACATACTGCTGAAATTTTAATTGAGTTCGAATGTCCTGAGAAGAATATCTCATAAGTTATATACAATCATTCCCTGGTGCCACACGAAGCAGTGCGCAAAGAAAAATGGGATGAAATTTGATATGCTGTCGCAATAAAATAGCGTAGTGTTATGGAAAGTATACAAATGCGAGAGATGGCACAATAGGGGTAATTGTCATGTCACTGACGAATATATAATAATATATATATATATATATATATAGGAACGCAATGACAAAACGAGGCAAGTGCAAAATTAAGGAAAAGAGAAGGGTGGAGGGGGCAAAAAAAAAGTAACAGAAGTATATATATAGGAGGAATGAAAAAAAAAGAGAATCGAAAAATGGGGCACGCGCGTTTTTGCCATCGGCCCGACGATGTCGACATCAAATAAAAGAGCAAACGGTGTAATGGGGTGGCCAACGAGTCCCCCGAGTCCCATTTTCTCCCCCCCCCCCCCCCTTATCATCTCTCTCTCTCTCTCTTTTTCTCTCTTTTCTCTCTTTCATCCCTTGTTCCCAAACATTGACGCAAGTTCTCAATTTTTATCTTTATATATACATTTTCTATTCATTTATGCCATTCATAATAATTCGCATTGTAATTTTACACTGAAAGACTTTTCGTTTGAAAAATTAATATGATTTTGATTTGAAAATGAGGATAATTCTGTTTTTATGCGATTTAGTCGTATGAATATGTATCAGTGTTTAAACTAAATCATATACCGAAAATTAGTATGGTCATATTAACTTTCAGTATTATTTGGTTAAAAATTGTTACATTTCATATACGACTAAATCGCATAAAAACAGAATTATCCTCACTTTCAAAGAAATCATATTAATTTTTCAAACGAAAAGTCTTTCAGTGAAACTGTATACACTGTAAAAAAAATTTCCTGTAAATTTACTACTTTCAGAGTAGTAACCATAATATTACCTTCTTTTAAAGCAGTGATTTTACTATAAATGTGGCAAATTGACTAGGTTATGTTCTTATTTTTACAAAAAACTGTAAAATTACAAATACGGTAGTAATTATGTCACATTGAAAGTAGGTAATATTTGGTACTACTCTGAAAGTAGTAAATTTACAGAAAATTACGAATGTGCTACTTTAAAAGTATAAAGTTTAAATCAGTTATTGTATATTTACTGCTTTGAAATAAGTTCAGTTACAGATTTTGGTAAAATTACAAGTTCAATCCGTAAAATAAGACAAAATTTTTTTTTACAGTGTAGTATTTTTTTGTGTTATGTATATAGTAAAATCATTTTAAAAATTGCAAAGAATACGTCATTCTGTTAAATATATATATATATTCTTTGAGAGGAATATGTATTTAACAGAATTTGAGCTAAATTTGCCAATTTTTAAAACGATTTTAGGTATAATCCTGACGCAATCTGAAGAATGGGACCTTAGAAGCAAAAAATGATAGGTTATATTCACAGAAAATTAAAAGGCATTAAAATAAACTGCAATGCTCATTATTTTAATCCAATTTTGCTTATTTTAATCCATTTTGGTATTAAAATAAGCAAAATTGAATTAAAATAATAAGCGTTGCAGCTTATTTTAAAATACCTTATAATTTTCTGTGTTAATATTATTTTAAAAGGGAGAGGAAA